CAACCAGTCAAAAGAGATGCTGATGCTAATCCTGATGCTGATGCTGATGCTGAAGCTTGGATCAGATTAAGACCAAACCAACCAGTCAAAAGAGAAGATTAATCAGATTCCGTCGCCAATGCTGATTCTTGGCTCGGTTTGGCTTCTCATAAACAAATTTCAACAATTTTTAATTCCTTAAAATAATGAATTCTATTATTAATGCGTGGTTTCTTTGGTTTCTTTGTTTTGACATTATAAGGCAACTTTTTTTGTGATTTTGTCTTTTGGTATTCGTTGTTGTTCAAAATCTGCTTTTATTCTATGTTAATTTTGTTAATCAATAATCTAGCTCCTTGAAAAACAGTTTCTCTAAAAAATCTTTCTAAAAAAACATTTTTTCTATATATATTTTATATCTTTATTTTTTGTTTTTTTTTTTACCATTCTAAGTTTTAATTAGTCTACATTGATTCTCAAGTTAATAACAGTAAATGAACAATTTATTTAAAATTTTTAAATTTAATTTGCAGTATTGATTATTGGTAAAGCTATACTTTCAGAAGTCTTTATATTCAAGGATTTTATATTTTTTAAACCGTTTATTAAGCCCCCTACCGGTTTAAATTTACTAGTACATAAATACTCAAGAGTGGCATCGATATTTTCTATAAGTTTTTTATCAGTGAAAGAGAGATAGCCGATTTTAACAGAAAGACAGTTTCCATTTTCATTTGGAATGAAAAAAGAATTTTTAACAATTGATTTTAATTGTTTTAAAACATAATTTGAATCGCACTTTTCTAGTTTTATTACTTTAGAGTCGTGATTTTTATGTTTGTTAATCTGGTTTAACTTTGATTTTGACTTGATTGATTTAATAATTGAAGGTTTTGCCAATTGAACTGTAAAGGGTACTTTTTTATGTTTAACATAAAACATGGTGCCTAAAATATCAGGCAAAAAATGATTAATTCTATGATCAGCTAAGATTAGATCAAACTCATTAAAAATGTTTTTCAATCTTTTAGAATTTCTAGAAATTGATTTCAATTTTTTTAAAGAGTAAATTTCTTTAATTAATTCCTGGGTCTTTGGGTTTTTAGACAATTCTGATCTAAAGACAGTGGAAGGGTCTTTTGTGATTAAAAGAATTGATTTGGATCCTGTAGAAGAAAGTTTATGAGGAAGGGGTCTTTTATAGAGTAATATAATATAATAGGATTCAATTCAATGCGATTAGGTTGAATCGAATTGAAGAATAATGGGCTAGTTAGAAAGAAGAAGCAAAAGCAATAACAAACAAGTGAAAATCAACATACATTATTCTTGGGATATAGTCATTTTTTTTAATTAAAGGTTTTTCGGTAGTTATTATGAGAAAAACTGGGTCATTGGGATTAAATTTTTGATTTTTTTGTAGATATTCTTTTAAAGAGGTGATTGATTTGATTGATTGATCTTCGTGAGGAGAATTGATTAGTATAGTCATTTTGGAGATAGAGATCAAAGAGAGATGAAAGTAATTATGGAAAGGATGATGGATGATTATAAAAGAGAACAATAAAATTTTACGGCAAACCTAAAAAAGATGTTTTGGAAAATTTTTTTTTCGGGAACCAGCACTACGGGTTTTAAAATGAAAGAGGAAGTTTTATTTGAGGGCGTTTATGGGAAAAGGTAAGAAAAATATATAATTATAGGCAAAGTTATTAATAGTGGTATTAATGTTTGGTGGAGAATGATTAGGAAAAAGAAAACTCATTTTTTTCAGTAAAAAGCAATTGAAGAGTTAAAAAGAGAGAGAGAGAGAGAGAGAGAGAGAGAGAAAAGGGGAGAGTAGATAAAATGGATCAATTCTGGTGATTTGGATCATCTAAGTCATTAAATTCTATATATTTACTTGAACGTTCAAGCTTTAAGCAGCACAGTCAGTGCTTTCTAGTCTGTAGAGAAACATTCAATTGAAAAAAAAAGAGGATTTTTCTTTCTTTCTTTCTTTTACTGTAATTCAAATGAATGTTTGGCTAATTAAAAACCAATAACATATTCTCCGGTGTGCCGTTTTTTGGTACCAGATAGGTAGCTATTGGTAATAATTGATCATGAAGTGGTTGATAAGAATTTTGATCTTTTTTGATTATTTTGTGAGATTTAGTAAGATAATAAAGATTGTTATTGTTTGGATATGACAAGCTAAAATTGAATCAACCAAGATAATTTTCAGCGATAAAAGTTAAAAAATCATCAGAAATGACCATATGTTCATCATCAATTGTTAGGTATCTTAATTGGTGATTTTCATCCAATTTCTTAATACCTAGCCAATCTTCATTGTATAGGTCGGTATCGACCAATTCGATCATGTTTCCTGTTGAGATATCTTCATCTTGGAACCATGCGCTTTGTTTGGGGACTAAAATGGTGTCTTTCTCAAACATCACCATGACAAAGTTACCATTAATTGAAGACAATCTTTGTGCGTAGGTTGTGTTGGTGTGACCAGGTAGTTCATTATTCAAGTAGACGATAAATTTTGAGTGAGAAAGATAAGTTTCGTAATTGTAGAGGTCTCTGAAGTATTGAGCAGATACGATATTTGTTTGTATGTTTTCTCTCCAAACTTGTTTTTTCAAAAACTGGTTTCTTTGCTTGCATATCCAATCATTGTCTTTACAAGTGGGTAAATCACTAACACCGGTGTGAGGAGAGCCAAAGGTAATTAAATTGTTAACTTTGTTGTCCATGAACTGACAAGTTTCTATCAAGCTTCTAATAAAGAGGCCACCCTGAGAGAAACCAATGCAGTCAAAGCCGTTTTGCAACTCTTTGATTTGGCTAATTTGTTCACAAGCAATCTCCAAGTGATTATTAACATTTCCAAAAAACGAGTCCTCTTGGTCTTTTGAATCATCAGGATTTATGTAAATAGAGTGGATGAACAACAGAGGATGGGTATTTCTTAGCACATTAAAGACTCTGTTCATGGGATCTGAATCATATGAGTCGCCCATTCCATGCCATATTATTAAGGGCCTAGTGACGGACGATTCTTCATAATTTGCAATCTTTGTGGTTGTATCAGAGGATATGACATCAGAAGATACGATACTGGAATCAATGTTGTTGGGATTTATGGCGTTGAACTGGGCTCTTTCAGTCTTGTTGAACATATGAGGACTAAGAATAATAGGATTTCTGGGGCCAGAGTTCCTTTCGTCTTCCTCCAATTCGTCCAAGGATGACTTAACAGAAAGCCAACTAGTCAATAGCTTCAAAACATGCATTAGGAGATGTGTGGTGGTTGTTGAATGAAGATGGTTGTTGAATGAAGATGGTTGAGAGCAATGTGAGATAGTGAGATAATATAGAATGAGAGAGAAGGGGATCAGTAGAAATTAATATCGAGCGATGAGAGCTGAGAGCTGTGAGCTATGGGTGGATTTCTGTTTGATAAGCTGAGAAAACAGTGCGCTGATTTATTTATAGCTGACTGTTTTCTTTTCCGCCTGCTGCAAACCGGAGGATCGCCGGTGGGCGCGGAAATGGCGTGCCGCGGGAGCGGGTAACCTTAGGCTTGCCGCAGGCCCAGAGCGCGGCTTTTGTGTCGCGCTACTCGAAAACCACGTCCGAGCCCAAAAAACTAAGCCAGTCGTGTTTGTGTGCGAGGACTTGTTCTGGGCCCGAAAAGCTTGTCTCGGCCAAGCCTTTTTGTGTTCTCTCAGACTCGCCGAAGCTTTCAAGCAACGCATCAAACTCTTTGTCTTTTGCATCAGCTGCTTCCTCGCCTCCTTTTTCACGCACAAACGTAGCCTCAGGTTCTTGCTCTGTTCCTCCTTTCGACTGGAAATGGTACTCACTGTCGATTCTAAACATACCATCAGAGCGTGCGTCGTCCGTTAGGTCTTTGATGACGATTACTTCGTTTTTGTTGTCTCTGCTGGAACTCGTTGGAAAGTTTTTCGCATTCAACACTGGCAATGCTTTGGTGCTTTCCACCGTTGGTGCTTCTTTCGCTTTACTGAACTTCATGTTCTGAATTGAAGGGTAATCAGAAATGGAAAATTCCTCATCATCCGACTCATCAAAAAAGTCTCCGATATCATGCAATAGTACACTTTTCTGTCCGTTGAGTTTTCGTTTCTTCGTCTTGGGAATAGGTTTTTCTTTGTTGTCTTTGTAGTCTTTTTTGCGTCTAGAATTTTTGCGGTTTTGTATTTCTTTCACGAAGTTAAAGTTGTTTTTGTTTTTGTTTTCTTTGTCTTTATTCTTTATTTCACTTTCCTGCTCTTGTTTTTCTAAATTCAAACTTTTTGTTTGCATGCTTGCTCTTCCGTTTTTAGGAAGCGTAATCAAACCTTCTTTGCAGCATATATGCCGACAACTTTAATCACCACCATGTTAGTTAACTCACAATTACTCAATGCATTTCAAAATTAAAAAAGCTTAGAAGAAAACTTACTTTGTCTTATCTTTGCACAAATGCTTGCATTCATACTTTCCGTCAGATCGAACATTGTATTCATAAAATTTTAAATCTTCACTCTCTAACCCAATTTTAACTTCATTTTTTTCTTTGGTGTTTTTTACTTTCTTAACACAGGCACTGGAAAGTAAGTCGTTTAAATCATCATCGTCATCGTCAAAATCTGCTCATTTCTATTGTTAGTATTCAACTATTTTTCAATTATCTTTATTATTATTATCATCAAAAAATCACCTTAAATATACATACCATCCGAAGGAAACTGATCATTATTGTCTGCTTTTTTATATAAATATTCATCTATGGTATGATTCATCATACTAATATCCTTCTTTATTGTCTTTGGCTCTCTTGACTTGAAAGACGATTTTTTTAATGATGAAAACTTAAAAGAAGGAATTTCATCCAAATTTAGCTCAATTGTTTTTCCAACACCAGCTTAATATTCACTATTAGTATCACTTTTCAATAAAAACAAATCCCACAAGTGAAATAAAAAATAAAAAAAATTACTAACATACCTATTTCTTCACAATAGCAATGAATTCTTACTATCTGTGCTTTACACGTAAGTTTCGCCATTAAATCAAAGGATTTTGGTGTTTCTAGTTTTGAAGCATGTATTCTTCTGAAATCAATCAACATTCCATCTGTTACTTCACTAACAATGTTTAAAATCAACAACTTTTTATGCCACGTTGAACTTTTTTGATAATTATGTGATCCAATTGTAACTGTAAATCCAATCCCAATGCTTTGGCAATCTGAATCAATAATATGTGTTCGAAGCTTTGCTTTTAAAAAAAGCTTTGGAATACTGTTCACATCTTTTAATATCTTATTCCCTGAACCGGGTTTCATTCTTAAAAAATATTCTATCGTTGTACTATCTAATTTTATTAAATTTTTAAATGATAAAACATCATGATTAACAAACTTCCGAACATATGCTAATCCAATTCCTTCCAATTGCCTTAAAACCATTGGAGAATCTTCCCAACATTTTCCAGTTACGCATCTCCATAGTTTTAAAGTATTGAGAAGAGATGTTGAATCCTTTTTTTCACTAAAAGTATCAATCATACATCGGATTATCCGAGGTAATTGCTTGAAAACTGTTACCTTATCATACGAAAATGTTTGGTAAAGTTTAAGAGATCCATTATATGTAGGATATTCTAATCCACCCAATTCATATTGAATTATTAATGAAATTTTGTCTCCATCTGTAAGATTAGCCTCCTTTGTTTTTAATGGAAACCGTATTAAAGGAGACGAATTTATCTCTTTTAAAAGCTTACCCTCTGATCTCTTATATTTAATTTCTTTAAATTCAGTAGAATTAGCTAAAAGCATTAATGTTTCACTCAATGTTTGATTCTTAGGAGAATAAATAAGTTTTTTCATTGTTTCAAAGAAAATGTAATGCCGAGACATTGCTTTCCCAAAGGCTGTACTAACGAGATTTTTCCCATCTGTTTCAATAATCTGATTTTCTAATAATTCGTTGATCTTTTTATCACAAAATATCCTCAACCTCTTATCAAGATCAAAACTCGGATTATCCAATAACTGCAACTCTCTGTATGCAGTTGGGTTAGCAATAAATCGAGTATAAAAAAAGGTATTTTTTAACCATTTTACTGCTGTTTCTATGCATTTTATTGTACCTAATGAAATCTCAGCTGCTAAGTTTTCTAAAAAATTTAAATGCAAACAACTTTCAATCTTTTCAGTTCCTTTAACCAATTTTTCGTATCTCTGTTTATCTTTTGAAGCAGTCATTATAACAACGGTTCCTTCTTGTTCAAATTGAGGCCTTCCTGCCCTACCAATCATTTGTAAAACATCAAGTTCAGAGTATTCAGCTAAACCAGCGTCAGTCCAACTTTTTGTTCCCTTTATTATAACTAGATACGCTGGCAAATTAACTCCAACAGCTAAAGTTGAGGTGGAACAAAGAACTTTGACAGCACCAGAAATGAAATTTCTTTCAACGGCCTGACGATCTTCAAAAGACAATCCAGCATGATGATATGCAATACCCGAATTTAGCAATTGAGATAACTCTTTATCCTTGACTGGTAGAATAGAATCTTTGTTATTTTGAAAGATACCATTACCATTTTTAGAGATGTATTGACAAGTGGTTAAACAAATTTTTCTTGTTGGACAAAAAATTAAAACAGGTTTTCCAAAGCTTCTTTGCCTTAAAATTTCAATTAACTTTGAATTTAATGTTATATCAAAACCAAAATCATTATTTGAATTATGATAATAGCCATAAACAAACCGATTTAGTTTAATTGCTCTATATTCTTCACCAAAAACTAAAGTAACAGCAGACTGAGTTGATATCGAATCAATTTTCAACCACCTTGAGATATCTTGAATATTTGGAACAGTGGCAGATAATGCAATAATCCTTATTTCATTGCACATTGTTTTCATTCTTGTTGTTACAACTTCTAACGTTGAACCACGTTTGTCTCTTAAAATATGAATTTCATCAATCAATAATAATCGAATTAAATCAAACAATCTATTATAATCAAACCACCGCCTGGTTATTAAATCCCATTTTTCAGGAGTTGTTATTATAATATTTGATTTTCGAACTCTCTCAGCTTCAATTTTTGAGGTATCACTTGTTAAAATACCAACAGTTAAATTTAAAGTGGTGGAAAATTTTTTCATCCAATCAACTTGTCTTTCAACACATAGAGCCTTTGTGGGAGCCATGTATAACACTTTTATATTCTGAGTATCATTTCCAGTTTTCCTGAGGTATAGTCGTAAGATAGCTAATTCAAAGAGAACAGTTTTACCAGAGCCAGTAGGAGAGCTAATAACAGAATTATGATCAGTGTTATAAATTGAATCAAAAGACTTCGACTGCATTTTATTAAAATAATTAAAATTAAAAATTGATCTAACTTTATCAGGTAGTTTAATAGTTGAGATTTGATCGGGTTCATCATTTAAATTTATGTATGATGTGAAGTGCTTGTAGTTATTATTATTACTATTATTACTATTACCATTATTATAATCGATGTTATTGAAATTCGAATCCTTTTTAAAATATTGAGAAGATGGGAGATTATCAGTGTTATTTTGATCATCTTTGTAATTGTTGTTGTAATTTTCAGTATTGTGATAATCATCTACATCAACTGTTCTAATAGAATAAGCAGCGTTTTTCTTTGAATTAAATGTGCCAAAATCGGAACTACTACTATGATTCTTCTTATTGTTATTATTAGATAATTTCAATCTATTGTTTGTATAATCTATAGCTTTTATTTCGTTATCTTTAAAGTCAATAAAATTATCAGTTACCATTGAGGTATTGGGGCTTTCAAATGGAAATTCATTACCATTTCCATTGCCATCAATATCTTTGTCTTTTTTATCAAAATAATCATGATTGTCATTATAGTAATGACTGTCATTATGTTTCTGAGAAATAGAGAAGTTTGATTTCAAATAATTCGAGCTATGTCTGTTCATTGACGAAGCAAATTGATATGAAGACAATTGATCACTATCATTTCTGCTCCAGTTACTTCTGAGATTTGCACTATTAAGGAATCCAGACTTTGAAGATGGGATATCTAGTCAAAAGAATAGAAAAGGAAAGTCAGTGTTAATTTCATGGTTCATTCACAGGTTCGAGGATCGATAAAGTAACAAATACCAAATTCATCACCATTATCTTGGGCTTCATCATTGATGTACTCTTCAAGTTGATTTAGAAAAGAGCCCATTATTAAACGTTAGCGCTGATGTCAAAAGTCTTGTGAAGAATATACAAAATTGACCTAGAATAAATTCAGATATTCCCATAAAACCACGAAAAGGAAATTCTTTAAATTGCAGCACCAAAATCTTGAAGTATCCTTTATAAAACTGCTAATTGAACTAGAATTTGTAATTTGTGTAACGAATCGTTGGACTGGTATTGGTTTTTATTTGGAGTTAAATGAAAGTTTAGCAGTATAATTATCTCTTAAGATTGAGCAATATACGCGGCTTCTTTACACAATAAACAGGAAAAAACAGAATCAAACTGTGTATTTCAATAGGATACTACAAAATATAGAATTTATTATCAACTCTATATTCAAGTAGATCTATACATCAATCCCAAATTACAAAAGCCCATGATAGCTAAATTCTTTTAGACTTGAAGTATAATACACAAATATTTTTCATCCCTTTGGAAGATCTTTCAAACCCTCGAGGTAATCAATTCTATTATTATAGCAGTCAATTCTTATCATATTATCAGGTTTTTCAGGTTTTTCAGTAGTTTCTTGTCCAGATTTTTAATTACTTTAATTCTGTTTTTATTTAAATTTAACATTTTCAATTTTGCTAAGTTTTTGGCATTCTTCCATCGTTATGATACAGTTTAGCATTAAATTTAGTCTTTTCAAATTTCTTAACTCAGATAAGTTTTCAAGTTTAAAAATTTGGTTGTATGATAGATCCAGCAATTTCAAATTATCTAGATTATTTAAATTTTGAATCTTTCGTATTTGGTTAGAATTTAAATTTACCTCCTTTAGTGATTTCGAGCTACTAAGATTCTCAAATTTCAAAATTTTATTGTTCTGCAACTCTGGTACTTTTAGTTTTGTTAAATCTTCCAAATTTGTTATTCTGGCAATCATATTTCTAGCTAAATTCAAAATTACTAGATTACTGATTTGATTCAAATCATTGGTTTCTAAAGGCTTATTTAAGGTATCATCTATATCAGTTGACAATTTCAATGTCTGTGTTGTCAATTTTTCAATCTTCTTAAGCGATAAATTAGTCAAATATATCTCCAAGTTCAATGATATTAAGTTCACAAATGTTGGGAATATTCTTACTGAATCTGGCTTGCTTAATTGCAATTTCATTGACTCTAACTTTGCCAGTCTTTCTAAACATCTTATTGAATCAATGTTTTTAGCTTCTCAATCCATTGAATGTCAAATCAAGATTCAACAAATTGAAACATAGCTCTAAATCAGGAAAAATGCTGAATTGATTACTGGACAAATCTAAGTCAACCAAATTGCACAACTTCTTCAAATCAGTGAGCATATCTAGACAATTGTTGGAAAGATCAAGCGAATTCAAGTTGGTTAGAAGCAGTAACTGAGTAATTGGTATATGATATAATATACGCTGAACAATAAAAGTCAGCAAGTCGTCCAATATATGGGGATAATAATCAATAATTCTCTTCTGGAAATTAAACAACTGCATTTTTGTAATTTATCTCTGATTTCTTCTATTACTTTCTATTATCTTTAATAGATGTATTGCATAAACGGCAATCATACTGCAATTTGCTGTATTGCTAGAATTACTTGCCTGTATATGCATCAAACAGCAGCTACTGCTTTCAGTAGCAAATCTGTGTTCATCACCTCATTTCACAGTATGTTTTTAAAGGTGATGTTAGAGGTTTTGTTACTAACTACAATGATGGAACACAGTACCCGGTGGGCTCTTCGAGTAATAAATATTCATTTGTCATTATCGTTTTTGTGTTGGAATCAGCATTCAATCGCTATCGAGAGTTGGTGTCATAAAGTCTTCGGGTATTAAATGATAAGGTGCTGTACTATGTAACTGCTGCTTGAGACTCATGAAGCTCAAAGCACTTCCAACCAACACTCCATCACACCAAACTTCCACGCTTGGTTTGAATGCTTCAGAGACAATCTTACAACTGATATCTCTAATCTACAGTTGTTTTTATTCTTTGTTTTTGAGAATATCCGTCAAATTCAAAATTAATAAAACAAAATTAACTGATCAATACATAGAAGCAAAGAAATTAAAAAAAATTTGAAAAGAATAAATAATAAATAGTTTAGATTTACAATAATTTGAGTGATAAAACTTAAAACAACAATAAACACAAAACTGGAAACAAAACTTAATGAGATCAAAAAAGAATAAAAATAAAGCTAAAACTAAAAAAATACTAGAAACACCAAAAAAGAAACGAATTTATGCTTGTTTGTAGAGAATTATTCAATACAAATTTAGCCGCCCCAATATTTATAAAGATTTGGAGCAGCAACGCTAATTGGATTAACATCAGACACTTCACTACTAATACCACTTTTATTGCTTTTATCTTGAGCTTTATCATGAAATACCGAATATTTAACAGGATTAAGAAATAACTTTTTGGCTTCACTAACTATTTCTTCGGCATTTTCAATATTGGATAATATAGCTTCTTCATTAACGCCTAAATCAGGTTTGATTGAATTATCTTCACTAAATTTCGCAGATGATTTGAATAGGTCCACTGTTTCTTTTAAAACAGAGATTGCATTGGATAGCTTGGAATTGATAGACGAACTATGCTTGGCTAATGATAAGCTATTGAGGAAAATTTCTTGTTGAAACTTCTGCAATGATTTTTTTTCCAACTCTAACAGTTTCTCGCAAACTCTCATTTTTTCTAGTTTTAAATTGATCTTAGTGAATTGAAAATTTAGTAGTTTCATTATCAGCTTATGCATTTCACGTTCTTCATAACGAGAAAAGATATGCGATCTTGCTGCAGCAGAACCCATGGCCATATACGTTCCCTCTTTTATATAATCTAATGGATCAGTTCTAGGTTCCTCAGGAACTTTTTCTGTTTTTGGATCCAAATCATCATTGTTTATTGATTTTTCTTTTTTATTTTTATTTTTATTTTTATTTTTATTTTTATTTAAACCTTTGTTTTCTTTATCTAAAATATCTTCTTTTAAACCATGATTCTCATTATTTTCAGTAAATTTATCCTCTATATTATTTAGCTTTGTTGAACTGTCTTCTTTTTGTTCTTGTTTGGTTTCTTTTTCTTTCTCATTATTTTTATCCTGTTTTTCCTTTTTGTCTATCGATATTTTGGTTTCTTTTTCTTCAATTCTTTTATTTTCTTTATTATTGTTGATATCTTCCATTTTTTGATCTTCATCTTTTGCAGTCTGATCTTCTTTTAATTTTTTAACATTTTTCTCCTTATTTGTTTCACTCAATTTAACTTTTTCTCCTCCACTCAATTTTTCTATCAAGTCACGTTCAATTTTCTTTATAGCGTTCTGAGATGCTGATTTTGCAATGTCAGCATCTACCAACTCACATAAATAAGCAATCGCCGTCATGATTGGGTTATCTATTGCACTAAATGGAATATATGGAGCATACTTCAAAGGTCCTAATTTTTCTGGATGCTTTTCTAAATATGGATCTTCAATTGGCAATTTCAAAAATCTTAAAATACACTGTTCTGGTGTTTTTGTGCCAACAAATTCAGCAATTTTATGCCAATTACTGTTAAATGTTTCAACACCCTCTAACAATTTTTTTATTTCTTCAGGCTTCCAACTGGATATAGAATTTTTATCAATTGAAAGAGAAGCTAAAATATTCGGTCTTTTGATATTAAAGGCTTTAGTTTTCACTTTTTTGTTAGAGACAACAATGTCATTTTCTTTTGTTCCATTTATTTTTTTCTCAACATTATTTGTGTTTTCTTTTTGTTCTTTTTGTTCTTTTTGTTCAATATTTTTATCATTTGCTTTAGTAGCGCCAGACTGTGAAGAAAAGGTATCTTTATCTTCTTGTTTAGTATTTTTTGATTTTAAATTCATGGCTAGTTTTGGCAGTTTTTCATTTTTGATACTGAGATTTCCATTTTCTAATTTTTCAATATTGGATTCCATTATTTGATCTAATTTTCTTTTCTTGGTTTTAGCCAAATTTTGATCATTTTCAGATTTATCTTTATTATTTTCATCAGAAGAGGCCGTATTTTCATCAATATTTAGTAGCATTTTTAATTTATTCAAAACACCATCTGTTTCCTTTGGTAGTTTATATGGTTGAAATGGAAATAATCCCTTTGGAGTATCAGTGTCAATCTTGAAATGGTCTGTCAATGGAGGTTCGACATTTCTAATTGCAAGCTCAGGAGACACTTGGTAGTTGATTAGTCCCCATTTAGTCAAAAAACGATGTATTCTAAGAATTGAGCCTGCGTCTCCAACTAGATTTCGACGACAGGCAGTAACGGTTAAATTTTCACTAGGATTTAATCTATAAGTATTTATCATAAAATTTCTATATTTAATGTAAATTAATGGTGTTTTTGATCTACTTGAATTATCAAAAAAATCGGGCAAAGATTCAATCTCGACTCTTCTTACTTTTCTGAAATTAAACCAAGAAGCATAAGATGGAATGACTATTGCGTGGGTTTGAGGGATTATTGGAATATCGTCGTTAGGGTCGGCTCTTGAAATCGAAGACGATTCTGAATCCATTTCAACGTCATTTGCTTCATCTTCAGGATTGTCTTGAGAAGGTTTTTCTGTTTCAATTAAATCCATATTCTGATCATTAGTTTCGGAGATATTTTTTTGGATTAGTTCTTGATTTTGTTTTTCTAAGAGATTCAATTTTTCGTTATCTTCTCTTTCCTCTTGTTTTATTTTTTCGTCATCAATTTGGGTTTGAGATTCTGGAATTCTGTTAGAGTTTCTGTTTTCGGGATTTGGTTTATGTTTAAATTTATCAGATGAAATGGAGGAGGATCTGTCAAATTGAGGATGAATTTTTTGAAATTGAGTGGAATCGTTATTGTTTGTATTAGCAAAATTGTTGTTAAAATGTTTTGAATTATTAATTTGAGCATTGCCATGGTTTATATTGTTTATATTATTTGGGTTATAGTTGGTATTGTTGTTGTTAAATGATTGTTTTCGGATAGTATTTTTATTTTGAATTGAAGGTATTTGGTTATTTTGATTATTGGAAATATTTTTAGAGGGCATAGGGGGCGATAGAGAATGAGATTTATAACTTGGGTTCATTTGTTGAATATTATTATAGTTTTTCACTTTTGAGTTGTGAAGTTGCTGAGATTGTTGTTGTTGTTGGGGTTGTTGTTGGGGTTGAAAGTAGTTTTGTTTTTGGGGATGGTTATTGTAGTGAGTATGATAATTATTATAAGTGTTATTGTTATGATTATGATTATGATTGTGATTGGGACTAGAGTTAGGATTGGGATTAGGATTATTGGGAGAGTTTGTAGGGATGGATGAATTAATAGAGATATTTTGGTTGGTGGAGGTGTTATTGGCAGAGGAAGAGATTGTGTATACCATGGGTTTTGCTGGTAAAGAGGGAGGAAGAGAGGATGACTGGATTTTGGGATTTGAGGAAGATCTTTGTTTTTGATTGTTCGTGTAAGGTTTTTGAGAGATTTGTTGGTGCAGCTGGTTGGGAGAGAATTGATTTTGTTGGGGATATTTTTGGAAGGGAGGTTGATTTGGGGGATGATATTGAGCAAGATACTGTTGTGATTTGTACTGGGATTGGTTTTGGTTTTGAATTGGGAAAGATTGTTTTAAAGAAGACTTTTGGTTTAGTGGCTGAATATTTTGAACAAGAGATTGATTGTTTTGATGAAGGGATTGATCAATATGATCGATTTTTTGAAGAATTTGAAGTTTTTGTTGCTCATTTTGTAGTTTTGATTGAGAACTGGAGGGAGTAATATGGTCGATTTTTTGAGGTTGATTGTCGGAGGTGAGAGAAGAATCAATTGGAGTGATTTGAGAGTGAGGTTGTGGTTGGGATTGAATTTGAATTGTAGTTGAGTTACTAATTGGGTTATCGATGGATTGATTAACTTCTGGTTTATCGGATGAATTGTTTTGAATACTTTCAATATTTTCAGCACTTGAATTATTGTCGTTATTTTCAATATTGTCATTATTTTCATTATTTTCATTATTTTCATTGTTTTCGTTGTTTTCATTGTTGTTATTGTTGTCATTACTTTCAGTATTGTCATTATTATTGGAATCATTTGAGTCGATTGAGTCATTTGAGTTGATATTTTCAATTGAATCAATTTGATTATTATTTCTGTTATTAAATGTATTTTGTATATTGTCTATATTTTGTATATTATTTACATTTTTTGAAATTTCCAAATCAAAGTTAATAGATTGATTTAAAGAATCCCGAGAGAGAGTTTCATTATTATCATCATTATCATCATTATTATTGTTATCATTGTTATCATTGTTATTATCAGTATTATCTTTATTATATTTATTATCGATATTACCATTGGTATGGTTATTATTATTACGACCATCGTCATGGATATCATTATTATCAGTAATACTAGATTTGTTGTTATTAATGATGTCAATTTTAATTAGGTTATTGTCTATATTGCTATTGTTATCGGTATCAGGAAAGTCGTTTACTAAGGTTTCTGAGGAAATGTCGCTTTGAGTATCTTTTTCGTGAATTTTTTTTATATTGAGGTTGTTTTTTTGAATTGAATCAGATTGAGCAGTTTTTTCAGAGTGGTCAGGTTTGGGGCTATCATCGTTAGGTGGACTAGTGGTGGTAGAAAGTAATTGAGTGTGATTATCATCAGCGATGCTATTATTGAGATCGGTAGTTGATTGGGGATTTAAATCAAGAGACATTGTTGGAATATAAATAAGAGAAAGACGTGACGAAGGAATAACATCAAAGAGATGTGCAAATTGAATCAAAGTAAAAACTAGGAAAGAGGGCAGGCTTTCGTAGTCCAATGAGATGCAATTCTAGAAAGTGATAGTGGAATAAACAATAAAGTTCGGATTGAACGAGGTATTACAAGCCCAGAGGAATGACAAAACGAGGTGGGAAACCAGTGAGCAATCAGCACAGCAAGGAGAACACGCAGTGGAGGGAAGGGCAAAGGCGGCAGGAGAAGCACAGGCAGCACAGGAAGCACGGGCAGCACAGGAAAACAGACGGGGGGCGACAGAAGAAGGGGCTGCTGGCGGTGCTGGCGATGCTGGACGAGGCGTTGGAGACGAAGCTGCTGAGTGCTTTGCTGGTGACCCTGCCGTTGGAGCAGCCCGGCACGTGCACTGCCGCTCATGTAAGCGCACGTGCACACTCCCCTATTTGCTCGGGCCACGCGTCGCTCTTCTCCTGCTTCAGCTTCTCCTGCTTCAGCTTCTCCTGCTTCTTTTGCTGCCTGTTCTTCCGCTGTCTGTTCTTCTTCTGCCACCACCATGTATCCCTACCTGCAGAACCAGCAGCCCTACCTCCAGCTCCAGCAGCCCCAATTGCCTGCCCAGACTGGCTTTTTCCAGCCCCAGCAGCTCACTGCTCAGCAAGCTGGCTTTCTCCAACAGCAACAGCAACAGCAACAGCAACTTACTGCTCAGCAGACTGGTCTCCTCCAGCAACAGCAGACTGGCCTTTATGCTCAACAGCCCCAGACCACCTTTTTCTCTGGTCTTCCTAACCAGCTCAATCAGCAACCTCAACCTCAACCTCAACCTCAACCTCAACCTCAATCCCAGCTTCTCTCTCAGCAGACTGGCTCGTTTCCTTTGACCACTTTCCAACAATTTCAACCACAGCAAAATGTTCAACCTCTCCAACCACAACAAACTGGTTTCTTGGTTGCTCAACCCACTGGTTTCAGACCGCTCCAAAACATGCTAAGTCTTGACCAATTGACAATCCAACGAACCGGCGCTCCCTCCATTGCTTCTTCTGCTGTCTCAAACTCTTCTTCCAAAAAACTTAATCCTGATCTAAAAATCCCCAACATTCGTCTATCCTTTGTCACTTCTCAGGACCAAATCAAATTTGAAGAATTGTTTCGCAAATCAATTAAAGCTGGCGAACAATCAATCGACGGTAAATCTGCCAAAAAAATCCTTCTCAAGTCTGGTCTCTCTCCTCAGACCCTAAAGGAAGTATGGGCTCTTTCTGACACTACTCGTGCCGGTAAACTACTTTTCCCAGAATTCGTTCTAGCTTTGCATTTATGCAATATTGTTTTGAATGACAAGAAGTTGCCAATCAAATTGCCCAAAAAGATAGCAAATGAAATCTCAAGCTTCATCGACGCCATAGTCATCAGCTTGACCAACGATGATGATGATGATCCCACCCTAAACAATAAAAACAAAAATAAAAAGGACGAATTGCCTGATACAAGTCCTTTCACTACTACTCAAAACAACGACTCCCAGCAAAATCTACTACCTCAATTAACCGCCGGTCAACAGCTAACTAACGCTTTTGCTCCCCAACAGCAAATCCCTTTCCAACAAACTGGCTTTCAGCAAACTGGCTTTCAACAAAATCTAACTGGCACTGCTCCCCCCTTGCAATTCCAACAAACTGGCTACCAAATTCCCACTGCTTTGCCCTTAAGACCTGCTGTAACTGGTGGGGTCTCTCAATTGCAATCGATGCAGGGTGCTTTTATGCCTGGCGCAATTCAATCTTCTTTCAACCTTCCTACCCAAAACAACTTCAACCCAAACAACAATATCCAACCCAACAACAACATCACAAACTGGACAATTTCAAAGGGCGAAATGACAATCTATAACAACATCTTTACTGCCTGGGATAAATCAAATTCTGGCTTTGTTGATGGTCCCGCTGCCATAGAAATCTTTTCAAAATCTGGCTTATCCAGAACTGACCTAGAAAAAATTTGGGGTCTAGCTGACTCAAATGAAAGAGGTAAGCTAAATAAAGATGAATTTGCTGTAGCAATGCATCTCGTCTACAAAAGAATCAACGGTGTCCAAATTCCAACTTCTCTACCCATTGAACTAAAACCAATCAGCTCAAAAATCATTGATGATTCCTTCAATTCTGCTAAAAACTTTTTGAAAAATGCTGGCGCCTTTTCCCAAAAATCAACCCACTCCTCAAATTCAATCTCTTCTGGTAGATACCAAAATAACGATAACGACTTTTCCTTCTATAAAAGCTCAAACAGACATCGAAAAGCAAATGATTACCCTCAAAAAAAAGATCATGACTCTCCTCTACAAATTCCTTCATCTTTATCCGTCGATGAAAAAATATCCGCTTTGAGAACTCGCATTCATGAAAAGGAAATTCTTTTCTCTGCTTTAGACGCAGAAGATGACTATGCATCTACTGAGGATAGAATTGCTCAGAACAACGAACTAGCAATTGTTAAATTGAAATCTCAAATCGAACAAATCCAACAAAATATCAACTCTTATCCTGATAACTCAAATTCAATCTCAGAATCCTATAAAGACGATCTACTAAGAAAACTTAACTCGCTAAATGATAGAGTCCCCCAATTAATTTCAAAAATTAATAATCTAGATGAGGAATTAGGTCGCAAAAAAATTGATCTATACAGATTGAATACAAGAAAAAGAATTCCAAACTCAAAATCTTTAAGAGAAATTTATGATGAAACTTTTTCACTCAAAAAATCTTCAAAGGAGATGGTTAATGATATTCAAAACGATATTAGAAACTATTCAATGAAAATTGAAAACAATCTAAAATCTCTCGGTGCCGGTGATAGTTTAAAGAAAAATATTTCTCACAAATGGGAAACTGGCGCTGGTGTGCAAGATGATGTTAGACGATTCATCAATCTATTTAAAACAACAAAATCTTTTGCTCCAAGAGAATTTGAGCCAAGAAGATCATCTTCAAGAGTCTCTCCTCCCGTTGCTTCAAAACCTTCTTTTGTGAGAAACAACTTTAAACAATCCTCCTCACAAACTTCTCTTACTGAATCCACAATTTCTCAATCAGTACCAGCACCAGCACCAGCACCAACTCCTCCTCCTCCTGCTGCAAATCACTACAAGACTCCAGAGGAAAGAGCTGCTTATATTAAAGCACAAGCCACCAAAAGAATGAATGAAAGATTAGCTTCATTGGGAATTTATCCAAAAAACTCAAAATCACAATCTCCATCTTCATCTTCAACAAATCTTTCTGCTCCACCAAAAAAAAGCAGGGCTCCTCCACCACCTCCTAAAACTAGATCTAATCAACAAGATCCCGTTGTTCCAAAACCCGCATTTTCCAAACCTAAAGTTGAAACCCCTCCATCTCAAATTCAGAACAGAAGTGTCGAGTCTCAATTTCAATCAAAGCCTAAACCTGCACCTTTTCCTCAACCTTCTCAACCCCAATTCAAACCAGTAAATTATTATACATCTTCAGATGATGACACTTCTGACGATGACTCTGATGATGATGAGTATCAAAGAATTTTACTTGAAAAAAAGGAAATGGAAAAGAGAGAAAACGAAAGAAAAGAAAGATTAAAAAAAGAAAAAGAAGAAAAAGAAGAAAAAGAAAGACTCGAGAAAGAAAAAGAAGAAAAAGAAAGAATTGAGAAAGAAAAACTAGAAATAGAGAGACAGGAAAAGGAAAGACAAGAAAAGGAGAAAAAAGAAAATGCTAAGAAAGCAAGAAAATTAGCTAGAAAGAAAGAAAAAGAAGCGAGATTGGCAAAATTGAGAGCAGAAATTGATCAAATGAAAAAACAACAAGAAAATCAGGAAAGATCAACTGATACTGTTTCAGAACCAAGTTTGGTTCAAGAGCCAGAAGAAGCTGCAAGCATCAATTCTCACCACCAAACCAATCCATTTGCAAAGGGGTTTGATAAGCCTACTGTTGCTCCTGTTGCTCCTGTTGTTCTTTCAACTTCAGCTCCAGATCCAGCTGCTTCTCCCGCTGTTTCTGTTTCCATACCCAAATCATCAACTCCTCTTAGCGCCCCAAATACCTCAAACAATCCTTTTTTCATGAATAATAATAATACATCTTCACTCCCTCAAAAGCCTACAGTTGACAAAAACTTGGCGGAAAAACAAAGAATTAATCAAAGAGGTGGAAATGATGACGAGGATGATGATTGGGGTGATGATGATGACTTTATAAATGAAGAAGATGACGAGGATTTAGACAGAGCAAGAGGAAAGAAATTAGCAAATTTGTTGTTTGGAAATGGAAGTTCTTCCAACACTGATGATATCAAAAAAAGTGTTCTCCCACAATCATCTGCAACTCAACTGAACTTTATTTCAGCAAAATCATCGCCAACTCCAAGTAGTTTTGCCACTGTTTCCTCTTTTCCAGAAGTTCCTAATCATATAGCTCAGCCTATAGCTACACCTGAACCTGTAGTTGCATCTGAACCCACGAGTGTTCTCAATAACAATAACTCAACTTTGCATAAAGAAACTTATGATAAACCTAAAGCTGATGGCTATGCTAGTGATTCTGATATTTCTATTCCAGAAACTATAGATTCTGAATCCTTTGATGACGCTATAGGAGACGAAAGTGTTTTTCCTCCTTTAGAAAATATTCCTTCTGAAGTTCCAAGTGCAGTTCCTTCCCCACTTCCAATTGGTTTTCAATCTGGAAATAAAAACAATTTTTCTACAATTGTTCCTCCAGCACCACCAGCGCCTCCTGCTTTTTTAACCCCACCACCACCTGCACCACCTTTAATTGCACCATCTGCTCCTCCACCACCACCAATTCCTTCAAGTATATCATCTGGAGGTCCTTCTGCTCCAAGCTCTTCTGTTCCAAATATCAATGCGTTATTAGGCGAAATTAATCTTGGTAAAAGTTTAAAAAAAGTTCCTGAAGAAGTAAAACACATTTCCAGTGGCGGAAAAGTAGGAAAAGTAGTTTTATAAACATTTAATTGCACTATTTTGCTTACCACTAGTTTTTTACTAAACGATTTGTTGTTTTTAAATTAAAAGTTTTGTATGTTTTTTTAATTTTCTTTTTAATAAATTTTTTTACACAATCATAATTGCTAGTTTAAAGTTTTAAAGTAAGAAAGTTTGTATTTGGGTAATATATAAAACAATATTAAAAGGACTTTTTGCTTGTAAGTTCCATTGCTTTCTCTACTATTTTTTTCGATCCTTCTTTAGCAGATTCAACCACGGCAGGATCTTTTATAATGGATTCTACTCCCTTCCCTATTTTGGAGTCAGTTCCTGAATATTGCAAAGATTTTGAATTTTCTATTCCGGATGCCACAGTATTCACCAAACTTGAAGTAATTATTTGACTGTTCGAATAGCTATGTATTAAATAAAATAACATGGTCATTACAAGACAATGAAGCCCAATACAATAACTCATAAACAACAAGCGATTCGTTTTTTTAGCTAATATACTATTGGCAAGTGATAAAAACAATCTTTCCCAAGCGGGTAGTTTTGATTTGGCTCTCTCTGCTTCCTTTATTCTAAACTTCGATAATGGATGTAGATTATCCTCATAATAATCTTTATATTTATCCAAACTTTCAGCATCGTTGTCATAAATATCATTTCCCGAGTTTGTTAATGTTTGGCTATAAGGATTAGTCGATACGTTTGTCGATCTATTTCTATTTTGCAGACTATAATTTTGATATGATTGCAAATATCTTATTTTTTCATATAGTTCATTATTATCATTTTTAAGTACCTGAACTGTTCTTTTCAAGTCATTTACTGTTTTGTTTGATTTTTTGATTGCTAATTCCAATTCTTTGTTTTTAGTTCTGAATCGATCCCTTTGTTGCGTTATTACAGCTAGCAATGAAGGATCAAAATTAGAAGAGTTATGATTATTTAAATTGTTCAAAAGTACGCCTTCTTTTTCATAACTATATCCACCAGCGATTGATGCAGCAGGAGATATTTTGCCTGTGGATCTACCACCTCTTTTTGAATTCATTATTGATTTAGGAACTCTTGAAATTCCGGAGATAAAACTCATTGTATCCCAACCATTGTTTGCTTCTAAGTTATTATTTTTAGCGGAATTCACGTTCATTAAATCATTTTCTAAAGATTCATTTAATGATTTAAGTTCTTCGATTTCTTTTTTATTATTATTTAATTTTTCATATACTTCATTTATGTTTTTAGTGAGTGATTCATTTTGATTTCTAAACTCTACGATTTCATTGGCTAATTTACGATTTCTTGCGATTAGTATTTCATCTAAATGTTTATCTTTAGAAGAAGAAAGTGTGTTATCAGTGTTCAGGGTGTCATCATCATTATCAATACCAAATTCGATTGTTCTCAAGATATCTAGCTCATTTTTAAGTTCGTCATAATCACTAAATTTTTGAAAGTTTTCTTTCAAAGAAAGTACTTCTGATTTTAGATGACTGTTTTCTCTTTCAAGGTTATTTATTTTTTTAGTGTATTCGTTGATTTGTAATTCAGTTTTTTTTAAATTTAAATTATTCTTAGATAAAATAAATGAATTTTCAGTTTCAAGATCAGCGATTCTATTATTTAATTGTATGAATTGAGAATTAGTGGATATCTTTGAATTCAACGATATTATTTCTTTTCTTAAGTTTTCATTTCTTTTTTCCAATTCTATTACCCTAATTCTGGAAGAATTTGCATCATTGGTGACCATTTCCAATTGCAATTTTAATGAATTTTTAGTTTGAATAAGGTCAATATTTTGGATTTCCGAAGCAGTAACATTGTCAGACAGATTTCTTTTTAAATTTTTCTGCAGAATATCGCTATCTAAATTATTAATATCATTTTCATCGTCGTCGTCGTCTTCATCATCGTTATTCCCTAAAATATTGTTTTGGTTTTTAAGCCTTCTATTTGTAATTTTGTTAATGGTTTTCAATTCATCGATTTTTTTTGCCAATTCTGTGATTCTAGATTGGTAATCGTTTTCTTTTAATTGGAAGTTTCTCTCTTTCTCGTCTAATATAGCTTTGTATTGGTCATCCTTTTCAGTTAATTTTGAATTAAGGTTATCTGTATTATTTTTGGACAATTTTTTCAATTTTAATTTCAAACTATCATAATCACTGAAATTTAACAATTTATTTTCAAGAAATTCATTCTCCTTTTTCAATTTTTCAACCTCATTTGAAATCAAGAAGGAGTCTAAAGAGGCTTCTAATAATGGTTTGGGGTCTGGGGCCTCACTTAATATTTTATACGTATTGAAAAACATATTCTCCACATTTTTATTTTGCCTTGTTAGTCTATCAATCTGCTGCTGATAGGACTTCAAAAGAGGATTGATTTTGCTGAATTTCTTATCATTTGACAATTTTCTAAACGATTTTGTCGACGCAGCTAGATCCTTTCTGGACAATAATAGACTTTTCTGGTTATCTTTTATCTCGACAGCCTCCTGGTCCCAATGTTTCTGTAAATCAGGCAAAGATATCTGAGACCAAACATGCAATGCCTTCTCGAAGGAAGTGCTGAGGGATAGACCAGAGCTTGGTGCAGCAGAATCTGCTGGGGATAGCACAGAGGCCTGAGGTGGAAGAGCAGGCTGCGAGTCTGAGAGGGTAGGAGAGACAACATTAGACGACAAAGCATCAACATTGATGTTAGTGAAGAGCATCTCGTCCAATTGAGCTGGTTTTGTTTCCATCTCGAGCTCACAAAGGTCCAACGTAGTGCTTCTTCTTTTCCTACTTCTCCTTCTTCTGATCTGTCAAAAAAAGCACCACTGTTTCAGAAAGGTCACGTGACTAGGATCCAGATAAAGGCAACTCGTTTGCCTTGAAACAACTGCTTCCTCAAAACCTGGAGTGTAGCAAAGGGCAGCGAAATGAACATCAACGAGTTAAACAACCAGATCAAGAAATGCTCGGAGGTAATAAAGGTTTTCAATAAAGAGAACAGCTCCAACAACGGTCTAGACCAACTGAAGGAGGTTTTGATGGTGAAGGAGAGACTTAGGCAGCTAAATATCCTTAAGAGAACTTTTTTAAACAATGAACTTAACAACCTCCAACTTTCCCAAGCAAATAACAACAACAATGTGGTTTATTCTGCTTTACAAGCTATGAGTCTTTCTCAGTTGAAAGATCAGTATTCCAAGTTACAACTAGTTATACGTCAATTGAATGAAAGAATCCTGCAAACAGTAAATAAAAATGATGAAAACATTCCTCAAGACAACAGACCAGAAATCGCTGCCACTTTGCTTGATTTGCAAAAAAGGCTAGCATCCTGCTCAGAGTCTTCAAAGAAAATATTCAACGAGCTTCAAAGAAGACAAGCACAAAATAACATGTCAAATGCTAACCAACAAGCACAACCACAACCACAACCACAACCACAGAATCAAAACCAAAACCAAAACCAACATCAGAAACCAGACTCACAAGTACAATCTGATACTCAAGTACAATCTGATACTCAAGTACAATCTGATACTCAAGTGCAAAATAACAATCAACAAAAATCCCAAAATCCTAATATTAATTTGTCGATGGACCAGCTAAACCAAATAGATGAAGCAAAAAAACGAACTTTAGCAATTCAATTGCAACAACTGCAAAAACAACAATTACATGTATTACAACAACAGCAACTACAACGAAAACAGCAACAAGCTCAAGCTCAATCTCAGTCACAATCTCAATCTCAATCTCCACCTTTATCACACCAACAACAAACACAGCAAAAACAGCAATCATTGCAGAATCAACAGTCAAAACAGCAGAATCAGACTTTGCAACAATATCAACAACAAAGAATTCAACAACAAATGTTGCAAGCACGCGATGGTGGTGCAAATAATGGACCATCCCAGACTCAACTGTCACAAAACTCAAATCCAAATATCCAGAATAACCTAAACAACCAAAATAACCAAAATAACCAAAACAATCAGAACAATCAGAACAATCAAACAGCTCAGAATAATAACCTAAACGCTTCATCCAGTTCTAGAGCATCTTCACTAGTTGGAAGGAGTTTAAGTTCTAGTGTCAACTCTTCCGCCAATATTAATAATAGAAATAATAATTACAAAGTCAATCGATCTGGATCATCAAATAATATGTCTCAAATGGTAGGTCATAATTCTTTAAACAATAATTTTCCTGACACTTCAAGTGTTATTAAAGAAAAGCTTCCTCCAATTGCTATCTCGGATCAAATTAATGTTAAACCATCTGTACCTGTCCCATTCAAACAACAAAGACCTACAATCACAGCGGGAAATCCAATTACTCCAATCTTGTCTACGCCTTCATTAATTAAAATGGCTCCTTATGAATTACACAGCGATCGTATTTTATCAAAAAGAAAGTTAAGTGAATTGGTTAAAAGTGTTGGGAGTGATGAAGGTGATGGTGAAACTGGTATAGATGGCGATGTTGAAGAGTTATTATTAGATTTAGCTGACAGTTTTATTGTTGATGTTACTAGCTTTGCTTGTAGATTGGCCAAACATCGTAAAGTCGATTCAATTGAAGTTAAGGATTTACAATTGACATTAGAAAAAAATTGGGGCATTAGAATTCCTGGCTATTCTTCCGATGAGATCAGAAGTATAAGAAAATGGGCTCCAACTTCTTCTTATAATCAAAAAGTCAATGGAGTCAATATTTCACGTTCAGTTGATGGTCAATTATAAATAAGGCTTTCTCTTAATTTTAATTGCGAATTTTTTGAAGTAGTTGAAAAAATAAATCGATTTTCTAATTTTTTTAATAAACAGTATATCTATTTAATTTCCTTCTATTACCTCAATAATATATTAATTTTTTTTTTTATTTTAAAACAGATCAACCAAATGACTACACTCACATACTTGAGCAAAATCATTTTCTGTTATGTAAAATAATGTTAATTACAAATCTTCCAGTGAAGCACAAGCATATGAGTAAGTATACTTAATCAACTATTAACTAGTTAATATACTTTTACTGGAGTAAATTAATTGTAAAAGTATAATTTAGTTTCAAGCCAAAAGTCAAATAATTATAGATAAACATAACAAAACAAAATAAAACGAGACAAAACAAAATAAAAAAAATTACCAAAAGATACACCCAAAAATTTGTTAAAAGACAAATTGCAAAAGCAAATTGATAACTATAATACATAAAAATTAAAAATTGAAAAAGTGAGAAAACTAAAAAACTATTTATTCTTCTTCCGAACTTTCGGAACTTAAATCGTCATCAGAAGATTCATCACCTTTAATATTCATTGTTTGACTATTTGTGCCATTAGAAAATTGCTCTCCATCAAATTGTTCAATTTTCTTTTTAAGATTTTCAATTTGTTTATCGACAACTTGACGAGTTCTACGTCTAGCTTTGTTACTTTGAGCAGAAGATCTGCCGCCTCTTTGAACCCTGCCTCTAAGATTGGAGCCATTTGCTTGGCCAATTTTCCTTGGATCGCCAACAACATATTTGTATAGCTTTTTTAAAGTTGGCTCATCTAGACAGTCCATATCTAGTTCGACTTCTTCTCCAGGGTTTGGTTGAGTACTGAGACTATCTTGAATTAGTTGAAGAACGGTTGGAATCTTTTTATCCGGAAGATTAGCAAGGTGAAAGCTTAAAGTTTTTTTCATATCAAAAGACATGTCGAAGTCGTTGTCATCATCAAGAGCTTGTATATTTGAGTTTTGATTTGAAAAGGATTTCTTTGATTTTGCTCTTGGGCCTCCTCTTTGAGGAGCCAAGCTTCTCTTTTTAGCCCTCTGAGCATAAAGCCTTTTTAATTTTTCTCTTTCGGTTTTCTTCAAGGCTTCTAGTTCAGCTTGCATTTTTTTGATGCTTGCAGCAAAAACAGCGACTGTTGGGATTGCATTAACTTCAGCTTCAATGTCAATATCAATTTCTGGATCATCATCTGATAAGATATCGGAGTTTGCTAAAGAGAGTTTTCTATTATTTTCAGGAGGAGTTGAAGGGGTTAAGGGTTTTTCTTTCCATTTCTTATTAAAGATGTCTTCTAGTTTGTGACCCAAATCGTTAACATAGGAGTCAGAAGGATTAAAGATGTAGCAATTTTGGAACATAAGTCTTATATCTTTTTCGAATTCATCAGCATTTTCGTAGGAACCATTGGATAGTTTTAGTTTTATTGTCCCTAAATCCATTGGGTTTTTGATGACGTCAAAATATGTTGGACATTGAGATTCAATTGGATCTACGGGTTTTAGAAAAGGATAAGTGATATTTTCATGTTTTTTTGAGAACAATTCTCGTAAAACTTGATTACAAAATCTTAGTTCATTGGCATATTTCTTTTTTCTGGGTTTGTTATCATAAGTTATATCTTTTGGTTTTGGAGGGTGTATTTCCCTTTTAGGCCTGCCACCACCATCATGAGTAATCTCTCTTCTTATAGTTGGTATGCCATTTGAGTTTAATGGTAAAGTTTTTGGAGATTGCTTTGAAGAGTTTTTTGAGTTTATGTTATTTATTGGGGAATTATTTAGATGATTGGTTTGGTGAGGATTTGAACTGGAGTGGTGGTTATTGTTGTTGATATGATTATTGTGATTGTTAGAAGTATTATTAGTGGTATTGTTATTATTACTATTATTATTATTATTATTATTATTATTATTATTACTATTATTATTATTATTATTATTATTATTATTATTATTATTTGTGCTGTTATTATTAGATTTTCTTCTTCTTTTTGAGGAATTTGGATGTAAAGAGCCGTTATGAGAAGTGTCCGGTAATATAGATTGAGGCATGTTGACCATATATTTTTGGAAGCTTGTTTTAATATTTCTTGCCATTTTGGATATAGGAACATTGATGCCGTTAAATTTTTCACAGTTATCAACCATTAGATTGAAATCGTTTATAAAGTCTATTGTTGATTCATAAGCATTTACAGATAATTTTTTTTCCATTGTTGAAAGATCCATTGGTCTTTTGATATAGTTGTAATAGTAGGGGATATTTAGTTTGACGATGTCGACAGGATATAAAAAGGGAAGAGCATCTTTTAATTTTTTCACATTTTTTATAACGTTTATTGCGTATCTTTGTTGATCTTTTGGTAATGAGACTTCAGGCAAATTGTTCATATCAGGCTCTGAAAGAGGTTTGGGGGCAGGTATCATTTTTGGCTGAGCAGTTGTGGATGAATCCTTTTGATTTTTTTCCTTTGAATTATCAGTTTCAGTTGTAGAGTTAGTTTTTATGTTCGTTTGTTTCGGTTGATCTAGTTTCTGTATTTCATTTTGACCATTAACCAATTCTATTTCGCTGCCACTATCATTATCGTCATTTTCATTATTATTTTCATTACCATCTTCATTATTATTATCGTTATCATTATCATGATCATGATCATGATCAGAATCAGGCTTTATAATTGTTGTTTCATTATTGCTAGACTCGTTATCACTGATGTGCTCAGAAGGGTATGTCTTTGTGTCATTCTGCTGTATTAGTTTGTGCTTTAGTTTCTTTGTTGGAGACTGGATGTGGAATAGATCATCAAGATGGTCTTCATCTCGATCGTGTTTCAAAGGCTCAGGACTCGGAATAGGAGGCGAAAGAGGCTCATTATTGTTGTAGAGAGAGTTGGAAGAATTGGCAGTGGATTTGTCGAGATTGGCCTTGGGAAGGGAGTTCGGCTTGGGGTTGTCAGGCGAGTGAGAGACTATGCCGATATTGGAGTCGTTGTGGATAGCATTGGGTGTGTGATGGAGGTCTGCGATGGAGTTCTTGATGCTGTTGTCGCTTTCAGGAGTTGCAGGAGCTGGGTCTTCCATGGTGAGAGAGAAGTGAAAGAGGAGGGAAAGAGAAAAGGTGCTAACGAGGCCGGAATAGGGTAACCTTGGGCTGTGCAGCAGAGAAGAAGTTGAGAGTGGAAAGAAGAAGAAAGCAAAAGGAAAAGAAAAATGAAAAAATAAATGAAAAATTTTACAAAGTGGCAGGGAAGCAATTTAAATATTTCCAAGCGGCGCTCCTCTGCTTTTTATACAATTCCCAAACGGGGGCCTTCGCTGCGCTCTGCCTCGTGTCCACTCAGAAGGCCCGCTCCAGTCTGGCCAATCACAGCATGCTCTGTCTTTGCCGCTCCGTCACGCGCAGCGCGGTTGCTTTCTGATAGACTTTGCGTGTACTGTGGAGTGCTGCTTTCTGCCGCAGAGCAGGCGCTGATTGGCGGTTGAGTGTGCACTATGCAGCTGGACTGCTCTTAGCAACCCCATTGCCGTCCCGTTATTGCCGGCTTGCTACAGGGTTTATGGCAGAAACACGTGAAATCCACTACGTTTCTCCTGTTTTAGAGGGTCAGACCTGCATCGGGTAACGCAGGAGCCTCACAAGGTGCTTGAGGCCTGCAGCACAAATGCGTCAGGGCCGGTAGAGCCAACCGCGCGTTGGCTTCCCGACATTGCGCTAGGTTTTCGTGTTTGTGCTGACGCGTTGTTTGTGTTTGTCCCGATTGGGCCGCCACTCTGATAACCGACGCTTGCTCAAACCAGAATCTTGATAAGCTCAAATAAAACACATCAATTCGTAAGCACTGATAAAAAACAATTCATATCAACAAAACATCAAAAACTAAAAGCCGGAACAAAAAGAAACCTCACAAAAAACAAAAAATTGCTCTCGCTCACATCAGTGGCTGCTGGAATATTAATCAACAAACCCTCAACACAATTTAGTACACTTGGATAAAAAAACAAATAAAAACATCTCTAATAAAAATCAGGCTCGGTGCTTTTGAGCTTTTCAGTTATCATATTTAAATCCCATCGTTTTGTGATATCTTTTGTTAAGCACCCTTTTACAATGGCGAGCAATCCTTGGTCATAGAAACACGCTTGTTTCAAACTTTTTTCATCGATCTCAGCTTTTTTAATCTTTTCTCGAAGCTTCGGCTCAAAGTTGCTATTGAATGGCAACTGGCCTACAATCATCGTGTAAAGCAATACTCCAAACGCCCATATATCTGCAATTGGTCCCAATGGCGGTGGATTATCAGATAGTATCTCTGGTGAAGCATATGGTAATGACCCGATGTGACTGTGTGGTAGATTTCCCTGGTTCTCGTTACCTGATGAAATCTCCTTATTGTATTTATTATCTGAAAATCTTATTGGTGTCATAAAGTTATTAATTGAGTTATTCATCAATATTATATCACAATATGGCTCATTCAGTCCATTGGCCTTTTCATTGCTTCGTTTCCTCATATTTTGATTACTAGAACTTAAATGACTAGATAATTCTCCCCCAGAATTGATCTCAAATGTCGTCGCTGTGATTGATGGACCATAGTTTTTATCAATTAAAATTGGTGAATCATCATGAACGAAGTGTTTATTATTAATAATCTTAAATAGTCTACTATTGCTTCTTTTCATTTCTGATAAATTTTCTGTCGATGGTGAGTGTGGTATGTTAATCCTGGATTCAGTTGCTGGTCTTGCTGAAAAATACAATACATCTTCTTCCTTAATTGATGAGTTTCGTACTCTTTTAACGTTTCTTTTAAAACTATTATGACTATAACTGCTCTCAGAATAACTCTTGTTAGAGAAAAAACTTCGAACAGAGACAATCGAATTTTGTTTCACTTTAGGTTTTAAATAAAACCCACTCATTCCAAAATCAGTTATTAAAATATGATTATAGGTTTTACTCTTATCTTCTTTATCTTGCACTTCATCAACTAAACAATTCTCCAATTTCAAATCTCCATGGACTATTCCATTATAATGCATATATGACAATCCATCTAGTATTTCAAAACAAAATAACCGAATTATCCTCAGTCGTTTACGAATTGGAAATGATGAATTATATGTATCATATGGCCCCCAATGTGATACAACATCGTACAATGTTCCTCCATATATTCTTGGTGTTATACAAAAAATAGCATCTTCTGTTTCATGAACATACAATAATGGCAAGATTCTTTTATGGTTTAACCTTGACCAAATCCGTATCTCTCTTTTAAATCTTCTTTTAACACTTGGATAAAGCGTGCTAATAATTTTCACCGCTCTGATAATTTGGGGATCTTTAACTAAATGACATTCTCGAACAACTCCCCAAGATCCATATCCAATAATACGATCTAATTTATGTGCAAGCACAATTGCTCCTTTCGAATCAACATTTTCTTTGGTTTTAGCACTTGAGGATCCTGTTTTTTTACTCTTTGACATTGATGAGTTATTCACATTTTCTTTAGTCTCACTGTTTGGATTATTCAAGTTGATATTAGAATTAAATACAGATAAATATTGTGATGCATTGGATTTTCGTTTTTTTATTGCTCCGAATTTCTTTTTCACTAATGGAGCTAATGTTTTATAATTTCCATCAGGAGATAATGATGAAAGTATCTTATTTCTTTGAACAAAATTTAATGATTGAAAGTTTTCAGGTAAGCTGTCTAAAATTGATATATCAATTGATCCAACCGATGATGATTTTTCTTTGAAAAACGGCAATGATATTTTAATATTATGATTTTTTGTCGTCTCATTATTATGAGAACTGAAATTATCATCAATTGAAATAGTTGATAATCGATTTGGTTTATGTACAGTATGAATTTCAGGCGATAATTCTGTAAGTGATGATGGCAAACTTGTTGGTTCGATAATCATTAGTTTATTTCCTTGAATCCCTGATTGATATTGTTTTTGTAGCTCTGAAGAAATATCTCTTGTTATGATAGTTCCATGATATTGAGCAGGTCTCAATATTTTATTATTTTCAACTTCAAGGATTTCCTTGGTTAATCCAATTTTTTTATGACCACCATGTATATTATCATAATTTCGCTTATTATCAAGAACATTTTCAAAATTAGAAATATCTGTATGATAGTTTTGTAAATTTTTATTTTCAAATTTAGGATCAAAATACCTTAAGTCAGAGTAATTTTCTGGTGGACTTTTTGTCGAAGATTGTGGCTGTTCAATATCTGATGCTATATTTAATGTTTGAGAACCATCATTGGGTGAAACAGCAGGGCTTTTATTATCATTAGTAAAAGAGCTTGAATATTTATATTCTACAATTTTATTCAATTTATTAGGATGTTTGAAAGTATCAGGGTGATCGACAAAATTAAAATTTCGGTTAAAAATTGGCTCGATTTTTGGTGATGGAATGATTCCCTCATCGATGGGAGGAAATCCACTTATAACAGAGGGTAAATTATCTAAATTATTTAAATAATTTAAATTATTCTTGGTGGTAGTCGAATTATTATTCTTTGCACGCAATTTTCTTAATTTTGCATTTTTATAATTAAAATTCTGCAATTGACCAAATCTTTCAAATTCCTTTTCATTTGCAAACCATTTCGTTAAATTATCGTTGAAATCTAAACCAGGGATATATTCGTCTTCAAGGCCAATCAATTGTTCAAAATTATGATAGATTGATACAGTTGGATGTAAAAAAACGTTTTTTAACAATGGGTTGTTAGTTGATGGATTATGATTATTTAATAAAGAAATTAACGTTGCATCAGGGATATGAGCTCTTGTTAGTTCTAAATTACTATTATGACTTTTATCAAAAATATTTTTGTTAATTTTAGTATTTTTTTTTCTATTATAGCTTGGGGTATAATCTTTAGAAGGAATAATGGCACCACCATATTTTAAGGAGCCAAAATTTGAGTCATCATCGATAGAAGTTTGATTTTGATTTTGATTTTGGTGAGAAAAACTTAAAGAAAGATAGGCTTGAGCGTAGATGGGTGATGATGCGACTGAGTTTGAAAGTAAATTCGAAACATGATTTTTGTTGCCGTCATTAGTTTGATGATTATTTGAGAAATTGACATTACTATTAATAATATTGATGACATCATCAATATTATGAGGATTTTTTTTAAAATTTAATTTTAGGGCATTTGCATCGGGTAGGGAGAAATACGATGCATCAGAGATTCTACGATAGTTGCCTTGATCGTCCTTTTCTAGAAATGAAAAGGGAGCAATTTCAGCAGGAAAGTCTCTTTCCAATAAAGTAGAGCATTTTCTGATGGGTTGCAAGTCTTCATTGTCTTCATTGTCTTCGATTCCTTCGGTTTCTTCGGTGTCGTCAGTATCATTATTGTTATTATTATTATTATTATTGTTGTTGTTGTTGTTGTTGTTGTTATTTTCAATCATATTTTTATTTTTCTTATTTTTCTTATCATTGTTATCATTGGTGTTATTATTATTTGTAATATTTAAATCAATATTTGAGTCGTTGACATTTTTTTGGAATAGGCTTAGTTTTGATTTAACTTTTGGTTTTGATTGGAATTGAGAAAAATTTGGATTTGAGACGGATCTATTTTTTGAGGATAAACTCGGGGAAGAATTTGTAGAGTTTGAAAAAGAGGATAAATTTGAGGATGAGTTTGAAATAAAGTGATGGTGGTGATTATCCTGGATTAAGCTATTATTTTGATTTTGATTTTGATTAATTTTTTTTGAGTTTAGAAATTTAGTAATATTAGATACTGATTTATTTGATTTATTTGATTTATTTGATTTATTTGATTTGTTTGATTTGTTTGAAATTGGAACTGAGGAGTAATTAAATGGGTCTATAAATGGAGAAGTAGTTGAAATTAGGGAATTTGATATGGCAGGAGAATTAAGAAAGTTATTTTCAAAAGTGTAGCCATTATTATAGGTATCGAAATTTGAGTTGATAAGGTTTTTATTGTTATTGTTTTTAACAGTTTTAGTTTTATTGATTGAATTTAATAGACTTGAATCAATTAGAGAATTATTGATTGAATCATCATAGTTTGAGATTAAGTTATTAGAAAAAAGATTATTATTTCGGTTAGTTGAATAATCATCATTGAGAGGTAGCAAAGAAGGATAAGACTGGTAAGTATTATGATTATTATGATTATGATGATTATGATGATTGTTGCTGTTGTTGTTTATGGAATTATTGTTTGTGTAGGGATTGAATAATAAATTTGAGTCCGAGTAATCCTTTTTAAAGGAATTATTGATTAAATTTGTATTGATGTTTGGGGAGTTTGTATTAGACAAGTTAAAATTGATTTTATCATTTCGATTGAAATTCTGATTGATTGAAGTATTAAAATTCTGATTGGATTTTAAATTTTTATCTTTTTTAATAAAGTTATATGGCAATCCATCCATTAATTAAGAAATTACAAATTCTTTTTTTTAAAAAAAAAATTGAGAAATAAAATAAAAAGATAAAAAGATGAATATGGATTAGATAGAGAATAAGGTAGATTGTGAGATAGATTAATTAAAAGATAAATTAAAATGGTTTAGATTGATTTAGATTGATTAGATTGATTATGTTATTTTGTTGTAGGTTGTAGTTACAAATTAATAAATATTTTGATATTAGAACAGCAAAAAGATTAATATGAATAGTAAAGATAATCGGATTTAAATTTTGAGTGAGGTAAATAGTATTGAAAAGATGATTGTAATAAAACATGCGTCACAAACTTGCAAGCTTTTTTCGTAGATTTCTTCAGATTAAATTGTTATTTAAAATTCCTTAAAATTATATGAAATTCCTGAAAAGTAGTTAAAATTAGTTGGAATCAGTTAAAATTAGTCAATTTTTTTGTAGATATTCGACAAGTTAGTGAAGTGGGTTCAGATCAGTGGAGATTAGTTGAGATTAGTTGAGGTTATTCGAGATTGAAAGGAACTATAAATTGGCAATGAATCAGACATGAAAAGCAGTGAAAATAGGCAGCATAAAGGACGATACAATTGGGCAAATTAATAAAAAAACAAGGTAAAGGACAATTAGAGAAGCGCTGATGAACGAAACCCAGAGACAGCAGAGGAAGCAGAAGAAGAAGCAGAATCAGAAACAGAGGCAGAAGAAGCAGCAGATGTGCTCTTTATATGTCGAGTGTCGGCGCTTAGCTCCCTGCGTCATGCCCCGCACCGGCCGGCTTCGGAAGTGTACACGTGACACTCGGTCAGAAGCAGAGGTTGCCACCAGCCTCAGCTTCCTGTGCTTCTTCTTCATGCTGTCTCTGCTGTCTCTGCTGCTTCTCTTCACCACCATGAACTCAATTGCCAACCGCCTTGCCTGCGCCGGTTCAGAGCGTGCTGCTATTCATGACCAGAGCTTCTTTTCCAACTTCAGCACCAACAATCTCGCTGCTTCCTTGTCGCCATCCATCGCCCTTCCGCCAATATCGCAACCCACAAAGTTCCTCAGAGCCAACACCGACGACAGCGTCAATCCAGATGTCAAGATCAAGATTGCCCATGGTACCACCACTTTGGCCTTCAGGTTCCAGGGAGGCATTGTTGTAGCCGTCGACTCCAGAGCCACTGCTGGAAGCTGGATTGCCTCTCAAACTGTCAAAAAAGTTATTGAAATCAATCCCTTCTTGTTGGGAACCATGGCTGGTGGTGCTGCTGATTGTCAGTTTTGGGAAACATGGCTAGGTACCCAATGTCGATTGCACGAGCTCAGAAACAAAGAAAGAATATCTGTTGCTGCTGCTTCCAAAATCTTGTCCAACTTGGTTTACAACTACAAAGGCATGGGTCTCTCAATGGGTACTATGATCTGTGGTTACACCAAGAAAGAAGGCCCTACTATCTACTACGTCGATTCTGATGGCACACGATTGAACGGTGACTTATTTTGTGTTGGTTCTGGTCAGACTTTTGCCTATGGTGTCTTGGACTCCAACTACAAGTGGGAATTGTCTGTGGACGAAGCTCTTCAGTTGGGTAAGCGAAGTATTTTAGCTGCCACCCACAGAGATGCCTACTCTGGTGGTTCCATCAATCTCTACCATGTTACTGAGAAAGGTTGGAAATACTATGGCAATCACGACGTTGGTCCTTTGTTCTGGGAAACAAAACAGGCAGAGGGTTCCTTCAACAACGTTGTCACCTAATTTCATTTCCTCTCCTTGCTCATTTGCTCACTCCTCTACTATACTACTATATATCTGTAATTGAATTGTAATAATTTGAGACCTTCTGTGTTTGCTACCGTTCGCTATTCTCCAATTCTCCACGAAATCTCTTTCAAGCACATCTTTCTGTGTTCGTCTATTGCCCGTCCTGTTCGCAAACAGCCCTTCATGAAAAAAATTTGTTTTTATATATATTTGTTTCTCTGGTTTTCCATCACAATCATCACAATTATCTCTTTGCTCTCAATATCTATATATCCTTATAAATATATATCTAATCGATATCTGCTTTCCTTTAATAGTTCCAAATCTATTTCACATCACAATTTCCACCGATATTCCTTCCTCATTCTGCCCCATTTCTCCTTTTTTTGATTATCGTATCCTATAATTACACAATCACCATATATTCCTCACAATCCTCTCTTTATCAATTCTTCTTCAATGAAATTTACTCATATTTTTTACTTCATAATATAATAGAAGGCTCCAAATATATCATAACCTCATTAATAAATACCAAATCATAAAGTCTTGCTTCTCTCCACAAAAATCAAAAAACAAAAAAATGGATGATTCAAAAATTCAAGCCTATGCCCGATTAGATTTTGATGGTTTCACTTTTTATTTATTAGCTCTACAAGTTATCTTGGGCAGAAATATCGACCAAAGTAACTCTCACTCTGTCGATGTTCATTTAGGTACAAAGAAAGTCATCAGTAGAAAACATGCCAAAATCTTCTATAATTTTGGTAACCAAAGATGGGAATTATCAATCTTAGGCAGAAATGGCGCCTTTGTTGATGACGAATTTATTGAAAGTGGTACAACTGTTTCCTTACACAATGGTAGCAAAATTCAAATATGTCAAGTTTACTTCTCCTTCATCTTACCAAATACTCAGCCCAATCAACCCAACCAAATTAACTCAAATGACCAAACCAGTCAAATCAACTCATCCTCAATTGATACTCTTAATTCGAATACTACAAACAACGATATCATCTTTCCAACGATCTCTGATATTTCTAACAATGACCTACTTCAATCAAATTTATTACTAAAAGACAATAACCAAATACTAGACATTAACAATACAATTAAATCTGATGGTAAAATTGATTTGAAAAATCCAATTGAAAATTTAAATACTCTGGATATGTTACTGAAAACCTCCACTTTGATATCTCAGAACTTAATTGAATCTACCAAAAACGATATTCATAATAACGATACCGATACCGACTCTCAACCTTTCTACTCTAAAATTTCAAACTCAATTGTAAAATCAGAATTTGATCCCCCTTTAATTTCTTCAATAAGCCTCCAAAACCCTTCTTCTCCCATCTCTGCCGCTTCAAACTTTTCAATACTGAAAAAACAACCAAATAATATTTCCTCAAACAATAATAAGCTGTTGGATATTAAGAATAATAGTAACAAAAATACAAAATTGAACATCAATTCTAAAAATTTATCTAAAAATATAACTAATGCAAATAATAAAATTATTTCAAACAAATCAATTATCAACAACAACAATTCAAACTTAAACTCCAATAATACTATAGCCAACATTAACAAAAATATTAATATTAATATAAATAATAGTTTTATCAATTCTAAATCAAATCTTAACTCAACTTTAAACTTAAATTTAAATTCAAATTCAAATTCAAATACAAATACAAATACAAATACAAATACAAATACAAATTCAAATCTATTAAAAAATGATAAAAAATTTACTTACCCTATATTAAATAGAAATTTTAATAAAAATAGTCCAATTTTTGATTCTACAATCCCCAAAATAGGTAATATCGATGAAATTATTCAAAATTTAAAAGTAAATAATGAAAGAAAGAAAAATAAATCTGACGAAAAATCAAATTCAATCAAAAATAAAGATCAATCAATAATATCAAACTCAAAACAAGTCTCAAATTCTTCCTCAAACCAAAACTCAACCACAAATTTAAATATAAATACACTCCAGAAAAAGAAAATAGTGAGGCCTAAAAAAACTTCCAAAAAGGAATACACAATAGATGAAATTCCTCCAGAATATCGTTCAAGACCTGAGGGTTCTTTTTCGAATTTTATTGCTCATTGTTTAAAAGCTCATGGTAGTCCAAAGGAAATGTCTCTAGCCGAAATTTACAGTTCGATTCAAGAATTATATCCTTATTTTTTCTACTGTTCCAGTGCAGACACTTGGAAAAGTTCTGTCCGTCATAATTTATCTCATAATAAAGCCTTTAAAAAAATTCTAAAAGATGGTAAAAAATCAATATGGGGTTTAAATGAAGAATATTGTGCTGAAAAGGAAAGACAGAAAAAAAAACAATCTTCTTCAAATTTAGAAACAAAAAACAATCCTACAAAGATAGAGCAACCAAACTTAATTCAAAAAACGAATCAACTTCAATATAAAGACTTGAAATTTGGCTTAAATTCAAAGTTTAATATAACTAATATTACTAATGTTAGTAATACAAATAACATGAATAGCATAAATAAGAACACTAATCAGAATAATCCAAATAGTAATAATAATAGTAATAGTAATAATAATATTAATAATAATAATAATAATAATAATAATAATAGTAATAGTAATAGTAATAGTAATAGTAATAGTAATAGTAATAGTAGTATCAGTATTACAGAGTCCTCTAACAACAATAATGGAAATACGTTCAATTATATTGGTAATCTCAATACAATTGCAAACAACAATATAAATAATAATATAAATGAAAACCAGATCAATATCAAGAGTTTAATACCGTCTATAAGGAATTCTAATATTAATAACATTAATGTTAATAAAATTCTTGAAAATTCAAATAGTCAAAGAAATATGAATCCCATTAATTTTAATAATTCGATAAATAAGTCTTTGGATCAGCGACAGGAAAACACAAATAAATCACACAATTCTACTCAGAGGAATAATGAAACGGTTAATATTTCAAAAAGTTTACAAGCGTTCTCCACTAATTTTAAAACAAATATAACAGGAATACCCATGAAAACCACCGCAACATCTTTACTAACAAATGCATCAAATCAAAATTTGAATTCAGGATCAAACAATATTCAATTAAATTCACAAAATAAATTACAAAACAATTCTAATAAATCTTTCTTAAGTGTTGGAACAAGCTTACAAAATAATTTGCTAGCTAATAGACCGCAAAACCAAATCCATTCAAGAATGAATACTAATAAAAGTTCTAGGGTTCCTATGAATGATAATTACAATAACAACAGTATTAAAAAACATGCAGTTCAACAAAAGTCTTTACCTATTGATCCAAAATCGATGAGTTATTTGCAAGCAGAATTGATGAGACTAACAAAAGATTTAAAAAATCTAGATTATGAAACTATCAAACAAATTATTACCAAATCATTAGCTATTACAATTAATCAGGTAAATACAATAGGTAAAAATAAGGGAATTAAGGACCCATTGAAAACGATTATTGAGAAAACTCCTACCAATATCACAAAAATTTTATCAGTTGCTTTGCAACAAATTACACATGAAGTGACAAATGGTAAAGTGAAATTTCTGCCTCCCCCTCTAACAACTTCGAATGTGAAACCTATTATAAAAAATAATTCCAATCCATCTCTCACAACATCAAATAATAGCTCAAGAACAAGAAACTATAATGGAAATAAATTAAAACCTTGTTCAATTCCAATAATTCCTTTGAGCAAGCAGATCAATCCATCTTCAATTCCATTAGTTAACACTCTGAATAACAATTCAAATATTAAAGATTTTCCAAATAAGAATATTGTAACATCAAAATCTGAACAAATCTCTGACATCAATAAAAATAAAACTAATGGCATTTCTATAGATATCAAAAAATCTACCTTGGTTAGGTCTCTTGGAGATGTTACTCAAAGAAACTCAATTAACAGCCCCTCAGAAATTTTGCCAAACCTCAAAGTTTCTGAAGTTGTTTCAAAAGCTGGAGGTATATCAGGAACAAACTGCAAGACTGAAATTTATAAAAATAGTATTATAGGAAAGGTTGAATATCAGAATCAACCAGAAACTTCCAAAGCGTTAACCACTTTAATAATTCCTAAAATGCCCCATAAAGGAAAGTTTGGAAATTCAGAAAATGAAGAAGGCACTCAACCTAAAATTGATTTAGAAAACAAAATTGCCATAAATCATCTGAAAACATTTGATGAAATTGGAAAATTAAAGACAAAAACAAACGACAATAACAAATCAGAGGCTTCTAAAAAAGAAATGAACAAAAATGGGATTGTGAATAATAAGAAACAATCTACCCAGGTTGAAAAACCCGAGAGTACAAAAGAAATGGCAAAAGTTCAAATAAATGAAGAATCAGCAGAAAAACAACAACAAATTTTGAAAGAAAAAGAAAAAAAAATAGATAAACAAATAATAGAAAATCACAATAAACTTAATAAAATTATTAATCAAACTAACTTATCAGATAATTCAGTTGAGGCAATATCAACTGAAAATATAAGTAATAAAACTAATTCTGAAAAATCAGTCAAGATAGTGAATAATTGTAAAATTGATGGAGATTCTAATTCTGATAAGCTTTATGAACAGATTGATATTGAAAAATTTAACTCGGAGGTTCATTACTTAAATAAAGTCCTACAATCTATTTCGAGAGATGGGAAACCGATAGTTAGCGATATACCGCCCTTACCAACAGTCAATTACAAAGAAAGTTTGCCATTAAATATTTTAGCAATGAGTCCCAAGAATAGAACGCCTTCATTAATTGCGTTTGAAAAAAAATTGGATAAAATTATGGCAGGCGAAGATCTCGAAATATTTTCGGAAGATGAAAATGCAATAATTGATGATGAGGAACCTAATCATATTTCAAATTTAACAAAACCAAAAAAATTGGCTGTAATTCAAGAAGAAAAAGATGTTGAAAAAGAAAATTTTCCCAATAAAATAAATTTTAAATTGGAGGTTGATCCCAAAGCAGTTAATGCTTCAATTTTGCAAGACACAATGAATAAGAAAAACAACGATGCAGCAGTTTTGGATAATTTTAAAAGTAGTGAAAATATTTCACTATTAAAAGATACCAATACAAAATTGAAAACTAAAGCGAATAATGATAACAATGAGAAAAATCCATCTGTTACATTTGAAATAAAAGAAAAAAAAACAATTTCAGAATCGTCAAAATCTAAAATGAAGAAAGTTGAAGAAATTGAAACAAATAATATTGAAAAAAAAACAAATACCGAAAACAAAACCAAAACCGAAAAGTGCCACAATTTGCAAGCCGTTAATAAATCATCATCTTCTTTAAAAACCTCTAGCAAATCAGAAATTCGCAAAGGAAATCCAAGTGCTCAAAGTGGCGAAAATAATCCAAATAACCCAAACACTGAAAACAATAAAAAGGAGGTTAATGACAAGAGTTTAATTTTAAACAACTGGGGGATCATTCAAAACAATGGTGGAATTCAAAACAAAACATTCTCTGTTATTAATAATGATAATCTAGTAGAGAATAAAAACAATGAGGCAAATCAAGACACTGAATTAAAAGTTAAAACTGAAAAAACTGAAATTGATATGGTTGCTTCTGAAACATTGAAGAAAATAACTGCAGATAGTTATGTTTTTTCAATTACCGAAAATCATGAGATTGAAAAAAAAGTAACCGAAAATTTTGGAAATGAAGTAATTAGAAAAAAGATTAACAATAAAGTTGAAGAAATACCTTTAGAGAAATCCAAAATAGAGAATTTTGAGAAAATGGATATAAATATTTCTGAAGAAAAAAAACTAATAACAAGAGTAGCAAAAGAGGCTTCTTCAGTCGCTAAAAATTCAAGTGACGAAATAGACATTGCTTTAGACATGGAAAATTTCGTTGATGTTGCTGAAGAAATTGAAAAGGGCATTATTGGAGTCGAAAATGGGAAAAAAATGAATCATCGTAAAAGAAATAGAGATAAAAATGAAAATGAACAATTAGAATTAGAAACTACCAATAAGATGCTAAAGATATAACTTTAAATTTTTGTATGGGCTTTTATTGATAGAATTGTACTATTAGATATATTAGATTTAATTTTAGTTTTAAAAGGTATCTTTATTATTTTTTTAATTCTTCCCAATTTTGAAATAGAATAAAAAAATATAGTAGTATAAGAGAATTTATCGTTCGGAAGAATGCCATGATTCTTATTGATCAAGCCGAGTTATGGGTGAGAAACATAATTTGGCATGAACAGCAAATTGATACATATGAGTGATGAATAAAGGAGAACCTTTGATTGGTTTAAAACCAATTTCAAATGTGATAATTCTTTTGAGTTTCAGAATTAACGATGTACTTTGGCTTATACTATAAACCGGTAGAAAAACCCAAAGAGTTATTATAATTCTTTCATTCAGTTGAACTGATATTTTCAGCAGTTTTAGTTTCGATTTTATAGGGAAAACGAAAATACATGGTCGAAAAGAGGTAGTATCAAATTGTGTTATTCCACTAACACATGACTTTGTTAGGTAATACACTTTGTCTCAGTTCAACAGGTTTCGGCCCCAAATCGTGCGTTAGCCACAAGTACTAATTTCCCCAAATTGAGTATCTGTTTGACAATATAAAAGAGGCGGAAGATAAGAATAATTATAAGAAAAAAGAATCAAGAAATAAGTTTTAATATAAATAGCTAAATGCATATTATTCACCAATAATAATATATAGACAGAACCCAGTAATAACCAAAGACTTGTGTTCTATCCTAATACAGAGACTTATTACAAAATAATGCTCATGTGACTCGTGCGTTACGAATTAAAACCTGACATAAAAAATTCCAGGAATATGATAAAGGAAAGGATTTAATACAGAAATATTGAAATACACTAATAGGCATATCACTTTTGTTATAAAATAATGTCGCTTCCTCCTCAGGCATTACAAAAGGTATGATATATTATTAAAAAGAAAATGGATTAGTGACTGAAAGTAACCGCAGATATTAACTGTAGTTGAATAATTGCTGATATATATTACAGCTCTTGGTTGAGATGAATGCGAATCTTCGTAAAAACGAAGCTGATTTACAGATGGTTAATATTCAATTAAACAGGAGAAACAATTCATTAAAATTGAATGAGCTAACCACCAGCGAATTGAAAAAGGATAAAGTTGATACTGTTTGGAAAGGATGTGGTAAAATGTTTTACAAACAATCTAGTGAGAAGTATTTAACAGATTTAAAAATGCAGGATGATAATTTAAAGGAGCAAGTGAATGCATTGAATAAAAAGAAGGTGTATATTGAGACTACCGTCAAAAATACAATTAATGGAATGAATAAAATATTTGGGATTGAAAATTAATTAAATCAAGAAATTGTGATAAACCAATATGAACCGTATATAGTGTTCTCTGCTACGTTTAACACAGAGATTCTTTTCCACACTTGCAAGAATTGCAAATTTTCTGAGCTATCGTCGATTAGCCCCAACTTTTTAATGGTAGTGAAATTGGTTCTTGATCTACGGTTTTCATCGAAATAATAATTCTCGTTACAATTGCTTAATTGGGCAAATTACCTAGACAAGAAGTTTCAATATCGCTGAAATAACTAAACATCACAAGAACTCCATCATCTAAAATATTGTAAACTAGTCGAAAGAGCTTTCCGAGCTATTCGTCACCTGTTCCAGCTCCATTAAAAAACACATAAGCCTTCGCCCTTAACCCAAGATCCATTAAAGGCTCACGGCGACGTTCTGTTTTTGTTGTACGAATCCATGCTTATATGTTAAGGTGAAGAAATATCTAAGAAGAAAGTTGAGGGGACGTCAGCCCCCTTTTATGGGGCCTGGGTTAGATCTTGATTCGAGCCCAATGGTCGAAGAAAAAGAAAAAGAATATATTTGATGTATTTTTCGTTTAAGCGAACCGATGTATGTCGGACTATTTATAGCGAGAGTTATCCGTATCCAAGATGCGGATAAATAACGTACGGATGAGTAACGTACAGATGAAATAAGCGATCCACACAATCTCTAATAATCACGTGAGAAGACCGATAGCATGTGCCACGGCCTAGGTAGAGACCAAATCTGGAGATCCAAGCGCTTTGCATCAGCTTTGCATCAGCTTTGCAACAGTTGCCTCAAGGGTTTCAAAGTTTTAATACAAATTTTTTATTTTTTTTGGTTAATATTCAATTTTCACTAAAAATAATTGGAAAGTTGTTTTTTTGTATATTCAAATTTATATTTATATTACATTAAATGTTTTATTTTTTGATTTTATTTGTCACTTTTTTTATTTTGAACGGTGTTCTTTTTGTTGTTTTTTTCCGTTTATTTGCCCGCACTTATTTGAACCATTTTTTCAGAGTGTTCGCAGCCGAACTTGTGTGCACGCGAACTTGTGCGCATGAACACTTTCCAGTACGAGCGAATCGCTGCTAGCAATATGAGGGAATCAAATATTTTTACATTCGATTCCATTTGTTTGAGTGAAATTGTCTTTTGAAGTACTGTATTTTTCAGGAAAATTTTTCCTTTTAAACAGAAAACCACTAGTATTTTAAAAGTTTAATGAAATTGCTATTTAAAGCTAATATTGTTGAATGTGAGCAATTTGGAAGATTTTTAATTTTTTGAATCTTATTGGCTTGAAGATGTAATTATTCAATTTTGATAAAGTTTTTGCATCCGCCTATCTTTTCAATACAATTTATCACTAAATCTAGTTTTTTCAAATTTGTTGATTCAAATAAGTCTTTAAGTTTAGAAATTTGGTTATATAAGATATTTAGCAATTCCAAATTATCTACATTATTTAAATTTTCAGTATTTTGTATTTGGTTCGATTGTAAATCTAATTCCTTCAGTAATATGAAGTTACAAATGTTCACAATTTTCAAAATTTCATTATCATTTAAATATAGTTTATTTAGTTTTGTTAAATCTTTTAAATTTGTTATTCTGGAATTTATGTTCCCAATTAGATTGAACATTACTAGGTTATTGATTTGATTTGAATCATTGACTTCTAAAACTCTATCCAATACATGATCTATATCACTCGATAATTTCAATGCTCGTATTTTCATCAATTTCGCAATCTTCTTGAGCAATAAATTCAAATGCTTTATTCTTGACCAGTGTCAAATATAAACTTTTGTTAAATTCATAAAAAAATTTTTTCACTAAATTCAGATTGCTTCACTCTTCTGGTAGTTTGATGTCTTTATTATCATCACCATAAACAGTCAGTTATTTTAGATTAGCCAATTTCTTTAGATTTCGTAGACGTTTTAAAATTGTAAGTATTGTTGATTGTTACCTGTACTTCTTTGACATTATTTGATTTCCTCAAAACATCAATTTTTAATTCATTCTCGTCTCAATTTGAAATATTTCAATTGGGGTAAACCAAATGAGATATTAATTCCTTTCAAATCAGCCAGAAATAAACCAAGAATTTCTAAATTTGAAAATGTGAGACATAAGTTTAGGTTTTTTTTCCCCAATATATTTATATCTAACCATATTAAGTAAGCCAATAATGAAAATTTTATGATTGCGTCTGGGATTCTTAACTGCGATTCCATGGACCGCAAGTTTGGTAGTTTTTCTAGGCATTTTATTGATCTTTAACTCTGTATATATTATTTTCTTAGAATGTCAATAGTGTTAAATAATCCATAAAATCATTTGCAAAAACCGTCAAATTGTGACTTGATGAATTGAGATTCTGCAAATTGAGACATAGCTCTAAATCGGGAAAGTTTACAAACCGATTTCTGGAAAATTTGAAGTAAGCCAAATTGTACAGCTCTTTCAAATCATATTATTATATAAAACATTGTTGGAAAGATCAAGCGATTTAAAGTTAGAAAGAAATGGAAATTAGATGATTAGCTCGATACCTAAGCAGACAAGCATAGATGTTTTAAATTCAATAATATAGAGTTGCCAAATTGTTTGAAGATGTTCAATTACTTTGTAATATGTTGTAAAGAATAAAACTTTGTTCTTAGTTTAATCCGAATTGTTTGTAGTAGTTATGGTTATATGGATGTATTTTTTTCATGAATGCCCGAAAAATTTTCCATTTGGTTTGATTAAATGAAAATTGTCGGTTATAATCTTGCATGGTGCTTCTAGCATCAAAGTTGGTAATCAAACAATCACATATAAAATTAGTTTTAAAAAAATTCAATGCAATCATTTGCTCTAAAGATTTAAACACTGTAGGAAGTCTAAAATCACACTCGGACATAAAGTTTAATGATACTTCAGTATTCATAATCAAGTGCTTTATAAAGAAAAACATTTGATTTCTGAACAATGAAGTTTCATTAATTTGTAAAACTAAATGCTTTTTTAATTGTGGGGGATATTGATTTCGTATAATTGACACGTATTTTAATGGTAATCCTTGACCAATAATCTTAGTTGTATTAAAAGGCACATAATGAACACTAATTTTTAGTAATGGGTTGTTTGATAATATAAAAGGAACCACCTTGTAAATTGGTATATTGTACAATATATGCTGAGCCAGAAACATGGCCAAGCCATCTAGTACATTTAGAATATATTGAATATTTTTCTTTCAGAAATTGAACAACTGAATCTTTATAAATTATGATTGACATCTGCTATTACTTGAAATAGCGCGAAATATTCTACTGTTACTTTTTGCTTTATACATAAAAATCAATCAAGCTGCAATTACCGGTACTATTGATTTAGCCCACACGTACATGCATTCTGTAACAGTTGCCGTTTCCAGTCAGCAGCTTTGATTGTAACACCTTATTTCACAGAATAAAATTGTCTCATTAGGTCTAATCATCTTGGTTTTCTTTTATTTTAAGATTCATTAGCCCGAAATTAAACTTCATAGTTGAATTATTTTGGATCAGGTTGCAAAGATGAAACAAATTAAGGATGATTATGCTTTAATTGAACTCAACAAAAAAGTTGATAATGATTTAAAAGTATCCCAGCCCAATAATTCAAATCAAACCAAAATTTTTCATTAAAACTCTTGATAGTACCAATTATTAAATTTTTCTCATAAAATCTCTAAGTTTAAAATGAAATTTTAATTCAATTTATTTTTATGACAGTAAACTTAATATTGATCAATTTTGTAGTTTATCATTATCTTCTGTTGAATTAAGATCAGGAAAACCACTTGAAATTGGAACTTGATTTAATATAATAAAAAAGAACTTTCAACTAAAATTAGCAATCAAATTATTAGAATGAAAATCAAAGGGATCTTTAAAAATCAATATGATACCAGCAACGACACTCGGTTAAGACACTGAATTTTAGCTTTCTATCTAAGTGAAATTCATTATCAGCAGTTAAGATTGAAGAGAGTGAGCAATTCATATCAGCTACAGTAGATATAATCTTTTATTCTAAAAAGGATGATGAAGGAGGGGTTGAAAATGAAATGTTTGCATATGCATTAGATAAGAGCAAACAAAATAAAGCTTCAAACTTTCATCCAGTTGAAAGTTTTGATGTCGCAAAATATTCTTTCTCAGTTTTATTTTCTGCTACCAGAAATTTCGGTCCAATGAATGCTGGTATTTCAAAATCAGTTGCACAACCAATCTCAATCAACGATGAACCGGTTAATAATCTTGGTGAATTTGATAATATAGTATATGGCAAGCATTTTTTTTTGAATGGGAGAAGATGATTGATAATTTGAAACAGTGTGAAAGTTTCAGTAAATTAAGTGCAAACAAAAAGTTGGTTCAGTTGGTTAAAAGACAGTAGATCAATAGGTGGTTTATAATTCGTTCTTTGAGTGTTTTAAATGAGTTGGTAAACTACTTATTGTTATTCAGTGGATCAGAGGAGATATTTCAAATCGATGTGGTGATACTCACAGCTCTTGTAATGAAGTATATTTCCACTCAACTCAGTGATGTAAAAGATCTCTGAATGATTATTTTGAAAAAGGAAACGGGTTTTCTTGAAAAGGTTTCTTTTGGGGAAGGCCAGAAATTAATTAATAAAATCTACCATGATAATATATTAATTTAATTATCTTAAAAAAAGGGAAGATGGAGTGTAAGATTAAAATATTTAATTATTAAACTATAATATTGGAAAATGGAAAATGATAAAGGTAACATAAAGGTAAAAAAATAAAAAATAAATGGTAGAAGGCAGAAAATTTAAGTAATTAAGTTACTATAATAAATGAAGTTACTATTATTGGTATATTAGTATATTAAAATGTTTTTGATTTTAGTTTTTTTGATTAATTTTTTTGCTTGGATCTATGAAGATATTTAGAATTAAACCGCACTATAACCACCTCTTCTACCGCCAAAGAATTTTGAAATGACTTCAATTGCAAATGAAGGTAGTTCTTTAGCTAACTCAACCATTGTATCAACAATTTCATGGAATGCATCACTTAAATCCGTCGGGTAGCCTCCTCTTCTTGAAATGGTTAACCATGCACCACCGATTATATAAGCAGCAAATAATAGAACTAAGAAAATGAAGGTCCAGGTAAACCAACCCCAAGATTTATCATCATCATTATTATCTGAACCGTTTTTATCTTTATCTTTATCTTTATCGTTATTATCACCACCTCCATTATTTTTGGAATTAAAACACGCGACCGATGTTTTCCAGTTTATGTTTAAATTGTGGTAATCCCAAGTAATTTTGATATTATCAGAATCTTTTGAATCATCTATATTCTTTGAGCAAATGAAATTTAAATTCGAATTTATTGAATTTGAACCCCACGAGGCACCACGTAAGCTAAGAGTTAGATTTTTGTTGCTATCAACATCGTCGTTCTTGTTACTATTATCGTTATTGAACTTATAATTTGGGGTGATTGAATCTGGGAAGGAAATTATTTCAGTCTCTAAAGGATTTTTGCCAGGCAAAGAAATCTGTTTTATACCGCAGATTTGAGAATTCTTGGGACAATGAGATAACAAGTTGTCGCCGGTGGCATCTTTTGGAATGTCAATTGAGCCACAAATGTTTATGAACCAAGTGAAGTTAGAGAAAGAAGGAGGTGTGTCGTTTGTGATGGAAAACTGGTGTAAACCTTTTAGTTTATCAAAACTCAAATCTGAAGGCAATTCCTTGGAGGAGCAATCAAAGGCAAGAACCGAGGAGGCAAGAAGTATGGAAGAGAGCTTGATGAAGCTAGTGGAAACTATCATGGTGGAAGAAAGATCGCTGTTGAAGAGGCTCACAGTGGTGCTGGTGTTGCTGCTGCTGAAGAAGTAGCTAACAGCAGTTCTTCCAACCCAGCACAGGTAAAATTTTAGAAGCCGTCGAGATTCTGTTGCGCGGGTCGAAGCGGCGTTGGCGGCACGGGAGAGTTCGCGCGCGAGCGGAGATGAAACGATAAGATAAGGCGATAAGATAAGAAGCACAGGCAGCAAAAGCAGCACAGGCAGCACAACTAGTGCGAGCCAAGTAGCTGCTTGATGGCCAGGAGCTTTTTGTTTAGGAGTGTGGCGTCGACGAGATGGTCGATCAACTTGGAGGGAGAGAGCCAGGTGTTGAACTCCATGAGATACAAGAAGTTCAACTGCAACCTGGTGAGCTCACTGATGCTGATTCCTCCTATTTGGCAGAAAAACTTCTTCTTGAAATTGAGATCCTCAATGAGGTTCAACGAGATGTTCAAGCTGGTTATGATTATTCTAAAGACGTTATTTAAAGTTACTGGAAAGCTCAACCCAAATCGGGTGTAAATCAAGTTGAATATAAGATACGAGGTTGAGAGGTATATCGTTGGTGAGCATTTTAAAAACCTGTTTATTCTTAGCAAGTAGCTTTTTATTGTGATACTTGGTGGTTTCTTAAGATTGAACATTTGAAAACATTTTCGATCTTGTTCAGTCACTATTTTGATGGGATTTTTGTTAGTTATACCTTTATTATTATTGTTTTTGTTGTTGTTACTAAGGTTATTGTTATTATGTTCTTGTAAGTATAATGTCTTTGTGAGTGAATAATCTCTTTTATGAAATGGCTTTTTTAGTTTAAAATTTATATCACTATAATGCTCGCTTAGATTCAAATCATTTGTCTTATTTTCGTTTTTGTTGTTTTCAATCGAATTTGGCAGCTTGGAATATATGTCAAAATTAAAGTTTGAAGTTTTAAATTGTATTAAATTATTATCTTTATCTTTTTTGATATTATATAAATCAATTAAATTATTAATGGTCAAAATTAAAAAATCGATCGAAAGTTTGGCATTGAATTTTTCATTTATTATATAACTGATTAAATTTTTATCACTTATATTGTCATTTAAAATCTTAAATAAATGATCTGTGTTATCAAATTTAATTGATTTTATTTTTTCGATATTTTCTTCGGAATAATTAAATGGACCATCACAATAATAACCATCCTTTTTCTCATTATTATTATTATTATTATTATCAATATTATTAATATTAATATGATTACTTCTATGAATATTGTTACTGTAAACATCAGAAGAAGGAAAATCAAATGATGTGTAATGCCTTTTTAATGGCAATGAATCAGTTGAAACTGATCTTAGATCATCCATAAGTTTATTTGACATGATCAAGGTTGGCATTTATTTTGAAATTAAATGATTGTTATAATTAATATGATTGCTATTATATTATAAATGACACTAATCTTAGTTATCTGGATCTAGATTTCTATTACGATCCTGATCCTGGTTGTGATGTTGCTTATGTTTATGTTTATATTTATGTTTCTGATCTGGTAGCACGAAATAGTTTATAAAAAACGGATGAAACTATACCCTATGTATTTTATGCAAATTGTTCCACAATTTTATTATTAAAGAAGAATATCACTGATAGTAAAATAACCGGAGCATAGTTGGAATTAACAATAAAGGGGATAGTTAGTCACTCTTTAAAATTAATATTTCTTTAGGAATACCAAGCATGAAACTGCCCAATTTATCTAGTTATACAGGATCAAATATACGAATAAATGGAGGAATATCTGCTCCAGTATACTTGAAATGATTCCTGTTTAAAATAATTTTAAATTTAATTTTACTCATTTCTTGTTTTTTACTCTGCAAATTCTCTGCGAAAAAATGAAAATCTCCATCGCTGTTCTTTGCGGCTTTCGAGGTCTTCCGAGTCGGTCACGCTTCCGGTTACACGTCAAAATGATCACGTTTTGTCGTATCACGTGACCTGAAGCCTGCAACGCGCACTTCCAAGGGCCTAGAGAGGGTCTCGGTTATTAGGCCTTTGTCGTCAAGGCCTTGGGGAGAATTGAATGTCATCTCAGTTGTATTGAAAATAGTATTATAAATGCTGGTGGGATATCTTCAACGCACTGTCTAATCGGTGAGATCTTCCCATCCTGAGGGTCTCTTCAACTTGTTGACACTAAAGTACTTGCCGACGCAACTGTAGCCCTTCCATGTGAAGTCGTCTTTGGGGTTGCACAAACACCTGTTTTGGTCTCTGATGTCTTTGTCTGCTGGACAGTTATGAAATGGAACATGGTAATAACCCAAGTCTCCAAAGAAATGAATCTTGTCTCTAGGCAAGAACAATGCTGCAGCAATTGAATGGACTGGTGCGTCACCCCATCTTTCATAAAAGAATCCACCGGCTTTATCTAGGTGTTCGAAATATTTCAAGTATGCATCGCTTCTCCAGAAACTCAATGAACCAACTTCAAAATTAGACCAGAAATGACAGCCATTATACGTGTTGCCATTATCGTCCGAGATAAAATCTAACATATTATTTTCTGGTAAATATTCAGGATGCTCTTTTGTAAACTCTCTTGTTGTCTCCCACAATGTTGGAATAGTTTCTTTATATTCTGGCAATGAGATTGTGAAACCATAGACTTTATTATTATCTCTCATAAATTTGAATATATCATAATTAATATCACAATATATTTTGATACTAGGTTCTACTCTCCAATACCATTCATAATCTTCCATTAGTTTATGTCTGAAGAAGAACCCAGATTCATATCTACACATATGTCTGTATGAAATTGAATCCCCGTAAATAATTTTTTTCTCTTTCATTTCCTGTCTAACTTTTGCAGCCTTTTCGGTATCGATCCAACTTGGGAATCCCCATTGGTCCTTTTCAATAAATCCATATTTTGTTGTACCCGAACATAATGATGTAGTTACTCTTTTAAATTCTTCGGAAAATTCATCATCATTAAGGAAAACCCAATCGTAGTGAAATTTATTATTAAATCTATCTTCAACTGCTCTAATTGATTCGGCTAAACTCCATAAATCGGAATTTCTGGCCAATGTCACAAAAGTAGCTTTTATTCTATCACCTTCATCAACGTTTAAGGCAGGAGCTTTGATTTTTTGGTATCCATCTGGGTCAGTGAAAATTTTTTGTGGATCATTGGCATTGGAACTTGTACTTTGAATATTACTACTATCTTTATTATTTATCAAGCTAATGTCGTTGTCATTATTCTCAACCACTTCACCTGAAGCTGATCCAGTTCCTGCAGCCAGTGATTGGCCATCGGTTTCCTTCTCAAGTGGTAATCTGGAAATATATGCTGTACCTGATCCCTTTGAAAGTATAAATCCACAAAGGATTAAACAAAATGCAAAGACAGCAAATCTAACCAATCTTGCTGAATTCATTGTTTGTTTTATAACAATATAGTATAATATAATATAGAAATCCTAAAGAGCCACTATATTACAGTATAAATGTATAAAAACCAATCAGAATTGACACAGAGAATATAATATTGAATTCCAAGTCTTATTGATATAAAAAACAGTTGAAAATAAAATCGAATTGAACAGATGTCGCAATATTTCACTTTTGTTTCTGCTAAGCAACCAACACATCACATGAAATATATAGCCTGTGATACTTCCGACCTGAAACTGTTTCTGCAATCAGATGTTGGATGCTTGAGTGCTCTGATATACGCCGTCATGCTTAGCTTTCACGTGAATAGTGGTTAGAAATACCTTTTTGACACAAATCATTCTCGGTGGAAATTCCGGTCTGGTCGGATTCACTGCATTTCGGCTTTATTTGGCCGGTTTTTAAGGATGTTAGTGCTTTTGTCAACTCAGAAGAGGATTGTTTTTCAATAAAACATAAAAAATATAAATTAAATAATTCATTAAAAGATTTTCCAATAAAGTAACTCCTTCATCTCTCGAATAAAAAATTACTTTACATCCAATGAATGTATCAATTTGAGCCTATTATACTTTCTTTTGGGGACTGATCCGAATAATCAATTTGTTCTTTAACAGTATTTTAAATAACTATGATTGTTGAAGTATTAGGTGACAATTTAACAATTGAATTTACATAATATTTTCAAAAAAAAAACTATTCAATATTCTACAAACAACAAAAATTATTAAAGAAGAATTTTAATTTTCTCAATGGTGAAACCCACCAATCAAATTGGTTTGAATTTACAGTATAAATCACTTTTAATAGCTGCTGATCTAACCAAAATTGGTTCTTTTATTGAATTGCAATGAGTTATTACAACTTTACTAATCCCCCTTATTATTTGTATCTGCTTATTGATTTCGAACATTAGCCCCACTTCTTTAAATGACATTAATTTATTTTATCTTATCTACACTTCTGAGTTTTTATGGTTTCTCTTTTTTATTTGGTTTTCGAAAACAAACCAATAATTTGACAGGTCTATAGTTTGGTTCTGTTAGAAAAGAATAAATTCAATCGTGATAATCGAATATTTACCTGGGAATAACCTCACGAATTGAAAAATGCTTTCAGTGAAAATAAAAAAATGCGCCACAGCGTTGTGTTTGTGTCGAGGTTCTCTTATTATTTGAAAAATTGAAAAATATATATTATTAGTGTTTCGGCTCAATTATATTTTTCAAAATCTTTCAAAATCTTTTATGTCTTCAGAGAATATCATTGCTACTATCTTAAATTTCTATTTTATAATTGACTTGGTGCTTGGATTGTTAATTGATTTGCTACCAACAAGTCCTACAAACATTGTCTCATCTACAGTGACAAGAGAAATTTCGTTAAAGGAAATGTCCAAACTCAAGAAACACTTCAAATTTTCTGGTACAAAAAATTAATAATAATCATCATGATTCCCTTTAGACAATCAGAAAACTCAATCAAAAGGGAAAACAAAATAAAAGAGAGAAGCCAGAAGATGGTTAATGAAAAATAAAAAAATTTGAAAACTGATCCAAAAATGGAGCTACTTTGACCATAAACCTCCATTTACTGCCATCTCTCAGGAATTACCATTATGTGATATAAAAATTTTTTTCAGGAAATATATCAACAATCTGAATTAATCAGTTGCAACCCATAGTGATAAGGGTCCTATAATGCAGCAGGAAATTACTACCAATTGATCTGATGAATAGCCAGTTTGTCATACTATTTCTCATTTAAACACCACAAATACACCAGCGTCTGATTTACCAAACAATAGCATTAGCATTATAAATGAAATTAAAAACCTTGGAGTATTTCTAAATTTTATAAGATATTGGGTCAATGGTGATTATGCTTTATTAAAAGCACGTCACATTTTGGTGAGAAATTTTGGATTTAGAAGTATTTAGTTGATGATTATTTTCTCGGCTTTCCTTGAAATAGAACTATCTACCTGTGTTGAAGTTTTTGATTGCTACATCATTCCCTTTAGCTGCTGTTCATATTGGGTAAACATTAAAAAGAAAATTATTCAATTCCCTTTTCAGTCTTAAGATTCAGTTCCTTCACAGTCAACAATTTACAATTATCGTCTTTTCGTACTGAGTACTGAGTACTCATCTCGTAAATCATTCATCCAATTTGTATAATCGACATAGGGAGCACAACCTGAAATGCATACTCGTTTTTCAATATTAAGAAATCAAGTGAGAATTGCACAATTTATTTCAGAATAAGTAAACAATGCATGCAAACCACATTTCCTTTCTTTGTTCAAAAATTTAATGAAAAAAACTTTTATTGAATTCAATGAAATGGTATTTCTTTATTTGAATGGTAAGGTAAGGACTTCCCAAAGGTCATTGCATTCAATTAATAACATTACTACTCTAACGGAAGTTTTGCCCATAATCGTTGCCGATCTTAATTATACATCTAAATTCATTATATATAAATTTCACCATCTCTATTCTATTTATGACCATATTGGTCAAGCTCTAAAGTGCTTTTCATGGGTTTCCCTTTTAAAAAAAATGGATCCTAGGCTCCTATTTCAATTTAAACCTGTCATAACCATTGAAACATTGAGAACTTTGTCCAGGGTAAATCTCAAAAAAATTCCTATTATTGAGCGCGATTCTGTCTTGCCGACTAGATTTATCCTTTTTAACAACTCTATAGAGTTGAATGAATGTGGCCAATACGAAGTGTTATATATTTTTATATCATTGAATTTCGATGAATTTCATCGAAAAAGTGGTTTCAGTGCAATTTAGCATTTTTCTCATCCTTTATACTTTTAATAGGTTTGTGCTTTAGTATATAGCTTTTACTTTGCATTATTTCTTCAATAAACGTTTCTGGAAAATCCATTTGCCTACAATATCTCTCTTAGGAAATGAAAGTTATGCAATTTTGTGCAAAGAATAACTGTAAAACAGTATTAAAGCCAAAGTTGATAAATCACCAAACCAAATTTCAAACTTAGAAAAATGAGAACTCAAAAATTAATCGTTGAGCTAATGTGTTGAGCATCCAATATGAGTGAAAATCAGCATAAATAAGAGAAAATTAGTAAATCCAAATATCTTATCTGAATTGCAAAATAATATAATAATTTATTAGGTATTAAAAGTAGAATTTCAATAGAACTTGATCAAGGATTTTATTTGATGTATGTTATATTTACTTTTAATGTTCCATTATTAATACTAAATGAAGAATTCCCATTTAATTAATCTATAATGAACAATTACTGTTTAAAATTACATAAAGGGCCCAATCAAATGATGATAGTTTTGAGAATCTCTAAAAAGATTTGAAACCAGTTAAACTTTGTGTTTGTTTAATGTTATGCAAACCTGTTGGTTTATCCTGTCATTAAGAAATAAAAATGAGCACTTGAGGAATTATAATGATAGAGAAAGATCTCAATTGGTTAGTTGGAACTTTTTTTCCAAGCAACATCAAAGAAGTTTAAAACAATCTGCAACATTTCCAATTGATTTCCTTCCTGTCGATAAACGATGCCATCGAAAACAGACCACACTTTTAGCAAATATTACAGACCATAATTAAACCAACCACATCGAAATTTTCGGAAAACAGTTTTAAACCATATAGAAAATATTGCAATCATCAGCCTGATAATATAAAGAATAGTGTTTCCATAAAGATGAAGTTGATCACTTTCTGGGATTGAAAGATATTTCAAAGAGATTTCAACAAATTGATTACTTCACTTCAAGTCGAAATGAAATTAAATATTTTATGTTTCTTTAATTTGGGAATGCTTTATAAATCTTTTTGGAAATAGAGTTTGTAATAAAATATATATTTTCTATTATGTTATTGAATTAAACAAATTTTTTGTCCAAAACATCTGAAATAATGTCGTTCTCACGATTGCAGCTATCTACATTTTAATGAAATGATTCTAAACCAAAATTATCTACAACACTTAAAGATATTTAACAGTCTATCAAAAAATCCAATCTAAAATATTAAGTTATTACTTTTTAGTTTTTTGTCTACAACCACTAATTTTATTTTTGTTAATTGGTTGCTGAATTAACCGGCTCATCATTGTCATTTGATCATTTTGTTCTTGTTTTTTTTCACAATTTTATAATAATCCAGTTTTCCAATTGGAATCTAATCTCAAATTTAATCTCGAAGCGACTTCAAAACCATTTTGAAACATAGTAAACTTTTCTTTGTGAATATGAAGATGGGACCTTGGCTAAATTGACCGTGCATATTCAGTACCATTTAAATGTATGTGCAGCTGCCAAACGTGCATATAAACGCATGCTCTGTTTTGAACAGAATTTTGATTTCTAGAACTCGAGAACAGTAAAAATTAATGGCAAATATATGTAATTAGTATTATGTATATTAGTGCTAGACATTGGTAGACATTGGCAAGTATTAGTTGGTGTTCATGGAAATGAGATCTAATTGAAAAGTATCACAGTGAAAAGTGTATCTCATATATCAACATGCTATATATTATATGTTAATTTTAATAATAAATTGTGAAACTAAATTATAAAGAAGTAAATGTTAACATAAAATAAAAATAGTAAGCCTCTAACTAATTATCGCATCTGTATGCCTAGATAATAAAGAAGTGAACAACAAAAAATAAACATAGTATCTTGAAAAGTATAATTAGATTTATAATTTGAGATAAAGTAAAAAAAAGCACAAACACAGATACAAACCAAAAAAAATTGTAATAAAGCAAAACAAAACAAAACAAGACAAAATAAAATAAAATAAAATAAAATAAAATAAAATAAAATAAAATAAAATAAAATAAAATAAAATAAAATAAAAAAGTAAAATAACACATAAAGTAAAATAAAATAAAGAATTAAAATAGATATAATTTTTTTTATTTTTTTTGTTTTTTATTTTTTTCCAGCTTTTTTCTCTCTTTAAAATTCAAACATTTGAATAAAATAAAATAATCTTAGAACATCTCGGAATATCTTAAATATTTTAGCACAAACACAGACATAAACTTATAAATTGCATAATATTATATGAGAAAAAAAAACAATTTCAAAGTTCAAAATTTAAAAAGAAGTTAAATCTAAGAAATAAATTCCATAAATGATTAACGGGCCCCTTGAAATTCCTTTCTTTTGAAATTTAATAAAGGAGCTAACCCTGATAGAGGACATGCTTTCTTAATGAAATTTTGCGTTAATAATTCCTCAGCTGTAGCCCTTCCACGAACGTCAACACATAAACAAATTGATAAAAATCGTTTAATACTATCACTTAAAACCACGGGATTTTTTAATCTTGGCGTACCGTTTTTAGCAATTAAATACAACGCTCTTAAATGATCCTCATCTAAATATGGTGGTTCACCTTCAATCATTTCGATAATCATAATACCTAATGACCAAATATCAACTTTTTCATCATATTGTCTCTGTTTAATAACTTCAGGTGCCATCCAATAAGGCGTACCAACAATAGTTATTCTTTTACTCTTTTGTTGGGTTAGTTTAGCACAATACCCAAAATCAGTAATTTTAACATTGCAATTAATATCCATTAATATATTATCTGATTTGATATCACGATGAATAATGTGTCTTTCATGTAAAAATTTCAATCCTTTAATAGTTTCTAATGAGATTGAGGCTATTTGTGGCTCAGTTAATTTGGGGTTTTTTTCAATAATATCAGTCAATGAACCACCTTCCATATATTCCATGACAACCCATAATTCGAATGTTCCTCTTAAATAAGCTTCTACATAATTAACAATATTTTTATGATGAGAATTTTTCATAACTAAAATTTCATTAACAATTAAGTCTTTCTTTTGTTGTTCTGCAAGATTCATTTGCTTGATTGCAACTTTAACACCATTTCTTTTTAAAGAAGAGGCGAGATAAACACTACCAGATGCACCTTGACCCAATTTTTCAATCATATGGAAATATGGTTTTGGATCAGTATTGTGAACAATTGACCGTAATTTTATCATAATTTCCTTTTCTGATAATGTTGACATTCTCTTTTCATTACTTAATTTCTTTTTTTTGCTGTTCATGTTACTATGGCTTTCAGTTGGAAGTGGAGCCAATTCTTTAATAGTATCACCAGTAGCAGCCTTTTGGTGTTGATGGCCCTTTTGAGAACTAATTTTATTATTATTAACATTAGCAATTTTATTTTTTTCGCTGATACGATTAGCAGAATTTAACGGTTTAATCTTGATATCATTATTAAAATTATTATTATTATTATTATGAAGAGTGATGACGTTGTTATTAGTAGTTGTTTTAACTAATTTATCACTTTCCGAAGAGAATTTTCTTATTGGTTGAGAAGTTGGAGAAGCGAATTTATTTAGTTGTAGAGGACTAATTGGAGTTAAGTTTGCGGAAGGATATTTTGAGCTACCACTATCAATTTTTTGAGAGTCTTTTTTCTTTTGGGATTGTTTTGAAAAATCAGTTTGAAGTTTCAAAGCTGGCTGTTGTTGTGAAATAGGAGGGGCGGGAGCATTTCTCATTGGAACCAAGTTTCCTTGAGCTAAATTTCTTTGAGAAGAGAAATTTGGTAGAGTATTTGAATTGTTAGTTGGAGGAGCAGGTGCTTTTCTAACGGGAGTATAATCATCAATTTGACTTATAGATTGTTTTGATTTTTGAGAGCGAAGAGATTGAATTGGAGAAGATTGTTTTGACCAGTCATCTAATTTTTTATTTAAGCCTTGAGATGGAGAAGGAGCAGGAGAAGGAGGAGAAGGAGCAGGAGTGGGAGAAGAGGAAGAAGAAGAAATGTTTAAATTTGATAATTTATTAGAAATGGGAAAGTTATTCTTTTCTTGATCATTTTCATTTTCTGAAGTATTATCAGTGAAGAATTCTAGAGCTTCTATGACAGCTGTTGGATCATTTGATAGATCTTCTTCAGTGATCTTTGAAGATTTTAATAAATTTTTCCAAACTTCGGGGAGGCCAATGATTTTTCCACTGACAGGATCAAAACCGACATGAACTTTATGAGTAAAGTTAGTTGGACCAGACACACCAATTGAAGATTTATTTGGTTCATAGGTGCCATTGATTTGAGAAGGAGTTGATATACCTCTGGGAGTATTTAAATTTGAATTGTTGGCGTTAGCATTAGCGTTAGAGTTAGGGTTAGAGTAAGAGTAAGAGTTCGAGCTGGCGTTTGGGGTATTGTTGAAGTTGTTAAAGTTGTTAAGATTGTTATTTGATTTCTTTGATAGGATTGGTGGCGTATTAAGAGATGAGGGTATATGAGTAATTTCGGGTTTTTTGTTTGCATTTTTAAGAACGTCAAGCCATTTGGTAATTTCCGAGGCCGATTTACAGGAGAAAAAAAGTGATTTTTCGACTATTGATAAATTGTTGTTGTTGTTGTTATTGTTGGAGTTGTTGTTTGAGTTTGAGAACAGATCAGAGCTGACAAGATAATCGTAAAATAATTGAATTGAATTCAGTTTTGAATTTGATTTGATTATATTTTTGAGGTGGTAAACTTTAATTTGAAATAGGATTAAATTGTCGTTATTGAAGTAATCGATACCATCGATTGTACCATCGTTGTGGTTTAGATCAGGGTTTGAAACGTTGGTTATGCTTATGATGCTATTGTTTGAAGCATTTTTTGTGATTTTGTAAAAGATCAAGTCTTTGCGGGTGAGGATAAGGAATTTCTTTGACCATTTAGCGAAAAGGAGACCATCTTCTTTTAAATAGATATAGCCCTGGTGGATTATGGAGGAGGTTAGGGGTTTTAGATTTATTGTTTGGGCATTTATTGGGGTCATTGGCATATTGGCGATTGAACCTAAAGATAAGTCGAGATTGTTATTTGTGTTGATGTTTATTATATTTGAGTCATTCGAGGTAGAATTGATGTTTGTATTTGAAGAAGAAGAGATGTTTTGAGTGAATTTTAAATTTGAGTTGCTTTTTAAAATGATATTTGAGAAAGTAGTTGTGGTTGAATTGTAGGAGTTCTGTTTTGAATTTGAATCCGAGTTTGAATTTGAATTTGAGTTTGAATTTGAATTTGAGAGTGAAGAGGAAGAAGCAGAGTGAGAATGAGAAAGATTTAAAGTGGAATTTAAGGTCGAATTGGAGAATGAATCCGGGATTGTATTATTATTGGATGGAGGCTTGGGGGCTGGTCTAATTGAATTGGAAGAAGGATGGGAAGAAGAGTAGATTGAATTTGAATGGGACATGGACATCGACGTTGAATCTAAAGAAAGAGTGGAAGCAGAAGATAGGTGGTAGTCAGGAGGAGCAACATAACCTCTTTTAGGGTCTAAAGTTGGAGAATAAGTAACCAGAGAAGAATTGGAAGGATTTGGTGGTTTCATTGAAAGAAACGATTTATCGTAATCATAATTCATTTTGAAACAGCAGAGAATGAAAAATGCAATGAGAATAATAACAGATCAGTAACAATGAGATGTAAATGAGAAGCAAATGAAAAGTTGAGAAGTAAATGAGTAATAAATGAGTAATAAATGAGTTTTAAATGAGTTTTAAATGAGTTTTAAATGAGTTCTAAATGAGTTCTAAATGAGAAGTAAATGAGATTGAAATAAAATAAAATAGAACAAAAGTAAAATAAAGAGAGAATGGAAAGTTTTACGTGAAAATAAAAAGAGTTTAAATGAGATTAAAAAAATTGTATGAGACAGAAGTAAGATTATTCCAACAGTGCGTAATAGCAGCTGGAAAAGAAGAGTGGAATAGGGAAAGAAACAAAAAAGACGAGAGCAGTGATTAGCCAGACCTTTCTTCTTCCACTGCTGCCTTTGCTGTTGCTTCTGCTGTCGTCGGTGCTTCTGCTGCTTCTGCTGCCTTTACATCGAAGCCCACTTCTGTGGTTTTTTTCACCTTCTCAAATCCAAATTCGCGCTTCAAACCAAAACGCCAATCACACGTGCCAGGGGCGGTTAGCATCTCTGTACCACCTTGGCGGGATCGTTGTTCATTGGCTACCATGGTCCATGCCCGCGTGTGCCCGCGGCTACGTTCGTTTCCGCACGCCCAACATGTTAACCCGCTTTCGTTTGAGTACGATGGTTTTGCGCACACGTCTTCGCTCTGCTTGCTCAGGCTCTGCGCCGGTTCCGCCGATTATGCTAAGCCCGCTTTGGCGCTGCCGGAATAGCTCCCGGATAAGCTCGTCCTCGTGCTCTCCCAGCCTTTCCGACTGCTCACCCACATTGCTGGCTCCAGTGCTGATTGTGTTGTTTTTGCTGTTTTTGCTGCTTTCCTGAAGCTGCGTCTCTGCCGCTGCGTTCCGCTGCAAAATGGAGCTCAACTCCTCCTGTGCTCGCTGGTTTTTTTCGTTTTCTCTGATTTTGTTTTCCAATCTTTCAATTGCACTGTCGTTTTTCATCCCGTTCTTCTCTTTGCTCATGAGTCTTTCGTTTTCCTCTTTTTCTTCTTTCTCCAATCGATCCAATGTTTCTTCCAAGGTCTCATCTTTATACACCTCTGTCTTGTTGTTCTGTGGGACATAATTTCTCTTGCCCCCCACTTCCATTATATAATCACCACTTTTAGGATCTGTCTTGTACTTGATTTCATTATTACATCGAGGACATCTAATACATAGCTGATAGATCTTGATGTTTAAATATCTTTCATTTGTAACATGTTTTTTAGCATTGAACTTTTTCCCCTTGTGAATAAACTCAGAACATTTTAAACAACTTATGGTAAATGGCACCATCAATCGAACTGTTTGAACATTACTGTTGTTGTTTTTCAATTTCTTGCCCAACTTCTTGCTTATATTCTTGAATTCATCTGGGTTAAAGTCCTTTGGATAATATTTCTGCACACTTTTACGTTCTGACATTTTAGTATTAGTATTATTAGTATTATTATTAACAGTAGTAGTAGCATATTGATAACAACAATAAGTCATCCAGCACAAAATAAAAAATAAAACATAAAAAATCATTACATAAGCACTCGCCAGCAAAACGGATCCCCCCCGATCCATCTATAAACTTTAATTTATTCCTATATATCCACTTTTATATATTCTTCTTCATTATCCTTATTATCTTTGTTATCTTTATTATCGTTTATAAAATCATCTTCATAAAATAAAGAAATCCCTGTCTTATGACGGTCTTTAAATATATCAAACTCATTTCCTCCATAAAATTCTTCGTCAAATGATATATCACTCTCACTCTCACTCTCACTTTCAATATCTTTATTTCTATTTTTATTTCTATTTTTGTTTCTATTTTTGTTTTTAGCTTTGGCTTTAGCTTTATTTTTTTTATTGTTTTCTTGGATTTCTTCATCTTCACTATCTAATATAGTGATTCCAGACCCTGAGTAATCTCTGTTTTTCTTAAACAAATCACTCTTTCCTTTAATAAACTCCTGGTTTTCAATACAGGAATTTGCAAATAGTTCACTTATATCATCTGGAATCGTATCTAGTTCTTGTATACTTAGTGTTCTATTATGATTCATATAATTATTATCATTGCCATTATTCAATTGAATATAATTATACCTGTTTCTATCCATATTCATGCTCCTGTTTCTATCTTCTGAAACCGCATCTCCATTTCCATCTACTAATGGCCCATGAAAATGGTTCTTTCCATATACAACATACAACAAACTTATAAACATCAATGTCAAAACAAATATCAAACTCGTATAGTTCATTGTAATAAAATTAACCGGGATCCTTGGTGGACACGACAATACAATTAATAGAAAAAAAGACCAAAACACCGATAAAACATTAATCATATATCCCAATGATCTTAATCGAAAATAACTGCCTTTTAGCTTAACTCGTTTATTTAATATCGACGATAATATTGGCAAAATATTTGAAACTGTTAGGCAATTTATAGCCGAACCCATAAATGCATTGAAAGCCGATGTAGAAAACAAAGAAAAGATTCCACTAGCTATCAATATAATAGTAGTTAAATAAATCCCATTTTTGGGAATTATACTATAGTCACCATCTCCTTCTTCATCATTCTCGTTATTATTTATCGAAACTTGGTTCCAAAATTTAGAGAAGGGAATCCCGTTATCTCTTGATAACGAATAGACTGATCTTGATGCCACTGTAAACACTCCAATTCCACCGATTATTATAGTTCCACAAATTAATATAACAAATAGCAATGTAACTATTAAAGAATTTGATGAAATCTTAAATATGACCTCAATTGGTAGTATATTACTCTCTTCATCTAACAACAAGGCTAATTCCGGTAGGATCGTTAATAGTGGGATTATGAAAATTATGCCCGTCAAACCTGCAATAATAACAGAATAAATCATTCCCTTTGTTATGTTCTTTTCTGGGGCTTTAACTTCATCAGACATTGAAGGGATTAAATTGAATCCTTGAAATGTGTATGCACCTTGCTGAAATCCAATAATAAATGCGATGGGTGCTGGCCAACCTGATCTTGATGAATCAAAGCTTGTGAAAATTGATTTTAAGTCATTAAATCTTGGTGAAAATATCATTAACAATATATCAATGATTAAAACTGTATAAATTGTCCAGTAAATACAGACTTTATTAATCCTGTCTAAATGTTTTGAAAATTTTAGATTAATGATTGCACAAATTAATACTAACAAAAAAAATACAAATAAAGTTACTAATGAATGAGGATGATAGGTTGTATCAATGATACCAAAGATGGATAGAATGAATTGAGCACCAGAAAACAAATTTGATACACACATTGTCCAATTGCCTATTAATAATAACCAACCGCAATAAAAGGATGTTATTAGATTATATTTTGAATTTGCAAAAATATAAGACCAATGATAAATTCCACCAGCAGAAGGATATTTTCCGGACATTTCACCTAGGGACATTGCAACACATAAAGACATTAGAAAGACAATTATCCAGCCGTAAAAGATTGTTACAGCACCACCATCTATTAGTCCTGTATACATTGTTGTTGATATACCCAAAGGAATTGACATGACAGAAAAACTTAGGCCTAAAATTGAAGGCAAAGTTAATTTACGATTCAATTCTTGTTTATAATTAAAGTGTTCAATTTGTTGTGGTTCATCAGTTAGAAAAAATGTGTCGACTATAGCTTGGTTTAGATGTGCAGTAAAAGGTAGAGAAGTTATATGACTGTCATTATTACTGCTATTGTTGTTGTTATTTGAAGTAGTGGGAGTATTTAAAGAACGAGAGGATAAAATAGAGGATAGAGAAGACCTTGGTGATATAAAAGGGTTTTCTATATTATTATCATTTATATTGTTATTATTTAAAGTATTATTTAAGGTGTTATCTATATTGCTATTTGAATTATTATTTGAATTATTATTTTCATCAATATTTTGCTGTAGAACAGTATATTTTGGCATTTTATTGGAGTAGTTGTTAATTATCAGTATTGTTTGATATAGTGGAGTATACCATCTATCAAAGGAGATATTTATGTATAAAAGATAATTGACTTTAAAGAATATTAAAATCAACTTTTGCTAACAGTTTTGCTGTATTAAAGAGGCTGATTGAGTCCTTGAGTGGATTGAATTCTTGAGTTGAAAAAGTAATTTTATTCAAGTTGTTTAAGTTGTTTAAGTTGTTTACGCTTTTTTTATTACAATGAATACACTTAAATTAAAGCAAAAAATGGGCCATGGACCATGGTATTTGAAACACCAAATTGTTGAGTGAGGGCTGGGGAAGATTTGGTAAAATACAAAATGCTACTTCTTCCTCATCTTGGAGAATTGCACAAGGCAGTTTGTAGAACTTTTCCACGAAACTTTATCGAGGTGTTTAGGGCACTAAGGCACGAAGGCATCTACTCGCCCACTGCTGGCTATTGATTTTGCGATGGGTATTCTTTATTATCTCCAAGAAATGTATTGGCTGTGATATCTGTGTTTGTAGAAGCAGCTGTGTGTTACTTGAAGGACAACTCTACTGGCAATTATTAGCGTATCAACACTCTGATGGCTTTGATATTACGAGATGGGCTTTTGCTTCTCTCCACTGCTGGGTTTGTGTCCACTGAGTCGTCCCACCGCTGTGGACTCTCCGGGACAGGAGCCCTAGGACTCGAAGTGAAGTTCTCTTCTCATCCTTCAGCTAGTGGATCGATGGTACTGGTGCACCAGTAATCCTGCACTCGCTGAACAGTTGAGAATATTGAGAGCAGGGAGGAGAGTGGTATTTGCACACAACATCGCTAGGCAGAATGTTCAGCAGAAGCATAAGAGTGAGCGCACCAAGACCATCTATTGTCCATGGTCTACTTCGTTGTCGTAAGCTCCAGTATGGGGTTACTAATAACATCAGCATTGATACCAGACTATACTCAACAAAACAACACCAGTCGAAACCACTAGAGACCAATGCTAGGAGCGAGACTAACCGCCTTGAAAAAAGCGCTACGAGATTCTGGGAAAAGGTGTCGATGCAAGAGATCCCTGATCCAACCAATGGAAATGCCAAAAGGTATATCATCAAATTAGACAATAAACACATCAAGACACCCTTGGGAAATCCCATTGAATTGCCACACAGCAAGAAAACTTTAGGTTTGCTATTGGTCAACGAATGGAAGTCTTTACCAAGTTTGAAAGTTAAGCCTTATCAAGTTCCATTAACCAGTATAGTCTCTAGAGCAGTTGATTTACTGAAATCGGAATCTGAAAACAATAAAGAAGATCAAGCCAAAATAGGCAGAAGAATCGATATTGCAAACGATTTACTAAGATATTTAGATACAGACACATTACTAGTCTTTTCCCCTTCTGAAGAGTTTGAAGGCGGATTAAGAAAAGAACAAGAGGAGACCTATAGACCATTAATCGAAAGTATGGAAGAACTATTTGCTAATTATTCACAAAACCAAAATGCTGGTCCAATCAAGTTAAACTATTTGGATGTTGAAAAAGATGGGTTAAGAGGAAACCAACAATCCGAAGAAACAAGGCAGGCTGTTTTGAATTTCTTGGATGACTTGAACATCTGGGAATTTGTTGCCTTGGAAAAGGCAACTTTACTGTCCAAGTCGTTTTTGTGTGGAGTTGCTGTGCTCAGACTCATGAACAACGACCAGTTCAAGAACCTTAAACAACCACTACACAAAAAAGTGCACTACACCATCGAACAGATTGCAAGATGCGCCACGTTGGAGACAGTGTACCAAACAGACAGATGGGGTGAGGTCGAGGATACCCATGATGTCGACAAGGTGGACATTGTCAGAAACTTGAGCTCAGCTGCCCTTGTCGCATTCTCTCCCCATTAACTGCAACTGATTCTTACGGCTGGATTCTCTGTATATAATAAATAGAATCATAAATAGAAACGCAATAAATAGCCCGGTGACAAATCTCCTCCTGGAAACTCGAACCAACCAAATACCCTCAGCCAGCTTTGTGTGAGTGCAGGATGCTTACCTCAGCGCTGACCAATGGTGGATCTTCCAGCTCTTTTCTCAGCTCTGAAAGTGAAACTTGTCAATTCAAGCACTGAGCTGAATTACCACAGGATATAATACAGAGTCGTTGAGCTGATCCAATTAGCCTTTACCTCTTTACCTGTTTACTTCTCCAGATACCTCTTTTCAAATGGTTGTTTTAGCTGCTTCTATATGTACTCGTGGCGGTAAAGCCATCATATCCAGACAATTCAAAGGCCTATCAAAAGATCGTGTTACTGCATTATTAGCTACTTTTCCATCTTTATTATCTGAATCAAACGCAGCCCAGCACACTACTGTTGAAAATGAAACCGTCAGATACGTTTACCAACCATTGGAAGAATTGTACATTGTCTTGATCACAAATAAACACTCAAACATTTTACAAGACATTGATACCTTACATTTGTTCGCTCAGACCATTACCTCATTACTAAGATCTGTTCACGAAAGAGAAATTTACGAGAATGCCTTTGAAATCTTAAGTGCTTTCGATGAAATTGTCATCTTGGGTTATAAAGAAATAATAACACCCTCTCAAGTTAGAACATATCTTGAAATGGACTCTCACGAAGAAAAAATCCAAGAAATTATTGAAAGAAACAAAGAATTGGAGGCCACTGAAGAACGTAAACGTCGTGCAAAAGAGATCCAACGTAAAGAAAACTTTTTACGTGAAAATCGTCCTCCATCTTTTTCTTCTCATTTCTCTCAACACTCCCATTCTCAGTCCCAGTCTCAACAATCTCAACACAATGTTTATACCTCAAATACAACTTTAGACTCCTCTTCAAATTCTCTTTCTTATTTATCTTCCAAATCAAAAGTTGCTCCTAGAGGTAAAGGTTTGCAATTGGGAAAATCGAAAAATCCACGAAGACAATCACAGCAAATTGATTCTTTATTACCCGAACAAAATCCTTTGTTGCCTTTACAAAATAATTCAGTTTCAAATCAACAACATCAATTTCTTTCTAGTTTGGAAAAAAACACCAACAACACTATTACCAATAATAAAACTAGCTACATAGATCAAACTCAAATTCAACCTCAAGATTATGAAAACAACGGCATATTAATTGTCGTTAATGAAAAAATATCGGCTCAAATCAATAGAGATGGTTCAATTCAATCTTCAGAAATTAAAGGTGATTTACAATTACGCATTAGCAACTCGGATTTATCTCATTCAATGATTTATGTAAAGGTTAATGGTAAAAATGACGGTATTCAATATAAAACACATCCAAATGTCGATAGAAACAAATTCAATAAACAAAATTTAATCACTTTGAAGGATTCATCAAAGTCCTTCCCATCAAATGACCAATCTTTAAACGTATTAAGATGGAGAGGTGTCGGTAAAGCTGATAATGATAGTTTTATTCCTATCATTTTTACAACCTGGCTAACTGCTTCAAACAATAATCCTGGGTTCTTTGATGTAACAATTGAATATGAAGTTATTAATAATTTTAATATTGAAAAATTCACAATCAATGTGCCAACTTTTTCTGATATTGTTTTAAGAGGCGAATCTAAAAACGATTCCTCATTAAAATTTGAATTCGATGAAGATATTGGTGCATTGTTTGAAAAGACTTTATCATCGCCAAATGGTGATAGCGAGAATGATGATCAATTAACAGGTACAATTGAATTTTCTGCTGAAGCTAATGAAGAAGATGCATTGTTCCCAATGGAATCTAAATTTGTTTTGGAAAATTCAAACTTAACAATCGGTAAAATTGAAGTTCAAGATGTTCTTAGTATTGATAACGAAGAAGAAAGCTTACCATATGATGTGATTGGTCTTATTTCATCAGATAATTTTGTAGTTGTGTAGGTAAATAATATGGTATTTTATTCTATTTCATATGTTTTTTTTTCTTTTCAACTTCTTTTAATTTCTTTGTTTTTATATTAACTATACATAATTTTTTTTTTTTTTCTTTTTTCTTTTTTTTTTGTTATTTATTTAAAAATAGGCGTTATCTATATACTAGAATTAAAAGCTAAGAATATAATCAATTAAAATGAGACAAAAAGAGAGCGAAAAGTTAGATAATTAAGACAGCTTATTTGAGAATTAAATAATATTAAGCTAATAAGCTAGAAAGTTGTAAGCTAGTAAGCTAGACAAAAGTTTTAATTGATTATTTCTTACGTTTATAAATTTTATTTAAGAAAACAGATAAAACTTCTGATTTAAAGCCTCTTGATTGATCAACTTTTGAAATCTTTTGTTTTAATTCATTAACAATTTTTTCTTCATAATCATGATAAATTTGATCAATTTTCAAGTTTTGGAAAATATCTTTACAAATTTTTTCTTTGGCTGCATCCTTTTGACCATAATTGTTATCTAATAATTGTTTTTGCTCTTTATCGGCTAAAGTCAAAGCAGTATTGATAATCCAAGAACATTTATTATCTTGAATATCTGTACCAATTTTGCCTATGTCCTCGGGTTTGCCAAAGCAATCTAAGAAATCATCTTGAATTTGAAAGTATTCACCCAAGGGAATTAAGATATCATGAGCTTGTTTCAAGTCAATTTCATTGGAAACATTTGCCATGTACATTGCTAATGCGACGGGTAAATAAAACGAGTAATAAGCGGTTTTATAGATGACGATGAAAGAATGTTTGTCCAAAGAAAAGTTTGATAAGTTAACGTTATCTTCGGGAGCAGTGATGAGATCCAACAATTGACCCAATTCAGTTTTAAAGGTGATATCATGAAATAGTTCAATTAAATCGACATAATAGGGATCATTTCTAAAATGATTTTTCAAAAGAACATAGATTGAAGCCTCTAACATAAATGAGTCATTGATAGCAATTTGATTGACATTTTCAACTCTATACCAGCAAGGTTGACCTCTTCTTGTGATTGAGCTATCCATCATGTCGTCGGCGACTAAGAAATAAGCTTGAAGTAGTTCAATACACCAACCTAATATAGCGACTTTTTCATACTCTTCAGTGGACAAATCGTTAATTGAGGTGTAGTTTTTCAATATAACGTAGGTGTCGACAACAGATAAACCACGGTTTAGTTTACCGCCAGGGGTGTTGTAATTAAGATTATTTGTAAACCAATCGATTGCCTCTTGAGACATGTTGTAGGATTTCAAAATGGATTGTAGCTCATTGACAATTTTGGGGAAAACAGCCAAAAATTTAGATTTGCTTTCAGCCTTGCTCATTTTAAAAAAAGTGGTAAGTGAGTTGAAGTACAAGATGTGTAATAGAAGATATAAGATCTCTGAAATATAAGTAATGAATCAATAAAGAAGTGGTGGAATTGAGATGGCGAGGTTGATGGTGAAGAGATATTTGGAGAGATATTTATATTGGGAATTCGAGTTGAAGTGTGGAAAATCGGTTGATTGAGAAATAAACGATCGTACTTCTGTTACCCGGTATCAGTGGTCGAGTTCGCCGGTGTAGATGAACCGGATTGTCTTATCGAGAGATCCGAGGGTCGAGGAAGAGGAAGAGGAAGCAGGAACAGCAGAGACAGCAGAGATGTTGTCATTGGCTTCGTTGAAGTGGGCCTTTTTGATTTCCTCCACCTGCCCAGAGAGGTGCTCTTGCTGAGTGAAGTCGTCGAAGAACTTGTAGTTTTTGACGTTTTTTTTGAGTTCATTGAAGCACCAAAGGATAAAGGCGTCGTCTTTGTTGTTGTTGATGTTGTTGAGACTCGCAATTTGACTTGGGTTGTTTGAGTTGTTTGTATTGTAGTTGATGATGTTGTCGATTAGAGAATCTGAATCCTTTAGCCACTGTTCAACTTCGGGCAATGGTTTTTTTCTTAGTAGAGAGTTGAAAAGAGGTTCATTTTTGATTGGATTTGAGTTTGGTAGAGGATAAACGTTTGTCTTTTTTAAGATGTGGGAATTTTCAGATAAGATTGAAGATATAATTGATAATTGGGTTACAATGACAATGTATTGATTTTGTAGGGAGTTGTAGTCGGGTAGCGAGTAGTTGTTGTTTGATTTGATTAGGTCTAGTTTTAGTTTTTTTAAAGAGTTTGATAGTAGGATTAAATTGTTTCTTAATTTTTCTATTGAATCAGTAGGCACAGCAGAATAATTGTAGATTTCTCTACTGATTAGAGGATTATTGATGTTATTGATATTGTTAGTGTTTACGTTGTTTAGTTTAGATGGGTTGTTTACGTTATTGACATTGTTTCTGTTGGAATGTTTTTGTAAAATTGACATTTCTTCTGATATAAAGCTGATTAAATAGGCGATAGAATAAAGCAGAGGATTGATATCAAAAATAATATTATTAGTATAAAAATTCTTCTGTTGTCATGTGACGCAATTTACTGATTGCGTTAGTTTAAGCATAAAATCGAGTATATCTTAGCAAATTGAATTGACATAAAGAGATAATACAATGAAGAAAAGGAACACATTGCCAATTATATACAATGGAGAAAGCATTAGTGATAATAAGAGCTACAAATTAAAAAATAAAGAGAATGGACAAGGCTTAAGAAGAATTTTTACCGATAATGATGATATTGGGGAGAGTAATAATAATAGGATGGGTAGTCCAATTGATATTAACAATGTTAACAATATCAATAATAACATTTATGATATGGATGATATTTATGATATGGGCGATATTGATAACAATGAAAATAGTGAAAATGGTATAATTAATTTCAAAAGAAGATCATATTCTCAGTCTCAAGTAATAAATAATAATAATATAAATAAAAGACGATCGAACATTAGAAGTTTTACAATGGTAGGACCCAATAATTTTACAAACAATAATAGTAATAATAGTAATAATAGTAATAATATCAGTAATATCAATAATATCAATAATATCAATAATATCAATAATATTAATAATAACAGTAATAATTATCCTGGAAATGAATATTTAAACGAGAATTATCTTAATGATTGTAACAATGATAAAATATTGCTAATCGATAAGATTCCATCGGTTAAACCATTGGCTAATAAGCAAGATTTAGAATGGAATAAAATCGATGTGTTGGAAGATGTCAAGTTGATTTCAACTAATTCCAATGTCAACTTCAATAACTACAACTACAACGAAGATAAATTGAACGACTTGAAAAGAAATCAGATCAACTTGCTCAATTCCATTAAGTTGTTGAATAAGAACATTTCGATTAAGAATGACCAGCACGACTCAAAGATTTGGGACGAGTATAATATCAAGTTGGAATCAATCAAAAAACTCAACTTGTTGTACAATAAGGACTACTTTAACACGATATGCCAGAGCATGAACGACATCCGGCTGGACTTGAAAGACGTGAGCAACCTGATGAAGAAGCTAGACACACGAGATATACTTTCTGAGGAAGAAGAGCCTGAGGAGGTTTGAAGCAGGAAGCAGAAGTAGCAAAAGCAGCAAAGCAGAAACAGTCCAGTGCTGCGGGTGAAGCTGCTGGAACATGCATGCACTGCGTACATAAACGCACCCCTGCACGCACCCGCACTGCTGGCTCTCTTTCTCTCAGGCCGCTTCAGCCCGGTTTTTGGAGGAGAGGTTGTTTTTTCAGCAGAAGCAGCAGAAGCAGTTTCAACAGAAGCAGCAGAAGCAGCAGAGACACAGTCCATTCGTTCTTTTGTCCCTCTTTTTCTTTTGTCTGCTTTCTTGCCATCCCTTCTTTTGTTTTTTGTTTTTATCTTCCGCCTATCGCTTTTAATCCACGTTCTTTTCGTCTGTTCCTTTTCACTCTTTTTTGCTTATAAAATGACCTTATCCAAGTTGTCTCTACAGGTTTTAAATGATTTAATCAAAAATGATACAGGCTCTCTATCTGACTCCATTTCCTACTCCAGTTCAGTGTCCAACTTCAACTATATAAACGATACTAACTTTAATACTAGCAATAGCAAAAACAGTACCCATAATGATACTGATTCTTACAAAAACGGTAAGGGCCGTAATGATAACAATAACGATAACAATAACAATAACGATAATAATAACGATATCACCTCCTCCTCTGATACAACCTTAGGAAAATCAGACCTGTTTTTATTGGAAAATGTTCGAACTAATATCAAAAATAATCAGAATACTCAAAATAATTTCAATAGTTCAAATACTCTCATTAACGATAATCTACCTCCTAGCCGCCCAAAGTTAAGGCTTTCAATTATTAATATCGATAAAAATACAATTATTCACAGTAATCACAATAAACGTAATAACGACGATAATCAAACTAAAAATGACAATAATCATAATAATAACATCGATAAAGATACTCATATGGACATTGACAATGATAATATTGATATTGATTCTGATTATGAATTTGATATTATTGATTTAACCAATAATAACAGTAAAAACTCTAAACACTCCAAACACAACACCATCTCTGATTCCAATAATGAAAATCAAATTGATGATATAGAAATTGACCCCATAGAAAAACTCAACTATTTGATCGATTTTAAAAAATCAGAACTAATCTATCTAGATAATTTACTAAACTATTCTATCATTTTAAACTCCAATTTGGATGATCTAATCGACTCTAAATTTTTAAATAACGAGTATTACTACATCAACGATGATAACAATATCAATCCTAATAACGTTAACATCAATGACATAAACCAAAAATACCTATTTAATGATCAAAAAGTATTACTAAACTCTGTCAAATCCTTATTGAATCTACACAATGAATTACTAATCTATTTAAAAAACAACATCATAAACATCAATACTACTACTACTACTAATAATAATAATAATAATAATAATAATAACAATAATAACAAGATCATTAATAACAACCTAGACTCTTTAATTTACCAAATCTCAATTTGGTCCCTTAAAATTTCAATCATTTACAAATCTTACATAGACATCTCCTCCTCTTTTCATCAGTTTCTAGAATCAAATCAAGAATCTGTCTATAAAAAGAAACCCATCATCAGATTAAAATACTTGCTTCAATTCTTTAACAATTTGTTAAATCTATACTCAAATAACATCTTTTTAAACAATTATTCAAACTCAAATAATAACAATAAATTACTAATTAAAAAAATAATTGCAAACTTTAACATATCGATCCCAAATCTATCAAATCAAATAAACAACATCTCCCATAATAAAAATAACTTGTTTCCAATCACTATAAATAACTCAAAATTCGATCAAAATATTCTAAATTTTAATCAAGTAAGAGATATTTACACCCTAAGAAATTGCTCCTCCTTTATCAATACCAACAACATTATCAAAAGAGATTATTTTGAATTTCAATTTTACCACAAACTAGATTATACAACAAATAAAAAACTAATTGAATGCTTTTTGTTATCAAATGAGCAAATCAATAATAACAATGCTATTATCACAAATAACAACAGCGATAGCGATGATAGCAATTCACTAAATTTCAACTCAATTGATTACAATAGAATATCTGCTTTAGCTATTTGTTCAGTTGAATCTATTGGCAGAAACTTATTATTCCCTCCCTTCAGAAAAAATGAATTGAAAATTCTCTCAATAACTTCAAACCCTGATATTAATCAAATTTCTTTAACTGTACCTGAAAACATCATCGACTATTTACCCCTAAATAAAAATAACAATCATATTAATACAAAGATTAATGATCAATATGATGACGAAAATGAGTTTAATAAAAATAATAAAATATCAATCAAGTTATCTTGTCCAGACTCTATTCAGTTTAAAAATTGGCTAAACATTTTTAACCATTTATTTGATTACGATAATTCTTTTAAAAAACTCAATTTTGAAAAATCCTTTTTTCAAAAATACAAACAAACAAAACAAAACCTTATGTTTCAAGATGGCTTGGGTTTAACCTATGATCCATTTATCACTCGTGATAACAACAATCATTATTATTTTAAACATCATCATAATAATAATAACAACAACAACAACAATAATAATAATAATAATAATAATAACGCATATAAATATAATGACACTAAAAAAAATCAATCTATTGATATAAATAATAATAACATTAACCATGATTTACTTCATGCAAATCATGATAGATCTTTATCCGCCATAAACACTCTAAGAATAGCAAGATCAACACCAAATTTTACTTCTCATTTATCAACATTATCATCACTCAAAAATGATACTAATAAGATCGATGAGAAATCTAATGATATTGACAATAACTTGGACAAACCCCAAATAGCAGGTTTATCATCAAATAATGTCACTCCAGATAGTGAATCGAACACATATCTGCCTTCAATTGATAATTATAATGATAGCAGTATTAATGGAACAAGCCCATCCAGTTTCATTACAACTGATGATGAAAATGAAAATGATCAAATAATTAAAACACCCATAATTGAAGATATCGAGTTTGTAAATAATGGCAAGGCAGAAATTTTAGATATTAGAAGATCCATTATATTTCTCAATAATACCTCAAAAGAAGGCGTTTCCAATAATCTAAGCGAGACTAGTTTGAAATTAATATCAATACCACCCAAAAATAAAAGAAATTCTGTTTACAGTCAAGCTTTAAATGATAAAAACAAGAAAAAAGATCCTTTTGAAAAAATTTCCTCTAAAAACTCTTTAGAAGATTCTAAAACAAATGATGATAATAATACTAAGGAGTCAAGCAATACTAGGGAGCCAAGTAATTCAGAAGTGACCAAAAAAATTGAAATTGAAATTGAAATTGAAAATGAAAATAATAGTAAAAATTCATTAGAAACAAATACAACGCATAATCGTATGTCTGTAAATTCATACTCAACTATAAAGAATAGGAATTCAATGCAATCAGCAGTTTTTGTTGATACGCCCCCTTCAATGAATATTTCTCATAGAACGTATGAAAGCTCATCAGACTTGTCAGAAATTCATATTCATAGAAGCAGAAGATTATCATCAAATTCATTGCATTTAAGTTATAGCAGAAACCTTTCTAGTTGCTCTGTTCTTCCAAAAAATGAAACCAACTATAGTCCTAATGAAACCCGTCATCAGGAAAAAAATGATATAGTGAATACTATTAAGGAAAGTGAAAATGAAGATGATTCTGACTTCGATACACCCAACTTTTTGAAATCTACAATTATCGAAGAATCAGTAGAAAAATTAAAACCTACAATAATTACTCCTACTGATTCTAAAAAAAATAGAAAATCAATGGTTCATGCATTTGGTTTAACATGCAGAAAATCTTTTGATAATCTTAAAGCTACTCTTTCAAACTCTAAAAAAGAACCAAGAGATTTTAAACACTCAAAAGATAAATCAATACAAATCCAAAATTCACCATTTGAAAACGATGATAAAATCTTTAAAGCTAGAAAGAAAAGATCCAAGAGCATTTCACAAACATTCAATAACACATTTGAAAAAATTTCTCAAAAGCAAAAACAGACATCAAGAAAATTGCTGAAGGAGTTCAATAGTAGGGAAATTTTAAAACCAGATTTGAAAAAAACCCAAACGGAATCAAATGGCTATACATTAAAAAACACACCGAAAATTATAAGAACAAAAACAGAACCTTCAGAAATAAACAATTTACTCAATAAACATAATCACAAAGTTTCAATAATTAAAACTTTCCCCTTCAAAAATAGGGGCATCTCATCGCCAATTGAAAGTTTAGCAACTAAAGAATACGATTACGCCAATAGCCCTAGAGAAAATATTCGTAAATCCAAAAATTGGAAAGGATTAAAGATCAAAACATCTCTCTCAAATTTGAAAGGTCATGAAAAATTTAGGTCTGTATCTACTCATTTTTCAAACACTTCTACTGTTAATTCTCAGTTTTCCGAGAACCTGTTTTCAATTGAGGAAGAGAATTTCTTTAAATCCAAATTGCTATTAAACACATTATGTCATGTTTACTTTTTAAACGAAAACAGATGGGAATCATTAGATGACAAGGAAGTGATAACAACAGTATCTTCTTTTCAAAAACAGTTCTTCTTAGGATTTTTTTACAATAATCCAAATTTTAATTTTAATAGCTCAAAACCTATTTATACTTTTCTTTTATCAAAGTCATTGGTAATTAAAACGATAAATCCTATGGATATTCATATCGTCACATCAAAATCAACTAAAAAATCAAAATCCATTACTATTTCTATACGTTCAAATCCTAAAAATCTTACTTCAGTTATTCGAAATATCGAGTGTGCTCGAAATAACACGATTTTTGAACTCTCGGAAAATTCTAATGTTTTAGGCAATGGAAACATTCAACCACCTAAACTAGATCATTCAGATATTTCGGGGTCCAAAGAGAGTGCCCGATCTGCTTCAATAGCGCTACCAGAAAAATCGATTCCTATTGGCAGACATAAAAGTGCTCTCTCTGCAAAATTCAAGCCTTTGAAATCAATTTTTGCAATCCATTCCAGTGAACTCAGCACCTCAACAGCATCTACATCAAACAACTTGAAGTGGGGGCCTTCTGCCAGAACTCCTACCTCTACCCCTTCAAGTTCAGCTTTTTCAACTTCTTTCAAAAATGAGGATTTTCCTGAAAGTTTGCGTGATTTGGATAAAATAGAAGAAATGATGGAGAAAAATCACAAAAAAATTGATGTAACTACATTGAAGGAACAACATAATATAGTTAGATCCGTAAAAATTAGATTACATACCAAAAATTCTCAAGATCAATCCAAGTGGAAACCAGTTGCTATGGGAGTCTTAAATATAGCGTCACTTTCATCACCTCAATTATTTAAAATAAAAATCACTTGCATAAAGACTGGTGAGGTCTTAATCAATACTGTTATTAGAGGAACCAAGTCTAGACGAATTGGTCAATCAGGGATCTGTTTAATTATTCTGGATAAGCACTTATATGATTGCGAAAACAAAAAATTTTTTGAGGAGACTCTATTTTCATTTAACTATTTGATAGAGTTGAAAAACTCTAAAGAAGCAAATTATTTATTCAAAGTTTTAAACACTTTAAGGTAAACTTGCGGTTTTGATTATTGAAACTAGTTTTTTATTTTGTTTTTAGTTCCTTTTTTTTCCTGTTATCTATTTTCTATGTTCGTTTTTCATATTTTTTTATATTTTATTTTATATTTTATATTTTCATTTTTATTATCTATGTTTTGTCTTTCATTTTCATCCATTATTTTGTTTTTTTGTGTTATTGATTTACTTTTATATTTCTATTTTAATTCTATCGTTTTTCAATGTTTTTTTTTTTCAATTTGTCTCAATTATTTATAATCATTCTACACATTGAGACTTCTTTTCTGATAAATTCCTTCAATATAAAACATTCTTCAAATATAATTATAAAAATGGTTTATATTGATACAACTAAAAGAGTAGCTAAAAATACAGTTAATATTAAATTAGAAATAAACTCTTGACAAAATGATTTAGTTAAATCAGAAAAATCTATCAATTAAGTTTTTTATAATTATTCCACAATGGATTTTGAAGGTTTCCAAACATGCAAAGAATTGTCATTAGACACAGAGGAAATCATCCAATCATCGTTGGGATTCCAGGATATATCATTAACACCACTCATATGTCCTCCATGAATAAATAACAATTCTCTATTAAAAGTTTTATCATCTATGGGCTCAGTAAAGCCCTGGTCATAATCTTTGATAGTTGAAGTATCGTTATTTGGGTTCATCTGAGCCATATCCCAGAGTTTGACTCTATGGTCGTCTTGACCAGCTGAAGCCAATATGGAACCAAGATTATTATTCCATTTTATGGTAGAAATTGACCCCTTATGAGCGTTTTTTAAAGAATATATGGGTTTTGAAAAATCTCTCAAGTCCCAGATCGCTATTAAACCATCAGAATCAGCAGTTGCTAGACAAAACATATTTTTAAAATTGAAGGATAAAGAATTAATTCCACTATTATGATATGAGTTATTTGAGGGTGTAGATCTTTTACTATCATTAAGAACTGGTAGTCTTATATCGAAAATTTTTATTGAATTGTCTTCTCCAACAGAACCATAAATTGAGTCATGAGAATATAACCATTTGATATCATTTACACCACCAGGATGTGAGTTTTTGACCACACTTAATGGTGTATCCACTGTATTATTTTTTAGAGAAAAAGTACTTTTGATATCCCAAAGACAGGCATTTCCATCCAGAGAAGCAGAAAGCAAATATCCTTCTTTGTGATGATTAAAAGATAAGCCGTAACCCTCGGTTTTATGGTAATCCAAAATCATTTGAGGTTTGAATTTCTCAAAAGTACTATTTAGTTTACTGAAATGCTTTGTTCTATCAAATAGATAAATTTTGCCAGAATCATTAATAGAGGATATTATATCTGGTTTTTGAGGCATATAAATTAGTCTGTTAATATCACCTTTATTTAAAATCTTTTGATTGACTGTAATTTTTTTAAAAAGATAATTTGCACTATTATTATTTGAGCTACTGGAGTTAGTTATATTATTTATATTACTGTTTAGAAACTCATTTTTCTCTGGATCAAAATGTTCAATAGAGATAAATTTTGAACTTAGATCAGACGTAGTAAAATCTGCAAAGTGAATGAATTCGGATGAAACTTTAGAAGAAAAAGAGCCAAATAATAATCGAAATTTTTTTTTGAATACCTGGTTATTAGTTTTGGTACTTTTGTTATTAGGTTTGATTTTAGTTTTATTTAAATTGTCATTTTTTTCATTAATGTTACGATCATAATTTTCGGAAAGGCTGATGTTATTAATTTCAACTTTTTCAAAATCAGGAAGAAATTGAACAGTTAATGAAGGCCATACTAAGGAAAAAGTTTGCAAGTAATCATACAAATAAGGAGAATTTTTCTTCCAAATTTGATACTCTTCTTGAGATTTTGAGTCTATAAGCAAGCTTGAATCATTATCATATTCATTATGGTTATCGTTATCCTGAACATCAAGGACCTCTTTATCAATTGTTGGACTGGTCATTGTGATATCATTTATTTCATGAGGATCATCAATTTCAATTGTTTCTGGTTTTGAAGCAACTGAAGAGTTCTTTGATTGCAAGCCATTAGCCAAATCAGATCCCTGATCAGTTCTTGCATTACTTTCTTTGGAGATTCTTCCATTGAATTTGTTACTGTTCAAGTAAGCAAATATGCTTGGTTGATTTGACTGTTTACTTTCATTTTTCTTAATTTTTGAATTGATAGTTGAATTATCAACAAAAGCCAGGGAAGTTGGCGAAGTGGAGCTTGAATCAAGTCCAATTATATCTGGAAGAGCTCCCTCACTAGAAGAAGTCTTCATGCCTATGAATTGTATATCTTCTTCATGGGACATTGTTGAGACAGCGACTAATCATTTAAATCTGCTACTTATGTATAGCATAAAATCGCTTTAAAATCGCCAAAAAACGCACTAACAGACACACAAAAAAGAGGAAGTAAGCATACACCAAACAGCCCAATGTCAAACAACTGGTTTGTGGGTAGAAACAAAGCAAAGTAGTGAGAGAGATGCTGCCTGTGCTGCCTGTGCTGGAAATGCTGCCAAAGTCAAAAAAAACCCAAACAGCGCTGTGGCTCTGAAAAAAGTTCGTTTGGCGCGCGGCGAACAAACGAACACAATATCCGATGCCTCGGTGCACGTGCAAATTTCTGTGGAAAAAATTTCAGTTGTAGCGATTCTTTGGAGTGATAACTTTTGAGATAAATATTTGGAATTTATTCATTTTATTTTCTATTTTTTATTTTTGTTATTTTTGTTATTTCTTTCTATTTTTTCTTTGTTTTATTGTATTATTAGATATATGAACAACAAGACTTATTAAGCTTATCTTTGTAGGTTATCACTGGTAGGATACAAGATACTATAAAGGGATAGCAAATTTTTTACAGAGCAACATTAAAAACGTTTTTAACTGAAGATTTTTAGTAATATTTGAAATACACCAGAGAAAATGTCAATGCAAAAGGGTTTGTCAAATGAAAACTTGCTAAGATTAGAGAAGTTTGAGCATGATGCTGAAGCCTCGATTCCTTTTCTTGTTAGTGATGAAAAATCATCGAGTCTAAAAGACGCAAAATTACTTCCTTACCTAGCTGGTTTGAAACCGTCGCCTACTGTTAACAAATTCGAAATCATCGATACTAAGAAAAATATTGGTGAAAAGACCAAAGATGTGTCGAAAGGAACTGTAAAGCCATGGGTACATTTTGTTGCTGGTGGCGTTGGTGGTATGACAGGAGCTGTTTTTACTTGTCCATTTGATGTTGTGAAGACGAGATTGCAATCGGACGTTTACAAGAACATTTACAAAAGTTCAAGTTCACTTCATAGCTCGAATCCAGTCCTTAGTGCAGGAGCACATTTAAAAGACACTTTTAGTATCATCAATAATCTTTACAGATTAGAAGGTTTCAGATCTTTGTTTAAAGGGTTGGGTCCAAATTTGGTGGGTGTAATTCCTGCAAGATCTATAAATTTCTTTACCTACGGTCTTACAAAAGATTTTATTAAAACAAATTTCAATAACAGTCAAGAAGCAACATGGATCCATTTATTGTCTGCTGCTAATGCTGGTATTTGGACTTCAACTTTAACCAATCCAATTTGGTTGATTAAAACACGATTACAATTGGATCAAAAAAGCTCATCTCTCCAAAGAGAATATAGAAACTCCTATGATTGCTTCAGAAAAGTCATGAAATTGGAAGGTATCAAAGGTCTTTATAAAGGTCTTAGTGCCTCCTATTTAGGTTCCGTTGAGGGAATATTACAATGGGTTCTTTATGAACAAATGAAATTGATAATTTCAAAAAATTCAAAAAATTCAAATTCATTAAATAATCCCAATTATGAAAAATCCAATTGGGACTCAGTTGTCGAATGGGGTAAAAGATCTGGTTCTGCAGGTTTTGCCAAATTTATTGCTTCTTTGATAACATATCCTCATGAAGTTATCAGAACAAGATTAAGACAAGCTCCTATGGAAAATGGTTCACCAAAATATACTGGAATTGTTCAATGTTTCAGACTAGTTGTCAAAGAAGAAGGTTTTGTAAGTATGTATGGTGGTTTAACTCCTCATTTATTAAGAACTGTTCCCAATAGTATTATTATGTTTGGTACATGGGAAGTTGTCACCAAGCTTTTATCTAAATTTTAATCTTTAGATTTCCAGGTCTCCTTTCCAATATCTATCAAGTCATTTCAAATTTCATCTCTATATCCACACTTAAGTATTATGTGTTAATTTGATCATGTAAATAAATCATAATCCTGTTTAATTTTTTCACTAAATATTTTTTTTTTAATTTTTTAATTTTTATTTCTTATTAATTATTTTGTATATTTTATTATTTTTTTATTTTTGTTTTTGTTTTTGTCTTATGAAGCTTTCGGATATTTATTTTTTTTTCAAGTTTATGGTGTTTTTATTATTGAAAGTTTTTATTACCACTTCTACTATTTAATTTGTTCAATTCAAAAATAAGCAGAAGGTAATATAATAAGAATGATTATTGTTAAGTAATAAAATGAAGTCTTGTTGATAAAAAACTTAACAATATTTAATTTTTTTTTTATTAGTTAATCTGTCATTAAGTGTTGATATTAATGATTTTGGATATAATCTGTATAGATTTGTGAATAGTAAAATGTATCAACAATATAAATAAATAGTAATAATTTGCTATTGATAGTTTTATTTATATAATCGATCGATATACTGTGAATTATCACAATTTAAATTTTTGTTTTATTATTTATTTTTGATTTCAAATTTTTTTTTGATTTATTACTTTGTTTAGATTCAATTTAATCATATTCATGTATTATTATTTATATAGGTGTATAAATAAAAGTGGTGTTGAAATTATATATTGTTGATTGTCGTTATAAATATTTTATTGTTTTGAAAAACGTAAATAAAAAGAAAAAAAGTGAAAGAAAACAAAACAAAACTAAACTAAATGTGTGAAACATGAGAAAAGATAAAAAAACAGAGATTTTAAAGAAAAGCAATATAATATATTAATAAAATGTTGACCATTGTTTAAAAGTGTTGATTAAAGTTTGAGTGGAAGGATCGTGAGAATCAACAGGCTTTGCATCATTTAGTTCTTCACCGATAACTTTAGCTAAGATTTTACCCAATTCAACACCCCATTGGTCATAAGAGTTAATATTCCAAACAGCACCTTCAACAAAGGTGACATGCTCATAGTAAGCGATTAAGGCACCCAAAGTTTCAGGGTTAATCTTTTCACAAAGAATTGAGGTTGTTGGTCTATTACCCTTGAAGATTTTGTGTGGGATTAAATCTTCAGGGGTGTTTTCTTTGATCAATTGGTCTTCATTTTTACCTAACATTAAGGCCTCGGCTTGGGCAAAAAAGTTTGAAGCTAACATCTTTTGGTGTAAATTATTTTCAACGGGGTTATGAGAGTTGGCGGCTAAAATGAAGTCGGCAGGAATTAACTTGGTACCTTGATGAACCAATTGGAAGAAGGAGTGTTGAGAATTGGTTGCAGGTTCACCGAACAAGATTGTACCTGTTTGATAATTTGTAAATATGTTTTTTCTTGTGACGGATTTACCATTACTTTCCATGGAGAGTTGTTGTAAATAAGCAGGGAAACGGTGCAAGTATTGATCAAAGGGAGCAACTAAATGAGTTTGTGCATTGTAGAAGTTGTTGTACCAGATTGATAGTAGAGCACCAAAGGTTGGGATGTTATCTTGAGAGGAGGAAGAAGTGTTCAAGAAATGAAGATCCATGGCTTCAGCGCCCTTGAGGAATTTTAAAAAGTTGTCAAACCCAATGAATAAACAAATGGATAAACCAATTGAGGACCAAACTGAGTATCTACCACCCACCCAATTTTCAAAACCAAACATATTTTTAGGATTTATGCCAAATTTTTCAACTTCGGATTTGTTTGTTGATAGAGCGACAAAATGGTTTTTAATTGCCTCTTGGGGTAAGGATTTCAAAAACCAGTTTTTAGCAGTATTAGCGTTTGTGATAGTTTCAGCGGTTGTAAAAGTCTTTGAAGCAATTAAGAATAAGGTTGATTCTGGGTCTACATATTTCAATACTTCGGATACATGAGTGCCATCGATATTTGAGACAAAATGGACATTTAAATCAGAGGGAGAAGCGTACGACTTAAGAGCTTCGGTGACCATGACAGGACCTAGATCCGAACCACCAATACCGATGTTGACAATATTTTTGATTTTCTTTCCGGTGTAACCCTTCCATTGACCAGATCTGACGGAATCAGAGAACTCTTTCATGTGGTCCAAGACAGAGTTGACGCCAGTTGACACATTTTTGTCATCGACAAAGAGAGCCTTGTCCTTGTTGGTGTTTCTCAAGGCGATATGGTAGACAGCTCTGTTTTCTGTGAAATTGATGTGCTGACCATCAAACAACTTGTCCTTCAAGAGGTCGACATGGGACTCGCCAGTCAAATTGAACAAGTTCTTTAGAATGTCGTTTGTGACAAGGTTCTTGGAGAAATCAAAGAGGATCTTGATTTTCAAGTCGTTGGCAGGATCATCGACAGAGAAGGTCTTGGACAAATTGGCAATTCTGGCAGGGTCCTGTTTGAACTGGTCAGCGATAGAGAAGTTGTCAGGAAGGGCGTCTTTCAAGCCCTGCAAGACAGACCAGGAGGGCAAGCTGGTGGACAAATCGAAAGAAGAGGAGGAGGAGGACATGGAAAGAGGCAATTGAGCAGCAGCACTTAGCAGAGAGACAGCGGTGGCAGCAAAAGAGGAAGCAAATAGATAAGAACAGGAGAACAAGAGATGAGCAGCAGCCGCCCGTATTTATAGCGCAGCACACGTGTTCGGGCGCACGTGTGCGTGCCGTCAGAAGAGGTCGAAGCGTCTGCTGATTGTGGTGCGTGTGGTGCGTGTGGTGCCGGAAAAGCATGCAGCGCCGACGCAAAGACTCCTTTTCGTTGCAGTTCAAGTCGCGGGCGCGCTCGCGCAGCATCAAGAATGAGTGGCGGAAGTTACTCTACTTGAAGCAGAACTATCCCGACAACTACATCGACAGGGCCCTCTTCTTGAAGAGCCTCAAGAAGAACTCCACCGTCGTCAAATACAGCTACTGGAACATCTCCAACGACTTCAGTCTTGTGAGCTTGCATCTCTGCAATGTTTTGATGGTCTACTGCTTCTTTGTCTATTCCTACTCCCACAACAATGCTCTTCTCTCTTTCTGCGTCACACTCGCCACTATCACCATCTACCTCTGTTTCTATCGTCTCAATCCAAACGCCTTTGGCTTTGCTGCTGATGCAATTGACCACTTCAAGCTCTTCAAGTCGTCTGTCGTTATTATCTCCTTCCTCTTGAGTTTGTCTCCCATCTTGAAATCATTGACAAATTCGATATCCAGCGACTCAATATGGGCTCTATCTTTCTGGCTATGCATTTTAAACATCCTTACAAACAACTACCAGTTCAGCAACAATACAAAAGATAATAACAAAAACAAAGACAACTACACTTACTCAATTGTCGCTTTCAACATCCAATTCTCAAACCTAATCGTCCTAGCTTCAAGATTATCCTCAATCATCCAGGTTTTTTGTTTCATTTTAATCTCAATTCAGTTTATATCAATTTACCCGATTTTTCAACACCATTTGAGAATCTATAATAAATCTCGTCCTCACAAAAACTCAAATAAATTCCTCTTCGTTTCTTACTTTATTCTATCAACTGCTTTTTTCTTTAATTTGTTCAAACATTCAAATTCAATCTGGATTCTAATCGTTTTTTGGTTCTCCCTAAATTTTCTCATTTTGTTTATTTTCCCTCTTTATTTCATTTATTTACAAAACTTTAAAAATGAACTTCAAGGTCCCTGGGATCCTGCAAAGCCAATCTATCAATAATCAATTGAAAAAATAAATTAAATAATAAATTCAAAAATAAATCAAATAATAAACTAACATTGGAAAATTCAATTTATATTCCGAAATGATCTACAGTCATATCAATAATTTTCCAATTCCCTTCATGTTCTCACACTCTACTATCCTATCCTATCCGCGTACATAAAATCCACTTTAAGTTGTTCAAATGTTATAAATTACTTCATCTTATATAAACTACTTAATAATCAATAAACTTAAGCTTCAAGATCCTTTTTAAGAGTACCCATAAAGGCCTTCTTTTCAGCTGGGGTTTGGAATCTACCCTTACCGAATTTAGAAGCAGTATCAATCCATTTAAGATTAACTTCTTCAATGGCTCTTCTAGATGTATCAACATATAATGATTTTCTCAATGTAATAACTCTCTTTTTAATACCTGGAATAGATCCCTTAAGAACAACAAAATCGTTCTTGACCTCACCATATCTAACAAATCCACCCATTGGGTTAATAGTCTTCTTGGTTCTGTCAAACTCAGTGGCACCATTAGATTCATCAGTTCCCTTACCAATTCTGTAGATCTTGTGGTTAATTGAGGTTCTGTGGTGGTAACCGTTTTGACCAGCACGAGCAACTGTCCATTGGACATGGGCTGGATGCCAGGCACCAATACAGGCAACTTTTCGAAGACCTCTGTGGGTCTTTCTTGGTAACTTCTTGGTACCCCATCTGTGAGTAACACCTTCAAATCCATGACCCTTGGTAACAGCAATAACATCAATCATTTCATTTTGACTGAAAATTGAGTCAACTGGAACTGTCTTTTCAAACAAGTTGTAAGCAAAATCAACCTTTTCTGGAATGGATCCACCATTCACTTGAATTTCAGCCAAATGGGCCTTTTTTTGAACTAATGGAGTTTTCTTAACTTGAGTGTGAACTAAAACTCTCACAACAGTACAGTACTTTTTGATTCTCAATAATTCTCTCTTGATATCAGTAGCGTTGTTAGCGTACTTGGTAGAGTACTTGGTGAATGCCTTCTTCTTGGATTTGTACCAGTTCTTGTAAAATCTTCTTCTGATTTCATCTGACAAATGTTCAGCCCAGACGGTGGTCAATGATCTCAATCCTCTTGGAGTTTCAACATAGCCAACAACACCAACAACAACAATTGGTGGGGTATCGACAACTGTAACAGCTTCAACAATTTCTCTCTTGTGCATTTTGGAACCTGGACGATCCAAATCTCTGACAGTGGTAGTCATACCGGCCTTGTAACCTAAAAAGGCGGTTAAAGCAACTGCTTTCTTTTGATCATCCTTTGGGAAGGCTTTAATGGTACCTCTTTGTTTGGCGGCTCTTTTTCTTGGAAGGAAACCAAGATGACCATGACGTGGAGCTTCGTACTTTCTGTGAGACATTATCGAATATAATTGCGGTGGTGCTGAAGTCCTCTACCTAAAAAGAAACAAGATATAATAACAAAAAAATATATAATATAGTATTGCACAAAGCGTTGATTATATTCTCATACTAATTGGGTTGAAATTCTAGCTTGAAAATTTTCTAAACGCAATAAAAGTGTAATAGCCCTATACATGCACGTGCTTGTGTATAGGGCTTTATAGTGTTCACTTGCTGAAGCACAGTATTTGGATACAACTAACTACGATACAGACCCATCTTTCACCTTATCCACCAACTTCAGAAATATCATCACCAAGAATAATAGAAAAGTAAGTTTAATTGGTTCCCATTTCAGTTTACTACCTTCCACTTAAGAAATTGGAAACAATAATTCTACAATACTTCAACACAAAAGGCTAAAACATCGCAAAACAGTTCTTTTAAATCGAATAATAGCATAATTATGGATTTAATATGAAAATTGTCAATTTTATGTTATTTACTAAATTATAATATAGCGATTTCATTTAAAAGTGAGGTTTTACACACAAGTAAAATTAATTCAATGGGTAAACTAAACACTGAAAGAACTGGCTCGTTAACTAAATCAAATTGATATGAAAATTAAAATTAGAAAGGAAATCGAAATTTCAGTAATTTCCTTTATTTATTTATTGAATTATTAAAATATTTATAATCAATATAAATTGCAGAAGTTCAATGAAAATGGAGAAACAAGATTTTTTTGTTTTTTTATGGATATTTCCAATTTCTTAACAAATACAGAATGATAAATATTTATTGTAACTTTAATTCAAATATACTAATTAATCATTTGCTTTCCTTTTTTTTTCAAATTATTTAAAGTGAAATATATTGCTGCTTATTTATTATTAGCTGCTGCTGGTAACACCAACCCAACAGCTAAAGAAATTAAAAAAGTTTTAAAATCTGTCAATGCTGAAATTGATGAAACTAAATTAGATAAATTCTTAGATGAAGTATCCGGTAAAACTCCTGAAGAATTAATTGCTGAAGGTAATTCAAAATTGTCTTCAGTTCCAGGTGGATCATCAGGATCTGCTGCTGGAGGCGCTACAACTACCGATTCTACTGATAAGGCTGAAGAAAAAGAAGAAGAAGCTGATGAATCTGAAGAAGAATCTGATGATGACATGGGTTTCGGTTTGTTTGATTAAGCAGTTTATAAGTAATTCAATAATGTTATAAATTAAATTATTTTAAAACTTACAAGAAAGCAAGTCCAGAATATCAGTCAAACAAACATGAAAAAAAAGTATTAAAGTATAATTTTTATTGTTTTAATATAGATTCCACTTTTTTTTTCCAATCAATATATTTGGAAATAAAATTCAAAATTTGTATAATACTAAATCTACACTATCGATTTAAGAGATATGAAAAATTTAAATTATTTTTATTGAAAAGTAATCTATTGAAATGAAATATAAGCAAAAAAAAAAAAATGAACACAAACAGGGAGAAATAAAAATGGAGAGTTTATATTATATTATAAAGAATTATGATCATGATTAAAAACCAAGGTAAATAGTGAGATAAACGAAAAAAAAACAAAAGAAAAGAAAGGAAAAATGAGAAATATAAAAAGATAAAAAGATAAACAGGATAAAATAAAATGTAAATTAAATCAGTCAGTCAATAAATTCCAATCTATTTTAATTGGGAAAGCTCCAAAGCTTGTTTAATATCTTGTAATAAATCATTTTCATCTTCAACACCAACACTTAATCTGATCAAATCATCAAAAACACCAGCTTTTTCTCTTTCAGCGACAGGAATACCAGCATGAGTCATCACAGCTGGAACTTCTAATAGAGATTCAATACCACCGAGGGATTCAGCTAAAGTGAAGATTTTAGTAGAGGAAACAAATTTAGCAGCACCTTTGGCTCCACCTTTGATTCTGAAAGAGATCATACCACCACCTAAGGCATCTCTGTGTTGTTTTTGAACAACTTTGTAATTTTTATGAGTCTTTAAGCCTGGATAATTAACGGCTAAAACATTTGAATGATTTTGTAATAAACTGGCAATGGCTAAAGCGTTAGAAGAGGCCCTGGAGGCTCTTAAATGTAAAGTTTTAACACCTCTGTGAGCCAACCATGAATCAAAAGGAGATGGAATGGCACCAATGGCATTTTGTAAGAAAAGTAATCTTTCGTATAATATTTGGGAGTTTGTTGCTAAGACACCCATCACTACATCAGAATGACCGTTAATGTATTTGGTAACAGAGTGGACAACGATATCAGCACCATGGTTTAAAGGATTTTGAATGTATGGAGATAAAAAGGTGTTATCAACAACCAAGAATATATTTGGGTTTATGGATTTCAAAAGCTGGGAGACCTTTGAAATATCAGTGATTGATAGAGTTGGGTTTGATGGGGTTTCGACCCAAACTAATTTAGTGTTGTCTTGAATTAAGTTTGGCAAATCAGTGATAATATCATTGGTGAAATCTGTTTTAATTCCATGAGTGTTTGCGACTTTAGTGAAATATCTGTGAGTACCACCATAAACATCACCAACACTAATGACATGGGACCCTTGGGCTAAGCTTTGTAAAATATTAGCAGTGGCTGCACTACCAGACGAGAAGGCTAAAGCATATTTACCATTTTCTAAAGAGGCAATAACTTTTTCAAAGGCTTCTCTGTTTGGATTTTGGGATCGGGAGTATTCATAAACGCCAATTGGATTTGCAGGAGAAGATTGAGCAAAAGTTGTAGAAAGAGAAATTGGAGAAATAACAGCACCAGAGTGAGGATCATGAGCTGAACCAACGTGAATGGCTTTGGTTGCGAAACCAAATTGAGACTCTGGGGTAGATGGAACGATTTCTTCTAAAGTCATTATGAAATGTAAATTAAAATTGGTTGTGTGTTGAAGAATATATTGATTTTTTCAATGATAAGGATAAAGATAAAAACCTCAAAATACTGCTTAGAAGAAAACAACTTTTTAGGCTGAAATATAAGAAAAAGTGAAGATGAAGACGAAGATGAAAATGAAAAATTTTAAATTACACTGTAATTCTACTCTTTTTATATAACAGAACTCGGAATAAACTCATCAGATCGACATACATTTGCTCCAAACACGACTTGGAAGGAGCTGTGATTCGTAGAAAAAATTTATCATCCACTCTTGGTATTAATCATCAGTCGAAATATACTGTTCTCAATTGTGAGCGATAACGTGCAATTGTGAAATAGAAAACATTTTCCAAACCTTATTTAACAGACAAAAAGAAATAAGAGCACCCGCAGTGGTGGCGACACACCACTTTTCCTAATTGTTCGGTTCAATAAGCTCAGAAAAAAGAAACCAAGCAAATGAGGTGGGTTGATGTTAAGTCCGATTTTGCTCTTACTAATCCGCTGCGCTGGGCCAAGTTTATCTTGACTGTTTTTCCGCATGCATGCTCTTTTCGGGTAGTCACGCATGTGTTTACTGCTCAAAGACCAGCTAGGGCTTTGAAATGTTGCTAGGGCTCGGTAGCATTATTAATACAGATAGGGCTTTATCACACCTGTACAAAGCGGATGCATTTCCAGAATGTTCTACAAAGCCTTTCTGAGCAGGACAATGCTTCCAGAACCTTCTTGTCTTTTCTGATTTTTTCTGGGGAAGCTCCAGAAAATACTCTCTGTGCTGTTGTTGCTGATGACAAATTACGCCTCCAATGTTTTGACTGGTATAAATACACACAGAATTCTGTATTGGTGTGAGTAGCTCTTGTTTTCCTATACTATCTTGCAATCAATTGCAATCAATTACAACAATTAATTATAACACTCAATTACAACTAATCTCAACACTCTATTTACAATAATGTCCTACAATTACAACCCATTTGGTGATAACATCTTTAGTTATCCAAATCTCAATGCCTATGGTGAAAACGACAATGCTTGTGATTACTTGCCAATTTCTCTTTGCAACAGACCTGCAAGAATTATTCCATTTACTGATTCATCATTACCATACAGAACACTGACTCCAAATCAAAGACCAGCACCAAGACAGAGATCAAGATACTATAACAAAAATCCCAATTTATTTGACATATTTTATAAAGATGAGCCTAAATACGAGGAACCATCAGACTACTTCAACCTTGTCAACTTGATCAACAATGAGTACAAATTCAAAAAACATATCAGACAAAATGAAAGCGCAGATAACATCACATTGGAATTTGTCAAAGAATTCAATCCTAGATTGGTCAAGTTGAATTTCAAAGACGAGTTTGATAATAAATTCAATGACTGGAGAATCAAATTAAGCAAAGACATTGGGCTTAACTACAATTTCAGAAATAATAATGATAATGATAATAACAGTATCTATGATTTAACTATTACATCTGAGGAAGATGACATTGAAAAGCACTACAAACTTGATAATAATAGTTTCAATGTCGATGGAATTAAATGGAAAATCATTAACACCTCAAATTCAACAAAATTGATGTTGATTATTCCAAAAAGATCAGATGAAAAACCTAATCAAAAAAAAGTAGTAAATGAAAAGAAATTGGCAAATGAAATTCAAAATAAAATCAACAAAGCACAACAACAATGGATAAATTACTTGCAAACTCAATCCGAGAATGAATTGAAGTCTAAATTTAATCAACATACTAAAGAAGATCATGATCAAGTTAAGAACACTAATTCTAATACCGCTGCCACCACTACTACTGCTACTAATAATGATAATAGTGATAATATTATAAGAATTCCAATCAATTTTATTGAAGAAAGCTCAAAACCGGTTGATGTCAATGTTTCAAACACAAAGGATTCAATCAGTCAAGATGAAAAAGTTGTTGATTCTGAAATTGAGCCAGCAACTGAATCCAAGTTAGAACCCGAGATAAAAGTCAATAAATCTGTTGAAATTGATTCTAGTGCCAAACAATCTACTATCAAACAATATACTATCAAACAATCCACTAGAGTAACTGAAAATGATAACGAAATGGAAGTCGATTCTGATTACGAAAATGTATCCAAAGACGAATTGAATAATGAAAATAAGAAAACCCCTGAAGATAGTAACAATGTTATTGAATGTTCCAGACCTAATGATAAAACTGAAAAGCTATTCCAACATGATAACGATAGTAACACATCAGTTGATTCAAATGCATCAAAAAAGTCTCCATTACTTCAAGACGTCGATGTTGATTTTGAAGAATTTTAAAATATATTGATATTAACAATACAGTTTATATATTGGTTTGAATTTGGATCATGGTTTTAGTCTTTAATTAATTAATTAGTTTTTCTTTTCATTTTGGTTTTTTTGTGTTTTTCTTTTTCTTTTTCTTTTTGAATTTTTTTTCTGTTATAATTTACATATACTTTATCTTATATTTTTAATTTAACTTAATAAAACATTATTTTTTTAAAGTCATGTTCTGTAATTTGTAGAAGTTCTATAATATGTAGAACTGTATAATTGAATTGGTAAATTGTATTAAGCCAAATACCAAGCATAAGCGCGATACATTGCTAAAATTTGGTTCAATAAATTCATTCAGAGCCCATTTTAATATTTTTGTAAAACTCATCACACATTCTTTAAATAAAAATAATCTTTTGCATTTTCACTTCGACAATCTAGCTTTTATTCTGGGAATTGATATAATCTTGAAATAAAAACTGCTTCGAAAACAAATAGTGAATGTCGTGTCTTTAAATATTGTACTTGAAGAAAGAAATAAGGATGTTTTGGTAGCTAATAATTGCAGCGATATCAATAATATCAATTTTAAGTGTTACTTTTTTAACTAGGTGTTTTTATTTTAAAACAGGATAAGAGAAACAAATTGAAAAAGTTGAAATAAGGCAGTTTCCTTTTTATATACAAAAATCTCAAAGCGGCAACTAATTTCATACATACCAATGCATATATGCGCTTTAGTGCTCAGAACTTGCATATTTCTATTGTTCTTGTGAATTTCTGGAAAATAAAGTTCTCATCATTTCGAAACCTTTGTTATTCAGACCAATCTTTTTGAATTTTTATTTATTCTAATCCCACCAATTAATTTACAAAAATAATTATCATTTATCAAGCAGCAATTTCAAATAATTTATTTATTCAAAAGATTTGTTCAGAGGATTTTTTATACCCTGATTCAATAATTCACTCCACATTTAATTCTAAATTCAACTACAATTTTGTATTCATGTTTTATTAATTTTTAAAATGTATGTTCTGTAATATTTATGATCTATGTAATAAAATAAGTTTAGAGTAAATTATTTTGAACAAAAAATGAAAAAAATAAATTTGGTGTTTAACTTTACTGCTATCAAGAAGTTGTGGACTGATTACTACAATATGATTTTTTTTAGCTAAAATATTATAAGCAAGGTATAAATTATATAGGAAATAATTTTAATATATAATACATTAAAAAAATAAAATATAATAAAAAATAAAATATAATAAAATATAATAATAAAACAAAAACCAACGAGTAAATAATACCAATAGAAAAAAAAAAGAATATGGACATAACAATGAAAAAAAAAAATTCATCAGTTTTATAATATTTTTTTGGAACAAATTTATTGTTTAGTATTTTGACGTTTTTTAGTTTGTTTATTTTTCAATTTTGATTTCAATAAGCACTAACAGTTACAGGAATTGGAACTTTAATTACCATCTTATTATCAAAAATAACATTTGCACTAACATAATATAACCTGCTGAGAAGGCATGTTTGAAAACTGGGAACAATAGTTTTAGTGTTTGGGATATTTTTTTTGAAATCCCACTTAATTGAGCAATTAATTTGATTTTGATTTTGAGATTGAAATGAAGAGAATTGTTCAACATTTAAAATTTGGAATTTGTCTTGTTCAATTTTAATTGCTTGCAATGCTTCCATTGCATGAATGATATCAATTGGGAATTTTTTAGTAATTGAATCATCTAATTCTTTAAAGTCATCATCAAATTTTTTTAAATTTCTAGAAAAATTTAAAAGATAGGAATTCATGAAAATTGAAGGAGAAAGTTTAATTGGAATAGATTTGATAGATGAAACTGTAATTGAGGTAAAATCTAGAGTAATTTTTTCAACTTTGGGCAAACTTTTCAAGTCTTTAGGGAAATTAATTTTAAAATCAAATATCTTTAATTGATTTGGATCGGAGATGTCATATTTAGATTGTTTAGCTTTATGGAAAATCTTTGGGTGAATATAAGGGAAATAATAGTTTGGTAAGTCAATAGTTGCATGTATTGATTTAATCTGATCGTTAGATAGTTTAAGGGATTTTCTTTGAAATAATTTATTAGAAGTGTGAACCTCGACTTCTGAAGTAGTAGTATAATTGGAAGTATCAAGATTTGGATGAGAAGGATTTTGTTGAGAATTATTGAAAAAATCCATATATTTCAACTGACAAAATTCTAATTCCTTTTGAGCCATTAAAGCCTCTTCTTTAATAGAAAAGTTTTTATTATCATCGGTAATATTTTTGTTTTGTTCCTCCTGTTCTTCTTTATATTTAAAAATTTTAATAATGTTTTCCTTTGATTCAAGTAAAGAATTGTAAAAGGTGTCCAATTGATCAGTTGATGTTGCATTTTTAAAATCTGAATTTAGACAATTGATAGAGTTATTTAAAGAATTTTTTTGAACGATAGGAATAAATCTCAAGTAGTATTGAGAGTTTTTAGTGACTCTTAAATCAGGAGGAGTATAATAGTCATTTGAAGTATTATTTGGAGATTGAATTAATTTGGCATTGACTGAGTAATAAACACAAGTGTTGTGGTTGTAATCTTTTGTTAAAATAGTTGAGCCATTAAGGTTATTGACGTAGTCTATACCAGTTAATATATTTGGAGTTAGATCGCTGAAGTTTGGAACTTGATGGTTATTGACACCAAATGAAGGAGGTAAGGATAAATGGCTGAGGATATTGTGACGACAAGAGTTATCTAAGACATTTGAAGAAGGGATTTTAAAGATGAAGTTTTTCTTGTATTTGATATGGGGTAGAAGGATTCTGTTTGAAGGTAGGCCCAAATAGTGTGTTTCTAATTTATTTGTTAGTGGGTTTTTAACGTTTGTTTGGTAATGGCCAAAGTTATAGGATAGTTTATTTAAAGAAGGTTTTATGTAACCATAAGACCAGGAGGCACTTAAATCCACCATTTTGAGGAAGTTTTTAGTCATCAATTTGTTGGTTGATTTTTGAATTACAATGTGACCTTCCAAGGAGATGTAGAAATTATCAAAGTTGACTGGTTTTTTGGAGATGTTTTCGATCAATGCGTAGCCATATACAATTGCGTCATTATTGAGTTCGATGATTTTGTCAGGATGTGATAATAAGATTATGGATAGTTTTACAAAGGCGTTATTTGATTTTTTCAAAGAAAGGATTTTGTCAAAATTAATTGAAGTGTCAAGCAAATCAACTGGGGTATTTGACTCAACCGATGTATCAGAGTTGTTAGAGATGTTAGAGAAATTAGAATTACGTGAGTTTGTAGAATTGGTGGAGTTTATGGAATTTAATGAGTTATTTGAAATATAAGAGTTGTATGAATTGTTTGTAGTTGAGGATGTATAATTGTTTGTAGTTGAGGATGTATTTGTGTTAATTGAGCTTGCATTTGAGATTCTTCTTGCTTGAGGATTATAGTTAATGTTGAGATAGTTATTGTCTTGATGAAGATTGTCATTGTTGATTGAATAATAATCAGGTAATGGAATCAAATGAGGGCTGTTATCGATATTGTTATTATTATCACTATCATTGGTATTGGTATTAGTAATGGCATTGGTATTCATATTGTTGGAATCATCTTCATTGGGGGTTGCGGATGTATTGCTGTTTTGGGAGTAGTTATGGGGGCTTTTGTTTATTGGGGAGTTTATAAACGTCTGATGCATCTGAAAAGATGGTAGAATATCAAACAACTGGTTGTCATCAACTATTGTAGAGTCTTGAGAAAGAAGATAATAAAAAGTTAGTAAGGAAGATCAGATCAAACAGAAAATAGGGCAAAAAGGAGTGAAATTCGATGCTCCAGATCGTAATTTTAGATTGAAGGCATACGGCACCAGAGGAAAACAAAATACATACTTAAAACAGACATGGCGAAATACAGTTAGTGTTGGAGATGCGATGAGCTGGAGTAGGACAGTGTGGAAATGTGTCTCGATTGCGAGAAGAAAAAGCAGCAGCAGTCTGGAGATGAAGAGAGTGGAACAGCGAGAGTTGAAGAAACAAGAGAAAGAAGAGCTGGATCTGACAGCAATCGCAGCTTATATACCTCTCCCCAGATCCAGGGCTGTGGCCGTGGAATTTCCGGCACACGCACCCGACTGCCGGATCACATGCCAAGACACGCTTTCTGAGTCATGCTGCGCTATTCATGCGTACACACGCAGTAGTGAGCTTAAGTCCCACTTTCCGAATCCAGACAGTCATTTTCTGGAGCTCTTGGTATGATGAAACACGTTTTAGCTGGAGGACTGCTCTTAAGGGTCTCTAATCGATATTGGCACTGTAATTTATTCGCAAGCCTAAAAGAATAGAAGTTTCCACTTTTCTGTTATTCTTGATTAGCAGTACCGGACGTGTTGCACTGATTGGCCTGCCAGCTGTCGAGTATTGTTGAATGATAAATCTTAAACAAAAAATAAGATTGTTCAAAGTTTAAGTTTTTTGGCTTCTTTGTTTGAAAACCATCATGTTCTCTATCTTAAAGTAAAACATTGGAGATCCCCATTTTAAATCTATCGTACAATTCCAAATTAAAATAATGATTACTAACATGCTCCTTACGTTTTGGTTTATAAATTTGCCGCTTTTGATACACCTCGCTGATAAGCACCCTCTAAACATAATGCTGTATCACAATATTCAAATGTGGATATAGAAAATTAGTGTGGTTACTGTGTGATCATGGTTTAGCAGTATTAGGAGGTAATCCAGTGGGAATAGTTGATTTTAGTGATTTTTGTTATACGTAAGGTTTTTTTTGTTTCAATTAAATGGTTCAATAATATTCCATGGCATTTAAATAAAATAAATAATAAAAAAAGTTGAACTGGCTGAACAGGTCGAAGAAGTCAAAGAAATCAAAGAAATCAAAATTGAGCAGTTACCTCATTATATAGTGGTCCAAAATAGAAGTGATTGCTGCTTGAGCATGCATAGTTGCTCTTTATGGCTTGCTTATTTTTATTTTCTGATAACCCCTACGTAATATCAACACCATCATCTCTTGGAAACAAAGCATTCTGATTATTACATCTCATAGTATCTCATAGTATCTCAAAGTATCTTAAAGTATCTCATAGTATCTTATAGTGCTTTGAGTTTGCTGTTCTTCCGGTTCTAGACCCAACAGAAGGATAAATGCACTGCGACCAACTCCCAACCCTTTGCAGACCTCGCTCCCAACAGCGGAAGAGAGGTCCACAGAGAAACCCCTGAGAAGAGCAGGAAATGGCCGTTTGTTTCCCTGTTCCTTTCATGCCCGGCTTCTGCACACGACAACCGCTACCCGGCTCTGCCGCTCTTCTCTAACTGCGGCCTCCCATTGGCCAGCAGAAATCTGGGGTAAATAAACACCACCTCTAGCGCTGGAATTCTTCCCTTTTCGGCCTCATTTGGCTACACCTCTCTATAAGGTTTCTATAAGGTTTCTCTTTTCTCTCTGTATAATGGAATATTTCTTCATTATAACGCTATTCTTCCAGCCCAACGAACACCTGATTTGGATCCACTCACATATAAATATCCTAATCTATCTTCAACTGCCTCTTTCTTTTTTTGCCCACCTATCGTTCTTCTCTTTTTTCTTCTCCCTCTCCTGTTTTTACTCCACGTCTCACTTGTTCCACCTACCATGTTCTTTCTCTCCTCAACATCAACCAGTTCTGAATCCGCCGAGTCGCCAACTGCCAACAACAATTTCATATACACCATTGACTATTACGACCAAATCACCGAAGATTTCAGTGTTTACGAGAAAGAACTATATTCAAGCGATTTAAAGGTCGACAATGCCTATTATATGATCCAAGAGTGCGAAAGTATACAAGAGATGAGTGAGTTTTTAGATCAAGTAAAAATCATCAATTCTGACGACATTGAGGATGAGCCTATCACTTTGAATGAAAAATCTAACGACAGCATTACCTCCCAACAGAATCTATAAATATTTCGATTTAAAAGAATCCAATTTCAATAATTCAAATCAATATCCTTCATTTGAATCCTCATTTTTTCTAATATCCAAAAACAATACCTGTTTTATAATCAACCTATGGTTCCCTATGTCCCCCATGTCTTTTTTTTCTTTTCTTAATTGGTTTACATCTGCTGGTTTGGATTAGACTTTACCTTTGATTTTATTTATTTCTACACCTTTTTTTTATATCATCCGATTTATTACACTCAAGCATCTTACGACGCTTTTTTTTATATCTAGACCTACATTAGATCTCTTATAGAATATACATCATTTCTTTTTTTTATCTCTCGTTTTCGACCTTTATTCAATGTAATACACTGCATATTGACGCGCGTACGCATATACAAGCACTTAAAATCTGAATAATTTTTTTATTTTGTGTTGTTTTTTATTCTTCCATTTCCTTTAACATCATCAGAAACAATTGATTTTACTTTTCTTATTTACTTGAATGATTAAGAATTTTGCAAACTCTTTCAAAAGATTAATAATGAATGAACCATCTTCAAAGAAAAAAATCATCGTAATAGTTGGTACGACTGGTGTGGGTAAATCAAAATTCTCAATTCAACTAGCTGAAAGATACAATGGCGAAATTATCAATGCTGACTCAATGCAAATGTATAAAGATTTAGATCTAATAACAAACAAACATCCAATCAACGAAAGACAGGGAATACCTCATCATATCATGAATCATATACCCTGGGACAATGAATACAATATCCATAGATTTAAAAATGAAGCGCTATCTAAAATTAACCAAATTCATTCAATTAATAAAATCCCAATAATTATTGGTGGAACTCATTATTATCTCCAATCTCTACTATTCAAAAATAAAACAATAACAACAAATCTCACACAATTCGATAACGAAAACACTTTCAACATCAACAAATCTGATACTTATGATACTTATAATCAATTATCAACTGACGAAAAAAATTTACTAAAATCAAATGATTCCCTGAAAATTTTTAATAAACTAAAAGAAATTGACCCAGTTTTATCCCAGAAATTTCATCCCAACGATACAAGAAGAATTAAAAGAGCCTTAGAAATTTGTCTTTTGACTAACAAAAAAACAAGTGATTTATATCAACAACAAAATTTAAACCAAATCTCAGAATCCTCTTTAAGATTCAACACTCTAGTCTTTTGGGTCTGGTCAAACCAATCAATTTTAAACCAAAGATTGGACGATAGAGTAGATGACATGATCAACAATGGTGCAATAGATGAAATATCCTCATTATATAATCTTTATTTATCAAAATCTATAAAACCTGACTGTCAACATGGGGTCTGGCAAGTCATTGGCTTTAAAGAATTTTTACCTTGGTTAAATTATACAAATCAAAGTGAAAAAAAAATTGACAACGTTATCGCTAAAAAGTTATTCAACCAATCAGTGGAAAATATGAAAATAAAAACAAGACAATACTCTAAACAACAAATTAAATGGATTAAAAAAACCCTTTGTTTTGAACTTGCAAAGGAGTCAAAACATTACTTCATAAATGGTGGATTAATATTCTTACTTGACACTTCAAACCTCGATAATTGGAACTCCAATATCACAATTAGATCCCAACAAATAATGGATACATTTTTAGCCAATAAATCTAGTTACAACTTACCTCAAGCACCAGAAGGTTTAACTGATATGATACAAATTAATGAAGAAAAATTTAATAAGCCAACCTGGAAACATTATCAATGTGATGTTTGTAAACAGAAAAATGGCGATCCTTTAATAATAGTTGGCGAGGAAACTTGGAAAATTCACTTAAATAGTAACAAACATAAATCTACAATTAATAGAGGAAAGAGAAAAAAGGAATATGAAGAATGGTTGAAAAAGAAAAATATGGAACATGATTCATTAAATGATTCTAATTGAACTGTCAAAAGCGATTAATTATTTAAAAAAAAAATTAAAAAAATTAAAAGTTAAAAATCCGGAAAATTGAATTATTAATATCTGGTATATACTATACTATATCTAACCAAATCTGATTTGTTGATTAGGATTCCAAAGTCCACCTGGTCTTGAATTGGATTGAGGAGCAACAACTTCAGCCCCTGAAATTTGATTATTTCTATTAGAATTAAATTTGGTATTTGCATTTGTATTGGTATTTGAATTAACAGTTTCATTGAAATCATTGTAGTAATTATTTTCATTTTGATTATCATCTTCATCATCTTCATCATCGTCATCATCATCACTATCTTCCACTTCAATAGGATCACTTTTTTTCATATATTGATTTAATTCGCTAGTTTTAATTAAATTTAAGTTGTTAGTATTAATGAGAATTTTTATAAGTTAGTCTCACAGGTAAATTGTAAATTATTAAACAAACAATAATAAAATTGCCAAAAATACTTACGATTCTAGTTCTCTAGCTTCCAATCGTCTCTCATAAACGTACTCATCGATATTTTTCAATAAATTTGATGCATTAACGATAAAATCATTATAAAAATTTATACCTTCATTGAAATTTGTTATCAATTCCATAAAATTTGAATAAACTAATTCAAATCTATGAAATATACCTTGTTTCATCTTATCAGATGATTGAAAGTAAACATCGGATTTTTGAATAAATTTTTTGTTCAAAACCTATATTTATATATTTATGTTAGTTATTTATTTTTCTATTGTGTTGTGTTTAAATTTAAATAAAACTTACTTCAATCTTCTCTTGAATTAAATTTTGCTTTTGTTTTTGTTGATCAAAAAAATTTAAATCACTTTCAAAGTTGCTAATATGTTTTTCATAAACTTTATTAAAAATATTCATCTTTTCTTCATCCAATTCTTCATTTGAGTCATATATATTATCACTGTTTGAGCTTGAATTTTCTGATAATTTATGTAGGGTTTCTATTGAATTTGTGTCTTGAAATCTTTTATATTCTTGAATGATCTTGGGTAGGATAGTTAATTGTTGATTTTTAATATCAACAGTTTCCAAAAAACTACTTCTTTCAGCTTTTAAAGAAATCAATTGACTTATAAGAGATTTAAGAGAGTTTGCTGTTTTTAGAGTTTCTGAGTCTATAGCCATTGGGGAATTATGGTAACTATTAGGTGGTGTAGTTGAAATAATTTTAATTATATATTTTTTTAGGTCATTGCTATCAAAATTTAATAAAAGCTTTAAATCATTTTCTATATCAAGAAAACTGTTTAAAATGACTTGGTCGCCACTTTTTGCTTGAACTAAATAATCTTCTAGACTTTGAATTTTATCCCAATAATCCTTTGAAGAAACATGTGATGGTGGTCTTGTCCAATATCTTAAGCCATAATTTGATTTTAAATAATCGTCTTCATTTTTTTCAATATTTAATCTTTCTTTACAACCATCAATTAAATGATTTGAGTCCAAAGTCAATTTCTTGATATCACTTAAAGTGCTTTGTAATTTTTGAAGACCACCCAAATTTTTCATTTCATGAATATTATCAAGTAAAGATTCAGGTAATTGAAAATCATCTAAATTTGGTTGATTAATTAGTAAATCAATTGAAGAAGGCAAGTTTCTTTCGGCTAAAAATCTGTTGAGAATATTATTTAAGGAATTAATTGGTTCGACTATTTTTTGTTTAATAAACAGTTGTTGACGTTCTTTATAGGCTTGAGAAGTACAAATAATAAAATAAGGTAGTAAAGATGAGAATAATAAGTTTCCATAATTTTTTGAGTCATTAATTTTGTTAATTTTGTTAATCTTGTTAATTTTATTATTATCGTCATCATCATCATTTGATTTAATTTTTAAGAATGAGATTGGTTTTTCGAGTTCATCTATTATTAAAGATTTTACCATATCAATTTTAACAATTTCAGACAACTTATTAAAATCCGGTACAGGTTTTAAATAGATCAAATCATTATCTCTTTCGGCAATTTTCAAGGTTTCTTTTAAAACCACATTTAAACCTTCTAAATCGCTGACAACTAAAGACGATAGGTTGCCTCTCTTTCTTAAAGACTGATTTGAGTAATTTAAAGCCAATTTTAATCTTGAGACTTGTTCACCATAGTTTAACTGTGAACAAGACATCTTCGAATGTCTGAATTGGGCTACTGCTAAAAAATGGTTTTGTTTTGCAGTTAAATGGTCTAGCCATTTTGAAGTAAAAGAATCAGATTTTGTAGTGAATTCCAAAGAGGTTTTATAAAAATCAGCAACAGAGGAAGCTAGTCTAGCTATTATTGAATCTTTTAAATCATTTGAAATAGCCTTTTGCCAAAAGGTTTCTTGAGCTTGTGCTAGCATTGTGTATTTCAAGACATTGATTGATTGAATTTGGAAATCTAAAGGAAGATCGAAATTTAGTTTGTTGTCTAATTTAAAGGAATAATTTAAAATAAACTGAAAGCAACCGGCTGCGTATTGAAAATAAAGACAAGATTTTTTAATAGAGTCTTCAGAGTTTCTGAGTTGAAGTATAGCCAATTGGGAATAAAAAGCACCCAAATTGTAAATGATATTAAAAATTTCCCAGTAGATGGAAGTGATTGAAATCGGAGAAGTAGAATTATAGGACAAGGTGCCATACCATGAAAAGGAGGTTAGATCAATTGGGAATTTTAATAGTAGAGAGTTTAGATGAATAAAGTATTTTTTCAAGTGAGTTAGATCATCAGTGGATATTATTGGATCAATAACTTGTTCTCTTAAATTGTGGAAAAATAAGATATCATCTTTAAAAGAATCAGCAGTTTGAAAATACTCTTTGGATATAACGTCATTTAAAATTTGATTGAAATCAAGAGAAACAGTCTTTCTCAAGGGAATAAATAGTAAATTGGAACTCATTGTGATAAATCAAAACCCAGAAATCATCAAAAGGCTGTTAAAAAGAAAAAAAATTATGAAGTAATTAAATGTAAATAAAGATATAAAATAACTATAATGTTCAGTCACATGACTAAGCAGTTAAATAATCCATACGAGTGGATTCAATTGCAGTCGCGTATTAATACATGTGCATTGACGTGCATTCTGACGGATTTTCGAAAACGAGTGCAATTTTTCGAAAAACGGTGAAAATGATTTCCCGAGTTCGAACTTTTCAGTTTTAAGATGCGTCAATGCGAAAGTACGAAAGTACGAAAGTAAACAGATTAATAGAATAAACAACAAACGAGATTAGCATATACAATAAACCCTTTAAATGATAAGATAATAAATACATCAGACCGAATTTAGAAAAAAAACAAAAAACAAGATAAGAAGAAATAATAAAATGGAAGAAAAGTAGAAATAGAATTGGAAATAGAAAATAAAGATGAATGCAAAAATTGGTTTCAAACTGCACAACCAGAACTATGAGAGCAAAGAAAGACAAAGCCGAAAAAAAGTGAAATAATGAAACAATGAGATAATGAAATAATGAAGGAAAAAAATAGGGATCGAGGCAACTGAAGAGTAATGAAACTCAAATTATATGGAATAAGTGACACCGGGGAATATTATAGTAAATTTCAAACCGAATTGGTATTTATCATTTAAATTATTTAGCTGATTGAGGATTTTTTTTCTTGGATCGAATTGAGTATATGATTCTTTTACGTGAGTTATGAGGATATTCAAGCCATTTAAAGAATTTTGGTGAGTAATTTTTGTGTTATTTTTTTTGTGTAGATTTTGCAATTTCTCATTTAGAGAGATGAATTCGTTGAATAGGTTATTTGGGGTCATATGGCCATATAAAGGCACACCATCTGGTAAGTTTTCAGTTGAGCATTCAATGATGATGCCAGACAATTGATTTTTGTAGATTAGAAGCGAAGCGTGGTCCCAGATTTTGCCATTTTTGATTGAGTTTGCTTCAAAGTCACCAAAGATTAGGATTGAGTTAAGATTGAAATTGTTTTGGATGAAGAAACAGTTACTTTTGTAGATTTGGTGATTGAGAGATCCGTCACTGACTACTCCATGATTTAGGCTAAAGGGTTTTATGTTGAAGATGCTGTTTAAATTGATGTTGAGGTTTTTTTCATCGTTGATTTCTATAAATTGGAGTAGTTTGTCGTATTTGGACAAATCGGGCCAAATTATTCCATTGAAGATGTGTGTTTTTAGGGCATTTATGGTAAAGTTTGAGCCATATATCTTTTTTGATAGGTAGTTGTTTGAAGAGTTTTGGTTAAAGCCCGCAGAGTTGATGATGAGAGCTAGAATGTGGTCTAGATGAGGATGGGTTATGAAGTAGCTTTCGATTAGATCAAATAGTTTTGAAGTGATTTGGGAAGGGTTTAGCTTTAGTTGTGTGCAATTTAGATTTAGAGTGGATAGTGAGCAGTTTGTGTAGTCTAAAAAGTTTAAAGAATCATTGTAGGAGTTTAAGATAAGGTTATTGCTATGAATTTTTCCAATTATTTTGTTAGTGGTGGTTGTATTAGTATCAGTATTGGTATCGGTATTGGTATTGGTATTGGTGTTGACGGATGTGTTTTTGAATAGAAATTCGTTTTCATTTGAGATCATTTTGTTAAATGAAGCATAGCCTGAACCAGCATCAATACAGATGAAATGGTTAATGAGATTTTGACTTAGGATTGAGGTGTATGATATGTTTGATGTTTTGATAAGATATGAGCAGCAATTAATTTCTAGAGGACCACCACTTGAACCTAGGACGGATATGTCGAATTTTATATCCTTTTTTTTGATGGTATTGTTGAAGTTGTTGATATTGAAGTTTTTGTTGTTCATATTTGAATTGTTGAAGATCTGGGTTACCATAATTTTTTTTCCGATTGAAAAAAAAAAAGATAAAAAAAAAAGTGGAACCAAGAATATACGATCTAGAAGTGAGTAAGAGAATAGGAAGATGGAAGATGATTTTGAATGAATATTGAATAGGTCTTTTTAATAAAATAATTCCCAGTACTGACAAGTAAATATATTTATATATAAATATAAATATATTGGTTAATTAGTATGAGTTAAAAAAAATGAAAATGAAAATGAAAATGAAAATGAAAATGAAAATGAAAATGAAAATGAAAATAAAAATGAAAATGAAAATAAAAATGGAAAAGCCCAAAAAAATGAAAATGAGAGTAACAAAAAAAAAAAGCTAAAAGCAGTATGAATGAGTAAGATCAGTAGAATGATTAAGTTAGAAAATAAAGGATGATGATGTAGGAACTAGGACAGATTGGAGATTATGGATATCGTATTAGAATTAATGGAGAATAGAGTAAATAAAGAAGTGTATACAGAAAAGAGAAAGAGAAGAAGAGAAGAAGAGAAGAAAAAAAAGAAAAAAAGAAGAGAAAAAGGAAAAGGGAATAGAGAAGTTGGGAGAAAGAGTGAGGTTTTGAAGGATTAATAAATGATTTAGTTTGGATAGAATAACATTGACTATTGACTATTGACTATTGATTATTGAATATTGAATATTGAATATTGAATATCAAAAGAAAAACATATCTCATAATAAAGTACTAAATACTAAAAGTGAATCAAATTTTAAATATTAAATCAGGATGGAAAGTTAAAGTTTAAAGACTGAAATTGGGAAAGAAGAAAAAAGTTTTGGGAAATATAAGAGTTTTGAAAGTTTGCAGCGATTTAAGAGCTTTTCCACAAAAAAAGAAATAAGATTCAGGGAAAGAAACAAAAGTGCTCAAAGGAAACAGATTTTTGTTGAGAGTACCCTATGAAAAGCTGATAGAAGGTTGATGGAAAGTTGATAGAAGGTAGACTGGTATTAATGTTAGAGGAATAGCAGTGATGATCTTTCCAGAGAGACGATCTACTGGAATTCTAAATTCAGATTATGAAATTGGTGATAACAGTGCAGAAACAACAAAAAAGAGAAAAGACGACAAGAGGAAATAGGTCTGAGAAAAACGGGACCAGAACAGCGGTCGTAAAGGCAGTCGAGGACACGTCGGGACGTATTGTTCCCGTTTTGTTCGCTTACTGGTTTTGTGGCTTCTAGAAACACCCTGCCAGCCAATCACAGTGCGTCCCACTTCTGCGCTGCGTTGCGTCTCCTTCCAGTTCTGGCTTTGTCGCTCCCAGCACGCACATCATACGCACACCACACGCAGCGTAACCTTCAGGGTGTGTGTCACTCTCTCTTGCACGCTCGCACCAGCAATACGGTATATGCATACTTCTGCATAAAGCACACACAATCGCGTCTACCGCAGCCCTGGCCGACGTTTTCTTGTGGGTGAAGTGTTCTTCCTCTGCTGTTTCTGCTGCCTCTGCTGCCTCTGTGACCAGTTTTCTCTGCTTCTCTTCCCCATGTCCTTCTCGTTTGCCTCCCTCAAAGAGTCTATTCCCTCCAAAGCAGACTTCAAGTCCAAAACTGATTTCAAGCACAGCTCCCAGCCCTCTCCTTTGGCATCTGCCTCTTTGAGCTCCTACTCTGACCTGTCTTCTGTTCGTCCTCTAGCTGCTTTAAAAGACCCAAAGTCTTTTCCTGCTCCACCAAGAAGAAATCCTACTCTTGATACTCTAAGGTCTAAATCTCCTTCTCAAGTCCCAGCCCAACCACAGCTTCAACCACAGCTTCAACCACAGCTTCAACCACAACCCCAGGCTCAACCCCAGGTTCAACTTCAACCCCAATATCAGCAATATCAACAGTATCAACAACCAGCTGCTATATCACTACCTCAGCTATTTTCTCGTCCTATACCTCCTCCACCACAACCACAACCACAACCACAACCACAAAACACTTATGCTGTTAATCAGCCTTTATCATCTTTAGTTGCTTCAATTCCTGCTCAATCGGTAATTAACAATACTCTTCAAAATGCTAACAACAACCAATTGCAATCAACTATCTTGACCAATGTCGTTTCAAATCAATTAAATAAAACTTCAACCTCCAACCTTCCTCAACAACAGCCAGAACTACAACATCCCCCACAACCAGCATTGTCTTTTTCAAAGCCTTACCATAATCCTCCTCCACCTCAATTACAACAACAACCACAGTTATCTCTGTCTTCTTCGGAAGAAGATTTGCGAGCTTCTTATAAAAGGCCTGCAATGCCTTTACCTCCAAGTAATCCCACAATAACAACACCCGCTCCCAATTCTACTTATACTTCAGTCCCTGCTTATACTCCAGCTCCAGCTCCAGCTCTGGTTTCTGTTCCAGTTTCTGCTTCTAGTATTATTCCTGCTACCACCCCAATTGTTTCAACATCTCCGGTTTCTAATCTTAACACTCAAAACAAAGAAAAATTTGAAGATAAAAAAGAAAATCCCAAAATTCCAAAACCTGCTCCCGATCCTCTTTCTTTCACTCCACCACCAGTTCATAAAGCAAGAGGAACAAAAAATCAATCTTCACCTATAAACCCATCCCAGACATCAAAATTAAAACCACACCTGAATAACAACCAATCTATCCCTCCTTTACCAAAGAGAAAAACAGATATCACTTCTCAAAACACTTCAAAGCTCCCACCTCCTGCCTCATTTGAACCTCCTCCAAGACCCTTTGGAAGTAAAGCTCCAATTTTCACTGATAATGTCATTCAATCCATTCAAAATTCTCGTAAACAAGAAACTGAAGTAGAATTACAAGAAGCTGCAACAATACCAAGACCGACAATCAGAAATAACTCTCTTTCTCCTTCTCCTTCCTCTTCTCGTGTTTCTACTCCTTCTTATCCCACATCAAACTCTTCAAATAATAATAACACTCTGATTTCAACAAATAAAATCGATATTTCAGCTCTACCCCCTCCACCAAGACCCTACGGTAGCACTGCTCCAATATTTAAAAATCATATAAATATCAATCCAAAAACACATCAAGTCGACGATCCCGAGGTCAAAAAATTAATTGGTGAAACTAATAAAAGTTATCATGTTAATTCCATTCACAATCCTCCCACCCATACTACAAATATCCCAATTAAAAACCCTATTATCGATAATAATATACTCAATCATAATCCAAACTCATTGGAATTTAACGTGAATAGCAATAGAGCAAAATTCTTACAATCAAAGGGCATATTTCCTCAAGCAATAGAAAATGAATCTGGCGTTACAGAAAATCAACCAAATAACTCGGATAATTCTTCAAATATTGCTTCATCAAATTTGTCAAATAATTCTCCAATTCAAGATGAAAAAAATCACATTAATATACTCAAACCTAAACCATCTGCACCAACTCCTCCTGCATCCAGATCTTCAACTATTTTAACAACAAAACCAAAACCAAAACCACCAATCACTAAACCAAAACCAAAATTAAAACCAAAACCAAAAAGTTTTATACAATCATCTCACAATGAGAATCTAAAAAAAGATCTTGAAATCGAAATTGAAAATAAAAATGAAAACAAAAATGAAAATATAACTAAAAGTAAAATTGAAAATAAAACTGATAATAAAACTGATAATAATTTGTCATCTGTTCCTAAAGCTAACACTCCCAAAATTTCAAATGAAAAATCTGATGATGATTTTATTGCATCTCTAAGAGGCTCTTTACGTCACACAAATGACAATGCCATTAAAAGATTAGAAAAAACAAATTTGTCAAAACAAGAATCTGATGATGGGCCTCAAATACAAATAATAACACCTTCACCAGATATCTTGCCCCGAAAAATTTCTCACAATAACGTCTCAGAAAAAAAGAATTTAGGACTGCCAGTTCAAAAGTTTCCAATAATTAAACCCAAACCAAAAGTATTACCTAAACCTGTTTTAAAACCCAAACCAAATTCATTGGCTTCCAAACCAGCTGTTTTAAAACCAACAACAGTTCCAAAACCTCATTTTTCAAAATTTGAAGAAAAGAATAAAGGTAAACCGGTTGAAGAAAATATTTTCAAACCTAAACTACGTCATGTATCTTTACCAAAGGTCTTACAAGATGTTCAAAATGATCAAAAAGTTATTGAAGAAAAAAACAAAGAAGAGATTAAAATAGCATTTTCAACAACAAAATCTAGACCTCCCTTGTCACCACCTCCTATAATAGAAAGAAAATGGCTATCTGCTGCTCCAGTTATAATAAGTGAACTTCAAAATAGGAATTCTGCACCAAAAACAGCACCAAAACCAAGTAGAAGGTCATCAGTTCCACCACCCCCGCCAGCTTCTCGTAGAGCAGCAAAACCACCACCTCCTCGATTAGTCTCAACGAACTCCATAGTGAAAAAATGGAAAGCACCCGAATTAGATTTGGAATTAAGTTCATGTTGGTTTTCAAATAACTCAAATAAATTACCAAAATGTTTTTCTGGGTTTAATTATTCAAAAAGTTATGGCTATTCAAATAATGATGCCTTTAGCATTTACTGTTTTAGATTCCCTGATTTGTCAATGGTTAAAATAAAGTTTGAATGGGATAAAAGTGCACCTAATTTACTTAAAACATTGAGGATTAGTAGAAGTGATACTCCCCCACCTCAGGCAAGTAAATCAGAATTGATCGAAGGGCATAAACAATTTGGATTACACATTACTAGTTGGTGTGAGGACAGATTAGGCGAACAAGTTGGAAATGGAGAATGTTGGACATTGGCTCATGACTCATTAGAAAAAGCTTGTGGTAAGTATGCATTTGTTTCTGATGGATTAAATCATGGAGCATTGATTTATAAGATGACTGGGGATAATGGTAGATTGGAAACTGAGCCTTCAGAACCATTAGACGAAATCAGGGAAGGTGATATTTTGCAATTTAAAAGTTGTATATTCAAAAATGAAAGAACAACACAATATTGTGGCAGTCCAGATCATACAGCTGTTATTTCAAAAATTAAAGAGAAAAATGGAATAAACGGTTATAAATTAGAAGTCTTTCAACAAAATTCCGGCGGAGTTAAAAATGTCACAATTGGTGAATTTAAATTAAGTGAATTAATTGAAGGAGAGATAAAAATATTTAGACCAATGCCAGCTACTTGGGCAGGAGAAATGAATTCCAAATGGCCTTAAATAATTCTTAATGTTTTAGAATTAATTGAAGTAATTGAAAATACATTAAGATATAAATATGACATTGGAAAGCAATCATGAACTATAAATAAAAATTTATAAAAAAAAGATTTATAATAAATAATAGATGATCATATAATATATAGAAGTATGAGAGTTTACAATAAACTGAAAATTTTCAGAGTTTATGTAAAATATGAGATAAAAACAAAGAAAAAAAGACACAAATAAAAAACAAAAAAAAGAAAAAGAAAAAACAAAAGCAGGGCTCAGAAATGCACCTTGTAATGAAAGATAGACAAACAAAAACCTGGGAAATAAAATTATAAATTAAAATCAGTAACTCATTTCAATAACGATCTATTAAATCAATGTAACAATTTGTTGAATCAATGTAACAAAGATTTGAATTCTTCAAAATCAATTTCACCATCATTATTTGTATCTGCTTCAGCAAACATTGCACGAATTTCAGCGTCATTCAAACGTTCCCCAATCGAAGCTAATGCTTCTTTTAATTCATCAAAAGACACTGTTCCATTTGAATCTTTATCAAAGACCCTGAAAGCCTCACGCAATTCGGCGTCTGTGTCTGAATCATGTATGGTTCTTGTCATCATTACAACAAATTCTTGAAAATCAATAGTGCCATCACTGTTGGCATCAATCTCGTTAATCATATCCTGAAGCTCAGCATTGGTAGGATTTTGACCCAAAGATCTCATGGCACTAGCAAGCTCTTCTATAGATATAGTGCCACTCTTGTCGACATCGAAAAGAGAAAAGGCCTCCTTAAATTCCTCGAGCTGTTGCTTGTTGAGATGGTTCATCTTCCTATGTTTCAACAAATGCCCACACAAAAGCTGTTTACACAAAGTTCACTTCCTTTTATATCCACACGGGTGTCCCCAGCCACCGCTATGGTACCAATCGGCCGCCTCTACCACAGCGCTGGATCTAGACGCGAAATGAGCGCGAGAGTTGAGGGACGTATATGGGACAGAAGGCAGATGCAGCAGGTGCAACAGAGTATATAGTATAAGGTGTGGCAGAGACAGCTCGTCGTTCATGGCTGTCTGGTCTAGGCGTCTTTCTTGTCTTCGTCCTTTCTATCCACTTCTTTGTCTTTTTCTTCGTTTTTGTCTTCGTTTTTGTCTTCGTCTTCATCTTCGTCCTTCTCTTCGTCGCCTTCAGTGTAGTTCCAGAGCAACCTTAAATCGTTTGATAGCCAGGCTTTGACAACTGTGAATATAATAATAGATGGACACAAGTATAGCAAAGCAGGCTGGGCAGCATGGAAGACATTTAGGAATAACATCGTTAAAGATAACCCAAAGACATACGAAATAATCGCATTATGAAAGTAAGACTTTGTGTAAGCATTTAAATGGTGAAATTCAGTTTTTTCTTTTTGGCTTTCATGATATTTAAATAAATCAAATCTTAAACACAATGAGATGAAAATACCAGGGATAACTATATCGCCTAAGCCTAACATTGACATTTTAATTATAGGTATTAAACCGGTAAAGTCATAATCTTTAATTTCTGGGGCTCTTGGAATCAAAATTTTAACAGGAATTTCCATATTTGTCGCAACTGTGACCATAATATCAGTTCCAAATACGAAATAAATATCATAAAAGAACAATCCAGTTAACATTATGAACCCAGTTTTAAATGAATTGATTTTAGCATTTTGAATGCCAAATATTGAAAAACATGATCCTAATATATTACTCAATACCCAATTGTTATTACCATTATATTTTATATGGATCGCTGTGAAGACAATACTTAATGGTAATGCAAGAACTTCGGCCGATGAAAAATAAAAATTGCTCAATTGTTTATCACTTTGAATAACGGATGGCGGTTTTTTCTTTTTGTTTTTCTTTTCGTTTTTTTCATCTTTTGATTTATCCTTATCATCGGGTTTTTTTTCATTTTTAATTTCATTTTCAATTTCAAGTTTAATTTCATCTGAATTTGTTGTTTTATTATTTTTTGATTTAGTGTCAAATTTCCAAAAGAGTTTTTTAAAATCGTTGAAATTTGACAATTCTGTTTTTTTTTCATTTTCAATTGCGTCTTCATTCATCTCAAGACCAGCAGGATTAATTTCATCATCAACTGAAAAAGAGAGTCTATATCTCGAAATAAAAATCGAAGATTTTAATCCAACATAATAACAAAGATTCCTAACCATTGATTTAATTAAAAACACAAGTGTAAAATAAATCGCAGACACGCTAACGAGCCCAATATAATATTGAAAGAATAGTAGTATTTTTTCCTTTGAAAAATTTTTAAATCCATAGTACAATGAAGTTAAAGTCAAACCACCTAATATCGGCATCATAATTGCATTGGATTCCTTAATAACTGTTTCCTCTCTTGATACTGTATCCATATCGGATTGGTCAAATAACGGATGTTCCCTTGAAGGTTTCAAAGCATTACGAGGCTTTTCGATTGTTGTAAAGCTTCCAACATAAATTAGCAAGGTTGCAATAAATAATATTATCACTGAAGAAATTAGTATTTCTAAAGACTTTTCAATTAAATTTGCCTCAACAATTTCGGATAATTTATAAGTTTTCGAAAAAAGACTAATCTCATGGTCATTACCAGCCAGCTCACTATTCAAACCATAATCGGTTAAACATTTCTTTAAACTATCAATTACTATCGAATTGAATGGATTATAATAAAGCAAGTAGGATAATCGCAACGAACCTTGGTCGAAAAATGATAGCGTTTCAAAAGTTTTGTTCAGGTACAAAGTAGAATTGAAAACTAGATCAACAGCAGCTTCTGTTATATTGTTAGAACCCATCCTTGAATATCAGCCAGCACTCAATCCAATTAGAACAAATGCGATGGTTGTTCTGATATATATAATAACACGTTTGGCCCCGAAAAGATCCAGTAATGGGGTTGAGTTTTGAAGATGAAAAGTTTACCCGGCCTATTATTGAATAAGTAAGCGCTTACGTAAGCGGTTCTTTTGTGCCGAGGACGTTTTTTGTGTGTGTTTTGATTTGAAACTGAAGAAAAGAACTGTTTTTGATAGTGGATGATAATGTGCAGAGGGATTTGGCTGAGTTGTGGAAAATGTTTTTTCTGCAAATTTCCCAGTAAATTCCAACTTAAAATGAGACTAACCAGAGTTTAGACTGGACTTAGTTGCACATAATGACTAGTTCCAAGTATTTGTTTATTGGTTCAATAGATCGTATATTGTATCAAACGTAAAACTGTCAAAATTCAAGTGTTGGATCAAAATATTGAACTAAAAATAAAAATAAAAAATGTCCAAGCTTTGGAAAAAAGATGTTGATAAGATAAAAAAGAAGAATTAAAAAATTATCACAATTGAAATGTAAATGCTAAACAAAAGTCCATTATGGTATTACAGTTTTGAATTTCTTGTTGAAACCTCGTAGTTTTCGGTAGCTGATTAAGTAATAAAACTGAAAATTTGACTAAATCTACTGGAACTCAATTAAATCGGATAATAAGATTAGAGCTTGTAAGTGAATACTAATTTCCCCTGGTCATTGTAATTAAAATGTTTCAAGTCATATACTAGCAATAGAATGACAACTAGTCAAATATGCTTTTCTTCAACATGAGACCCCAACTCAACTGGAAATATATGATGGATAGGGGGTAAGACAGTCTGCTTTTGTGATGGTTGAATGTGACAATTATTTTCAAGCAACAAGCTTTCTGTGGAGGTGATGTTAGGATACAAATTAAATCTCAAATTGAGCCCTGAGTAAAATCCTGAATGATTGAATGAAATCTGATTTAAGGCTAAATTATTAGGATCAAATTTGTAGGGCAGATAGGCAGATTGATTATTTTGTGTCTCACTATTATTGTGGTTGTCTCTGGAGGTGTAAACATGGGCATAGGTTGGAATATGGTTGTTATTAACTTGATTATTATCATGCTCAAAAGTGTTCTCATTGTATTGTGTGTTATTGTTATGGTGTGTGTAATTTTTATTGATGCAAATAGGGCTGTTGTAACTGCTTATAGGACTGCTATTAATATCAATTAACCCACTGTTTAAAATTTGGTTTGAAGTTGGTTTTGAAGTGTGCCTCAATTTTTGTTTGAGATGTGATTCTATATGTCTTTGTAAATTCCCATTTGAATCTGTTGTATAATGACAATAATCGCATTTCTTATCCTTTTTTTTCTTATGTCTTTTGATATGTTTGTCTGCATAGCTTTGATAATCAAAACCAATAAAGGAAAAAACGCAATCAGGATAGCAACACTTGTAAATCTTGACTAGATAGTATTTTGTTTTATCCAAATGGCTGATATAATCAATAAGATAATTAAAAGTAGAAGAGCATCTTGAACATTTCCACCCTCCTATATTGATTGTCTTGGGCTCAAACTTGGTTTTTAAAAAAGCCTTGACAAAAGGGCTGTTGTAATTCACAGTTTTGTCCTGTAAACATTTTTTGTGTGCTTCCATTGTGTGCAGTTTTTGCTTCTTTCGAGATCTATCACCCAGATTTATGTTATTGTGAGAGTAGAAAACGATACTTGGTCTCTTATTGTTATTTTCATTATTAACTTCGCCGTGAATCATGTTGATAATAAACTTAAAGATAGTGGAAATTGGTTATAATGATAACTGGAAATGATTAGAGACTTGGAATGGAAAACAGATAGCATCCAGCCAAAAATACGCTGAGAATTGAGACAAATTAAATATAAAAGTGGTGCTTAGTAAACGAATACCTTCGATAGGTTAATTACCCCAATATTTATATTTTTGGCTATCAACTGTATCATTTTTAGTACAATGTAACATATTGCGGTTCTTACAGTACCCTTGTATCTGTTGTAGAATATACAATTTGAGTGCTTTTTCCAGCTCTCACCACATTATCAGTCGACTGACATGAACTGAACTGGAACAGAAAGCTCATACTCAAGTCTTCCAATTAAACAAGGCCCAGGCTCTTCAATGGTTTATGTAATCATGTAAACAATGGACTTCAAAGAAGCCCACATTAAAACTCACAATCCAATTCGAAAGCACATAGCGATTCTTTTTCCTGTTACATCTAGTTGCTTCCAACTAGCAGCTCCAACAAAAGGCAGACCTTTTCAAAGTAACAGTTCATAGTTACTGCCTCATTTCAAAAGTAATTCCAGGACTCAAACTCTCAACGCAAAGAGCATGTTGAAAGCAGGTAATTGCTGCTATTGTGAAGCGTTTTAGGAAGACCAAAGTGTTCCTTTCGTTCTCCTGTTTCTGAGAAAGCACATCCTTTTGTAGCAGTGGCATTCAAAGTGCTGTGTCACTTTTATTATAATTATTCTCCCTCTGCTAACGTATGTGATGATAACATTTAGAACAGCTGGATTGGATTGTACAGAACCTGCACTGTAGTTCTGTATACTATTACGTCTTTCTAATTGGTGGCACACTATTACAGAAAGTATTACAACAGCAATATTCCAGAGAGCGTTATAAAAGATTTTTCAACACAGTTCAATCCATTTCTCGAAGTATAATTAGGGATTTATCAGCCATATTCTTAGCAGTTTAACTATTATTATGATTATCATTGATTCGTTGAGGTTTATTCAACGTCTTTTCAATCATATCATTTAAATATCAGGGCATATTGGTTTCAATTTGTTTCAAAATCTGTTTTGAAAAATGTGATATATCAATTTTAATCCTTTATTTCTCTTTATAAACTAACATCGCAGAATTATTAAGGTATAAGTCAATCGCCAAATGGTATTTTGTTTAGTTTTTTTTTCGAAATAACAACAGATAGCAGTGTCTTTTAATATATTTATATCCAGAACTGATGGAATATTACGACAAGTTTTCAATATAGTTTTGTTTTGGTGAAATTTAAACAGCTTTTTTCAGCTTTTAGATGTTGGTTAATTTATCCCTTCCAGTTTCAACAACAAAATATTATTATTATTATTATTATTATTATCAATAGCATATTTGTATCATCTCATTTATTATTATGAGAAGACGCTGGAGGAATATTATATTATATTATATTATCTCAAATTGATTAAATTATAAGCTGCCTTTTTTTTTGTTGTTTTCTGCTGTTTTTTTGTTTTATTTTTAATTAAAAGTCAGGGTTTTTGGTTTTAATATCACCAAGAATAATAAGGAAATTATCAAGAACAATAGGGAAATTATCAGGAATAATAGGGAAATTGTTGATGATATTACAAAAGAATACCAAATTATTTATTTAACAAAAATTGGTAGTAAAAACTTTAGTTTTGGGAGAATTACTATTATTATTTATTTTAAAAAAGCATTAACGTTGCTATTATTTTTAAACTTGGGATTATCTTTAAACATGGGATTATCTTTATATTTGAGATTATAAAGTGCTGAAAAGCAGTATAGGATGAATTGAATAATTCGTTTTATTATCATTCAAAAATTTGAAACCAATAGAATAAGATAGATTGTCTAATAATGATTATGGCAATATTGATTATGATAATACTGACTATGGCATTATTGAATAATGCTCAATAATGCTAATCAATGTTGAATATTATTGAATAAGGTTAAATAAAGTCGAATAAAATTCGCTAAAACTTGATATTATTTGATAAAATTAATGAAAATTAATGAAAATTAATAAAAATTCAGGATTAATGAAAATGAAAGCGCTTTAATAAGTCAATAGAGATACTGTCATTCTTTACTTGGTTTTATATGATCATTAAATTGTATAAAACACTGAATATCATTTATTGATTGGCATCTTAAGGGATATGAAAAAGAAATCCAAAAAAAGAAAACGACCAAGTAATAGGATTGTTTTTTCTTTTATTACTAAGCTTAATGTTGTTTGGACTGTTTAAACAAATCAATCGAGCTTATGGGAAGAAAAAAGGAATAATAACAGAGGAATAGAAGGACCATGATGATAATTTAACAACAACCTTTAATGTTTTGTTTAGTGTTAATCAGCTAAGTTTGGCTTGGTTTTAGTTTCTGCTTTTGTTTGAAAAATGAAGGCAACTAAATTCTAATACTGGAATGTTTTGATATCTGATTATTTGAAATTTGTTCTTTGAATTAATGGATATTTGAGCCAACAGTAAAGTTATTTGATTAGTTGGGTTTCTTTCTTCTTCTTTGACGATGGGCAAAATAACATGGTTTCAAAGAAGGAAAAAAACAATGATTATGCTTTTATTTTTAAAAGAGAAAACACCCAACAAAGCGATGTTCATTTCAAAAAATATAGAGTTAAATATTCCGAATGGACTAACTTGATAGATGAATTGCTATTGAGCTTTACATTTATTCTTTGAGCTTTAAAACTACTGGATTATATTATGTACAAATTTCAACAAATTACAAGAGTTCTATACATTCTCTCTCATAAATCCGAACCCTGTGAAAATACATTTAAGACAAAAAGACATTTATATGGCAAGACTTGATTTTTATTGGTTAGAGAACTAAAAATTACAATAAGAGCATAAGGGCCATAGAAACATCATATATATAACATATAGGTACAATGTAGAGACCAGTTGTGTTTCAATATCACTTACATCAATCTGGATTATGGCAGTTTATTTATACCAGAGAAACTTCTTATACATACACCTGCTGAGTGGACTCCCTCTTTTTGAAGCACCATCATGTTGGCTGTCTAAAAATGTTTAAAAAAAAGGCTTCAAGCCTCAAATTGACACCAAGAGAACAGTTACTCTGAATATTTAGCATCTTCAAACACAACACATCTTGCACCACTTTGATGAAACAATACATCTGCGTCTGTTCCAGCTGTGTTTTCTCCAGAAATGATCAATGCTTCCTCTGGTTTCTTCCATGTTTCCTTTCCGATATTGCTAGAAAAGAACCGAAAATCCAGGGAAAAGCAGTCCAGGCCGGGTTCGAACACAAGACCTGCTGGACAAAAATCAGCCCCGCATCTGTGGCGCCGTTGTTTTCACCAGCCACAGATTGAAGGTGCTGTTGAAGAAATACCAGTTACTTCGGCTAATGTATATATATATATATATCAGTCGTTTATTATGACTGGAAAACAAAAGAGCCAAAATTAATCAAAACTAGGATAGGACCTAATATTGAAAAAAAGAAAATTAATTTGCTTCTTCAATCTAAAATACTTATTTAAATTTTTGCTTATCATTGATATTTGGCTTCAACAACACTTTATCATTCATTATTTTAGTTAAAGGTCACACAAACTTCTCCATAACTATTCCTTGGATGAATTTGCGGTTTGTGTTTCTCAAGACGCCAAAATTCTTTGGAAGAATTTGAGAGAAGTTGCCAACAATATATTTTTCATAAATGATCTCTCTTTTTAAGTAATCAAATAGATTTTGATATGGATGAACTTTTTCATCCTCAAATAACAAATAGTTAACTGTTTTCTTGAAAACAGCGTTATCATCATCAATTCCTTTTGATTCTGTAACAAGAAAATCAAAACTATACTTTGCAGAAAAGATTCGTGGAATTAATGCAAACTTTTCAAAATAAGAGAGAGACATAGTGACTTTGAACACTAGTTTTTTCTATATCTGTAAAATGGTAATTTATTTTGGTACACATTCATTCCCAATGATCTGTTTCGTAATCTCAAATTTCTATGGTCAATTAAATTATCAATAAGCTTTGTAAATGAAGTAGAATTATTCCTAATTAGACTTTGTATACTTTCAATGTTAGCATCTTGCTTCTGGCTCAAGCTTTTAGCTCTATTTTCATCAACTTTAGATGGATGAGTCAATAGTCGTTCATCAAAGTGGTTAAATTTATTTTTGATACCATCTTGATTCTCATAAAATCCAATCTTATGCATATAAAGTTCATTATCATTTTCTAAATTAATATTATTTTTATCATTATTTTCATTACTATTTTTATTACTATTTTTATTATCCTTATTATCACCATTATACCTCAAAAAAGTGCTCCAAATATTATTAATATCTGAATTAATACAGTTAGCTTCTGAAATTGCTGTTCCATACTAAGAATGTAGTTCAATATCACTAGAGATAGATGGTGAGCTCTTTATCTAGTCATCACAATTATTTACGTAAATTCTGCCATCAAGTGCTGGTTTAGGATTAAAATTGGTATTTGAATTTTCACTAGCCTCCTCCCATAGACCCAATTTTAATTGCACCATATATAATTGATAAATTCATAATTATTTTTTGAACTGTGAAAGTCCTTGGAACTAATATCTTTTTGTAGATGAATGTCTCTATTTCTTGTAACAAATTAAAATAGTAAAGTATTTTTTCTTTTAATTTCATCTTTTGCAACAAAAGAAACATTTAGTGATTTTGTTTTAATCGAAGCACAATTATTGGCATTAGTTACATTTATCTATACCAAGGAAATAACCATTTTAGTATCTTTATTATTAGCATGAAAGTAATGGTATATAGCACGTTGCTTAAATCCCAGTCGCGTTTTCGCCGATTAGTTTGCAATACATTTTATTTCTTGGTGATTGTTCCTTTACCTAATACCTTAAAACAATAATTCTTATTTTCTTGCCAAATCTCGATATGTTCCTTTATCTTCAACAACGTCAAATTTTTTATCAAAAGACTTTACAGAAAGCCAAATTATTTGCCTAAAAGGCCACAAGTCTCAAAAATCGAAAAACTCCTTTTCTCTCTCTGTTTCAAAACAATAAAAACCATAATGAAACCCAGAAATCTTCAAAAACTTCATACTCATAATCAAATTTGATGTGTTTAAATAACAAGTTAGGAGAAAAATCTAGAGTTAATGGTGTTAACATTTGCAGTATTGTCTGAAATTGCAAATCAAATAAAGACCATTTTTGTAGAAACCAAATTTTCTGAGTCAAGAATTATTAGCTTCTCGCTAATTTCTTGATCCATATATCTATCCATATACATATAAAGAGAGCCTATGCTGAATTACTTTTATGATAATTTATGGGGGTTGTATCAAAACTATCTATTTTATTTTAATTCATCTCAATTCAAATGCAGAATTTTTTTTCTTCAAAATACTCTCAAGCTGAATTAAAAAGTTTTATTAGATTACAAACAACCAATTTCAAAGATAAGCACAATAAATGTTTGGTACTGCTGTCAATGTCAGGAAAAACTTGGAGAGGAATTTGAAATAATCAATTCAGAAGGACCATATCGTCAAAGATTTAACCATGAATATTGTTATGAGAAATGTGTTATAAAAATCTTTCAAAACTAGAATTGATAAATTGTTGCACTTTCTATGGATGAGTTGAAGAGTTGAAAACGCTTACTATCATGCTGAAAAAGGGATTGAGTTTCGAGTTGCCTTAATTATCAAAACATTCGTTTGTTGAACTTTAATAAATATAACATCAACAATAATCCAAAAAATTGATTTGATCTTGTATATTAATCGATTATTTATTAATCTATTTATTAATCTATTTATTAATCTATTTATTAATCTATTTATTAATCTATTTATTAATGTTTATTTATACTCTTTAATACACTTGTTTTTAAGGGTTTTTATGATTGAAACAAAACTCAAAACCATGTGACATCATATTGAATTAAGGTTTTGCAGTGAAATTAATTCAAATCCCTAAGTTATTTCAGATAATTTATCATTTATTTAATTGTATTGTTGGTTTATATTTATTCATTTTTTATTATTGTTGTTTTAATAAAAACTAGCATAAACAGTATATTTAAGGAGACAAATGAGATTATTCAGTTGGTTTTCATCAAGTGTTGAAGAATTAGATAAACAAGAGACTCACAGTTCTCAAGATGCAGATAGCAAGACCGATAATAATGATAATGATAATGATAATGATAATGATAATGAATTAAATCAAAAGAAAATTTCCGAAGAAAACGGTGAAGATGACGATTACGATGATGATGATGATCCCGATGAATGGGACCAAAGAATTATTAAAACCGGATGTGCAAAAGAGAATCGAAAATTACAATTTTGCCATGCAGATACTGGTGATTGGAGACAATGTATAAAAGAAATGGAAGCATTTAAAAAATGTTGGAGCACAAATCATAACAATGAAAGAACTCATACAGTCGATAATGAAAAGAACTCATTATGATAATGATAAGACATGTAAATAGGACACTTTTTTTTCAAAATTAGTCATCGATTATTACTTGAGTTTGTGATTTTTTATTATTCTGTATTTTCTCGTCTTTGTGCTGTAATTTAATAGACTTGTTAGAGGGTCGGTTTAATTCACGATTATCATTGTTTACTGTATTTTCAACGCCATTATTATTGTCAATAGTAATGTTATCTTTCTTGTATTTTTCTTTGGCCTGTTTCCTTTTTAATCTTTTCAATCTATTCTTCTGTGTTTTCAAATCATCTTTTTTTTGCATTTCCTGTTTTAATAGTAAAAATTCCTCTTTATTTTTCCTTGAGGTCTCATTTTCTTTCAAAATCGATAACCGAAGTTTCTCCTTCTCCTTGGACTTTTGGTAAATATGAAATCCATCAGAACCTGCGCCGGCAATGGATGATTTGACGTTGAAGTTGTAATCAGGTATACTGGGCAATTTTCTTTCAACGGACTTCAAATCGATTTTGAGTTCCTTTGAAGGGTTAGACATGAGCTTGTTGATACGAAACCTCTGTAGGTCGAGATCGTTGGCAATCACCTTTCCTTTGCTGCCATTCTTGCTGTCTCTGGCTCTCGAAGAAACTGTTTCTCTACCGCTACTCATCGCCACTACACAACACAAAACAGCAACTCTGAGAACCTCCACAAAAGGCACAGAAAAAGAAGATCCGGTCACATGGTTTTGGCCGCAGCAGCAGCAGAAACCGCATCTTTTCCTGCAGCTGCGACAGAACACGTGTTCGGCCTGCGTAATACCGATAGCAATTCAGGCTGGTGATAACCAACAACAGCGATAACCATGTTATCAAGTGCTAGATAACCAACACCAACAAACCAACTGTGCCATCGATTTGTTGTAGTTCTAGGTGCGCTTAGTTCCAGCGGCAGGAACTAGATGGTTGTTGTTGGAAAGTTGTACCAGCTCTCGAGTCTTCGCTTCCTCTGGGAACTCATTCGACTACCACTTAAGTGCTGGCCAATAGCAGCCTATAAAGCCTTTGGAAAATAAATATATAGTAAAAAAATCCTCTTTGTTAATGTATCGAATAACCCCATGGAAAAACATGAGTGCGAAACTTAACCACTTTGGGAAATGTCGTTTGGTTTCTTATCATCGAAATTGAATCTTATACTAATGTTTCTTTTTTACCCATCATCCTTGGAGCTTATTGACCTGTACCCTAAAAATCCATTGGATCATAATTTGATTTGAACTAATAAACAATAAATATCAATGTGACATTACAACAATTGTGTTGAAGTTACTTAATTAAAACAAAAAATCAACAACTGTTTTGATTTCTTCTCAAATCAATCTATTTCCAAAAGCTAATATCGTTTTCAACATTATTTTCCTAAATTTTATATAAATAACCAATGGTTTATTTCTTTTCTTCCAATTTGTAGTCTCTTTCTTTTGATTTTGAATTTATATATAGATCAATAATAACTAGAATCTTTTTTATTTTTTATCATAAAAACTCTTATAACTTATAAATAATATTCCATATTTCTTAGCCTATATTTCTTATTTCATATTTCATATTCCATATTATTCCATATTGCTCCATATTACTCTATATTATTTCATATTCCATAATATAACTTATTGCACCAACAAATAACAATGTCACTTATACTATCTTCAGTAACAAGCTTTCACAAATCCTTACATGACAGAGACTTGTCTTCTTTTATAGTCCTTTCGGGTGTTTTGCTTTCCTTAATTGGTACTTTGACTTTTAAAGCCATTACCTTATCTGATAAAAAACAATTAACCAAAGCCTTACCTGCTGCAAAAGCAAACAATAAAAAAAGAAAAAATGGTACCTGGACACCCGAAGATTTCAAAACTCCAATTCCTAAACCATTTGAAAACTGGGATATAAACACAACAAAACCAGTCCCTTATCGTGCCTTTAAACACAACTATTTCGTAACAATGGGAATTAGATCCATGGATTGGGAAAATTGGATTGAACTAGACAATGAATGGTTAAAATTTCATAATAGAAAACTAGAAAGATTAGAAGAAAAAGGCACTGAACTATATGGCACTCTACCTGTTGCAATGGAAGCTGGTTATGAATTCTTGGAAGAATTGACTGTTTATTTAAGTCATAGATATCCATCTTTATTCTCATATAACTCTAACACTGGTATCTTGGATAATTTAGTGACAAAAGAATCCTTCAACATCCTTGAAAGACCCTTGAAGGAGGACCCAATGCTAATAGCTGCAAAATTAACTCAAGATGACCTTGCTATAATGATTGAAGAAGAAGATGGTTTATATTATCTTAAAGGTGGAGCTGTGTTACTACCTGGATTTTGGAGATTAAAGGATAAAATCAACTTACCACTATACGCCATTCACACTACTGGCGATGTTCCCAAGTATAATGAAAAACTAAGACCAGGAATGGATAAGTTCTTTCACAGATTGACCCCAGAAAAACCTGTTGTTAGAAATAACTATTTTATTCAGCTTGATGACGACCTAGGTTGGTCCTTTTCAATTGGTGATGAATCTGGTGAAGCCGTTGGTTGGTATACCGCTAAAGAAGCTAAAGACGTTAAAGATATATACTTTAGAAGTGAAAGACAATCCCTTAGAAGACTACCCAAATCTGGTGCCATTGTTTTTACAGTTAGAACTTACTTCTTACCTATCACTCAAATGGGTAACGAGCCTTATGTCCCAAGAAGATTATTAGATGGTATCAATAGTTGGACTGAAGACGTTCAAGCCTACAGAGGATTTGAAAAATTCAAAGATGTTTTATTGCCATATCTTGAAAAGAAAGCCAAAGAACAAGAAGAAATGGGTTATACTCCTGATAAAGAGCCAGTTACATACCCATTTTAACCATTTTAGCCATTTTAACCTAATCTAATACAGTCTAATTTTTTTGTTTTTTTCTCTCCCCTTAATGATTTCTAGTTTTATTATATCATCAAATAAAAAATATTCCTAATTTGATCAGGTTTTTCTTTGTAGATCTTCAATGGTACTCAGTTACCTTTTGAGTGAGCCCAAAATAAATGTCTTGTTTAGACAATTTTATCCTATTATGGAAGCCTTTTACTAATACAGGTAATACAGGTGTACAAACTCAATTAGTTTAAAAGAAAACAATTAAAATATATTAAATCTAATAAAATTATATAATTTTAGTCAATTTAAGTGAAGAATTGATTTAAATAAAGGGAAATAGAACACAGTAATAATTATTAAAAACTTTTGCATTAAGTGAAAGAAAAAACATTAAAGAAAACCATTAGAAAACCAGTTTAAAGTTCAAAGATCAGGAATAAGAAATCAGAAAAGTACAAAGTAGAAAAAAAAAGATTGAAGTTTAATTTAAACAAAAAACTATCATTCAAGATAACACGCATTGAAAACCTTTTACATCTTAATAGCTTCCCCCGTAATCTGGAGGAGGTCCAAGATATTGACATTTTCCTTTATCATCGAAATCAGTTTGTTCATCAGTTACGAAAACTTTACCTTCTGCTTTGGCAATTTCGTTAGTCGATAAACCCATTGGATCTTTTGGAATCCAAATCTTTGGAGCTTCGTCTTTAATAGCAGGGTCAAGGTAAGATTCAGATAGGTTGTCATAGATAATAGGATTGTTCAAGTAATTTGGTAAAATTGACCTGATATAACTTAACGTTAAGAATTTTCTTGGATGGAAGAAATTAACGACAGTGGATTTAAAAAATACTTTAGAGTGTTCTTGAGTTGTTGAGTTTTCGTAATCTGGAACTGAATTGATGGGCAACTTTGTGTTATTTTCATTTTCAGCGACTGGAGGAACTGGTACAGAAGTGGGTTCTTTGTCGTAAGGATAAGGAGAAGCGTCTGGGGCAGCGGAGGTGGATGCAACGTTTTCATCAATGATGGAAACTGAGTTTTTATCAGAATTATCAATCCAGAAAGATTTACCAGTTTCTTTAATTTCTTTCAAACCTTGATCTTTAGGGTTATAAGTGTAGTGTGGGTTACCTTGAGCTTGATAAAGTGCGCTAAGTGGAACTTGATCGAATAAAGGAATAAACTTATATTTAAAGTATAAGTGAGAAGCGACAGTAGCAGCTAGTAAGATGGATTCTAATGCAACAGGAGCCCAACCTTTGTTAAATACAAACAAACCAATTAAACAGACTTCAGCCAAGTACAATGCAACAAAGATTTGGAAAAGAGCCTTTGGATAATGTCTGCCTCTAGAGTCAATTGAGTGGTCCATTACGTAGGTTAAATTGTAGAGGTAGGCAACATAGATTAAGAGGAAACAAACGGCAGAAAAGGCAATGACAATTGGAGCAATGATGGAGTAACAAATACCAATGAGACCTAGTAAAGCGTAAGGAGGGAAGACGATACCCCAGCTTGGTTTTGATAAGCTATTAAATCTTGACCATTTCTTTCTTGGAGTATTATCCAAAAGCCTACCCAAGATCTTTGATAAGATTAGGGCAACCACTTGGAATAAAGCAGCACCTGGAATTGTTAGACCTTGAAGTAGGATATAACAAATGTAAAAGTTGGCAGCCTTTGGCAAGTTTGAAGCAAGCAAAGTTAAAGCAGAATCAGGTTCATCGATGATCTTGGTAACAACAGAAGTTGCGGCGGAAGCCATGGTTGTAATCAAAAAAACTTGAATGACTTGGAAAGCGTAGTACCAATCATGGCACCATAAGTCAATTTCTTGATAGGTTAATAGACCACCAAATTTACCGAGAGCTTTAATAAAAGGAGGAACTAGGGACATTAAAATGACTAGCATGATGGTTGGTAGCAAGGCAGTGATTAAACCTAGTAGTACGGTTGGTAAGTTATTGATAAATTCCAAGAAAGAAACTTTGTCGATCAAGTAGTTGATATTTGAAATTGCACCCACAACAGCAACAGGAATGGCCCAGAAGATGATCATTGCAGTTAAAACAGATTTAGCGATTAATTTTTTAATTCTTCTTTGATGTTGAGTTAGAGACAAGTTTTCCCAAATGATGTCATCAGGAAGAGTATTTATGATGAATTTAGAACCACTTTTTTTAAAGGATTTGTGATAAGGTAAAGCTTGAAAAGCTCTTTGGGCTTCAATTTGGTTAGGAAACTGGATGAATACAGAGCCTACTTTTTCGTTATCGAGGTAGTTTTGCTGATCTTGTTCGATTTCTTGGTTTAATTCAGCAATGTGGCTGATGGAGTAGTCAATTGTATCAACTTTTTTGCCAATGATTGGTTTTAGTTTATGAGTTGGTCTCTTTTTATCTGGGATGTAAGAAGATAATTGGTCTTCAGGAGTTGGTAATTCTTTTTCTTTTTTGATTGCCTTTTGACGAATTTTCACTGATTTGTTGATGACTTTATTTAGAGTGGCTTCATATTTCGAAGCGTATTTGGATCTTTCTTCAATTTTCTTTTGTAAAAGTTTGTAATTTCTAGTAAAGGAAAAAGTTGTTGCACTTGGAAGCAAACTTTTTAGACTTAATTCATCGTTGTATTCCTTTGGTAAGGAGGTGATTAATAGAGATCTGGAAGAGACTAAAGAGTCGATGTAGGGTGTGGCTTGTAAGGAGTGTCTAAAAGAGACGTAGTAAAACAATTCTCTGTAAATTGAGTAGATGATTAAACCAAAGAATATCCAAGAGAGAAAGACATGGGCAAATGTTCTGTTTTTGTTTTTGATGTTGGCATAACTGATAATATCCAAACCTTCCAAGTTGTGACCATTTGTCGCATTCACAGGGAGCAAGATTGGAAGGACAATAAAAGAACCAATAAAACAAGTGGAGCCAATTAAAAACAAGTATCGCAAAAAGAAGAAGCCATCGACACCCGTTTGCTGGATGATCCACGATTGAGACTTGGATAGTAAGTGGTTCAACCAGCCAAAGTAGCCAGAGGGGGTCTCATCAGGCTGCTTTTCGATTGGAACAGTTGGAACAATTCTTCGTGGTTGATAGACCCTTTCTTCCTTGCGTCTCAAAAAGATAAAACAAGTGATGAAGATCAAGAAAACGATTCCATTTAGAATCAAAGCAGATAGAAAAGCAGAGACAGAAGAACTGGTCTCAGATGCATCGGCCATCTTTCGGAAGATCAATCAGTGAATGGAGATTGTGGAACAGATCAATGGACGAATGTGCAGCACAAGATAGTGATTCAAGAACTAATAATAATATGAGTAGGCAGTAAAAAACAGAAATCTAGGGAATTGAGAAAGCAGGAAAAGAAAGAAGAGAGGTTTATATACAAAAATAGATCAGAACGAGAAAAACCTAGCAAGGATAAAACAACAGACGAGAATTGAAACCAAAACACCAGCTGCAAGCAATCGGCAGAGAACGCATCCATACGCAGGCAAATTTCATTTCCACACTGTCGTGCACCTGAACCAGCATTGTTTGTGCAGTGGAACGCGCATACCAGATGGGCGCAGGCAGCCGAGTCGAGCTCCCCTGCAAAAACGCAACGCCACAGTGAACACAGCCATGACCGCCCACGTGACTGTTTCATGTGACGGTTCACGTGTGTGTGTGTGTGGCCAGCTGTGTGGACGCTGAGCAATTGCTGAGTCAGCGGCGAGTATTTCAACACGTAGGCTTTTGAATCAGTTTTGCACTGGAGTATATAACCTCTGTGTAATCGCTGTCTGATCTCCCAATCTCTACTCTAAAACTGTCTGTTTCTCCTTGCTGCAACATGGTCAAGCTCTTTGAGATCAACAGAACCGCTGCTTTTGCCTGGTCCAACAACAACTTGCCCTACTTGGCCTCGGGCACTATTGCTGGAGCCATTGATCTTGACTTCAATTCCTCCTCCAAACTAGAGATCTGGGACCCATTTCAAATATCCAACAACGACGACAACCAGCCAGTGGTCTCCTTGAACATAGACTCTAAGGTCTATGCATTGGACTGGAGCAAGCCCTTTGACGACTACTCCTTGGGTTTGCTAGCTGGTGCTCTTGAAAATGGATCCGTCGAATTTTGGAACCCATTGGACTTGATAAATAACAATACCGATGTCACCAATGATGCCAATCCCAATGCCAACCAATCAATATTTTCCGGCAAAAAACACACCTCTTCTGTCAAATCCTTAAAATTCAATCCTATCCAAACAAACCTATTAGCTTCCGCCGGTTTGAAGGGCGAGTTTTTCATCTGGGATTCAAATAAATTTGGTAACCCAATTGTTCCTGGACAGCCAATGAACCCCATCGACGAAATCAACTCAATTGACTGGAACAACAATCAATCTCACATCTTAGCTACTGCTGGTAATACTGGTTACACCTCCATTTGGGACTTGAAACATAAAAAGGAAATCATACATTTGAACTACACCTCAACCAACACCAATAACAACAACACAAGCATCATTAATAACAGAGCAAACTTGTCTCTAGTTAAATGGCATCCATCCATCTCTACAAAATTAATCACTGCTTCAGATTCAGACTATTTACCTGTAATTCTATCCTGGGATCTTAGAAATACAAAGGAACCTCTACTAGTTCTAAATGGCCATAAAAAGGGCATCCTATCCATTGACTGGTGCAAAAGTGATGAAAACTTACTTTTATCTTCTTCAAAGGATAACTCTTCCTTTTTATGGAACCCAATTACCGGCGAAAGACTAGTCGAATATCCTTCAACAACAAACTGGCCATTTGACGTTAAATTCTCCCCAAAAAACCCAGACTATTTTGCTACCGCATCATTTGACAACAAAATTGTCATACAATCTTTGCAAGACACAACTCCGGCCTCTTTAAACAAATCAACCGATCAAAAAGAAGACGAGTTTTGGTCTCAAATCTCATCCAACAATACAATTCAAAACCCACTAACCCTAATCAACCAAGCTCCAAAATGGTACTCAATTAAAAACCCAACAATCGTCAAATTTTCTGATGGTGGTAAATTAATTACAATTAAAAATAATCTCAACAATAACTCAAACTCTTCAACCATCAAAATCTCAAATTATAACCCCTACAATTCAAAGCTATTGGAAAACTCAATTGATTTACTAAAAACCTCTCTATCTTCTAACTTACCCTTTGAAAAACTCATACAAAAACTATCCACCCAATCTCATAATAACTCCGATTACAATCTATTGGCCGAATTGATCAATTCAAACAAAAAAAGTCTAATCAAAGATCATTTCAAATACACTGATCAATCTGAACCAACCCAAATACTTCAAGATCAACCTCCTCAACAGTCTCAAAACATTGAAGACTCAATTGTTAAAGACTCTGATGATTTCTTTTCAAATTTTAAGCGAGGTTCAGAGTCAAAACCAACCTCTCAAGATGATGATTCATTTTTTAATAAGATTAACGATAATCTGCCTTATATTCCTCAGGGCAATTTCAAAATCATCAACCCAGAAGAATCCAATGATGATCAAATTTTGAAAAAAGCCATCATCTTGGGGAATCTAGAAAGTGCTGTCAATATCCTTATTTCCCAAGATAAATTAAATGAAGCATTTTTACTAGCAATCAATTCAAACTCTAAATCTTTGTTACAAAGAATCAAAAATGAATATTTCAAGAAAAACTCTGATAGCTCATTATCAAGATTATTATACAACATTGATTCTAAATCAAAAGACTCAATTGATGATTTAATTACCAATGGTGACCTATCAAATTGGGTAGATATTTCATTGGCAGTATCAACTTATGTCAAGGACAATGCCCAATATAATACTGTCATGTCTGAATTAGGTGATAGATTATTGAGTAGCAAAATTTCGGACAGCTTTAGAGATGATGCAATCTTATGTTTCTTATCTAGTGGCTCATTGGATGAAATCTCCAAGATTTGGTTAAGTGAAATTGAATCTTTTGAACAAGAAATTCTTGAAACTGCAGGACTCACTTCTGATGAAATTAAGTCGCCATCTGATGCATATTTCAAATCACTAAACTCTTTTATTGCAAAAGTTCTAACCTTTAGAAAATATATTGATGAAACTTATAGAATTAATGATGAACTAGTGGTTAGTATCTTTTTGAAGTTCCTGAAATTACTACTTGATATTGGGCAAGTAGAATTGACTGATAAAATATTATCATTTTTACCAAATGATTCTAAAGATGTTAAAACTGAAAAAGACAGAGTTGGGGTTCTATTAAACAAAAATAATAATAATAGCAATAATGTTCACTCGAATGTAAATAAACAAAACGTTAACAAAAGTTCATCCACTAAAAAGAGAGCTGGGGGTTATAATACAGGCGCTAATAAATACGGTCCATTATATAATTCCTCAGCCTCAAATTCACAAAATTACAATAAAGCTCCTGGGCTAACTACTCCATCAAATACGAGAGCTAATCTTTATTCTTCAGGTCCAAGTTTTAATTCTAATCCTAATTCTAATCCTAATTCTAATATCAATCCCCCTTCAGGTAATTTTAATAACAATCCAGCAGGTAATTTCAATGTAAGCTCCAACCCATATGCGCCAGCAAATACAGCATCAAGTCCATATAAACCGCCAAGTCGTATTAACTCATATGGAGGATTAAATAGTATAAATGAAACGAGAAATGCAAATATTTCAAGTTCTGGATTACCACCACCGCCACCAACAAATTCAAAAAATAATAGCAATGTGAAAAAAGATAAAGGATGGAATGATATACCAGATATGTTTCCTTCAGCAATCCCATCAAGAGCATTTGCCCCAGCTCAACAAGTCAATATTCAGTCTCAATATCCTCCAAATAATAATACAGCACATGCTCCACCTCCAGGTATTGGGCGTAAATCGTCATTTTCAACAATGGGTATGACAAATAATGTTGCACCACCACCCAGAACAAGAAGCCGCAATGATAGTAAACCTCCATCAAGAGTCCTTTCACCAGTGGGCAATAATAGATATGCACCACAAGTAAATCCCAATAGCGGTGTGAACAACAATAATTATGGTTTCAATTCATTTGTAGGTGATAATTTTAATAATGGGGGATTAACATCACCACCTTCATTTAATAAGACACCTCTTCAACCACCAAAGAATCCATATGCACCAAGTGGACCAATTAACCAACTTAATCAAGCACCATATAATCCAAATTTCAATGTTAATAATATTCATAATAATAATGCTAGTGGACGCTCAACGCCTAATCCATATGCACCAGGTGCTAGTGGTAACTATCAACTAAATGCCGGTGGCAACTACCAAACTGAAGCAGGAGGACAATATGGCAGTAGGCCAGGGTATAACCAGCTATTGGGAAGTAGTAATGCTTATGCACCACATGGCAATCAACCGGCTGATTTTCCTCCACCAAAGATTCCATCACATATGAGAAATAAATCTGTGGTTCCTTCGCTTCCACCAATTAATAATGCGATTGTGACACCAGTCGGAGGAACTGCTTTGAATTCAATTGTTGCTCAACAAGAAGCTGAAGAAAGAAGACAAAATCAAGAAGGCGAATTGCAGCAAGAATACAAAGACAATAAAAAGCAGAGCTATCCAAAGGGAGACAGAAGTCATATACCAGACCGATTAAGGCCAATCTATGAGGAATTGTACAGTGGGGTAAAGCAGTGTGAACCAATTGTTCCTCCAGACTATACAAGAAAATTCAATACAAATGTGAAAAAATTGAATATACTATTTGACTTGTTAAACAATGATCTGTTGGGCGATAGCCACTTAGAGAGTGCATTGTTAACAATAGCGGAAGCAGTTAAAAACAGAGATTTTGATAAGGCCAAGACGATTGCTTTGGAACTTGCGGCTGCTGATACATCGCAAAATAGCAAATGGTTGATGGCTATCAACAAATTCACAACAATCTGGCAAGTACTTGCCAGCAGTGAATAGCTGATTCAATTTTTGAAGTGTTGAGTTACTTTTGAAGTGTTGAGTTATTTTTGAAGTGTTGAGTTACTTTTGTGTCCACTCTTATACTTTCATTTTTGTTTTATTTAAATTTATATTTTAATTTAATACATTTTGACTCAAAAACAAGTTTCTAATTGTCTGCAGAGCCTATTGGTGCAACCCAAAGGAGTGAGTAAGTGCAGGAAGCACAAGCAGCAGCCTCGGCTAAAAAGGCATCTTTGTAGAGTTAGGGAAGCCCAAAAAAAATTACTCAACAAGAAGCACTCAATAGCACTCGTAGCATTGATCTTTTATCTTAAGCTGTTGTTTGTGGTGCCTGTAGTTCAGCAAGATCAAAGTGAAATGGACAACTCTACAGCTTCAGATGGCTATCCCATCAACTTCAATGAGAACTACACTTGCTACAACCTCCACTACAACCTGGAGCACCACCATCGCCACTCTGGTGACAATGCTGCTGCTGACGACAAGTGGAAGTGCTATATCAGCAAAAACCAGCTGGCATACCACCATTTGCACTTCTGCTTTCAAAACTGCAAGAAATATCGAAGCTACCTGTGCTACCAAAGACACCACTCAGACCCACGACACAGATGGACCATCGTCAAGCAATTTTTCCAACATTCATGTAAAAGTGACGTGTCTCAAATAGGAGGATGCAAATGCTGCAAATGCTCCAGTTTCTGGCCCAACCTCGTTGATTTCACTGACCATTTGGACGAGAACAGACGTTGTGCAAACAAGACCAGCAGATTCAACACATACAGTGTACTCAAAGGCTCCAGCACCAGTTCCAACTTATTGAAATACCCAGACCCCCATTGCGATTCCTCGCTCGCTTTGTCTGATTTGAAATCAAACAGGTTTGTTAACCAGAAATAGCCCAACTGCTTGATAACAGAGGACTCCTACGAATGGCTTTTGTGGAGCAGCCTTGCCTCTGAGTGGTCTCCCTGGCTCCAGCAATCATAGAAACGCTGCTGCTCCAACTGCTCTAAAGAACAAACAACTGCTGGAACAGAAGTAACAACACACTGAGCTCTCCCACCTCACAGAGCACTTATTGACCATATCCACTGTTACTAAAACCGCCAATCATGACTGACACCACTCTTCTTTCGTCTACACAGGACCATTACCTCAAGAACCAATTGATCAAGAAGCAGTTGCAACAGGAAATAGACTACATCTATGACGAAAATAGACACGATTTCCTTGAGGACTTTGGATTTCCCTTTAGTTTTCTTGAAAACAACGACTTTCCACTCTTGAGATTTATATTCTCCAACTTTATTAGATCATTCCCCTTTTTCGTGGATCTTGACCACAAGTTCTCCTTTCATCGTCAACTAGAAACAACTCATAATCACCCTGATAATGAAAAATTGGTTCACTCACTAACTGATGACAACGAGACTGGCAACAACGAATTTTTTTATTTCAAGATTAAACCATTTTATAACTATCTTCTGCTAGTCAGTTTAAGCAATTCTAACGACAGATTACAACTCACCAAAAGAAGAAAGATCTTCCTAAGATTATTCCAGTCTATTTCAGTTCTATTTACATCTTCACTAACTACAAAACTAGAATATCAATCTGATTACTATAAATCATCAGATTTCAAAATTGAAAGAGACGCCTTAATCCAAAAAACAATCGATGAATTTTCAAACACAAACATTGATAATATCATCTCTGATAAGGAATTGGCCGATTACTTGGATGAGCCAAAACTACTAAATAACATTGAAATCAATATAATTGGAATAACAAAAGATGAAAAAATCACAGAAAAATATAAATTTATACTACATTCAAAACTATTATATCAAGCAGATAACAAACTGTTTATAAAAACCTTTTCAACTTACCATACTTACTTCGATTTTCAATCTCTTCATAAATCTTTGAAAAAATCATTTCCAACCATTTCTTTGCCTCCATTACCAAAGTTTTCTTCAAAGGATTTTCTCTTAAATCGCATTACAGATGAGGATATTAGAAATCCAGAAATTTTAAATAACATCATTAGCTCTTCATTCTCAAAATCAAAATTCAAAAGGAACTCTCAAAAGAATTCTCAAAAGAAAAAGTCAAACAATTCTAATGATAAATCGAAAAATATTGATGAACAATCATTTGAATTTGATATCATGTCCCTAATCAATGATAACATACTAAATTCAGATGACTATAATACTGATCAACTACCAGGCGAAAACTATAGATCCATCTTAAAAAGTTACATTTTGGCCATATACAAACATCCTCAAATTGCAAACTCCTCGATACTAAGAGACTTTTTAATTTTAAACCCAATAACCGCTTTTAATAATGAAGAATTAAACGACATTCAAACCAGAAAACGAATTGACATGTCCAATTTGCGAAACGAAATCTACTTGAAAAAAAAACTATATGTTATTAACTTGAAAATCAAACAAAAAGTTAAAATTTTCAAAAAACATTACATCTTAAATAATAAAATTTCTTCTTCAAATATAACCTTTCAATTGGTTAATGAATTTAAATCAAAGGACTCAATTCATGACTTGTCACCAATTTGCCAAATATTCATAACTTCCATCAAATTAAATTGCACTTCAACTATCTACAACATGTTTTTCGATTCAACAACTAACATACTAAAAAATAAAAATTTGAAAAATAATAACATGTCCGAAAAATACGAGCTATTTATTCAAATTAAACAATTCCATGAGAACTTTCCATATGGCGTTTTATCTCAAATTTTCAAACTCGCAAACCCTGTTTCGATAATGAAATACATTTCTGTCACTTTTTTATATCAAATTCCCAATTTAAATATCTTTTCAAAATCATCAAGAAAATCAATTCTACAAATCATTTTCTCTCGTATTTGGAATACAGACATCACTTTATTAAATGGAAAAATACTTAAAATCGAAAACTCTATTCAAGATAATTTTAAAAACTATATCAAAATTATAAAATTTTATAGCTCGATCACTAAAGATAATAAAGAATTGCAATCATTAAGAGATAATATCTTTGATAGATACTTGAAATCAAATAAAAAATTCAACCTATCCTTGTTAATTTTATTAGATGAAAAATTATGGAAGTTAAATAATTTAAATTTCAATCAAAATATTGAAAAGGATATTAAAACTCTCTATTTTAAACAAAATGATTTGTTTTCTAAATTGGATGAAATTTACAGATTAATTGTTAGAAAAACAGATAAAGAATTACTAGGAAAATTATGGTCAGAATCATATCTAAACAATTTCTGCAAAGACTTGATCATCATATTTTTAGAGCCGTTAATTCAGTTATTTAAAAAAGCAGATTTCCATCTACTATTAAATAATATACAATCATTTATTGGTGAATTGATTATATTAATTGAATTTTTTTTCAAAAATTTTTATTTAGTTACTTCAAATAAGATTTTTTTAATAATCAACTTATTATTAAGCAAATATGAAGATTGCTTGTTTGAGTTCATTCATAAAATTGTTATGAATGATGAAGAAAATATTTTGGAAAAATTACTTTCTTGGATTGATAATATACTAAATTTTTTAAAATTTTACAAGAAAACAGATGATCCAAATTTAAAGATTGATTTAAATGAATTTCTCAAAAATAATACTGATAAAATTAACATTGAAAAGCTAAAAAAAGAGGTTGATGATATTGTAGAAGAAAAAAACAAAATAAACCAATTTTACGAACAGAATAAGGATGCAAATAATAATTATTTAGGAAATATGGTAAACTATCATTTTAATATTGATAACACAATTGACACAAATAAAAATGGCATAAGCGAAATTCATATGAATTTAAAAGATGGGGCTATTATGATGGGTATTAATGAAATTGATTTCAATGAATTAACAGATGATTTAAATGAATTAACCAAAATCAATTCGAATAATCTGGATCAAGAAACAAAATTGGATAAATTTTTAGAAAATAAAGATTATTCCACTGGATCAAGTGATAAGAAACTTAAAAAAAGTGAAATTAGTAAATTGAGTAAAGAATTTCAAAAAATTTTATTTCAAATGTTAGATTTTTATGACAATAAACAATAACTCTGGAAGTAATAAAATAGCTTAATAGAAAAATCGATTTTTATTGAACCTTTAAATCTTTTTGATTTGATCAAAATGACTTGAATTTTAATATTGATTCAGGAATTGTGTAACTGGAACTTGGCAGGATTATCAAAATATCAGAACAGATTCAGTTTCAATAGAAGATTTAAACAGAAGACATCTTCTCTATGCATTTGTTTCATTGTTCCTTTGCTTAGTGGTCTTGGAAATCTTCAATGTAATATCGACAGTCGAGGACGATTTAATGAAAAGTTATCGAAAATCTGAAGAGATTGAAGTTAACTTGTTTAAATCATATAATAACTATGGATTTGGATTGGACAAATTCTCGAGAATTCAACGATTCTTGTGGTGGAGAAGATTCAGCTTGTTTTTTGAGGGCAATCAGGAAAGGATCAAGAAATCCATTGAAGATGATGAGAAATTGATGAAGAAGTTGGTTGAATCTTCAAAAGCTAGAAATGAAAACGAAGAGAATAATAATAACAATCACAACAACAACAATAATAATAATAATAGCAACAATAACAATAATAATATAAATACTATTAACAATACACAACCCAAAGAAAAATATTTGCATTTGACCAATAGCATGTCATAACAAGTAAATTATCTCTACATCATATCCAAATTGCAACCATAATATATTTATTTCTCTTTATTCTCTTTATTCTCTTTATTTTCTTCATTTTCTTCATTTTCTTCATTTTCTTTATTTTCTTCATTCTCTTCATTTTATTTGCTTGTCTCTTCATATTCGTCTATATAACTGCCACCAATACACACACATTACATTGTTAGTCAGTTCTCATTCACTCTACTGGATAGTCTGTGCATAAGCTGAATAGATTCACTAGTTCTGGCTTGTTCCTTTCGGCGGTTAATTATCAATCAACAATCGATCAACAATCAATCAACAATCAATCAACAATCAATCAACAATCAACAATCAACAGAATCATTTCAAGTATCTCAAATCAATTGATATCAACAGACAGAGCTTCTCTTGAACAAACCATCTATGGCTGATTACAGCTCACCTCCATTTTTCTGGAGCTCGTTTCTGGATTGCATCAACGCAGATTCTGCCACCCCACCAGCAGTTGCTGAGATCCAAGTTCCATCCACCAATAGCACCATCATCGACGTGGGTATAGCGTCAATGCTATCATACAATTTTGGTGTGATGCCTTCAATTTGCTTTAGGGGAATATGGTATGGGCTCATTGCTGCTCGGTTGATTCAGTGTTTGTTTTGTTTAGACGCCAATTGCTGTGTCAAAGAATGCCTAATCTTAAACAACAGGTTCATGATCTGGATCTACAAACGTTACGTGCCAACAAAACAAAATAATGTTATCGAGAATAGAAAAAAAATTGTGTTTTTTGGGATTATATTGTTGATTGTTGATGTTATGATGGTTCCCATTACTTTGCCATTGAGATTTGTGATTCCCAGACCAGGCGCCAATATAATTTACGACGCTCTACCCAGATATGCTAGTTATGAGTGTTTCGATGAGAAAGATATCCAGACTGTTAGCAGCGCTGGTTGTGTGGTTCTGTTGGACGACATCAGGTTGGACGAGTGCTATACAGCAGACATTGAAGCACGCCAGAAATATATTTCCAGGAAGTTGAGCCATCTAAGGTCAAGTGGTGCTCAAACATCGGTTGACATTATAGGCTACAGTGACAGTTTGTTTAATTTCAAGTATCATTTTGCAAACTACACAGACCAGACGTTGTCAACAGTATCGTACTACTTGATTATGTTGGCCATAATCTATTTGGATATTAACTGTGGAGACTTTTTGAGTCCGTTGATGATTACACATCTTCTCAAGTTTGATGACATTCGAGGATTCTTTTTGGGAGGCAGTCACAAAGATGGTTGCAAAGATGGTTGCAAAGATGGTTGCAAAGATGGTTGCAAAGATGACCATGCAATCGGTTTGGATATCAACATTCAAATAAACTTTGAGAAAAAAGAGGGATTTCCGAATTCTGTTGAGTGCAAAAGAACCGATGACTGGTTTGTGTTCAGCGTCTCGACACCATTCGAAATCCCATCAATTAAACGAAAAATCGTTGTTGGTGGCACACATGATGATCCTGCTCACAGTTTATTCAACCAGCTATTCAACCAGATCCAGCATCTGGTTTTGAGCAATGTTGACACAAGCTCATTGTTGGATCCGATGTTGCTTGATGTTGAACCCGACAAGAAATGCTTTGAGTTGATCAGGTTGATCAAAAAGGACAAGCTATATTGCATGGTTCATCGTTTGAAATTGAGAGAAGAGTTCAAAGCTCCAGGAAAACACTACAGAAAGATCATGGTCTGCTACCAGAAAATATTCCACTTGGCCAAACACTTCATGGGCGTGAAGACAATCAAAGCATCGCAAGTGGACAAGTGGTGGGATATCAAACAGAACTACAAGATATGTCCAGAGATACACATGAACGAGGAGTTCTATGTATGCATTGAGAAGATCATCAACAATGTGATGGAGGCGGTGGGGTTGATGAAAAGCGAGTATTACAAGATGGGAAACCAGGAAATGGACTTGGTCAACGAAGACTTGGATGGGTATTCATGGATGGGATTGTATTCGTGGATCCACTATGAAGCTGAGTTATTTAGTTGCTTGCACCAGATACCAAAGAAAACGTTAGAAAGTGTTTTTTTGAACATTTGGGGTTATATGAGCCAGATTCGAAGACGTGATTTTGCTGAAAAGGAAATAGAATACAAGCAAAATCGTATATTCTACTGTTGCAAAAGTGAAGTCAAGACTGTATTAAATTTTATGTTAGAGGAGGACGGAAGTAACAAATTTGGCTGAATCTCAGTTGGATTATTTTTGAAGTTAAAAAACATAAATGCAGTATGATTTTTAATGAAACTTTGTTATTATTACGTATTTAACCAGATAAATATTTGATTTAATTTAAATTTCTTGATTCGTAGCTCTATCGTGGAAACAAACCAATCAAGACCAGGAACAGAGATTAATTAATCAATTAGATGTTCAAACAACTAAAGAACAGCATTCAAAATTCTATATCATTGCAGCAATGGATTAAACGCTTATTTTTTATTCAGAAATATGGCATAAACTTCAAACTAACGGTCTTTTGCCTTTCAATATGACTTGCCTCATCTCTGGGAAATTGCTGATTGAGGTGATTTTGCCTCAACAACAAAAGGCGTAAACACTAGGATATATCATGTATGTCAATACACTTAAACGTATTGATATGCATATTTTTTTGTACATGCAGCATGTACTTTTATTGTTGTCTGTGGCCTTTGAAAACAAATTATAAAAATCAAACACTAGTAAACTGATATTATTTTTCTATCGAGAAACATACAATTTGTTTGAGTTTTCTTTGGACTCATATCCAAGTTTTTTATTTTTTTTGTTTGTTGAACTTTAACATTTTCATTTCAAATATCACAGAATACAATTTTTTGCTTATCTCACATTATTGTTCATGAACAACAGATTTTTTGCAGTGAAATCTTGCTTTAAAGTTGTATTTTGTTTATTTACATATTCTATTGTGTTTGTCTACCAAAAACAACCGTTTTAATTATTTTCAGTGAATAGAAGTTGATGATTATCAAGTCTATTGAGTAAGCAGTCAAGTAGTCACTGTCAATAACTTTGCAGAAGGTGTTTATTTTGATGTTTTTTACAACTTTTAAATACTGTAAAGATACACTGTATAATTCAAGCAAAACATTAAAAATTAAACTAGAAAATTATCAATAAAGTTTTATTGACTAAAGTTTAAGACAGTTCTCAAAACAAAATATTAAAGTAAATAAAAAATCATCAAATTATTCCATTGGATACTAATCAATTGACTAGAGGACTTTAATTTAATTTACCTCCTTTTCCATAATTATCTAATTAAATTAATTTGAAATTGAATCATTATAAATTTCTAAAATAAAAAACAATGATACTGAGAATTTTAATATGAACTATATACTTTTGTTAATATTATTACGTAAAATGGAATTCCTAAACTTAAAAATTCAGTTCAGCCACTCTATTGTCTCTAAATTTTTCCAAATTAGATACTTAATAGCAATTTTTGTTTGAACTAAATATTATTTCTTGCCTCAAAAGCAGATTTCAGATTAGTTTGACGGATAGTTGAAGCAAGTTTCATAAATTACTTTATTTAAAAGTGTTTCACAAAGCTGGTTTGAATTTTTCTAGTTACTAAAATTTCCATCTGTTTCTGCTTTTCTCTGGATTTGATTTATAAAAATTTCTATTATTTATAATGCAACCTTTAAACTTCTTAATATTTTCTTAAATATCTTTTGTGTTTTATTTTTGTATATATTTGGTGTAATACAATGTATTGAATATTTAAACAATATATTTATTACTGTAATACTTAGTGTTTCTTGTACTAAATTATAGAAATTAAAAAGATTAAAAAAGATTAAAAAAATTTAAATCAAATTACAAATATGATATGATTTTTTCCAGCCTTCCAATTCTTAAATATTAATTTTATATTAGAAAAGATAAACATGATCCTCTAAATCAATGTCAATACTATAAATGGGTCACTTTTCTTAATAAAAAAATAAAAAAACAGTTTTTTTTATTGGACTTGAAGAATAAATAATATTAAAAAATTTCTTTTTTTGCCTTTTCCTTTTTTCCTTGCTGCTCCCTTTATTTTTATTTTTATCAAAATTAAATATCATATTAAAAAAATAAATAATTGTCTTTGAGTTTTACTTGAAATCTTTAAATATACCAATCATATGAGTGTTGGTAATAATATTTCTCTTCTTTTTTTTAGATTTTTTCTTTTCTGAAGCTGGATTCACCTTTTTAATTGTAGCAGGGTCTATGCTTGTAGGTTTCTGACCTAGCTCAACTAGTTTTTTTGGTAAATCAGCTGGAGATGGTAAAGGAACACTTCTCCACAGTTTAACAAATTCTTCATCTATCATACCAAGAGAACAGCCTTGATTTAACCAAATTAATCTTGGACTGTTATCTTTTTTAGTTCTTTGAACAATAATTTTGCTTTGCTTTTCTAAAGAGTCAATAGTCTCAAGACATGAATTCCAACCATCTTTCAACTCTTTTACACTTGTTCCTTTGAAAGTAGGTAAATTTTTCAAATAATTTATCAAATCATCACCTGTTTTTATTTGATGTAAAGATAAATATTCGATTGTATTATTAACTGAATCATATCTTATTCTCTCCATTTTTCTTAATGAAGGCAATAAGGCACCAATATCATCAAAATTGATGGTTTTTTTCAAACTATTGATATTCACTGGTTTGTCTTGAGATTTGATTGTATCGACAGCCTCATTCAACTTTACAGATAAAAACCCACTAGAGTATTCAGTAGTAGTGGTGATGGAATTGAAATTATTCGTTTCAAAACTATTGAAACTTGGGTTTTTGTTTTTAATCACATTCACACTACTACCACTACCATTAGTATTCTTTATACTATCTAACTTGGATTTTTTATAAGGATTTGAGAAATTAGCAGTTGAATTGTAGGCGTTGTTGGCATTGATTGAGGATAAATCAGAAGTGGTTCGTTTGAGATTGTTCGTATGCAATTTTCGTGGAATATCAGTTGACGAAGTCGTGCTTCGTATCTTCTTGAGAAATGCCAAATGATCCTGCGACAAGTCTGCCATCCTGGAGCGTATCTCTATTGTCTTTTTGCAGCAACCTCAGCAGCAATCTCGATGGTGATAGTATCAGACAATAAGTGCTGGATAATCAGAAAAGTCGCAGATAAAAATTTCGGGTTCCAAAAATTAGGGCAAACAAATTCGGGACAAAAATAATTTGCATGTGACATGTATTCCGGTATATCACATGACCGGCATAATCCGGGAGAGTGTCAAATGTTTTCACAAAACTGTTTTTAATAAGAAAGTGGTCCAGGATTGGTTGAGCAATTATAGATAATATACATCCTATTGAAAAATTCTATTAAATAGAACATTAGTTTAATCAAACCAACTCATATTGGCAATTGCAGCTGTTCTGATTTCACCGCCATAAAATTGTGCCAAAACAGATAAGATTCAAGGTATGAGGCTCATTTCAAACCAAATTTTACACAGTGATTTGCGATATATTGAAATTTGTTGCTCTTTCTTCCACTTTAACATCTATCAAATACTTCAAATACTTCAAATGTTCAAAGATTAAAGAAAAATAGTGATGATATCGCTTATTAAAAGAATAAATCAACTTTTCATCCGGCTTTATATACTAATCATTGAAAACCTCACTCGATTTTGATGCCTTCAATGGTATATCTGTCCCAGTCCCAGTTTTTTCAATTGATATTTACTAATTTATCTTTTATTTTATCGTGTTTGATTTAAAACCAGCTAAAATTGTTAAACGCTCTTGATTTCCTTTGATATAATGGTATTTTACCAGATTGTAATCAATTAAATTGCCTATAATTGATTATTTTTCAAGGTCTGTTTGAAATTTTATTCCAATATTCCCCCCCCCCCCCAATTATATCACAAATAATATATGTTTGAGTTTTAATCAAAACAAAAAAAACAAAAAACTGTGGTTTATTCTTTTGTATTATAGTTAAATTTGAATGGATTATTTCTTGAATAAATAGAAAAAACTTAATAAAGCAAGAAAAAAAAAGTAAAGCAAAAAAGTCATAATAAGGCAATAAAACATGATAATTTATTCGATTTAACTTAATAATAGATATTCACGATTTATTCAATATAAATACATATAATGTTTCACTTGATTTCATCTTTTAAAATAACTAATGTTATATGATCAGATTAATTCAAAATATCTTTTCTTTATGTTCTATAAAACAAATAAGTAATGACTTCGAATATTAAAAATTTTGGAAAGTTTCTTAAAAATAATTTTACTGTTGAAAAACAAAAGGTCAATAGTAATTTAAATAAAATAACTGTCGTTTCCAAAACGGGAGAAAATAATAATCAACTATCTCAATATAATGAAGAATCATCATTAAACATTTCCAATTCGGGTTTCGTACCAGTTACATCGACAAAAAGAAAATTAGAAAACCGTCATATTCAGTTAATTGGTATTGGAGGAGCAGTTGGTATCGCCATTTATCTTGGTATTGGAAAGGGTCTTTATATCGCTGGCCCATTATCTTTATTTCTTGCAATGGTAATTTGGTGTTTTCCAATCTGTTTTATAACGGTCTCAACAGCTGAAATGGTTTGCTATTTACCTATTTCATCTCCATTCATTAGATTGGCAGGAAGATGTGTTGACGATGCCTTTGAATTTATGGCTGGTTGGAATTTTTGGTTTTTAGAGTGTTCTATGATTCCATTTGAAATAACTGCTGCTAACAGTATTGTTCATTATTGGAGAGATGATTACTCAGCTGCAATTCCTTTAGTCATTCAAGCTGTTTTATATTTTTTGATCAACGTATTTGCAGTTAGATATTATGGTGAAACTGAATTTTGGTTTTCTCTAGGTAAAGTTATTTTAATTCTTCTTTTAATTGCTTTCACTTTTGTTACCATGTGTGGTGGTAATCCCATCCATGATGCTTTTGGTTTTAGATATTGGACAAAACCTGCTCTTATGAATGAATTTTATAAAACTGGAAATCTCGGTAGATTTTTAGGTTACTTGGCGGCTGCAATTAGATGTTGTTTTATTGTCGCTGGCCCAGAGTATGTCTCAATGGCAGCAGGAGAAACAATAAACCCAAGAGTCACTCTTAAAAAGGCTTTTAAACAAGTCTTTTATAGATTAACTTTTTTCTTTGTTGTTGGAACATTTTGTGTGTGTACTATCGTTTCATCAAGAGATCCAATTTTAGTAGGAGCTATTACAGAAGCCAAACCTGGTGCTGGAGCCTCTCCATATGTCGTTGCTATGCAAAATATGAAAGTCAAAGTATTGCCAGATATTGTTAATGTTGGTTTGATTCTTGCAGCCTTTTCAGCTGGTAACTCTTATACTTATTGTTCTTCTCGTTCATTATATGGTATGGCATTAGATGGAAAAGCTCCAAGATTTTTGAGTCATTGTACTAAGACTGGCGTGCCAATTTATTGTGTATTGATCTCTTTATCTTGGGCATTATTATCCTTCTTGCAATTGGGAGAAAATTCAGCAACTGTTTTAGACTGGATTATTAATTTGGTAACAGCATCACAATTGATTAATTTTTGTGTTTTAAGTACCACTTATATCTTTTTCTATAAAGCAGTTATTGCACAAGGCATTGATAGAAATGCTTTTACTTTTAAAGGTTGGTTTCAGCCATATTTAGCATATCTTGGATTGTCAGCAACATTTACTATGGTATTTGTTAGTGGTTATACTGTATTTCTTCCTTCATGGTGGTCGGTCAAAGATTTCTTATTTTCATATATTATGGTATTCTTGGATATTGCATTTTATTTTGGATACAAAATAATTAAAAAAACAAAAATAAAGAAACCATTAGAAGTTGATTTAATAACAGGATTAGCTGAAATCGAGCAACACGAAAAGGAATATTATGAAGAACTAGAATTGAATAAAGATAAACTCAAGAAATGGTATAACCACTTATCAAGATTTTTGTTTGGTGGTTAATTTTTTTGTTTACTCTATCTTTTTGTATTTTATTATTTTTTGTTTTAATTTTTTGTTTTTGTTTTTCTGCTCTATTTTTTGCGCTTTTTTTGCTTTTCCTTAATTTTTCATATTTTTTTCAAAATTAAGAAATATATTAATAAACCATAAATTTTTATCATTTGTAATTTTTTTCATTAGTAAAACTTTTGATATAATCAAATAATTGAGTTGTTTATTTAAAATTTGAAAAAAAAAACAATTATACGTTTAATTTTACTAGTAAAAAATAGATTTAGATGAAATCTTGTCTATAATATAAAATATGTGTTTATTTGATGAATATTGTTGACGGTTTTATACCAGTTAATTGAAGAGAAATCTTAAGGCGATCAAAATGCAAGATATCGATTATCAAGTGCAAGATAAATATACACAAGAATAATTCAATTAATAAAATGTAAAAAATAATGGTTTGAAGTCAGATTTTAGTGCCACAGTTTTAAGGTTGGAAATAAGGGAATTAAACAAATTGATTGGCTGTAGTATACAATTTGCAATTAGTAATCAGAGAGATTTTTTCAGTTGATTGTTATTTAAATATTGATTTTAATTGTTCTTTGTTTAAATTGCCATTGAACTTGTTATACATTGCAATTTTTATATATTCCAATTGCAATTGAATTTAACAATGAGTGTTTCTTTTCCTCATGTTAGACTTGGAAACTCTGGTTTGAAAATATCCAAGATCATTGTTGGATGCATGTCATATGGATCTAAAAATTGGGCCTCTTGGATTGAAGATGATGAAGAAAAAGTCTTCAAAATCTTGAAAAAATTATACGATAGTGGAATTAGAACTTTTGATACAGCAAATGTGTATAGTAATGGTAAATCCGAGGAACTTTTAGGTAAATTTATTAAAAAATTCAAAATCAAAAGAGATAGAATTGTTATATTATCCAAATGTTTTTTTCCTGTTAGAGACGATGACCAACCAGCCAATTACAGTGATATCGATATCGATTATATCAATTCGCAAGGTCTATCACGAAAACATATTTTTGATGCAGTTGAGGCGTCAGTTAAAAGATTGGGCACATTTATTGATGTGTTGCAAATCCACCGATTTGATCCTGATACGCCAGGCGAGGAAATCATGAGATCTTTGAACGATGTTATTGAAAAGGGATATACCAGGTACATTGGAGCATCATCGATGAAGGCGTACGAATTCATTGATTTGCAACACATTGCTGAAAAACATAACTGGCACAAGTTCATATCGATGCAAAACTACTATAATTTGCTTAACCGAGAAGAAGAAAGGGAGATGATACCATATTGTCAAAAGAATGGGGTTGGGTTGATTCCATGGTCACCAAATGCCAGAGGACTATTGACAAGGCCATTGAATGCAGAGACAGAAAGATCCAAAGTGGAAAAGAAGAGATTCTCTAGTCTTGGACTAACCACTTTAGAGACAGGCGACAAGGAGATAATATCTCGAGTTGAAAATCTTGCAGAAAAACACAAGGTCTCGATGGCTGCGGTTTCCACAGCGTGGGTTTTATCCAAGGACATCTATCCTATTGTTGGGATCAGCTCTGAGAAACGAGTGGACGACTTGATTGCTGCTGTTCTGGTGGAGCTCTCCAAGGAAGACGTTGAGTACCTCGAGGCTCCTTATACCCCAAAGTTTTCCAGATATTAGAGCTCATTTAGGGCCCTTCTTTAGGTCTCTTTAAGTCTGCGCTTTACGCCCACCGCTCAAAACGTAGATCTCAAAACCAGCGTCACTCAAAAGCCGAGAGTGAGACACACACGCAGGAGCCACCACTGCGGAAGCGGTCCTAAACAATACACGTGAATATCATGGGTCTAAAACTTCCAACAATGCGCCGCATGCATGCCGACGCAACACACTGCGCTCCAAGCGTGTTTTGCCCACCGTTCATCGCGCATCAGGAAAAAAAGACTTTCCAAATTAGGCCAAACGCCTGGGACTTTCCAATGAATTTCGCTTAGTTAAGAATTTTCAGTGTTTTCCAATCTTTTTCACCCTTTTTAAGCTTTTTTTCATCTTGTTGAATTCTTTTTGGATGCTGCTGGAATTTTCCTGTTTGTTATATCCAAATCTTTTTCATTTCACCTCTTATTTCACCTCTTCATTTAGCTTTTTCTTCAGCCTTTTCTTTACTTTGTATCCTCAGAAAACTGCTTCACCTGCTAATACGTAATTTGCAGCCAATTTGGCTCTTCAATTCAAAGCAGAAACCTCTTTTGATGTTTTGAAGGTTAACCTTGTGTAACAGCATAATAAAAATTATCTTCAGTTTTATTTATGTGTTTTATCCAATCGCATTACCAATTTTATTCGTTCATATCTGATATATTCACTTCCTTCTAATCCTACTCATTACCTATCTCTTTTGGGATTTGCTTATAAGTTTTCCTTTTACGTACCACTTATTCTTTCATTTTCATTTTTTTTTCTCTTTTTTTTGCGCTTCTTCAATATTATCATAATCATAACAATAACAATAAAAACAAAAATAATCATAAGTATTAATGTCTTCCATAATGGCAAATGGTTTACACTACTCTTCTGATACCCATTCCTCTGATAATGGAGTGAAAAAAAGATTATCTATTTTCGTATTCAATGATTCTTTAAAGTCCAGTTTATCTAATATTACATCAAAAAAGGATTCTTCTAATATCCATTTATCAAAAATCAATATCAATAACTATAGCCATAATCCTGCTCACCAAAACACTTCTAATACTTTCAGTACTTTTAATGAAACTGTGTTTCATAACAATACCATTTATAATAACAATAATAATCACTATTGTGCTTCTCCTTCTTCGCCTTCTTCTCCTTCAAAGGATTCAACGGGCTTTAAAGATAAATTAAAAATCTTGAATAAATTAAATAAAAACATCTCAAAGAGCATTAATAAAAATTCAGACCAAACTGATATAAACTCAATAACTAACTCCAAATATGACAATAACTATATTCAACTTTTAATTCAAAATTCCACGAATACTGAATCCTGGGGTCCCTCAATAAACCAACTAGATGAAATAACTAAAATATCCAATCAAAACTTTCAAAATAGATCTTTAATCTTGAAAATCCTATTAGATGATTTAATTAAATTTTTCTCATTTTTCTCGGTTCATAATAATAAAAAGAAAAAATTAAATAATTATAATTTTTATTACAGATCAATATTAAAAATCTTGATCATATTAAATTACTTATTAATTCACTCAAATAATTTAGATATAATTAAAAACATCAAGTTTTTCTTCCATAATATTATATCAAACATCTCCAAAAATTTCCAAATTAAAAATAATATTTCAAATAATGATTTTAAAATCAATCAATTAATTAAAAAAAAATCTTTGGATTTGATCGAATTATTGGATAATAACTCTTTAATCTTTCAAAAGAGAAATTATTACTATAAATTTGATAATCAAAAGAATTTGTTTAATAACAATAACAATAACAATAATACTACCGAAAATCCTTATCGAAATGATATTTTAATCTTTAAACATAAAAAAATTGGTTTATATCTCGAAGAAGAAAATTATAGTGACTTGAGTGAAGACGATCAGTTTGATTCTCCCAGTAATACCAATAACTCCAATACCAATATCAATTCAAATAAATCAAAAGCTATTAAATCTTCTAAGTCCTCAAATCGATTAAGCAAGATATTCCATTCAAATAATAAAAATGATGATTATGATATTTCAAAAATATTAAATGATGATAAAATATTACCAAATCATACTTCTGAAACAGATTTAGTCAATAAAATTAAAAGGACCTCTTTTTTTTTATCTTCTTCTTCAAAATCAAATCTAAACTTATCCTCTTCTTTTTCAAATTCAAATTCAAATTCAAATTCGACTTCAAATTCGACTTCAAATACAACTTCAATTTTTAATTCTTCTCCTTCGTTAACTTCTCCTTCTATCAATTCAAATTCTGATAATTCTTCTAGTTTTTCTCCAAAATTTTCTGCCAGATCAAACTCCACGTTCTATTCATACACAGAAATTGGAAAGTTCTACACAAACAATAACAGCCACCATAACAGCAACCTCAATCAAAACAGCCAGAATAATGATGTTCCAAAAACGTTTTTATCCAGTAAGTATGCTCCAATCTCCAGAAACAACACTGATAGCAAGATTAGATCGTCTTCTTACGAGATCGACAGAAATCAGAATCTCAAACTGTTCTCTTTCAAAACCGACACTGATCTTCTCACTGATAAGCTGGCTTCGTTTGGCTGTTCCAGAAAAAGCTACAACCCCTTCTTGAACGACGACGATGAAGAAGACCAAGAAGGAAAGACCTCCAACCACTCGCTGAGATTCGATGACAATATCAATTCTGACGACTCTGCTTCTCCAGTGTTTTCTGACAACAATCCATTTGCCAATTACTACTCAGCTCCCACGTCGTTGCAGTCGACGCCTGTGGGCTCTTCGTTCAACTTCCAGCAGTTGGTTGCTTCTGCTACTTCTGAGGTCGACTTTGCCACCTCCAATGGGTCCTATATCGACAACAGGGCCTACTACTGCTCTCCCAGCTTTATATAGATAGTTTTTATTCTCGAGTGTAGATTCCACATCGCTTTTTTCTTCTTCGGTTCGTCGTGAGAGCTATTACCTCTTTTCGTTTTTAATTACATTTTGTTTAATTATTCTACTCTTATATGTTCCTATTATATACCATGTATTATTAAAAAGTAAAGTTGAATTCGAACCATTAGGCCCAGAATTGAATATATATAAAAAGAAATTATCTTTGTTTTTATTTATATAAAAACTTTTTGGAGATCGGTAAAGAAATAATAAGTTATTTCCTGTTTAAATAGAATTTAAATGAATGAAACAGAAGTATTAGATAGATTTTCAAAAATTAGTAGAATACTTTTTAGTATAATTTTATATATTAAATAATGCAAAAAAAAAATAGAAGTAGAAAATAGAATACTCTAGAAAAATTCAACAATACTAAAAAAATATAAAAACAGATAAAAAAGTGCCAGATTATTTTAGAAAAGAAAACATGAAAAATTAAACTTATGCAAACAATTCAAGTTTGGATTGTTGATTAAATGATAAATAGTAATAGTAATAGTAATAATAATAGTAATAGTAATAGTAATAGTAATAGTAATAGTAATAGTAATAGTAATAAAATAAAATAAAATAATAGTAATGATAATAGTAATAACAAAATAATAACAAAATAATAATAATAATAATAATAATAATAATAATAATAATAATAATAATTAAAATGAAAAAAAGAGAAAAGAGAAAAGAAACTTGAAAATGAACACCAAAAGTGGTTATCTTTGTCTCTATATGATTTTTTGAGAATTTTTATTATTTAAATTTTTTTTTTATATTTATATTTATATTTATATTTATATTTTTTTTCAAAAACCCTTGCTAAATAACAATATCATTTCTTTTTCCTGCCAAACAAACCTCGCTTATCTTTTTTTTTGGGATCGTTTGAGTTATTTGTTTTCACTGCATTGCCATTTTCATTATGAGGGGCAGAAAATGTAATTGGTTGGTCTTCTTTGCTTGCATTATTATTTTGATCAGTGGGTTGTTCTTGGCTTGTATGGCTTGATGGTTGAGAAGCATTATCAGAACTTCCATAGTTGGATGAGCTTCCGGCAGTTGATGTACTATTATTATTTGAACCACTGGATGATAGATTCATGGCGGATGATTTATGTTGAATGTTTGGATTATTACCATTGACTTTGGGACTAATATTTGCGTTATGTGGAGGTGGAGGTGGATGATGAGGAACATTATTAATAGCTAGTTGAGATGGAGGGCCATGATTTGGGGAACGATGACCATTTATTGGGCCATTCATTGGGCCATTCATTGGGTTTTGAGTGATTGATAAAAGATTTGGATTTGAAGGAACACGAGGAGTACCATTCATATTCATTGGTGGATAGCCTCCATTGCTCATTGATAAACTATTCAATCTTTGTCTTTGGTTACTCACCTTTCGATTTGGTTGTGTTAAATTTGTGGGTAAATTTTCGCCATTATATAAACTGAAATCATTCAAGGGTTGAGTTTGGCTCATAGCCATACCAACCAAGTTTGGATTTGAAGTGCTCATCATTGGGAAAGCAGATCTTCTCTTTGATTTTGTAGTTGGTTTAAATCTAGAAGATATGTCACCAAGTTGTTGTTCAACCAAATTAGTTTGGTCCATCATTTGAGTTGAAAGAGCCATTGAGGTGTATCTTTTTTGAGTTGAAGGGCGATGTTGAGGAGTATAAGAATAAGGTTGTTGCAATTGAGAGGATTGTTGCTGTTGTTGTTGTTGTTGTTGCTGTTGTTGTTGTTGTTGTTGTTGTTGTTGTTGAGATGGAGGAACGTTGGAATAAACTGATGAGGCGTAAGGAGCAGCTTGCATTCTACCTGATGGTGGTTGAGCGTAAGAAGGCTGTCTAGAACCAGAACCAGGATTCATTGGCATGGGAATTTGAGGGTTTTGTTGTTGAGGGTATTGAGGGTATTGGTTATATTGTGGATTGCCATGGGATAGTTGTCTTTGGTGATGCATATGTGGATGAGGCACTGGGTTTGTAGAAAGATTCAAGCCTTGAGTGACATTTGAATTAGGGTTATTAGAATTAGAATTAGAATTAGAATTAGAATTAGAATTAGAATTAGAATTAGAGTTAGAATTAGATTGTGGTTCATCTTTAGGTAATGGGGAAGATAACTCGCCATTTAAAACAGCACCATAGACAGCAATATCGGTTAAATCTTTTAAATCTGGAGTATTACCGCCACTACTATTATTATCGGTAATTGGTGATTTTTGAGGGGGTTGTAGATTGATTTTAGTTGGTTCCGAGTAATCATTTTGATTTAAATCTTTTAGTTCAGAAGGAACAAATCCGTTTTGGTTTTGGTTTTGATTTTGATTTTGGTTTTGGTTTTGATTGAAAGAGGTTTGGATTTGATGATTTGATGAATGTTGCTGGTGATGATTGATGTGATTTGGAGGAGAGTGAGAGTGGCGATGAGTTTTGCCATTTTTTCTCAATTGAGGAGGATAAGGCAAGCGAGGTTGTTGTTGTGATTGACGAGAAAGGGATAATTTTAGGTCGTTAACTTGTTTTGACAAGTCATCTATTTGTTTTAGTAGCAAAGTATTTGAATCCTTTAAAGATTTTTTTTGAGATTTGAGGGCGGATAGTTTTTGAATATTGTCATTTAAAGTTGAAACGTCTTTGTTGATTCTAACAAAGAATAAAGAAGAGGGAGTTGAGTTTGAGTTTGAATTTGAATTTAAATCTGAGATTGAGGATTTATTGATTTTGTTGTAATGACAGAGAGTAGCATATAGAAATTCCAAGTAGGGTGTTTTAACGCCGTAGTCATCAGCTAGGAGAATTGGTTGCAAGAGTAAAGTGTCGACAGCTAGATCGTATTGGTAGTAGTATTCGTAGAACAAGCTGGGGGTGTTTAGGTAGTTGATGTTTTTTAGTTCGGTGTCGTTGGGAAGAGAGATAGAGGAACCAGAACCGGAACCAGAAGGAGTGGTGGAAGTGGGATCTAATGGTGAGGACTCGTTTTGGAGAGGAAATTGGTTAATCCAAGTTTTGGATAGAGAGTTTTCGTTTTCGTAGCCTTTGATAAGTTTGCAGCCCATTTTTTTGAGAACAGTTATGAGTTCAGTTATCAAGCCACTGACGAGAGGTTTAGAGAGGATTTGTTTGTGCAATTGGATGGGGTATGGCATTTCAAAAAGGATTAATAGAGGGTTGAAGATTATTCTTGGTAAGGCGAATTTCCATTGGTAGTTGAGAAATTGTAGGGGAGATGTTGAGTGGACTGGGTTCAAGCCAGAGGTTTGAAAAAGGTCGTTTAGTTTTTGGATGTTAATGAGGTGGGATCTTTTGTAGGAAGTGTCAAGACCTGAGTAACCTATGTAGACATCGCTTTCCAACTCGTTGTAGTTAGTGGTGTTGGTGGTGTTAGCGGTAATATTTAGTTGGTGGATGTACGTGTTTTTGTTTTTAATTTTTTTGATGTTTGAGTCGTTCATGATTGATAAGATTGTGGCAGTATCGTTGAATGATTGTAGAAAGTAAGGTTCTAGTTGCAAGTATCCAGTCGATTCGATTAATATGATTGATTTTTGGTCATTTTTCAAGTAAGGTTTGATGTGATTGGATAGAACAGAGAAATTTTGTAGAGAATTTGAGTGGACTATGATTAAATCGAATTTTACATCTTTGTTGTTATTGTTGTTGTTATTATTATTATTATTATTATTATTATTATTATTGTTGTTGTTGTTGTTGTTGTTGTTGTTGTTGTTGTTGTTATTGTTATTACTATTGCTATTACTGTTGGTATTATTAGTAGTAGAATTGAAGTCTTTAAAAGTTTTGTAATAGTTATTAAAATTGAATCTTTGGTTGTTAAATTTCTTGGAGAACCAAGATATTGAGTAGGCTTGATTAGACAAATCAGAAGAATCTGGACGAGATGTGTTGCTGGGAGGATAAGTATTAAAATTCAAGTCATCATTGATTATGGTCAAGTTACATTTTGAAGATTGGAACAATCTCCAAGAGTAAAAAGCAATGTTTGGATTATCACCAACAGACAAGACGTTTAAACGATTAGACATGGTTGTTAATAGGAGGGAGAAAATGGAACGAGATTAAGATATTAGAAGGGTGAGATGGTATAATAATTCATTAGATTATTAACGATTAGAAATTAGAGATTGATTGAAGAAGTAATCAATCAACTGTTTGACGAAATTGATAAAACAGATAAATAGTCAAGTAATTAAATATAAATGTGGTTATAAATAATAATAATATTGATGAGTTTTTCTCAGATATCAAGCGAATGAAAAAAGGAAGAGGTGAAAAAAAATGAAAAAAAAAAGAATCAACAAATTAAAAAGAACCAGAATTCAGAAGGCGATAATGAAAAGATATAATATAACAGGAAATAAGATATCAGTGACTATGGGAATCTGAGAAGTTAGGGAGCAGGAAGCAGGAAGCAGAAAAGACAGGAAACAGGAAATGAGAAACACTGGAATAATGAATTGAATTAGTCAGTGAACAATTCTGAAGAGAAATTAAAGCTTCTGAAGGTGAGGATGTGGATAGGAATTGTGTCGAAAGCAGAACAAAGAGGATGAAATAAGCACAGAAGCAGCAAATGTATCACAAACCCAGAAGAAACTCAGGAGTGGCCTTATACCTGGATATTTGTGCGTTGTTAAAACGAGCCCAGATGAGCGACTGATGAGCTGCGCTGCCGCCGCGGAAAGGGGCTTCTCTTCTCGCGCACCACAGGAAGCACGCCCACCACGCTCCCTCCTCCTCCAGCCTCACGCGCTGCTCACGCTCCTCTCCTGTCACGCTTGCTGCTCTGCCGCTCTCAATTCCCTCATCACTACCAACGCAGATGCTTTCCTGGTGCTGCCTGTGCTGCCTGTGCTTCCCGTGCTGCCCGTCCGACCACTGCAGCTCTCCTAGCGGGCCTGTTGCCGTCGGTACTGCTGCACGATGATCTGCTGGTTCTTTTTCCGCTGCAGCCGGCAGTGCCTTTGTTGCCGGGCCTCCTGCTCATGCCTGGCCGCCCTCCGGCTTGCGCAGGCTCTGTTACCAGATCTTTCTCTTTCTTCTCTTTCTCAGCTGAAACTCACTCCAGCTTTTTGTTTTCCCATTTCCCAATCCGTCCCATCGCTATCTTTATCTTTCTATTATTGTCCTCGTTTTTTTGGCTGCTTTCAACACTACTGATATCATCTCTACTATTATAAGGTCGGGCCTAGCCTTTTTCACTTGTCTCAGGAACTATTTATAGCGCATAAGCTGTTTAAGCCTCTGCTCAACATTATCTTCCGTGTTTGAAACACCTTTTACTTCAGGACCTGCCGCTTTTCTGATATTTTTCCGCTCTCTTCTGCCACACTCGCGGATGCTTCGGAAACTTGTTTCCCACAAGCTTCCATTGCTTCCTATTCCTTCTTCAGCATCATCACCGCTTTTATGTCCCTCATCCTGCTTCCTTTACTTCCTTCTTTCTTTGTTTAAATCGTAGCTGACTACACGGTCCGTCTGAACATAGAAAAATAAAATAATATGCTTACTTAAGAAAATTGTTGTGACCTTCGATAACCGATTTCCGGCCGTTCGTTACGAGTTAATACACTTTCGAGCATTCGTTCTAGTCGCTCAAATCCGGATGCAACATTCGATTCAATTAACTCAGCTCTTTGATTTAATTCATTAATGTTGGAAGCGTTTGGTGGAGTATCAAGTTCCTCTTTGTTTTCACTATTAGCGTTCTTGACAAGAATGCTGTCAGGTTGACAGCCGTCGAAGGAAGGACCATAATGACTTCACAAACTTCCGAGTTTGGATTGTGTTTTCCGGCCACACCTCGTGCAACACTGTCTTTATGTAATAACATTCCATGATTAGCTAATACATCATCAAAAATCTTTGTAAATATATTTCTATTTAGTTATATTAAAAATTACTTGAAAATAATGTGTTGAAATGCTTTAATATCTTTGTCCATTACCGTATCCTTTAATATCTTTGGCAAATTCCCAACTCATATCTTCAATCTTCAAATTCTTCTCAAGCTTAATGCCATTTTTCTTACTGATTGTAACAATTGAAAACTTATTCAATGATCTTGCATCTCTATAAAACAAAACTTTCATACATTCTAAAACACACTTTCTGGCTTCTTCCTCCTTGATATTTCTGAAATTGTCTGAATCGGTCTTGGTCTCATCGATCCCTTTCTCTTCCAAAAACTTTCTTAAAATTGGTATAGCCAAATAATTCCCAAATCCAGTAGACAACGCTGGCGATGCATACTCAACCCCCAATAGATCAACATACTTTAAGAAGGGCTCATTGTCACTACCAATCCCTCCAACAATCAATGAATTCCACAATGGATCCATCTTGTTTCTTCTGGAATACAACACATTTCTCAAATATTTGTGAATATTGTCCGCTTGGAATTCAATATTAACATCGTCATACGAACTCTCAATCTTAAGTTCCTCCAACAATCTCTCAATCTTTTGTAAATCTGATATATCCCCGGATATTCCAACAACCGTTTTATCATTAAACTCAATGAGTCTTTCAATATCTGTAAATCTACTCAACGACCCATATGACCCCAAGTTGTCTGCTGCCATAATAATCCCATCTTCAAATTTAATACCAATTACTGATGTACCTGTGACTATTGGCTCTTGTGTATTCATTCTTGGAAACTCAGAATACTTATCCTTATGCTCTTGAAAATAATGTTCACTATTAGCAATGGAATAATCATATTTCCCATAAATATCATCTCTTGGTCTACCCCATCTAAAAGGATCGTGGTCCATCTTCAATTGACTTTTTATACTAGATTACGTTATATTATATTATATTATATTATATTATACTCTATCAATTAATTGCTATTTCAATTGATATATCTCATATACTTCCACAAACTTCAATGTGGCAAATCACTTTCTTCAATCTACTCAATCAAAACGGTCTGCTTTCATTCAACATCAATCCTTGATTATCTAATATCACGCGCACACAAAGCCACTTCTATTAAAAAATCAAAATAAAATCAAAATCAAAAAAAAATACTATTTCATCTTACATAATCATCTTAATCAATCAATATTTATAATCACAATCACAATCATAATGTCAATTAATAAATAACTTCAGCTCCTCCCAGATTGATATTCTCAATCTCAATATCTGACAATTCCCCATACTTAAATCTCAATGGCAACTCACTTCTCAAAAACACCTCTTTAACATTACTGCTACTACTACCACCAACAACAACTGGCATCAATCCTCCAGAACATGGATGAGGCTTTGGTGTATGATCAATGATTTCTAATTTTTATTCATCCTCACTTGGTTAATATTCCCATAAAAATCTCCCGATATCAAATATAAAACAATAACTAAACTTACTTGGTGCTGGATGTCTTCCTCCAACAAATTTAATCATGGGACTGTAAACACTCTTGGCTAATCTTATACCACTGGCTCTCATTTTTATCAATTACTATCTATCTATCAAAAACAAAAACAAAAACAAAAACAAAAACAAAACTATTCTTGAATTTTTCTTCCTTTTTTCTTCCTTTCTTTCTTCTACTTGTTTGATATCAACTCAATAACCCAATATTATTTCAGATTCATTCGTCTACATTTTTTGTCCTTGCCGGATTGTTATGTAATCCGTACTATCTAATTCCGACTCGGCGCACGCTCGGAAAATACATTTTCACGTGAACAACCTTGTTCGGGCATTCACTTTAATGCTTTCTCCCAACCAATCAATTATCGTTATTCTTTCCAACATATTCCTCAACATGATCTTCTCTAATATCTTCAATTTCTTCTTCAATATTTCTTTCTGTTTCTTTAAAGGTATCTTCTGAAACATCGTCTCAATTCCTCTTCAATTCCCGATTATCAAAGTAATTCATGTCACTTCTTTTCGTACCTCTCTTTCTTCCCAAGCCCATTTTTCTCCAGAAAACATCAGAGATACTCATTTTTAGTACCTCTTTTATTCCCTTTCTACGTCATTTGGTTCAATTAAATTGTCAACCTAGTTAATAACTTCTCTTTTTTATTATTTAACTAATATTACAAAAACATATCCACTTCAATTGGCTAATCAATTTGGTTCCATTTCTATCTACTTTTCACATTTCCAATTTATCTATTTATCTACTTATTGTGAAAACCTCTTTGAAAATTCTATTTGGAAATTGTGTTTATTGGAAAAAAAAAAACCTTAACTATCTATTAAAACTTTTTAGTAAAAGAATTTTGAAAACTTATTAATCCAATTCAACAAAAATTTCTTTGTTAATCATCCTAACTCTCCCCCTGAGTTACTCTAAAATATTCAAGTAATCTAAAACATTCGAAAACCTTTTATACCTTTTCTAAAACAGGTCTTTAATATTTACTAATGTTTGATAATGTTTGATAACATTTAATAATATTTTTATAATAAATTTCATAACAAAACCCATATAAAAAATTGAGGAAAAAAATTTACGATATTAATCTAGAAGAAAAAAACAAATTCTAATTTTCAAAATTATTATTATGTCTTTATTATGTCTTTCCCTCATTTTCATAATCTATTACTTTAAAATAAAACAAAAATATCCACCATCATCGGCTCATTAATAACCCCATTTAAAAGAAAATTATTACTCAAAATTAAATTTTTATTACTCCATTAATTACTTTTTTTGATTTTTTGACTTTCAAATCCAATTTTGTTTTAAATTTTTTCTATCTCCTGTTATTCTCATCTACTTTTCTCAATATTCTAATAAATAAATTTAACCCACATTTCCTTCTTATTTTCAATCTTCTTTTCTCCTTTATAAATTTTAGCACCTTTTAAAAACTTGTTTATTATTTGTCTCAAATTTGTCTAAATATTGTCTCTCACTTGTTTATCAACCATTTATTATGTTTATTCACAATTTTATCAATTTGTCTGCTTTTTTTCGCTTTTTTTGGTTTTACTTTAAATAACTTTAACTTTCTGGATTCCAAAAATTATAAATATTGTTTTAATTAATTTCAACTCTCATTTTTATAAAATTTTCATTTTGGTGTCTTTGTTTTTTGAAAATATTTTGTACCCATTATGAATATTGTTGATTTATAATCTTATCAATTATTAATAATTATCCCAATTTTTAATTATTTTAATTTTGTGTCCTTGTTTTGTTTTTTTATTTTTTTTGTTTTTTGTTTTTTTACTTTTTTTTCTATCGTTTTATCGTTTTATTGTTCATTTTTAACAGTTTCTTTTTGCAAACTTTTTCTTTTCACTTTATCATAGATTCATAAAGTGATCAGAGAAATTTTTATCACAAATTATAATTTACAATTTCAATCTTGAAATTTAGAATAAAAAACTTAATTCATTTTTAAAACCGAATAAGTAAAACAATTAAATGGGGAAATAAAACTCAATTTATCTCTTAAAAGTTAATACGTTAATATTAGTTTATATTGTAATCTTTTCTAAATCAATCTGGCTTTTGTTTTTGGTCACAAGAGAATCCCTTCCTTCCCTTTATTAAATGTTATGATTAATAATTAAAAACAAACAACAACAAAAAATAAAAACTAAAAAAAAAACGAAAAGAGAAAGAGAAAGAGAAAGAGAAATATGAATTAAAAAAGAATGTAAAATAAAATAAAATAAAAGGAAAGAAAAGAAAAAAATTCTGAATATAGTATAATATTATTAGCTGTTTTATCAGAATCAATATCTTTCTTTTTATTTGTCCTTTAGTATAATATAATAACGAACAAGAATTTCAAGGCATGACACAAATAAACTTATGAAAATAATTATAATAATGATCCAAGTGATCTTTGACATATTTCTCTCTGCTATGCTATCAGCGATAACATCTGCAAATTCAAGAAATAATTTACATTTATTATTAATGACTTCAACTCTTTCATCGATTTCGAGATACTCCCTTCCAGCTTGATATAATGGATGTAAACTTGGTTCGAATGACCAAAAAAATTCAGGAGTATCTAAAATACTAGATGATAAATTAACCTCAACTCTTAATTTAAAAAATTTACCACTTTTCTTCGATAGTTGTTTTCTGTTTAAACCTAATTTCCCTGTTAATGATAATCTTTTTGGTAATCTGTGTAGGTAATATAGTATATTATTTAATTTATTTTCAAATGAACATAATTTGGTTGATTGGGCTATTGCATGAGATAATGTTAATTTGATGAAATGGTCATTTGAACTTAGAGTAATCATATCGTTATAGATTCTTGGGATTTTGCAATTTTTCTTATATTCAAAATGAAAGTTTTCAGTTTCATATTCATTTCCATCAATTGAATTAATTAATAAACTTAAATCATTATTGAAACCCATTTTGGCAAAGACTAGATCTGCTAAGATTTCTTTTTCTTGATTTTGTGTAAAATTCCAAAATACAACGACTCCATAATTAAAGATAAAGACTTCAGCATGATTTTCCTTTGGTAATAAACTGAGATCGAGAGTTTTATTTTTATAATAAATTAAATTTGAATTATCACTGTCATTTTCGTTGTCATTTCCTTCATCATCGTCATCTTCTTCATCGTCATCATCATCATCACTGTCATTATACTCATCTCCATCACTATCAGATGTAAAGTATTTTGAATCTAAAAAAGATTGAGGTTCAGAGGGGTCAAAATCGTCATCATCAACATTGGTTTTTTTAGTATCAATATTGTTATCCTTATCAATATATGAGTTGTCGATTGATTTACTATTATAGGCATTATTTTGATTGGTGTAATTGTTGTTATTAACATCAGTATTAATAATATTATTAATGTAACCTTGATGATTACTATGAATTGAAGAACTGGTTCCATTATTAGTATTAATATTATTATCGTCATCATTAGATTGTTCAACGCCGGAATAATATTCGTAATGATGATCTCTTTTTTCGGATCTATCAATTAGGTTTTCTATTAGAGATTTATTGTTTAATAGAACTTTCATTGAAATATTTGATCTTATTCGATAATTGTCGATGCCAGGCAATAAAGGCAAACAATAAGGGACATATAATACTTCATCATATAGTCTTGGGGATACTTTGTGATAAGTCTTGAGAAAGGATATTGATAAGTTTAAGTCGATTTCTTCTGAGATGTAATATGCAGTTAATCTTGGGAAATTTTGGGATCTAATTTCCTTTGGCATCTTTTCAGCTTTAGTCTTTTTAGGGATTTTTTTGCTTGAGACATTTGAAGGAGGAATTTGGTGATTAAAACTGGGATTCAAGTTTAAATTTGTGTGTTTCTTTTGGTGTAAAGAGGGAGAAGAAGAAGAAGAAGAAGAAGATAAAGTGGATTTAGTGGTGTCAATTTTGTTGATAAAGCTATTGCTGTGTGTATTTTTTAATGGTTTATTTTTTTTTCGGATTGAATTATCTATTTTATGAGTAGCATTGATATTATCATTGTTATTTTTATTGTCATTTTTATTGTCATTGTTGTTATCGTTTTCTTTTGTTTTCTTTTGCAATTGTTTAAATTTTTGATTGATTTTATTCTTTTGATTGTTGTTCAATTTATTATTGATTTCAGAATCGATGTAAATATCTTCATTGACTTCTTTAACGACATCAGGAATAAGCACTAATTTCTGAGAAGTCTTTGAGGTTCTTATTGGTAAAGAGCCGATTAATCTATTGGGATTATTATTGGGATTGTTATCGAAATTGTTATTGAAATTGTTATTGAAGTTATTCAAGTGGTTATTGTATAGTTTATTGGGAATTCTTTTTAGAGAGGAAGGAATGTCGCTTGAGTTTTGCAATATTTTTGAAATTGAAATGTTTTTGTATTTGCTATTATTTGGAGGATGATTAAAGGGATTTCTGTTTTGGTGATTGTTATTCATTGCAAGATGATTGTGGGATGCGAGATGGGTTAAGGTATAAAAGTGAGCAAAGCGATTTCAGTGTATGATTTCAGAGTAGTTTCAGTACGAATTCAATGTTATTTTATGATTGTAGCATAGTTCTGGCAAAGGAGTAAAATCGAAAGAAAAGTTTGTGTTGAGGCGAAAGAAAGAAAAAGGGAAAGAAAGAGAGAAAGTGGTGCTTTTTTGGACAGAGCATTGCTTTGTGAGAGGTGTGAATGAATAATAGACCAATTGCTGAATAGGCGTTGGATTACTGAGGAATAGGCGTTGGATTATTGAGGAATTGTCGAATAATTATTAAACAGTTTGAGCAGTTGTTGCACACTTCTGGGTCGCTTGCTGATTAGAGTTTTACAGTTATTGAAGAAGAAATATGGGGTAGAACAAATAATTATCAAGCAGATGGTGAACGAGCCTAATTACGCTAGTAATGTTAATGTTAATGTGTTCATGGTGAGGTTTAAATGGAAACAATAAGAGAATCGTCATCAGAAAGAGCGAGAAAAGAAAAGAAGTAAATGGAGCTGATTAAAGCTGGTTAGCTGATTAAAACTGGTCAGAATCGATCAGAACTGATCGATTTGGATTGAATCGAAATCACATATTCTAAATAAAGATCAGTGACTGGAAAGAAGTATAAGTAGAGGATAAGTGATTTCTGCTCTGTTTCGGTTATTATATTCAGATACTCGCGAGTGGAATTTATTTTTATTCCAGGTCTGGTTCAGCGAGATAGAATCTAAATCAGCCAAATCAACTAAATATTTGCAATGTTTTAAACTGTTTTTGCTCTGCATTGTTTTGGATGGGTTTAAGCTGGTTTCAAACAGGCCCAGTCGAGATAGAAGCAATACATCGAGATCAATGGAGATAAATCCACCCAGATCAGTTCTCAAAGCATATCAAGCTGTAGGTGGAACGATGATGGATGCAACAGCAACAATTTGCTCTCAATCTCCAGATGGATTGCTTGTGGGTTGTTTCTGCTGTATCTCCTGGTGGTTTATTGCTGGGGGGCGTTTGGCTTTTGGCTTTATGGTTTTTGTTTTGGCTTCAAAGGCCTTTGATGAACAGTTGACTCTCATTCTCTCATGTCCAGGCAGTGGCCACAAATAACAGCAAGCAAACAGCAAACAGCAAATGGGCTGAAATTCAACAGAAATTCAACAAATCAAAACTAAACAAATCAAAACAAAACTAAACAGAAGCAAACAGATAATCAATGGAAACAAACACAAACAGAACAGCTCACCGAAGGGGAGACTAGAGAAAGTGTGAAATGCTACAAGATGAAATATGGATCGATGATGATCTGATTCAAATCTACAAGACAATCTTTAAAGAATCTTTAAAGAATCTCTGAACAGATCTCTGAACAGATCTCTGAACAGATCTACAAATGCTCCTCCAACCTCGAGCTTTTAGAAAGAACAACAAACATCGAGCGAACACCAAAGTACTTCCAATCCTTCTCTCTTGATACTTCTGCTAACAAGTATTTTGCTCGAGCAGCTTAAGGATTTAGGTTAAGAGCATAGATGACTTAATAGGTTTGACCTCCTTACTCTCTTCAACAGAGAAACACTTTGGTTGGAGACAACTCTGTCGTTTCTGCGATTTTCTATTCTCTTGATCCAGATGTTAGCAATGTTCAGGAGCATTTAGCATTTAGCATTTAGAATTGGGTGAAGTTTAACATGTTTTAGACACTGATAGACACTTTTCAAAACCTTCAAAGGCTTTTAAACAGTTCTTAGACAACTTTTAACAAAAACTCTAGAGAACTTTACTTTTTTTAGGGCCTTCGTTACTTTACAGTATGATAATATAAAACAGCGTTGATAATTTATGTCATACATACAATTTTTTTATTCATAATGATTATCTTGTAAATATTAGATACCACTTTTTTGTTATTAAGTTTCCAAAAAGCAAAAGTGAGGTTTTCGTTCCAATGTTTTTTTATTTGTTTTTTTATTAGTCTTATTAGTCTATTTTCATATAAATAATCGAGGTTTTTCCTTTTTGGATCACTTTCAGTTCATTGAATTAAAACCAGTTCAAAGCATTGAATGATAGTTTCTACCAATATCATATTTTTTTATCCCATACTATACCTTTTCAATTGACAAACTCCAGATCCATAGTGATAATAATACCACTGATAATAATAATACTATTGATTCCTAATAGTAACAATAATAATAATAACAATAACGATAATGAGTACTATATGCCCAAGTTGCAAAACTGATAGATCAATATGGTATTCTTCACCACAAAATATCTCCAATTATTTTGCTAAACACCAACACAAATTATGTTTTAGTTGTGCTAACAAGAAGTTGGAAAGAATGATTTCAATAAGAGAGACTCAATTGAAATTACAACAAATAAATAATGGTTATTATTATTAGTCATAAATAAAAACACAACTATTTATAATATTAATATTAATATTAACATTTAATAATAATGATCCAATTCCATTTAATTTCATTTTATTTAATTTAATCTGATTTAGGCTAACTTACGTTAGTTTAACTTAATTTCATTTCAACCTCAGTTAATTAATCAACTATTAATCATTAATTAATTGATTTAATCATTTTCTATGTCATTTTATTTTATTTTATTTTATTTTATTTTTATTTTATTTTATTTTTATTTTATTTTATTTTATTTTATTTTATTTTATTTTATTTTATTTTATTCTTTTTATTCTTTTTATTTTTTGTCTTTATATTATATCCAATTTCCTTCTTCCCTTTTTACATCTTTCCTTTACGTTTGCTAATGAAGAAAAAAAAATTGATGATTGGTGATGAGTTATGAGTGTATTATTATCATATCATTAGTATTTATCTGTTTGTTTAGTATCAACTACTTTTCTACTTTTCTACTTTACTTATTTATTTATTTATTGATTTACTTATTTATTTACCTATTTATGTACTAAATTATTTACTTATGAGCTATTCTTTTTTTCCTTTTCCTTTTCCTTTATTCTACTATTCCTTTTTGCATTCTATAATTAAATAGTCAACGACAAATAAATCGCATCAGTCTGATTATTCAAATCGTTTGTGTAGCTCTTGTAGTAATCCTTTACCAATGCGTTTTTAACTTTAAATCCATTTTTCTCGTAGAATTGCATGGCCTCCTTGTTGTCGACCCAAACATGACAGACAATTTCGTGCAAAAAGTACTCTGAACACTTGTCTCTTATGTACTCGAGCAATTTCGAAGCTATTCCCAAGCGCCTGTACTTCTCCAACACACATAATGAGTCGATGTAGATTCCCTTGGGCAAGATCTTACTGCTGCTCTTGTTCTTGGTGGCAGCACTCCCGTCGCTCTTGGTGGGCATTATCAACCTGCACTTGATGACCCCAACCGGAATCTCCTTGAAGTAGGCTATCTGGTTCAAGTCGTTGTTCTGCTCAACGCTGGCGCTGTAGAAGCTCTCCTTGAAGGCAATGGGCATCGAGACCTCATTGATCTTCTTCACCACGCCTAGGTTGTTCACTGTGAACTCGTCCAACGAAATCCACCTGCTGTAATCCATTGCTCGCCCCTTCTCTAACTGCTAAGCGCCCAGCAGCCTCTTTCCCCTTCGCTGGACACCATCACCTGACCATTATATTCACTACGGAAACACCGCCGTTCCGAGATTCCGTACCGCTACTGCCCGTGCTGCCCGTGCTGCCTCTGCTTCCGGTGCTCTGCTGTCTCTGCCTCTGCCTCTATTTCGGGGTTTTTTCTATCTGAAACGCGTTTTTGATCCTGTGCTGGAGTGGCTTTCTCTCCTTGTATTGGAGCTCCAACTAAGCTGCTTCCACAACTTCCATTCTGCTTCCATTGTATCTCGGTGCCTATCCTCTACCTGAATATCCCATATCGTTTCTTCCCCCTGCTTCTTCCTCCTTCCTCTGCTTCTTCCTCTCGTCTTTTCTCAAACCTCCTTCCTCCTTCCTCCTTCCTCCTTCCAAAGGAAGCTGTGCCGTTGAACTCTGGACTGGTAAAAATAGAATTCTCCATTTGACTACCCATTTTCCACTTCCTATTTCAAAGCTTACTAATAATAATCAACTCATATAACCAACTCTCTCTTTTTTTTTCTTTTCTCTTCTTTTTTTTCCTTTTTCCTTTTGGCTTTCATTTGCTCTTCTTGCTCACTCCATTTATTCCTTTTCATTTGTTGTTTAACTCGTTTTCACCCCTTAAGTTAATCACTAACGATTCCTTTTCAGGTCTGAGATCATAGATCATACTTGCCAAAAAAAAAAATGATTAATCTGAAAATTTGTTCGTTTTTTCTATTGTTCTTCAAGATCTTCATTTCATTATCAATTTCTTCTCCAATAGATTTATCTTCGACCTACAAAATTGACAATGACAAATTTCCAGGTCTTCAAAACATTGACCCAATCCAAAGACCTATAATGCATGCTGGTCATATCAATCTTCACAAAGAAAACGATACAAACTATTTCTTCTGGAAATTCTCTAAAAACAACCAGCTTGATTCATCAAATTCTAACGACTTCAATCGCAATAACAACCTAATCATCTGGCTAAATGGGGGTCCAGGCTGCTCATCCTTAGATGGAGCTTTAATGGAAATTGGTCCTTTGAGATTAAACAAAAATTCAAACACTTTCTACATCAATAATGGCTCCTGGATCGATAATGGTGATTTAGTCTTTATAGATCAACCTGCAAACACTGGCTACTCATACAGCAAAGATTACTCTTACGAGCTAGTCGATGTATCCTTTAATTTCATGCTTTTTTTGAAAAATTACTTCAAAGTTTTTCCAAATGATATAAACAAAAATCTATATCTAACTGGTGAAAGTTACAGTGGCCAATATATCCCATATTTTGCAAACTCAATCCTAGATCATAATGAAAAAGTTCTCAACGCCAACAAAAATCAATCTTCATCTTTAATTGATTCGGATTTCAATTATATCATAAATTTAAAATCTCTAATAATTGGCAACGGTTGGATTGATCCTGCTATTCAATCTCTATCCTACCTCCCTTTTGCTCTACAAAATAAAATTGTCAAGAAAACTGATTCCTTTTTCTCCACTCTACTAAATAAACACGAAAATTGCCAAAAGGCTGTATTAAGACTAAATGATAAAAACTTGTCTCAAAACGATATCAACTCAATCTACAACCAATGCGAAATGATCATAAACTCAATCCTAACCTACACAAAAACATACAGCTCTCATCTCAATCAAGACCAGTGCTACAACATGTACGACATTAGATTGAAAGACACCTACCCATCCTGCGGAATGAACTGGCCTCCAGATGTCAGCTACATCAAACCCTTTTTAAATAACGATCACATCAACATTAAAAAATTTCTAAATTTCAACTCAAATTTCAACAAAAACTGGGAAGAATGCAACAACATGGTCCACCAAAGTCTAACAAACAACAATTCTCCATCCTCACTAACTTATCTCAATAAAATTCTAATCAAAATTCCCATCATCTTGTACAGTGGAGATAAAGACATCATTTGCAATTACATCGGTACAGAAAACCTAATTGACGAATTAAACTGGAATCAGCAAAAGGGCTTTTCCGAAAATACCTCATATATTAATTGGTACTACAACAACGACAACGTTGGTGAAATTAAATCTGAAAGAAACTTGACAATGATCAAAATTTTTGGTTCAAGTCATATGGTTCCCTTTGATAAACCAATAGTATCAAGAGGTTTATTTGACTATGCTACAAATAACTACGAATTCAACGAAGAGAAGTTAATCATAACCACTCCAGTTCACATTGTTAAAAATGATATAAATAACGATATAAATAATGGTAATAGTAACAATAGTAGCAATAACAATACTAGCAATAATAATAATAATAATAATAATAATAATAATAATAATAATAATGAAGATAGTAAAGGAGGATTGATTAATAATGAGGGCTTTAAAGTCTTCATTTACGCAATCATACTACTAACCATTTGCTTTGGATTTTATTATTACCATTTCATCTATGAGAATAGGAACAAATTACAAGGAATATTATCAAATGCCAACGACAGTAACAATAGTAACAATAACAAGATTTTTTCAACGCAAAGTTATAGGAGAAAAAAGAGACATCACAAAAATAAGAAATCCGTTCAATGGGCTGATTTACAAAATGATTATGGTAATAGTTTAAGCATTAATCACGGTAATACCAACAGTATTAACCATGATGACAGAGATCTAGATTTTGAAATTGATTTGGAGAATGAAGACTCAATACCTTTAACTGCAGTTACACAGTCAAGATTTGAAGATACCAATGAGAATAGTAATACTAATGATAAGAAGAAACCTTTTGAGAGTATTCAAGAAGAAGAGGAGACCGATGAAGAAAGTAATTCATATCAATATTACGATAAATACGATAACAATAACAATAACAATAATAATAATAATAATAATAATAATAATAATAATAATAATAATAATAATAATAATAATAATAATAATAATAATAATAACAATAATGATAATAATGGTAACCAATTTAGTCAATTCAGTCAATTTAATAGCAATAATCAATTCAATCAATTCAACAATGAATTCAATAGCACCACGAGCTTAAATTTAAATAAAAACGCTAAAAGAAGTAATAGTTTTAGTAGACACTTTCATCACAAAAGACACAATAGTGATTATATGTTTATTGAGGATACGAATTTTGATTCGAGTTTAGTTCCTGAAATAAGTAGAGAAGATGAAATTAATAGGAGCAATAAGAAAAATAAGCTGAACCGTGGACATAGACGAAAGGGATCAGTTATTGGAAATATATTGAATAAAGTAGGTATGAGTGATATTGATTTGAATAGTAATAAAGATGATTATAATTACGATTATAATTATGATAGTAATTATGATGAAAATAATAAATAAGATGACAATGATAATAATATTAATTAGGATAGGTAGAATAATAAGATGATACTTGAAATAATAATTATTAAATAGATAATAGAATAATTAGAAGAGTGGTTGGATTTGGAAAGTGGGAACCAGAAAGAGAGGAATCCTTAGGGTTTATAGATATTGGTATGGAATATCTGTGAAGTAAAATTTTTAGATTATAGAATCTCAGATTTAAATCTCAGATCTAAATCTCGGATTTTCAGGTTTTCAAAATTTCCAGGGAATCGCTAGGGAAAAATTCAGAAACAATTCAGAAAAATCTGAAAAACACTGAAATTTTTTTTGTTTCAATACATTCTGGAAGATATCTTTGGAAATACATTCAGAGATATCCAGACGTGTTGCTAGACACCTTGTCAGACAGATTGTTAAACAATTAAATAAGGAATTGAAAAAAATTTGAAAGGTTTTTCAAAAAATTCTTCAAGCTATTTGCCATTTCAAAAGTGTGAAAAGTGAAAAGCCAAAAAGCCAGAAAAAGGGACTCAGTCACCAGCCCTATTTCCCAATGAGGATAAAATTCAAGAACAAATCACAACGAGTGGAAAGATATTTACTAATAATCGCAACAGATATAAGCATTCGCAGGGCATTTCCAGGGCATTTCAAGAGCATTTCAAGAACATTTGCAAAGCATCTTCCAAAGAAAAGTTTTCAAAAGCTCTCAAAAAGCATCAACCTCAGAGCGTACCACACCCGTGGTCTTGCACCGCCAGAAATGCACTGCTCAAAACGGCAAGTTTTTCCCGGCGGCCACACGCTGCACAAAAACGCATCACCTCGACAGCCGAGTTACAGGCCGCAACCGTTGCAGACTCGGCCGCTTTCCGCTCTTGTCTCACAGCCAATCAACGTGCGGAGCCAGCTCAAAACCAGCAGCACGGGTTGCAGTATTACTGCATGATCTGCAGAACACGCGGGCACCAGAGTTTGCTTGCTGCCAATAGCAGGGATGTGCGGGCGCAGTCTTTGAGGGAATTGTTGCGCTTGGAAATTTGTCAGCACTGGGATTTTGGTGCGATTTCAGCGAATTCAAAGTTGGATGATATTCTCAAAAGAAGAAAATTGCAGAGCTTTTTTCAAACAAGTAGGTAATTTTAATCCTCTAGCAGCATTTTGAAGATTTCTTTTTTTCTGTTTTTCCCATTGCATTTTTTTATATATACTCGTCATTTCCCATCGCTGTTCCCCTTTCCAAAATTTTAGAAAAGCGATTTGATCTGTTTGGTTTTCTTTTGCTGGATTTTTCTTCTGCTACTTTCTTTTTGGCTGATATTTGTTGTTATTATATACCTGCTCTTCGGTCTTTGCTACTTGCACTGTTTTTCTTCCAAGCTGGTGATACTTGATCATGTCGTTTAACTACCTCCAAAACTTGAATTTAGAAGTGACTGAATCCCCCATCATTTCACCTATAAACTTGGATAATAATAGTGCCCATAATAACGGTCACACCGCTCATATTAATAATGAGTTGGACCTATTTTCCAACAGCGAGTTCTTTAATTTTGATTTCTTTGCTACTGATAGTCTTGCACCCAAGCCCGAATTAAAACAGAATATTCATGTCAATAATATTTCCTTATCCAACAACGGATTTATAAACTCGGACTCGAACCCAAACTCAATCGCAAATGACAATAATAGCAGCAAGTCCAGTCCAGATGACTCATTGAATGACTTTGATAACATATTCAGTCTTGAAAACAGTATTAAATCAGAATTCCGTAATAATAGCAACAACAATAATATTAATACTATTAATACTATTAATAATAACAATAATATTCATACTAATAATAACCAAAATGAACTTGGCTTTTCTATTGAATCACTACTTTCATCAATATCTAATAATAACAGCATTAATAACAATAACAACAACAATAACATTAACGAGTTTAATGACGTTTCTAGTCTAACCAGTTTTAACAGTATAAATGGTTTAAACAATTTTAACGATTTCAACAACCTTAGCCATCTTTCTCTCAAAAACACCACTAATAACACTATTATTAACAATATCAGTAACAATATTATTGAAAATAAACACGAAATTAAGTTTGACAAAAAAAAGAGAAACACCGCAGCTAGTGCTAGGTTTAGAATCAAAAAAAAGTTAAAAGAACAAAAAATGGAAAACGACTTGAAAGATCTCACTGAAAGAGTCGAAAACATGAAAAAACTAATCAATAAACTAGAAATGGAAAACAAATGCTTGAAATCTCTTATAATTGAAAAAAATGAAAAGAAATCAAACGACCTATTAACTAATATTAAAAGAAATGCAGGTTTATCTATTTGATATTAACTCCCTCATTAATATCTTGAATAACATTAATAACACTAATAACATTAATCTAAATTACCATTGGAATTTTTTGTTTTTGTTTTTTACTTGTTTTTCAGTTTTTTGTTTTCGTTGTTTCTACTTTGCAAACAATTAAAAATTAGTGAAAAACTGTAAAAAAAAGAATCTATATACGTGCTCATAAATATTCATTTCTAATGTTTTCAACAAACGTTTCATAATCAATCCTTTTTTCTTCTTCTTCTTCTTCTTCTTTTTCTTCTTTTTCTTCTTTTTCTCTATCACCTTTCATTTTTGTTTCTCTCCCTTAATCATTTGATCACTTTATCATTAAGGTTACTCTTTTTCACTGTCATGAATCTACCTTTTTCTCACTTGCTTCATCTGTCATTTGTAAACATTTAGAGTCTCTCTGATTCCCAACCACCCCAGAACTCTTCCTTCTCTTTAGTACTGCTTCCAATGCTACCTCAACTCGTAAACGAATCATCGTCAATTTGACCTCCACAATTTCGAATTCAAGTCCAGCGGCCCTCCCCAATGTGGAAAAAACACTCTACCGAAAAATGCACCGCTGCATAATCTCTTTTTTTGATTGGTCCGATAGTCGTATTCCGTGCTCACTCTGCGGCTTTTCTCTGCATTGTTCACCAGTTCTGGCGCCCTCGTGCGTTGACGTCTGCGGCCCAAAAAAGTGCGAGTTGCCGAAATCCCGTTCTTCAAGGGCCGTTGCCAGACCCAGCCCATAGACATCACTAAACAACCATTCTCGGAAATTCATAGCCGGATCAAATCAGAAATTTTGGAAAGCAAAACAAAAATAGCAAAACAGAAAATTTGCAATCAAAATTATTTGAAAACCTTAAAAAGCATTAACAAGTTCCTCAGATTTGGTCTCACACCAATTGCCTAATCGGGGAGCAATATAATCATTAGATCAAAAGGCAAAAAAATCGTTTGGATTCTTAGCTTATCTTCCTTTTGTTGTTCAGAGGCAATCCTTTTTTTCTACATCTCTCTAAATGTTGCTCTATTGCTGATACATTTCTTTTCCTTATTTTTCTCCATACATTTTTTTTTTCCTTTAATTTTCCCAAATTTTATCACCTTAAAAGCTAGAAAGATTACAAACATCTTCACCCAGCAAACTACCTCATCATCCATCCCTTGAGAGTTGAAAATGGGTTCTTTTTGTGATAAGATCAACAACCCATCTTCCTCTTTTTCCGCTTCCAACTCTGCTTCTCCCTCTGCTTCTATTCCTGTTTCTGCTACCTCTTCCTCTGTTTCTACTTACTCTCGCGAAAAGCTATCTTCGGCTTCTCCCAACGACTCGAACGTTACTTCTTCGAATTCTTTATCCTCTTTTGCTATCCTGAATAACCAATCAATCAATTTATCCAGCAATCTATCGAATAATCTATCAAATACTCTATCAAATACCCCATTTTTTCCTTTATCTCCTCCCAAAAGAATCCTAGATAGACTAAGCTCAAACATTAACTCTAAAAAAAGAAAATTTAAACAGGATATACAAGACGATTTAAAACTACATGAAAATAGAAGATTAAATATAATTAATCAAAAAAAATTAAAATTAAACTATAAACTAAAAAAAATTAATGAAAAAAACTTTATCCAGAATTTGAATAAAATTAATGCAATCAAATTCAAAAAATTTAATCATTCAATCACTTTTCAAAAAAGAGAGAAAAATAGACTCATTTTTTTAGATAAAAGAAAAAAATTAGCTTCCGAATTTATTAAAAATTATAACAATTTTAATATATCGATAGATTCAATGGATAATAAAATTACTAACAATATCGCTAATAAAATTATCAACAGCATCAATAATTCTACTGAAAATGAGAATCAAATTGATACCAACCAAAATCAAAATACAAAGCAAAATGAAAATGAAAATAAAATTGAAAAATCGGTTTCCTCTCAACTATATGAAAAATTAGATCAAAAATCAATTGATATCATAATTAGATCCTTAAGAAATTATTCATTAATTAAATCAAAACATACTCTAGTAACAAAATACCCATTTATATTTCTATTTAGTATTCCAATGCACTCAAAATTTAAAATACATCTACTTGACAAAAATTTAATTAATAATCTAAACTCCTTTTTAATTAAATTAAATATTACAAATCCAAACTCTCCTTCAACGATTGCTCGGTTCTTTTTAATATCCTTTTATCTCTTATCAGATTATTTTGACTCTTATAAAAACAATGTAGATTCTAAATTCAGTGGTTTAAACAACTCTGCTTCATCATTTCATACTTTTTTCAGGAAAAATCCTCTCAACTGTGATTACAATAATATCAACGATAACAATAATGATAAGATCAACAACAATAATTTATCTGAAATTGGCAAGATCTTAAATGATAACAATCTTTACAATTTAATTACTGTAAAAATGCTTGTTCGATCTTTTGAATTACTCAATGCTTTTAGAACCTTTTCAAAGATTGCTCTAAAGAATAATTCAATTTTAACCAACCCATTGCATCCTTCAAGAATTAAACTTGTCAAAGCTTGGATCTCTCATTTAAAAATACTCAACATTTTTTTATTTCTCCATCGTCACAGATTAGATAAAATCTCTTTATATGCTGATCAAATGTTCACTAAAGAATTAAATTATCTAAATCTTTTAATTAAAAATGCAACCGAGAATACTTATGAAAACAACTTCAACATATCTCATTATGAAACCATTAAGTTTAATATATCTAATTTAAAAGAAAATTTTAAAACTTATTTAAAACTGAATACCTCATTAACTCTAATCGATAAACCTAATATACTATTAGATGATGATTTAACCATAAAGGATTATTTATCTTACTATTATGAACAATCAAATTCAAAAGTCTATCTATATAATCAAATTGACTTAATTAATAACACAATTCATAAATCCCCTAAATCCCCTAAATCCCCTGTTGTTAAATTTGAAAACGTTTTCTCCTTTGAAAATGAACCATTAAAATTACCCAAAATTCCTTTAATTGGATTTCAGTACACTGGCAATAAACATGCTTTAGATAATAATAGAAATACTTTTAATAAAAGCGGATATATAGATCTTAATAAATCAACTACTTATACAGCTATTGATTATCCAAAAGATCACTATACTTCGTTTTTTTTCAACGGAAATTTCATCAATTCTTTAATCCTTTTAAAAATTGTTCCGCCATGTTTTCATATTTTTGATTGGAAACAAGTGATTATTTTTTGGATGCTTCAAAACCTTCATACTTCCTGTCTATCAACTGATGAATCTAACAATTCCAATAAATTGTCAAAACTTGAAAATGACTATGGATTTCCCAATAAACTAAAAACTGGTTATAAAGTGTTTACTAAGAATAAAGTTACTAAAACCAATATACTCATTAATCCCATTCTTAATATTGAAAAAATAAGACAAAAATTTTGCAATAAGACATACAAAGATATTAGACAAGACTTGTATAGTCTTATTACTCATTATGTTGAAAATGACGAGAACTTTTTTAAAAATGAATATAAAAATAATTTTATGGAACATATATTTAAATTATTTAATGAGTTTTTAAATACTGGAACTCTTATTTTTAAATATATTTTCATTATTAAAACAAATGATGGAAAAAATCCATTATTCACATTTATAAAGACTAATAGATACTCTATGCTTACAGATATAGAATTTTTAAATGAACAACATTACAAGCGTAAAGAACTTAATTTTATTGAGTATTTTTCAAGATTAATTCTGTTGTTATATGATTATTTGTTGTTTCTAAATCGTTTATTTGGTTTCAAAAATACACGAGCAGATTTGTCAGTAATAGATGTGTTATTTGTTGAATGCACAGATCAGTTTTCTAAAGAATATTTGAAAGAAATATCTGAAAGAGATTTAACAAAAGACTCTAAAAAAGATTCCAAAGAAAAAGAGGTAAAGGATCCATACATTTTTAATAAGGATAATGAATTAGGTAATATTAAAAAATTATTTTTAAAATTTTATGATAAATTATTATGTTTTTGGGAAGAAAATATTGGGAAGATTGCACAATTTTTGATAAATTATTATTATTCATTTTTCACTAATAAGATTCATTCAGAAAATATTTTATCAGATTTGGTTCGATATGAATCATTCAATTGGAATTATCAAAAATTTGGAAAATTTGAAGTTTTTGGTAAATCAGACATTGAGGTATTATTAGACAAAAAGCATAAAAAACAAAAAGATTTAGATGTTAATAAAGAATTACTTGAAACACTTAAGAGAAGAGAAGTTCATTATTGTGCATTTGACTATTTCAATCGACGTGGGTTGGAATTGAAGAAAAAAATTGATTTTACACAATACGATACAAGTTTTAAATGGATTAATTTTATTTTTAATGACTGTTTAATGAGTAATGCAAATATATGTAAACTTGAAGAATTTAATGATTTGTTAATATTTGAGCCGTTTTTAAGTTTTAATGAAGAAATGCTTTCAATATCAAGGGAATTGCTTATATTAATTTTTTGTTCGGCTGTTAGCAATATATCTTATTATTATTATCAAAATCTATTCACATCAAGTGAATTGGAAAAGATATTGACAGAGGGGGAAAAGGATAAATTTGAAGAGTATATCAGTTGTATTGATGGAGAATTTAAAGTAACTGATATTTTAATTAATTGGGAGGAGTTTTCTCAGAGTATTCTAAAGGCAGTGAACGGTTGTATAATAATAATAAAAGAAGAACAAAATAGAAAAATTATATTGAAAAAAACAGTTGAAGAAATGGGGGAAATAATTATAGTCAAATTAATTGAGAATATGGAGGAGAATTTCAAAAAACAGTATGAAAAGATTAGAAACAGTTGCGATGATATAATTGATGATTTAGAAGATAGTGAATCGGATTATAATGTATTCAGATTGGTTTTGAGTAAAATTATTAATTGTGAATATTTCTCAGCGCATTTCAATAAGATCTTTGAATTATTTTTTCAAAGACAAATCGATGATGAAAAACAAGATCGAGTGTTCAAAGTTTTGGTTAACAAAATGAAAGATATATTGGAAGTTGTTGGAGATGAGTATATCATCTATCATAAGAAGTTTGATCGATACATGATTATCAAAAATGGGCTTACAGTCGCCGAATTGAATATAAATTGCAAGAGTGCAGTTGATTGTTTTGGGACACCATATTTTCAAATTAATAGAAGCAAGAAACTTCGTCAGTTGATAAAGCGAAACTATCAATATTATGAAGAAGAAGTTTACAGTGTTATTACAGATATCAACAAAATATGGTATTTGAACAAGTATTTACATAGTAAGCAATATGAGGTTATGTACCAGTGGATGAAAAACGAGTGGTTGATGGCGCAAAAGAAGCAAGAGAAGCAAGAGAAGCAGGAGAAGCAAAATCAATGACAGTGGCATTTTGATGACATTATTTTAATGGCATTATTTTTATATTTTTTTTACATTATTATTACGGTTTTCTGGATTTGTGTTAAGGGTTTTTGTCGTTCGTTTGGGTAATGAGCAAATGTTCATGGGCTTTCTGCTTTTACCAAGCAGTCTATTTATTTCATTTTTATTAACTTTATTTTCATTAGATTTACAGATTTAACTTTGTAAGCATTCCACAGTTAATTGATGGCTTTAAGTTCTCTCAATAAGTCCTCTCAATAAGACCGAACAGCTCCAACAATCCAGATCAACGCACGTATCACCACTGCGATCTCGGGTCGTTATCAAAGGACAAAAAGAACAAAAACTAAAACCAAAACTAAAACTAAAACAAAAAGAGACAGGAGCCATCTCTGTTCTTGTTGGAAGCCTCTTTGTTATGTCATGTCCTCGACCAGCTAAGCAAGCAGCCCAGGGGCAGCAACAGAAACAGTGACAAAGTGCTGCCAGAGCTGAGCTGGAGTCGACTGGGTCGTTGTGGGTCTGAGCTCTCTTGCTCCAGAGCTCTTCGTTGATCTGATTCTCAGTGTTCGCTAGTCTGATTCGCTATTCGTCTAGCTGCCCATTTCAGTGTTATATATAGAACTGTTATATATAGATGCGTATATATAGATCGCTTTCGCTGCGATGGCTCTACTTTGCTGACGATGGCCATTGCTCTCTTCTTCATCATCTTCTTCTGTTTCTGCCTCCCTAGCCAATTCTGCTGCTTTCCTCATGTCTGTCTCTGATCCCTCCTCTCAACGCTTGTTCTCCTCGAGCCACTGGAGAGTCAACGATTCCCCCAGAACCTCAAAGACCCTTACCTGTTTCGATGCCATTGAGAAGTTTTCCTCCAACTCTGCTTCCAATGCTAACCAATTGTTGAACATTGCTGTCTCCAACAACTCCAAGAAATCAAACTTGAATATCTACCAGTTAAATCTTGACAAAAACTACTTGGTGCTCAACCAGTCCATCACCCTCGACTCCAATATCTCTTCCTTGAAGTGGCTCAACATCGATAACTTCACCTACAATTACAACAACCAAAACTACACCTCCAATGATCTCTACAACAAAAATTTATTGTTGGCTGGGAGATCCAATGGGAAAATCAATCTTTTATACATCCCTGATAGTTCTTCTCTCAACAAAAACGCCAAAGTCTTGAGAACTTTTACTCATCCTTTTATTTGCCAAAGCAATAAATCCTTCAAATTGAACTCAAAGCTAAATATGAACTACATGAACTCAAACTTAGTCAACAAGATATCTACTGTCCCTGATGACTGGTCAATAACTCCTACAAACAAATTCATATCTTTGATCTCACGAAACTCCATTTATCTCTGGGATATTAATCGAAAATTATACCCAATTTATTTCAACATTATCCCCAATTTACTAGATTTTAATGAATCAAAAAACAAAAACTCAACTTTAGCTCTTGCTGGAAAATTTGGCATTTCTCTACTTGACCTCAGAGTTAATAATCATACTGATGATAGCACAACAAAACCAACAAAGAACATCAATAATAAACCTGCAAACTTGATAAAATGGTCAAAAATTGATTCAAATATTCTAGCTTCTGCTCATAATGATGGAATCATAAGAGTTTGGGATATAAGATCAAACAATTATTTCGCTGAATTGATAGGTAACCCAAACGACCACTACATCACCTCTTTAGAATTCAATAACAACGATAATAACATCTATTCAACAACTCTCACAAATAAACTATTTTACTGGGACATCAAATCCACAAATTTAGTCCAAGATAAAGTCAATAAATTATCCCTAACATCCCTATCAAAGGATTATTTAGCCGCTGATGATCAAAATTCAATCTCCTTTTATCAAGATTTAATCATAAACTCAACTCAGTCTGGTAATTTGATATCAAAAAATTGTAAAAAAATCCTTCATATTCCAAACACGAATTGCACTTTATCAATTAATGACGATACCATTAGTTCTCATTGTCAAAATAACATGTCAATTCAATTCCAACAACCTCAATTAAACACTTCAAATGTTGAGCTTTCAAATCCTGATAACATCAATCTTAACAACTCCTCAGAAAGCGATAGTGATAATAATGAAGCATCCTCTTTGAAACATACCAATACCCATTCAAGGAACAGCTCGTTATTTAGCAACAAATATAACTATAGCTCTTCGATTCTGTCTATCGATTCAGATTCCAATAATAATGACAACAATCAACAACCTGAAAAACCCAGAAAACCTGAAAAACTTGATGAATCTGATGAATCTGATGAATTTGATAAAATTAATGACTCATATGATGCTGAAGATACAATACCATTTAAACCAACTTCTCCTTTGAAAATTACAAAATTTCAATTGAGTTAGTTTTTTTTTGTTTTTTTTTTTGTATGTTTTGTTTTTTTTTCAAAATTTTCTGCTAATTCCAATTTGCTCTTTCTTCTTTTTCTATATCTTATTTTTATATTATGTTTTTGGTTAATGAGGTAGCTTGTTGTTGTTTTTTATCATCATTTTTTATCTTACTATAAAAAAAAATATCATTGTAAAAATTTTTTTATCACATATATAAGTATATATATATTTATATATTATTATAATATATAATAGTTGAAACTAATTAAAAAAAAATCAAATAATAAAACAAATTAAACTAATTCTTCAAGTAGATTTTGATAGATAATCATAAGCTGGTGAAACATTTATGTAATTTTTTCTACTTAACAATGTTTTCTCATTTTTGGAAATGTATAATAAAATATCTTCAAGGTTTTCTTTTAACACTCCAACCGATTGTTGATCCATATTAGTTTGTGCAATTAATGCAGGCAATGAAACAAATAATCTTAATAAATGTTCAACCCCATAAATCTCGCATAATCTTTTGTCTTTATTTTTTTCATCTTTTGATAACTCTGCAAATTGGGTCCTTTCAAATCGGTATAATAAAATTGATCCCAAAGATCTATCAAAATAAAGATTAATCCCACTTAATACTTCTCTTAGGATATCAATCTCAATGGTTTGATTATTTTTTGAAGGCAATGTAACTTCTTCATAATTCTTTAATATTTGCATTATACTTGGGTTCTTTGGTACATCAACCAAATAATGATTCTTTGTAATATTTTCCCAATCATCAACTAAAAAGGATTTCAAATTATCAGGTATATTTATATTAACTTCTGTTTTTGAAAGAAACTCCTTTTCCTTTTCTTGTTCATGTTCAGTTCTTCTTCTTCTCGAAGACACATTGTTTGAAGATCGAGAATCATCACTAATTTTTTTCGTTGAAGCTGAAACATTAATTGAATCAGTTACATTTAATGCAGCCTGCTTCAATTCCTTTTGTAATTTCAAGTTCTCGTAATTAAACGTCAATACCCTAGATTCTTTAACCCATTCATCCCAAGATGCTTTCCAACCTTTATAATGAATTAAATAAGCTCTTTGATCTTTAAGATCTTCAGGAAATCCAGCAGCTTCCAAAGATTGTTGCCCATCTTTCTGCATCACATAGCTAGCATCTTTCTCATGAGCTTTGAGAATTTTGGCTTCATACAACAAGGGTCCATGATATGCTAAGCACTTACTATTGGGCCCTAACATTTCATCCATTGGTAAGTAATTTTGTGTTGGTTTATTTCCTCAAATAAATAAATAAATAAATAATAACTTATATTTGAAACTATGAATGCGATTTAGAAGTTGTTTGCAAATAAGATAAACCTGATACCGTGTTTCAAAGGGGATTTAGATAGCAAAAAACTGGAAATTACACAAAGATTAAATATTTACATAGAATATCGCCCACAATAACAGGGAAATCGGGTCACAAAAACACTCTTATTGTTTGACAAACTTCAAAACACAATTACTATTTTTTTCAAAGCTTCACCAAACAACAAAGTCATCAACTTTTCTCGAAATTACAGACAATTGTGTGGAAATCCTTTGATGACATGCATGCTTTCAAAAAAAACTTCATAAAGGCTCTTCAAGTTAGTGTTTTCTCGATAAGTCTGGCAAATTGAAATAATCAGCATTACCAGCACAGGCACCTGTTGTTTTCCCATCATCTTTGAGTGGAAAGAAACATATAGGTTATACAACAATTCAGTTTCATCTGATGTCACTTCCATTCATAAACTTGACTATCGACTCTTTACAATGGTTATAATCATAAAAAACAGCTCTATCAAAATTTCTAACCTCACTACCTTAGCAGTTTTCAAAAATACCATTGAAGATTTTCACCACAGCAAAATGAAAACACACTCTTAAACACAATCGCATCAAAAACATACTTTAACTGAGATTATTCTATAATTTGGGTAAAATATACTGAAAAAACAGTAGAATAAAAGACCGAAAATATAGTGATCAAATGATTGAATTTTTTGGTTTTTAATCCATTAATTTCTTCAAACGTCTTAATCAACCTGCTTTTCCCAATGATGACAATCCCAAATTCTTTTTAATATTAGTAGTCACTTTGATATTCTAACCGGCGGATAATAATCATCTTTCGTTTATAACTAGTAAACTATGTTCGGTTTCAAGGTCTTTCACTTTCAAATCTTAATCCCATCCAAATAAGCAAGCAAATAAAATCACTTAATTCAATAAGAGAAATATCGTCATTGATTTTCAAAATCTTTTAAACTATATTGATTGCTAACCAAATTTGCCTTTGCTGGTTAAGCTGAGCTTATCTCAACATTTTTTCATTCTAGATTTTATGAATAGCCAATTTAATTATTCCAAAAAACTAAAAATTCTCCAATCTATTAAATTGTAACTTAACTAAATACTGAGATTGCTAGGTTGTTGGTAAATTGCTAAATTGTTGATAGAAGAAAATAAGTTAGTCTCCTCATAGCTGAAAAATAATAAACAAGCAAGTTAGCATTTTGTTCTCTGCAAGCCATTTAATAAAATTTAATTACATTATCACAAGCTATTGAAAGTACTTTCAAACAAACACCAATTCCATATTGCCAAAATTGACAGCTCCTAGTTCTTAAACAATTGTGACAATATTTGTCAAATCTCACTCTAGTTTTCGGATATTCGACATAACACCTTTATATTCCATTCCATTTTTTAATCAGCATTTGATGCTTTCAAAAATTCAAATTATCTGACGCAATTTCATGTACAATGCATGCATATTAAGTATATGCATATATATATATATTGACATACATGATCCATATTTCTGGTCTTTATTCTCTACAACATATATCACAAAACAAAAAATCGTATTGGTTATTTCATTTTACATTGAATGGCTCTATTCAAGTGAATATTGTCTTAAAGAAAGATATTTTATTTAGTCAAGTTTTAATAATTTGGAAATAAGCTAAAATAGTAGATAATATAGCAATTTGTTTTCTCATTTAAAAAATGAAGAACCTCAGATACAGCAATAAAAAGTTGATAATATAGAAATTTGTTTTTTAACTTCAAAAATAATCCAACTGAGATTCAGCCAAATTTGTTACTTCCGTCCTCCTCTAACATAAAATTTAATACAGTCTTGACTTCACTTTTGCAACAGTAGAATATACGATTTTGCTTGTATTCTATTTCCTTTTCAGCAAAATCACGTCTTCGAATCTGGCTCATATAACCCCAAATGTTCAAAAAAACACTTTCTAACGTTTTCTTTGGTATCTGGTGCAAGCAACTAAATAACTCAGCTTCATAGTGGATCCACGAATACAATCCCATCCATGAATACCCATCCAAGTCTTCGTTGACCAAGTCCATTTCCTGGTTTCCCATCTTGTAATACTCGCTTTTCATCAACCCCACCGCCTCCATCACATTGTTGATGATCTTCTCAATGCATACATAGAACTCCTCGTTCATGTGTATCTCTGGACATATCTTGTAGTTCTGTTTGATATCCCACCACTTGTCCACTTGCGATGCTTTGATTGTCTTCACGCCCATGAAGTGTTTGGCCAAGTGGAATATTTTCTGGTAGCAGACCATGATCTTTCTGTAGTGTTTTCCTGGAGCTTTGAACTCTTCTCTCAATTTCAAACGATGAACCATGCAATATAGCTTGTCCTTTTTGATCAACCTGATCAACTCAAAGCATTTCTTGTCGGGTTCAACATCAAGCAACATCGGATCCAACAATGAGCTTGTGTCAACATTGCTCAAAACCAGATGCTGGATCTGGTTGAATAGCTGGTTGAATAAACTGTGAGCAGGATCATCATGTGTGCCACCAACAACGATTTTTCGTTTAATTGATGGGATTTCGAATGGTGTCGAGACGCTGAACACAAACCAGTCATCGGTTCTTTTGCACTCAACAGAATTCGGAAATCCCTCTTTTTTCTCAAAGTTTATTTGAATGTTGATATCCAAACCGATTGCATGGTCATCTTTGCAACCATCTTTGCAACCATCTTTGCAACCATCTTTGCAACCATCTTTGTGACTGCCTCCCAAAAAGAATCCTCGAATGTCATCAAACTTGAGAAGATGTGTAATCATCAACGGACTCAAAAAGTCTCCACAGTTAATATCCAAATAGATTATGGCCAACATAATCAAGTAGTACGATACTGTTGACAACGTCTGGTCTGTGTAGTTTGCAAAATGATACTTGAAATTAAACAAACTGTCACTGTAGCCTATAATGTCAACCGATGTTTGAGCACCACTTGACCTTAGATGGCTCAACTTCCTGGAAATATATTTCTGGCGTGCTTCAATGTCTGCTGTATAGCACTCGTCCAACCTGATGTCGTCCAACAGAACCACACAACCAGCGCTGCTAACAGTCTGGATATCTTTCTCATCGAAACACTCATAACTAGCATATCTGGGTAGAGCGTCGTAAATTATATTGGCGCCTGGTCTGGGAATCACAAATCTCAATGGCAAAGTAATGGGAACCATCATAACATCAACAATCAACAATATAATCCCAAAAAACACAATTTTTTTTCTATTCTCGATAACATTATTTTGTTTTGTTGGCACGTAACGTTTGTAGATCCAGATCATGAACCTGTTGTTTAAGATTAGGCATTCTTTGACACAGCAATTGGCGTCTAAACAAAACAAACACTGAATCAACCGAGCAGCAATGAGCCCATACCATATTCCCCTAAAGCAAATTGAAGGCATCACACCAAAATTGTATGATAGCATTGACGCTATACCCACGTCGATGATGGTGCTATTGGTGGATGGAACTTGGATCTCAGCAACTGCTGGTGGGGTGGCAGAATCTGCGTTGATGCAATCCAGAAACGAGCTCCAGAAAAATGGAGGTGAGCTGTAATCAGCCATAGATGGTTTGTTCAAGAGAAGCTCTGTCTGTTGATATCAATTGATTTGAGATACTTGAAATGATTCTGTTGATTGTTGATTGTTGATTGATTGTTGATTGATTGTTGATTGATTGTTGATCGATTGTTGATTGATAATTAACCGCCGAAAGGAACAAGCCAGAACTAGTGAATCTATTCAGCTTATGCACAGACTATCCAGTAGAGTGAATGAGAACTGACTAACAATGTAATGTGTGTGTATTGGTGGCAGTTATATAGACGAATATGAAGAGACAAGCAAATAAAATGAAGAGAATGAAGAAAATAAAGAAAATGAAGAAAATGAAGAAAATGAAGAAAATAAAGAGAATAAAGAGAATAAAGAGAAATAAATATATTATGGTTGCAATTTGGATATGATGTAGAGATAATTTACTTGTTATGACATGCTATTGGTCAAATGCAAATATTTTTCTTTGGGTTGTGTATTGTTAATAGTATTTATATTATTATTGTTATTGTTGCTATTATTATTATTATTGTTGTTGTTGTGATTGTTATTATTATTCTCTTCGTTTTCATTTCTAGCTTTTGAAGATTCAACCAACTTCTTCATCAATTTCTCATCATCTTCAATGGATTTCTTGATCCTTTCCTGATTGCCCTCAAAAAACAAGCTGAATCTTCTCCACCACAAGAATCGTTGAATTCTCGAGAATTTGTCCAATCCAAATCCATAGTTATTATATGATTTAAACAAGTTAACTTCAATCTCTTCAGATTTTCGATAACTTTTCATTAAATCGTCCTCGACTGTCGATATTACATTGAAGATTTCCAAGACCACTAAGCAAAGGAACAATGAAACAAATGCATAGAGAAGATGTCTTCTGTTTAAATCTTCTATTGAAACTGAATCTGTTCTGATATTTTGATAATCCTGCCAAGTTCCAGCAGACCAATATTTTTGATCACTAAAATTATTATATCTGTAAATGTTTTGATTATTGAACGCATTATTATTGTTTTCCCAACCAATTTTATATCTATCGTAAAGATTTCTGCTCCTTGTATCCTTCAAGATTTTATAACTCGATATTATTTTTTTGAATCTTTCTTCTTTGATCTTGTTTGAGATCTCAATACCTTTTGAATCTAGTATCACCCTTCTTTTGGATAAATCAGGATGATAAATTTTACATAGTTTAAGATATTTTTTTTTGAGTTCAGTATTGTTAATAAAATTTGTATTGTTATTCAAGCCAAAGATATCGTAGGGGGTGGGCGAATTATTGATAGGCCATTCGTGATGAACAAAAGGATTGTTCAAGTTGATATTAGGGTTGTTGTTGTTGTTGTTGTTTATTGGAATGTTTGTCGAGTGGGAGTTAAAATTCAAGAACATTGATCTCTTGAACTGGTAAAACTGGTTAAGCCTATTATTGAAGTCTGTGCTGATGCTGTGGGGAGTGGTGTTATTGTACAAATAGTAAGAAGCATTAAGCTTTAGTTTATTCGATAAACAAATGGGCATTTTCAAAAGCTGGTGGAAATATAGGAGAATATATCTGGGTTGACTGCAGTTTATATCTTGGTTCTGGAAATGTTTTCTCTTATCAAGCAAAGTCAAATCCCACTATCTCAGCTCAAAGCAATTGCTCACGAAAGGAAAAAACAACCCCCAGTGCTAAAACATAGCGACCATTGGAGCCTATTTATAAGCTCTGTTCGAGCCAAAGGTCTGCACTTCACCACCAATCAACAGAGGAGAGCTCACTAGTGTTAGGTCTGTTCCCATGATTGCACACCAGTAAAATCGTCTTTATTTCGAGGTTTTCTTCCTCTAAGTGCTCTTTTTTTACTGCTTTTGCTGTTGTTTTTGAAAGCCCTTCCGAAAAGCGGCGGCCTCGGGCTTCAGTACCGTAACGTACCCGGTCTTAACTAGGGAGAGGCGTTTGTAGAAGCAGAAGAAGCAGAAGAAGCACAGATGTGGATTAGAGAAGTGAGCAAAGGAGTATCGTACAGAGTATACACTAAAAGAAAGAAGAGAACTGTTTTCAATGACAGAACAAACATGTCGAAGCAATATGAAAGTACAAATAACAGTTAAATAAATAAATAAATAAGTAAATAAGTAAATGAATAGATAACTAAATAAATATACCAGCTGATTAAAAAAAATTAAAAGGACTCTTCAAATTGAAATCCTTCTTTTTTCCCCCATTTTAAATGTTAACATTAATTTTTTAAAAAAAATTTCAAATAAACAGACAAACATTTGAAAAAACAAAAAAATAAAAAGCAAAAATCAAAAAAATTGAATTGAAATAAATCAGAAGTGAAACAAAAAAAATCATTAGTTTTTTTTCTTTATAATATGAACTATTAATTAGGAATGTTAATATTGATAGCCATCAATATACTCATCGTCATCATCAATGACAGCACCATTGTTGCTTGCAGAATTGAACTCATCTTCATCTTCAAAATCAACTTGAAAGAAATCGTCATCTGAACCAGTAATCTTTTCATAAAGGATCTTAGCTTCTGTGACAACACCATCGTATGATAATTCACTTGATGGCATACTATTGAATATAATATCTTTATAAATATTTTCACTATGCTTATTGAAATTTTTATTGATATTATTGTTGGTTTTTTCATTCTTATCATCATTGAGATTAGCATGACCCAATTTTTCACAGAGATTATCTTCATTTAAATATCCAGCCTCATATTCATCATCTGAATTATCATTTTCGCTATTATCATCGTCAGATTTGAATAAATTAGGGTTGACCACACCAAATGGAGGAACCGAGGTATTTTGAGTGAAATAAAATTTGAATAAATATGTCAATTTTTCTTCCGGGACAAAATTTAATAAACTTGAACCTAATTTGAAACTGTTATAAAGATGATGGTTTCCATTATTAATACCAACAAAATCCATATCAATATCATCAGGATTAAAGTTGGTTTCTCTTAACAAGTTTTGTTCTAAACATGATAAAGCAGATTCTAGATCGATTTTGGCCTTTGAACCATTTTCAATCGTAGATAAAAACCATGCACATTGGTTTTCAGGAACAATTCCAGTGCCTTCACCCATTATTATAACTTGCACAGCATACTTGTTAAATGATGGTAAAGAATTCTCTGGAAAGACGACAACACAAGCGCTCTCATTTTCAGCCATCCATTCTTTGCAATCACTATTAACAATGGTTATTAACCTTGATACTTCGTATTTTTGTTTTGGTTGATATTTTTCCAAAAAGTTTGGAACTTGAGTTGGGGAGATGACAATTTTCTCATTAATTTTGATTATGGAGTTGTCACTCAACTTGGCCAACTTCTTTATAGGATCATAAGCTACTAATGAAGTGTTTAGCTTGTAAGTTGTACCAGCGACAGCAGCAGATCTGCAAAAGCCTTGAGAAAGTTCACCTGGACCACCATATTTCGTGTATAAAACTGGAAAGTTTCCATAAACATCGAATGATAAAATGTATCTTTTGATTCTTTGCAAAGCTTCAGGAGTGTTTAAGTTTGAGGAAAAGCACAACCCGATTGCAAAGATAAGTTCATTGATTTGGGCAACTTCTAGATGAAAAATTCTTTTCAAGAAAAGGGAAATTGGAGTCTTTGAGTAAGGCAACCAGATTTTTTGATTTAAATTTTTTTCATAGTTCAAAATGAATTTTAAGAAATTCATCAAGTTTTTCTTTGTTTTCAAAGGTAAGGAGTTGTTGATAAAGACCTGTTGGTTTGAGTTGATGATTTGTTCAAAGTTGTCATTTTCAAAGGTGTGAAATTGAGATAAGGGTTTAAATTCCAAGTATTTGTAGACTCTTGATTTTAGTAGTAGAGAGAGTAGATCACTTTTACAGAACAACAATTTTGGATTTAGATCTATGCCATAATTTTTTGATATTAGTTGAGAAGGTCTTGGGATGTATAATCTTGCGTTTTTAAAATTTTTGTAGCCCAAGTTATCGTCAGTGTTGTTGTTGATATCATTTTGGTTGACGTTTTGTACCCAATCTTTGATTTGATCTATAGTTAGAGTGGAGGTAGTATCGCCATAATAGTCATTTGAGTCTATATGTAAGACATTTGAACCTTGCCATGCTAATGAAGCAGCTAAGATACTTTCTACCAAACCAGTACCGATAATGAGGACATCGCAGCTGTCGGGAGTATGGTCTGGAGGAGGTAGTTCTAGACAGGCCAATTGTGGGATATTGATTGAGGATTTGTTATTGTAGTTGGAGAGATTGGAGGGCACTCTCTCAGCCATGGATGGACGACGATTGGACTTGTTGGAGAGTTTGTAGTCAGTGTTGGCAGAGGTTGGGGACAAGTAAGAGGAGGAGTTTATGGAAGTTATTGAATTTAGTGAGTTTAGTGAGTTTAGTGAGTTGATGGAGTTGATGGAATTGATGGAGGTAATAGAATTTAGGTAGTTTATTGGTTTTAAAAAGTTGTTTGGGATATTATTTTGGTTTGGAGTTGAGGTATTCGAAGGAGGAGTAATAGTGTGAGTAGAAGTAGGAGTGTTATTATTTGAGTAAGACATCATTTTGAGTAATTAAGAGAGTTGTGGGATAGATATGGTATGGTTTTTGAATAAACAGAGGATATATTTATAGATATATAGGAATAAATAGATATTGATGAGAGAAAGCAGAATTTTATAGTTATAGTTATAGTTATGGATATAATAATGATAAAGATAATGAATTAAAAAAAAATGGAGAAAAAAAAAGAACAATATCTGTTTATTATATATAAATATAAAATATCTTCTTTTTATCTAAAGATTGAATGATAATTATGGATTATTGCATATAATGTAAAGAAATATATATAATGGTTATTGTGGTAGTGTAACAACAGTGGTAAGTAAGTAAAAAAAAAAGATTGAGTGATTAAATGGTATGACAATTAAATATAGTGATTAAATTAAAATTGACAGAAAAGATATTGATTTATATAAAGAAGAGAAGAGAAGAGGAGAGAGAAAAAATTTTCTCTTAACGTTATTTTTTTTTTTAATGTTTTTCTTTTTCTTTTTTATTCTTTAATTTTTAATGTTTAAAAAAGTGATAGTCAGATTTTATTCTATTATTTTATTTTTTTACTTTTTTTTTTTTCTTTGGAGTGAAATAAATTTATTTATAAACTGTTTTTTTATTTTTAAATTCTTTTTTCTTTTATGATGGTAACTGTGGTGGTTGCTTAAAACGAGAATTTAAAACAAAAAGAAACGAATTAAAACGAGGAAAAAAAATTAGAAAAACCCAAAGAAAAATTTTCACAGAGAAGTAGTGATAAGTTCTGAGAGCAAATTGGATTGTAGGAAGATTGTAGATGAAATAAAAATAAAAATGACTTTGTTATATGAAAAATTTTTCTTCGTAGAAAAATAAAGAGATAAAAAAAAGATAAAAAAAAGCTAAAAAGTACTAAAAAAACACAGCGTAGAAAGGTAAAAACGTAAAAAAAAAACAAGAGAAAAATGCCCAAAATGCCCAAAATTACAAAAGATTGCAGGAAAAGAGCAAAAAAGAGTTTTCCAGGTGTGGAAAAGGCAAAGAAAACAGAGATGAGTAAATAAGCAACCCAGAGAAGAAACCAGCAGAAAGTGGGAGATCGCAGTGAGATCTGCACATGAGGGCCCAGCGAGGGCTAGTTGTTGTTGTAGTTGTTGTAGTTGTAGTTGTTGTAGTTGTTGTTGTTGTAGTAGTAGTAGTTGCTGCTGCTGCTTCTACCTCTTCTTTTCCCTCCCTCTTTACGTCTCATTTTGGGGTCGCGCAACGCGAGGGAAGAGGGAGCTTCCAGCCAAAAGTGTGAGAATCTCAAAAAAATACGTGGAAACATCTCAAAAACAGCTCGAAATGAGTCTCAAAACCAATTGAAACACAGCAAATGAACTGAAACAAAGCTCAAAGAGTCGCAGTGTAAGTGTCTCACATCCTCATCTTACTCAGGTAGAGTCTCGGAAAATTGCACTCCAATCAAACTCTCTTTATTCCTGAGTATGTTTCTCTTCCACCATCCAACGGGAGTCTTTCCAATTTCTTCTATTCTGTTATTCCTCTGTTATCACTTTTTGGTGCTCACTATTACGATTCTGCTTCTGATTCTGATTAGCACGATTATTGTTTTCATGTTTAGTGTAGCCTTTCCTTCAGGCAGCTTTCGGTAGCCTTCCTTTATGCTTTTGTCTTTCAAATTTTATCACTGGGTAAAAACAAGACCACCGAGCTTTTGCAAAATTTTGCAAACCTTATCCAGCCCATTTTCGCTAACCTTTCTCAAATCAAACAGTTTACTACCATTCGTACAACTTCCTACAAGTTATTACAGTTTTTTGGAGTTAAAATTTGTTTATCTGCTTTTATTATTTCGGTTTTTCTTGATTTCAAAATCAAACAAAAAAAGGTTTTGAAATAAATCTCTTGCATAATCAATTCATGTTATTCGAATTTTATTTTTCTTCAATAGAGATGGTTTTTTTCTTCATTTCATCAGATTCATTTGAAATTGCTATCCAAAATAATAGCAATCTGAAATATATAACGAAAAAAAAAAAATAGAGAAAAACAATAGAAAGAAAATTAAACAAAAATAAAAATGATAGATAAAAAAAAAATTTTTTATAAGAAAAAAGTTATTTCTTTGGTTATTATTATTACCCAATATTTTAGTCTTATTTTCACAATATATATGCAATATTCAAATCATCCTTAATCTATAAATTTATCTCCTTAACTCCCTTACTTGCTTGATTTAACTAAATTCCACTCATGTCCGTAATAATCAGCCAATCCTTTATCTACATTTTCCTTTTTGTTTTGTTTTTCTCATATGCGAACTATTAAGGCATCATGAAAATGAATATTCGTCCAACATGTAAATCTAAAAAACTTGCTCTTCATCGTTATTCCTTAGCCATTTAACCATCATGACCTTCAATAATCGCTTATTTGCTTTTCTCTTTGTATATCCTCTTTCACGTTTTCCTTTCTTTCCATCATCTTCTAATCATGCACTATCATTTTGCTCATTCTAACACAAAAACATCCAATTTCACCTCCTCGTTCTCTACAAAAACCCACTAAAATCTTTTCTAATTACCAAACTTTCTCATCCACAGATCCAACCACTTGCTCCAACACCCAATAACAGCCGTCTACTACCAATCTAAACAAACACCAAATAGCAACTGCACTCAACAGTGGTAAAATGAAACTCAATGAAACTCACCAAAACTCAATATCCGATTCAATAATTCTTAACCGATAATTCAATCCTCATTTTATATGTCTAATTTTGTTAATTTTGAAACTCTAAAATTTTCTCCCGGTGGCCAAGCTGGTTAAGGCGCGAGACTGTAATGTTTCACTTTGAGACCCAAAGTAATCTTGAGATCGGGTGTTCGACTCACCCCCGGGAGACTTTTTTTTATTTCCCTAATATCAATATATATATATATATATATATTTATCGATTTTCGATTTTACCTTGTAACCAAGTTGATTCAATTCAAAATAATATTCATTTTCCTTTATTTATTTACAAGCTTACATACACTCTCTCACTACCTGATTTCCTAAAACTAAACTAAATAAATATAAAATACAGTTAAATAAAAAAAATATTCTGGAAAAGAAAATAAATTAAAATTCCAATCAAAAAATTATTATTATTATTAAAAAAATTATAATTTCTTGTCACATCTTTTAACCTATCTATTTCTTCTCTTCGACTTCATGGTTAGGCTTCACAACCAACTTGTTATGATCATTAACCTCAATATAAACATCTTCATTATGTCTAATTTGTCCCTTGATTAACAATCGAGCCAATGGATTTAAAATCTCCTTTTGAATTAATCTGTTAAGTGGTCTGGCTCCGTACATTGGATCATACCCATGATCAACTAACCATTGTTCACTTTCTTCGCTCAATTTCAATTCTATTTTCTTTTCCTTTAATCGGTCTTGAATCTCTTTAATTCGGATATTAACAATCTTTTTCAACGATTGCTTTGACAATCTATTAAACACAATAATTTCGTCAACTCTGTTGATAAATTCTGGTGGATATGAGTGTTTCATTATTTCAATAACCTCGTCCTTAACTTTTTTAGAAATCTCACCACTAGCATCATTTTCGTCGATATTTTCTCTTAAAAGAACGTTTTGTCCTATATTGGACGTCATGACAATTATAGTATTCTTGAAATCAATCTTATTTCCTTGAGAATCCGTCAATTGTCCCTCATCTAAAACTTGTAATAATAGTTTACTTACATCATGGTGTGCTTTTTCAAACTCATCAAACAATACAATGGAGTATGGTTTCCTTCTAACGGCTTCAGTTAATTCTCCACTATTTTCATATCCAACATACCCAGGTGGCGCACCAATTAATCTTGATACCGTATGTTTTTCTTGAAACTCACTCATATCAAATCTCACAATGGAATTTTCATTATCAAATAAGAATTCAGCCAATGTTTTAGTTAACTCGGTCTTACCTGTACCAGTTGGACCTAGGAACATGAAACTAGCAATTGGTCTCTTTTCGCTTGTTAAACCGGCTCTTTGCAAACGAACTGCGTCTGAGATTGAGTGAATGGCTTCATCTTGTCCAATGACTCTTAATTTGAGTGAGTCTTCCATGTAGAGTAATCGATCTTTATCTCCTTTTAATAATGAGTTTAGCGGAATACCTGTCATTTTGGATATGACTACAGAGATATCCTCTGAGGTTACTGCATCATGCAATAAATTCAAATTTTCTTCCTCGTTCGCTGAACTGTCGGATGCATTTTGCAAGTTGATTAGGCTTGTGGATGTTGTAGAATCCTTTGGTAGTGATTTTTCAAGATTTGGAATGGTTGAGTATCGTAGTTCAGATGCTTTTGCGTAATCCCCTTCTCTCTGAGCGGCTTCTAAATCGATTTTGGCCTTTTCCAAATCAGCTTTAGCGTTTTTAATTTTATCGATTTCTGTTTTTTCCTTTATCCAAGTTTCGGTTAGTTTGTTAATCTTTTCTTGTTTTTCCTTCAAAACATTGTTTAGTTTTTCTTTTCTTTCAATTGAATTTGGATCTGTTTCCTTTTTCAAAGACTCCAATTCGATTTGAATAGTCATGATTTCGCTATCTAAATTTTGAATTGGATCAGGTTTAGATTCATGCTGTAAACGTAGTGATGAACAAGCTTCATCAACCAAGTCAATTGCCTTATCAGGCAAAAACCTATCTGTGATATAACGGTTGGATAATGACGCAGCGGTGATTAGAGCAGAGTCTGTTATTCTAACACCATGATGGACTTCGTATCTTTCTTTTAAACCTCTTAGTATGGATATGGTGTCCATAACAGTTGGTTCTTTTATAATAACTTTTTGAAACCTTCTTGCTAGAGCCAAATCCTTTTCAATAAACTTTCTGTATTCATCAATAGTAGTCGCACCAATACAGTGCAATGATCTAGCTAAAGCGGGCTTGAGGAAATTTGATACATCGATTGAACCTTCAGTTTTACCAAGATTCATAATAAGATGAATTTCGTCAATAAATAGGATGATCTTATCATTAGAATTTTGAATTTCATTTAAAATTGATTTCAATCTTTCTTCAATGTCGCCTCTAAATTTCGAACCAGCCATTAATGAAGATAAGTCCAAGCTGATAATTTTTTGATCCTTCATTGAATCAGGTACGAGACCATTGACAATTCTTTGTGCCAATCCTTCTAGGATGGCAGTTTTACCAGTACCTGCGGGACCTATTAAACATGGATTGTTTTTAGTTCTTCTTGATAGAATTTGAATGGTCCTCTTAATTTCTTCTTCTCTACCAATGACCGGGTCTAATTTGCCTTCTCTAGCTAATTGAGTCAAATCAGTACCAAACTTTTGTAGAGCAGGTTCATTATCAGCGTTTTGTTGGTTAGGATTCATTCTCATTTGAACAAAATTATTTGACGAGCTGGAGAAAAATCGTTTCGTGTTTATGTGGTAAGAGCTTTTGGAGACCCCCATCATTGGATGATTGAGTGCATTATTATGGAAAATGGGTGTGCAGTAGATGGTCAGTGAATTGAAGGCTCTTGCTCCATTGTTATTAGAGATTCTTTGAGCAGAGTTTGAAGAGATTAAATGTCGATAAGTGAGTAAATTGTTTAATACCAACGATTTGGTAGTGGTAGTGAGGGTGGCAGCAAGTGAGGGAACCGCAGATTGAGATACAAGCTTACTAGATAGCATAGTTGAAGAGTGTCAGTTGGAGAAGGTCCCAACGATAGCAAAAGAAAACTACAATGCTGCTTATATATTATTGCTCTTCATAGAGTGGAAGATGAAGCAGAAGAGTGGAGCTGATCAGTGATCACTTTTCGGCTCGTCGATCACGTTTTTTCCATCTTTTCCATGGAACGATTTCGGCAACTCCAGAACATTCCACGCGGGCGAGCGGTCTTTGCGGCATTTGGACGCGGGCAATGTGAGTGATGTACGCAGACAACACGCAGACAGCACGCAGACAACACGCACTTAGTAACGCACTTCTTAACGCAGATCTCACGCACTCTGTAACGCACCGTGAAGACGTGCTTTGTGGAAATCTGGATTAAAAACAAAATGAAATAAGGTGCCAGTCTCAGTTTGACTTAGGGAACAATAAGAGAATATTGCACTGATAGCTTCACCATCTTATCCACTAACAAAACATAATTGCAATATATTTCGAAAGACGATCTGGATAAAACCTCTTTGCAACCATGAGTAACTCCAAGCCCAAGATCTTTACCTTTCAAAATTTCAACAACGTTGCTGATGCTGTTGCTGACCATATGGTGGCTGTTCAAAATGCCATTTTATTCTCCCAAAAGGACTCAATCAAGAAAAACTCACGAAGATCCAAATCCTTCTCAAACATCCAACAGGACTCCTTGGATAATCCACTAGCTTCTTCAATTCACAACCCTGCCAGTAGTTCTGCTGCCAACTTAAGCTCAGCTCTCGACACTTCTGTTCCCCTTGTTACTCCCAACCTGATCGAGCCTAGTATCTACCAGCAGCAACAACAGAGACACCACCACCACCACCACCATCACCATCACCATCACCACAGTCGCCACCCCTCTCGAAGAGACTTCAGCAACTCCTCTGTGAATCCTGCCAACGATGGCTACAATCTCAATAATCTCAAGCCCAATCTCAATACAATTAATAGTACTCTTAATGACAACAATACTATCAACCTCGATATCGATTTAGGTGGTCAAAATTTGAACTCCGTATCCAATTTACATTCAATCTCTGATTCCATTTCGAATTCAATTTCAAACTCAATTTCTAATTCAATTGCAAATTCAATTGTCAACTTAAATTCAACTATTACCCAAACTACAAACGATCTCTCCAACCTAAGTCTCAATAACAATATCAATGATAATGATAATGATAATGATAATGATAATGATAATGATAATGATAATGATAATAATAATAATAACAATATCGATAACAATATCCCAATTGAATCGAAAATTATCCAAAATAACCCTCCAAGAAGAATTGTTAGAAGAAGAAAAAGATCTTTAAAAGTAAACTTAAAATCAAAAAAAATAGATCCTCGTTATCAAGAAAAAAGATTCAAAATTGCAATCTCAGGTGGTTCTTTAATTCATATTCTAAATAAAGGTCTATTAAAGAGAAACGATGTCCTATGGGGCAAATGGGACATCTATTTTGCAGATGAAAGATTAGTCCCTTTTGATTCTCCTGACTCTAATTTCGGTCTAGCAAAGTCTTTAATCTTTGATGAATTTGACATTTTATCCACCTACGATTTTAAAAAAAACGGTTACCCAAATGTTTATCACATTAATCAAGATCTAATCGACGATCCCTCTGAATGTGCTGATGACTACGAAAAAATTTTAATCAAAAACTTTGCCTACAAGGACTCAGTTCGTCTCCCAACTTTCGACTTGTTTCTATTAGGCTGTGCAGCTGATGGTCATACTGCTTCATTGTTTCCTTTCAGCGAATCTTTGAAAAATTTCGATGAATGGGTAATACCTGTAACTGATGCACCAATTGGTCCCCAAAATAGAGTTTCTCTATCCATCCCAATAATTTGTCACTCAATCAGATTGATCTTTGTTGTTGAAGGTGCAAACAAGGCCCCAATCTTGAAAAAAATCTTTGAGAGTGAGGATCTTGATGACACTTTACCAAGTAGTGTTATCCACAAAAAGGCTGCAGGAAAAGTCTCTTGGTTTGTTGATAATGATGCTCTAAATGACCTTCAAATTAACAAGCAGCAATACCAATTCCAATACCCAATCCCTTCCTCAGTATCAATCACCTCTCCACTCTAATTTCTTATTTTCACCTACTCTATTGCTTTTTTTTTCTCTCTCTCTTTCCACCTTTGTTCTTTTTTACCACTTTTTCTGTCTTCTTTTTCCACTTTATGGATTTTTAACTCGTAATCTTTTCTAATAAATTTTATCTGGTTCTTCTTCTATAGTGTGTTTGTATCTAACATCTCTTTCTTTTTTAATCTATTTATTTCTCCATAATCTCGTCATCTTTTTTCAAATCCTTCTCTAATCTCTCTTTTTGACGACCAATCTATCCTCTTGACAAAAGTTCCTAAAAAACACAGGGATTTCACGCTTTCAAGAAAGATCTGTTTTACAAAAACACCAACTCTGTGTTATTCCAAACGGGGACTATCCTTTCTTAATCAGTTCAAACTTTATTTCTTTTTGATATAAAATTACAAAAAAATTGATGAAAATTCATCAAAAACCATTAAAACTCATTAAACAAATCATCTTTTTTTTATGAAACCATTAACAAACTTCATTGATTATATTAAACACTCTTACAATCTTCTGGAAACTGGTCATTTACTTTTTTTTTATTGTTAATATTCAACTTCATTCTTCATTTTGTATTCTTCGATTCTTCTATTCCACCTTTTTTCTCTTTGATTTCTTTTTCTTCTTTTATCATTTCTTATTGCAATCTTTTGGATCAATCTATCTTCACTTCTTTTGCTCACATTGTTTTATTTAAGCACCATTTAGCAAAAATAAAATAATACTAAATAAATTAAAATTCTTTTGTTTTAAATTAAGTCATGAGATTTTAAATTTCTTCAAAAAGTATTCAATCCCCAAAGTTTTTACTTGATAGCAATTTTATACACCTTCCACTTTCCCACTTTCTGCTTTTTTTTTTGGATTTAATTAATTAATTATTGGAATTATCCTGATTCAGAATATTCGAGTAATAAACGACTGGAATTTTACAACCACTCAATTATGCAAAACCAAATTCAAAAGCCTGTGTTCAATCAAACAGTCAACTTGGTCCAAAAATTTTATGACAAACCATTTAATCCTTTACCAAACTTGAATGAATATGAGTTACTAAATGATCTTGGTCAAGGTACTTTTGGTGTAGTTTCAAAGGCCAAACAAAAAAAATCCAACAGGACTGTTGCAATCAAAAGATTAAAACACTATGAAAGGGATAAAAATGGATTTTCAATAACTTCTTTAAGAGAAATCTTGATACTAAAAAACATCAAGAATATAAATATCATTCAAATTATCGATATAATAGTTGAAAGAAAAAAAAGAAAAGACAACAATTCAATCTCTTTGGATTTTTATATGGTAACTCCATATATGCCATCTGATCTAACTGGTATTTTACAAAATCCTAGAATTAGTTTAACCTATTCTCACAAAAAGTGTTTTATTCACCAAATCTTAAAAGCTGTGAATTTCCTTCATGAAAACAATATAATTCATCGTGATATTAAGACTTCAAATATTCTAATCAATTTTAATGGAACTTTAAAATTGGCTGATTTTGGATTGGCAAGAAAATATTATGGTTCAACTCCATCTCAGCATCCTACTGGCAATCCTGTTGGCAAATTTAAATACACTGCAACTGTCGTTACAAGATGGTATAGAGCTCCAGAATTGGTATATGGGGAAATCAAATATACTCAAGCAATTGATATATGGAGTATAGGCTGTGTTATTGGTGAATTATTCCTCAAATCTCCTATATTAACAGGTAAAACAGATTTAGATCAAGGTGTAAAAATTTTTGCTCTATGTGGAACTCCCTTTTGTGATAGTGAAACTTTGCAATACTACCAGTCCTTGCCAGCTTTTAAGACTAATGTCGGCCTTAATAATTTACCATTTAGACATAGTTTAAATAATGTTTTTTTACAACTAATGGATGATGATGAAGAGGGTATAAAATTCTTGTCCAGATTTTTGAATTTGAATCCCTTTAAAAGAATTAATACTTTAGAAGCCTTGAATGATAACTATTTCAACTTATACCCTCTACCTTGCTTACCCGAAGAGTTACCAGAATTTGAAGAATCTCATGAAATTGATATCGAAAGATTTAAAAAAGAAAGGCAAATGAATAACTTCTCTCCAAACAGAGTCTCCAGTCAGAGAAATGACTTCAATCCATATAGCAAACAAATTAAGAAATCAAAAATGAATTCCACTCAAAACAACTATCCTAATCAAAATCAGAATCCTATGGCAATGAAATATAATCAGGATGAAAGATTAGCTAAACCATATTATAATGGAGATATAAACAATTCTTTCAACAATAAAAACACTTCTTTTGTTAATCCACCCAATCAACATGGCTATCAACAAAATTATAACAATAAGAAACGAACTTACAGTGCTGCTGTCGGAAATACCAATAGAACTGCTAGTACAAGTTTCGGTTCCAAAGAAATGAATGATATTTTACTAAACTTAGACTATTGATTTTTCCGATTATTTTTCCTTTTTTTTTTTTCATTTCCTAGATCAAAAATAATGGCCGTTATATGCTCTCTTAGAAGAAGGAAAAAAAACGATTTTAACACATTGGATTGGCATGGTTTAAAAACCAATTTTATAAAATGTGCTTTATATATTATACTATATTAACAACTGGCTGCTTCATATCTATATCTATATATGTAAATTAAATTATTTAGCTATTCATTTATTTATATTAATAGGTATATACATATATACATTCTTTGCTTTCATAAATTTCGCTGACTTTAGCTAACTTGTTCCAACACAAAAAACCTTTTAATTTAATAAATATTATTTATATGAATGTTTTGCTCTCATCATTGTTATCTTTTCCAATTTGTTTAAACCTCTTAAACTATAAACAAATAAAACCAATAAAGCGAATGAACTAAGCCCAACAACCAAGCTAAAGCCAAAAGAAGATTCTTCAATAAAATTTTCTAAATTCATTCCATATAAACTTGCAACATAAATTATTGAGGCCAAACTTAATAAACCGATAGCAAATCTTAAACCCAATAACATGAGCTGATTTCTATTTGTATCCAAAATTATATTTATAATCTCTTCAGTGGTTTTAACATTAGACATAAGAGTCTCTACGATTTGAACAATTTCATCACAATGTTTGAAATAAGTCTCTAATAACATTTCGACTTCAGCATGATCTTCTATATTGGTCCTTGGATTCGTTAAATATAGACTTGATAAAACTTCATCATCATCCAAGATATCATCTATAACATCTCTAATTAATTTTGCCTTTTGATAAAAATTCGATAATTTTTTATTTTGAATTAAGAGATATCTTAAATTTTCACTATCAATATGATTTTCTAAATCGGATAAAACCCCTTTGATTACGGTTCGATTTATCTTCATTTCTGAATCCAAGTTAGATATTACGGATATGAAAATTGCTTCCAATGCTCTAATTTCATAAGGTAATCTTGAATCTTTACTTTGTAATTTGTTTTGTAAATCATATAATAACAAGTTTCTCGAATGAGAATTAGATAAACCCATTGATTCAAATAAAATCACAGTATCTGATTTGATAAGAACTCTTATATTCAATAGATTAATTAGTATTAAGTCTCCTCGAACCAAAATGGATGGAACCATATTGGTTTGATGAGTTGCTTTGTAGTCAATTTTTCGAATATCTCTTGGTAATAGATTATATTTTGTCATTAAATCTGATCTTTGAAGATTTGTGGATAAAGTTATTACATTTCCATACCGGTTAAATATCGTTGAACGAATTGTATTTGAACTTGGAGAATATGCAGAATAAGACGATGAGAATGAAGGCCTATGAATTAGATTTTTCTCTAACAATTTATTGAGATCAGAGTTGCTGAAATCAGAATCATTGTGACTCGTGGAATTATCTCTCACTGAATTATGTCTGACATTGTTAAATAAAAACTTTGATTTAAATTGGGGTTTTTGTTTGAATGGAAACAAATTATTATTATACTTTGAGTATCTGAGTCTGGGAGTTATTAATGAGTTTATTCTTGAAGGAAGTGAAGATAGATGAATCAAACGAGAAGGTGCTAAACTTTTAGATGAAAGTATCACAGCTTTACCAGAAATAAGTAGCATTTTCTAGTTAATTTTTTGTGGTCAGATAAAACATTACAAATAAGTTTAGCTGACTGATAAACTTCTCTTCGTCAGTTGAGAAATTCTCATTTCTTTGAATTAAAAACAAATCAATATCAACGCACATGTATGTTGTGATTGCATATTGAACATTGACATGCATTAGGGTTTTATTTATAATTTTTTTTATTGAAAGTTTTTTAATAGTGGTGTGGCCATATTATATGAAAAAAAAAGACTAGAATCAATGATTAAGATTAAAGAATTGTATAGTAAAAGACTAAGGCAAATATAAAATAAGATACGAAAATGGAAGGGTAAGAATTGAATTAGTTTTGAAGCTTTTAATATAGATTTAACTGTTCGTCAGTCATTTCATATTTAATCCAGGTTGGTAAACAGTTTTGATCATTTAAATTAGCATATTCACTAAATGAACCCTTTTCACAACCTTCGCAGTCAGGATTGTTTGGGCAATTAAAGTAAGGAAAATGTTTGTAACCTATATCTCTAAACCAATGGATCTTAGATTTATCTTCAAAGAGTGCCAAGCCAAGAGAATGAACAGGAGCGTCACCCCATCGTTCGTAATAAAAGCCACCTTCATTATCCAAGTAATTGAAATATTCTGTGTAGGGTTTACTTCGGAAAAAGTCCATATCAGCTATTTCGAAATTGGACCAAAAATGGCAGGTAGAATACCCACTAGTGATCGCGTTATGATGAGGGTTTTGAAGGTCATATAGTAGCCAATCTAATGCAGGGTTTTTATTGATATAGTGAAGATTTTGTTTTAAAAAGTTTATGGTTGCGTTCCATAAGGTGTGAACCGATTGTGGAGAATCGTATAAACTTATGGTAAAACCATAGGTTTTCTTGTTCAATTCCATGAACTTGAAGACATCATAATTGATTTTTGTGAAATAACTGGTGGAGGGTTCAATTCTCCAGTAATATTTAAAGTTTTTAAGATGATCAATATTGTAAAAGTTACCCGAGTAGAATCTGCACATATTATGGTAAGAGATTTTATTAGCATATTGTATATTTTCGTTTATTAGATATTTTATTCCTTCCTTTTCACGATTTGAATCGATATTGAAAGGTTTATCCCATAGATGAGAGGGAATCCTAATGAAATGGCATTCGGCATTTGTATTTTTTTGAACTTTTTCTATAAATTTTTTGGTAAACTCTCTATCATTTAGAAAAGTCCAGGGGTAATTGAAATTTTTATTGAATTTTTTTTCAACTTCTTTCATTGCAGAGATGATGCCCTGTAATTCTGAATTTCGAACCAAAGAGATGAAAGTGGCATTGGCTCTTTCATATTGATCAATTTCATCTGGAGGCCTGACTAGGTTTGAGACTTTTGGTTCAAGGATTTCATTATTGAGATATGTTTCATAGACATCCAAATTTTGATTCAAGATATCTTTTGTTGAGTATTGGGGGTATTCGTTGTGATGTCTAAATCTTCTGAAAAACAGTTCGTTTAATTGACCATCTGAATCGATGTAATCCAATTTTAAATCTAGTTCTGGATTGTGTATAATTTTGGATATACTTGTATTTTTAGGTTGATCGAGATTAGTTATTATATTTGGTGGGTAAGAACTTGTTCTATTATAGGTATAGTCGTTATAAAAATAATTTGTCCAATTCCCGATGGAAGGAATATAATTATTCATATTGATGTAAGCTTTATATTCATTTTGCAAACTCGAATTGTATACGTAATTTATGGATAATATGAGTATAAGAGATATTATTGAAACTAATAAAAAGAGTTTTCTAAACTTTTTGTTGAACAAAACAGTGCAATTAAAATTGGAGACCAAGTTAAACACATAGCTGGAAATACTGCGAATAATAAAATTGAAATTGAAATTCATTTTTATATTTCTCCTTCTCTTTTTGCGAGAAAACAAAAACCAAGATAGTTTAAATCAGTTGTTACAAAGCCAGTTAAATTAAGTAAACAACAAAGGTTCAAATCTATATCATCACTGTTGATTGGCAATGATGAATAAATCTTACAAAACAAAAATTTTTGAATATTCAATCTTTGAGCACTGTTCTCAGTAGTAAAAAAAATAGGAATAATAGAACTGATGGCTTTGATCACTCCTCTCATCAAGAATATTCCATTTTTGAAGGTAATTTGCTAGTTGCAAAACCATGAAGTTTTTCAAAATGTAGACAGAGGTAGCTTAAATCCCATTTCAAGAAGGTTGTGCTGTAAAGAGAATTTAAGAAACAGTTACATAGAAATGGAAAGTTCATCTTATTTTTGGATCAAAGGGCTGTTTTTTGTGCTGATCAGAAAATGTTTCCAGACCAGATAATAGAGTGGCCAATGGCTGTTTTTCTGGTGCTGTTTTGCTGCATTCCAAGTGTGCACCTTCAGTCCCAATTACCAGAAACAGGCCCAAAGCTACGCGAGAAAGAAGCACCAGATCTCTCAGGCCTACAACACGTCTCTCCGGTGCTTCAGTTGCAAAAGCAGCACGACCAGGAAAAGCTGCTGATGCTCCAAGCTCAGAAAAATGTACCAACTGGCTCATGCTTAAATGCCCTTCTTCTCCTTCAGTGCTTTATTTTTGGCAGGTTCCCTGCATTCTCCCCATATCTACTGAGGACATTTTCTGGCTCGCTGATTAGGTCTAGACCACGTTTTTGGTATCTGTCATGTGAAATATTGAGTCCGACTGTGTGGTACACGAGCCGGTCAGATTCTGTCGGACGGAGTTTTTGTTTTTTCTCGGTGCTCCGCTCCGAATGAGGGTGTGGTCTAAAAGAGTTTCGATCGCCTGCGATGGGTTTTACTCCTCTGCATTTGATCTTTTTTACTTGATTTGATCTCAAGCTCCAAGTCCTTTTGCCTTTTCATATCCCCTTGCTTTCATTTTTTTACTCTTTGCATTTGTTTTTTTACGGCTGGGCTAAAATCATTCATATTCTGACAGTTTTCTGACATTTCTTTTGTAATTTATTCTCAAAATGGTTGAGTTTGAAGATATCTTTTCTGTGCAAATATTCTTTATCATCTTACGAGAAACTGTTGAGTGTGCTGTTATCGTCTCTGTTTTACTAGCATTTCTAGAACAGAATTTATCTTCTCCATCAACTTCATCAATAGTAAAGAATCAAAATCTCACTTCCACATCTGCTTCACCTAACCCCGAAGCTCAGTTATTGGTTAGCAATGGTGACAATGCTGATGATAATGGTAACGATATTGTAAAGACAAACTCAATTTTGTACAACACCCTTAAATGGCACATTTGGTTGGGAAGTTTAGCTGGCTTGTTTGTTTGTTTGTTATTGGGTGGTTTTTTTGTTTTCTTATTCTATTTGATCAAAGTCGATTTGTGGTCAAAATCCGAACACTACTGGGAAGGTATTTTCAGTTTATTAGCATCGATAGTTATCTCCGTCATGGGCTTTGGAATGATAAAGATCGGTAAAATGAAATCAAAGTGGAAATACAAATTATCAAAGTTGTTTTATAAAGATAAATTATCTCAAAATAATACCACTGCCGAAAACGATTTTGCTCTTAATAACGTCAACTCTAACGGCTCCTCATCAATTGAAAGAGAAATTGATAATGAATTGAATCAAGCTTTGGATATAAATAAAAATTCTTGGAAAAATAAACTAAAATTTTATACCGAAAAATACTCATTATTCATTCTCCCCTTTATAACCACAATGAGAGAAGGTATGGAAGCTGTTGTATTTGTTGGAGGTGTCGGTGTCTCTGAGCCCTTTTCTTCGTTTCCTCTATCCATCATCCTAGCTACAGCAATTGGATTCTCTATTGGTTACTTTTTATATAAATCTGGTAACTCAGTTTCCATTCAAAAATTCCTTGTTTACTCAACTTGTTTCCTTTATGTTGTTGCCTCGGGTTTATTTTCCAAGGGATTTTGGAATTTCGAATTACAAAAATACATTGATGATTGCAATGGTCAAGATTTAACTGAAGTTGGTAATGGTCCAGGCTCTTATGATATTTCAAAATCAATCTGGCATGTCAATTGTTGTAATGGCCAAACTGATGGTTTATGGATGTTAGCTGCCGCCATATTCGGTTGGACTAATAGTGCAACTTATATTTCAGTTCTAACTTATGATCTTTATTGGATTGGAATAGTCATTATTATAAACATGTTGAAATATGAGGAAAAGCATGGCTTCTTGCCTTTTATTCCAATTAAATACCAAAAAAGAAGACTATTAAAAAAATTGGAATTTTATGATGGTATGAGAAAATTCTCCGAACTAGAAAATCAAGTAAATTCCATGCCAATCTCTGCTCCAATTCATATCGCACAGTCAACTGATACTTTAGATAGCAATACCCCATTAATAACTCACTCTCAACAACCTATTGTTAATAAAACTCAAAATAATAATAATAATAATAATTAATTGACAATTTATATTAATATGTATATATATAACATCATAATGCACACTGATCAATCCCAATTGTTCTTTCTTTATACACTCTATCTCACGCACGTGCACAGATAATATTGCATATAACTGTAGATACCATTGAAGTGGATTATATACCACTTGTTGCACGAGGTGTGGCCGGAAAACACAATCCAAACTCGGAAGTTTGTGAAGTCATTATGGTAGAAGAAATCTCTATCCTTCCTTCGACGACTGTCAACCTGACAGCATTCTTGTCAAGAACGCTAATAGTGAAAACAAAGAGGAACTTGATACTCCACCAAACGCTTCCAACATTAATGAATTAAATCAAAGAGTTGAGTTGATTGAGTCGAACATTGCATCCGGATTTGAACGGTTAGAAAGGATTCTCGGAGACTTATTAGCCCGTAAGAAGCCCCCGGAACTCGGTTATGCCGAGAGACAACATTAATCTCGGTAATATGCTATAACCGACTAACCGGCCAACAGACATCAGCGGAACACGGACAAATAACGGATGAAACACGGTGCGCTCTTTACTCAATAATCTCACCATAACCCCCATCACTTATCAAATAAATACCATACTCTTTCTGCTGCGCTTCAACTTTGATAGTGATTCTCCACTAGATGCTTGAAACTTTTCCAAATAATGTCTGAAATACAACTTCCCTCTCACAACGAAAAAATTGTTTTTAAGGACCATTCAATTCTTCCTTATTTCACCAACGAGGACTTCTCTCACTACCTCAATGAGGATGCTACTTTAAAGAACGATGATTTCTTATTGATACAGGTTCATTCGGTTGGTTTGAATCCCATTGATGCTATGATGTACAATGTTTCAACAAAATTGCTAACTGGTTGTTCTAATAAGGGGCTCGGTAGAGATTTCTCTGGAACAATTGTCAAAACTGGAAAAAACGTCAAAGATTTCCAATATGGCGACAATGTTTGTGGAACTTTAGTTGATATGTATTCTCCAATTGGCTCTTTAAGCAAATACATTTACATTGATTACAATAAAATCAAAAAAGTACTCCTTAAATTCGATCATGAAAAATTGACTTATGATCAGGCTTCATCATGGCCTATTGTTTTGACAACAGCATATGATGGTATTTTTAGGTGTAAAAATTTGAAATTAGACTCAAATTCGAACGTCTTAGTAATTGGTGGTGGCACATCCGTTGGTATGCTAGCAATTCAAATTTGCAAAAAAATTTTAAATTGTCAAAATATTGTCACAGTTTGTTCAAGTAAATCAAATGAACTTGTTAATAATTTCGGTGCAACGAAAACAATTGATTACACCGCTGTTGATGATATTTTAAATCCAATTTTAGATCTAAATTTAAAATTTGATTTAATCTTTGATTGTGTTGGGAATAATAATTTGCTACTGCATTTACCAACTTTGCTAAATGATCCTTTGAAAACCAATGCAACTTATGTAACAATTGTTGGTGATAATAAATATAACTATAGAGATGCTGCTTTTTTTGGTTTAATTAAAACTATGATTATTTGTTCATTAAGACAAGCTCTCTGTCGAACAAAATTGTATGGTGGTTATAATTATAGACTATTGTTCGTTGACGTCAGCCATGAAGAATTTGAAAAATGTTTAAAATGGCTAGAAGATAAAACCCTTTTGCTTCCAATTGATTCAACTTACGCTTGGAAGAAATTCCCCGATGCCTTTGAAAGACTTATAAGTAATAAAGCCAAGGGGAAGGTTATAGTTGAAGTAGATAACTAAACTAAATTTAAAGCGATTCTTATTGTATTTCTGTTATTTGGACTTTTTTGATTCTTCAACAACTTTTTCTTATATAGTTTAATCAATGAACAATTAATTTAAAACCAGACCTACACTAGAGATCGCTCAATCATAACGTTTCTTTGACACACCTTTTTGAGATAATTATTGTCGTACCAACTTAAAAACACCACAATAATCAGTAAATAATTGTTTATGACTAGCATAGTAATACCCATATCCCTCCTTTTGTGCATCACAATACAAAACTTGAGACGAAATTGATTGATAGCAACTGGAATACCACTAATACTTGTCTGAGTATATCTCACCATAACCAGCAGCAGCTGGTGCTATTAGAGATGATAAAGATAAAAGTAAGATAGCGGTGAATATTATCTTTGTAAGTCCAAGCTGTTGCAGGTCTTTTGATCATCTAACTTGCAACTTGATTTCCAGTGGTTTTCGGTTTTGAAACCCATAAAAAGCTTCATATATCCAAGAGAACAGGTATAATGAGTAGACTGACCCTTAATTGCTACTCGAATTAGCAACTTTTACTACATGAATGCTTATTGGGGGCAGCTTCAGCAATAGAGCACTTTGCAGCAATTGCTTTTGCTTTTGCTTTTTATATAAAAAGCAAGAATCAACTTGACACTATTGTTGATATAAATGGAAGACAAACTCAAGTAGTAGGCTTACTCTGAGGTATTGGATACCAACGAACAACTCGATAATAAACTTGAAAATGCATTTCTCAAACTTGTGGACCAAAAGTATTCAATTGACTCCCAATATACTAGATGGTTTGCCCACTTTTATTGTTCAGCCTATATTCAATGATTTACCAATTGATAAAGTGCTTCTTTTCATATTGTCCAATAATCAAGTTCTAGCAACAAGCGCCTATTCTGTTGTTTTTGATAGTTGAAATCATTGGTGAACGTTTAACACCAAGGCACTTGTCAATCATGAAAGACCAAGATCTCACAGTTAAAAATGCATTTGATTTTACAATTCAACGATGCTTTATTGTTCAGAAATCACTTGAGATGGTTTACCAAACACTTGACTGTGAATACCACTCTCGTATCAAATGGAGTGAAAGAAAACAAATTCAGGCTTTCCACGATATTTAAATGTTTACAGCAAATGATGGTGTTGGTGCTTTTTATAGCTGAGTCGATATACAAGTTCTCTATTGGTGAGTTTGATATTACAGACACCATGAACTATTATAACTGGCTGTTTCCATTTGATGGAAGCAAATGGGAAATTTCTCTTGCATTGATGAAAAAAGTATTTCCATATAAAGATAATTACTATAAACTCTTCAAATTTGATAAAATTAAATCAAAAGCAATATGGTCCTCCTCAACGTACAATTTACAACACTTTAATATCCCTAAACAATTTGGCAGGTCCATACTATTGAACTTGAAACATCCATGTTTGTCTGGTCTAAATATCGGATCAATCACACAACTAATTACACAGCTACCACTTCTTATTAACTTGAATTCTCTTGATCTTTCGAAAAATTTACTATTCAGGTTAGAGGAGAGTCCTAAGCTGTACAAATTGCTTAACTTGAACTTGTCAAACAATCAATTCGACAACATTCCTAATTTAGAGCCATTACTCAATTTATCTAATAATGGGCTATCCGATGTTGAGAAATTAGAGCAGTTTCCTTTATCAAATCAATTGATTTTTGGGAAAGGTGCCAATGAGAATATCAGTAATATTGGTATGGCTGAAGGGTTACGAATCCTCCATTTTTTCACCAAAAATGCTGATTCAATAAGGTGTTTGGAAAGATTACCAATACTACAGTCAATGAAGTTGCAGTTGGAAATTTCAAATGCAGTTGTATGATTTCCAACAATGGCCAACTTGATATCGTTAGATTTACAAACACATTTGAAAACAAAACTAAACTTAGATGGGACTTTTCCAAATTTAAAGAGGCACCTACAACGCGAGAGACAAAGACATATTATCTTCTACCTTCATCGAAAGATTATAGATACATCTGGGAGCCAATTGACAATAAATGATTGTTTTTCGGGCAAAGTAATGAGCTGATGCTCCTGTAACTAGTGGTAAAACAAATATAGTACTATTTTTGGTAATTGGTTGTTGTGTTATTTTGATTAGCATCAGTATCTGTGGAAATAAATGAGTGTAGATAGAGCACCTAGTTCTCCTTTGGCCACGTCTCACAAATGACTTGGTGAGCTAGGCAACATCCTGGGTTCCATTATATTCGCCATTTCGAATCAGTTGAATTGACCAAAACTTTGACCTGCTAAATGATAACAAATTTCTGATCATTGAACAAGAATAGATTTGTTGCAAAGCGGCCGGATTTCTAGTTTCGGTCTCTGTCTGTTCCCCGGCATGTGTTGCCGGTCTGCTCCCGTGACGCTTTGGATTTAACCCAGTCCCTATAAAAGGGGGCTGCAGCCCCCTTTGGCTTTCTTTCTTTTGTACTTATTCACCTTAATGTATAATCGTGGATTTGCTACAACATAAGGTCCTTGCCTAGAACCTTAAGTGAAGTGTCACGCGACAGACCGCCAGCATGTTCTAGGGCTGTATCGGCAACCGAATCTTAAGATCCGGGCGCTTCACAGCGCATTCCGACCCCTTTCCAACATCCACCACTAGTAGAGAATAAATGGTACATTGCTACTCATTTTGGAAACTGTCAAATATTCTACTTTTTATTTCGTTTTCAATTCCAATGTCAAATTATTAATTTTAGCTTTTTATTTTACAAAATTAACATTTAATTTTAATAATTGCTGGCGGTTTTAAAAGGATGGTAATAGATAATAATTATACAAACCAGCAACAAATACAAACAAAACAAAAATGAAAGAGGGGCTTGAAAACGAATCAGAAAACAAACGCTTCCTACCAAAGTTGGTTCTCCTCAAAGTAATCGATTCTTTTATCACTTTTCAAGGTCATTCGGGCAACGTTGGAACGCAATTCATCACACATTTTTGGATGCCCACAACTCATAACAGCGATTGATCCCGCAGCTGTTTCTATTTCTTCACCAAGTATGTGCTTCAAGTCTGGTCTGCCGTTTTCAAAACGGATGTATGAAAGAGCTTCAACGTTGGATATCTTTTGCTGAGTATTCATAGGCATTATGGTCTTCTCTTTGCTGGTTTTGGAAATTGACCCAGCTTCTGAAGAACATCCACTGGAGCCAAAGTTTGGCATATCTCCACCTCTGGTACAATATATGTAAACTTCACATTTGTCTTTATAATGACCTAGTTTTGCTAGCTCGTCATAAAACCATTCAAGATTCTTCCATTCTCTAATTGTCCAGTAGAGTCTGATTTGTTTATTGAGGGTGTGTGAAACGAGATCTAAAGCGTGGGTATATGGACCTGGAATACCATTGCCACCTGCAATTAAAAGAACCTTGGAATACTTCCTGGTTGGCTGCTGACGACCGTATGGGCCTTCCACTGTCACTCTTATATTAGCCGAATGGTCTGGTTGTTTCATCAAATAGTTATAGATGTATAGAGTGATGCCTTCCTTGACTTTGATATAGAAAATGATGTTTTGTTCATCACCGTCAGATTCAACAATGGTAAATGGATGTGACTCCCACCATCTTGCTGGTCGAAAGAAATAAATATAACAGAATGCACCTGGAAAAGCCTTCCAGTATTTGGGTTTTGGCAAAATAACCTTGATAGTATCTTCTCCAATAATTCGGCAATTGCCTTTGGGAACACCAAATGCCAAACAACGAACAATTCTAACAAATCTGTCAAAACACCAAATCGCAGCTGCGCAAAATTCCCATTCGTGGTATGATCGAAGTTTCCAGCAATGAAGCCACAACCCAGTGAGACAAAAAATACCAAAGATAAAATGAACAAGAGCAATGAAAGCATAGCCCTATTGCAAATGCTGTTGAAACCATTCCCCAATAAAAGTATGGGGGTTTTCACTGCTAGCTTCACATCATGATAAATTATTTCCATCCCCATAAATGCCCAACTGTGAATAAACGCCAAAATTGTGAAAGCGCGAGCAATCCATCGATGATAGGCACTAAATGAAGCTTGGTTTATACCGGTTATCGAAATCAAAAAGTTATTTCTTCCTGCAAACAACATCACCAAAGGAAAAATCCAAACTGCCAAAACACCACTTCTAATCCCAATCAAGTCATAGATCTCCAATGCTCTGGTAGTACGGATTGTGTTGCCCCCAGAAATGGGATAGATATGTGCAACATTGATAGCCAATTCTATTGCATAAAAGCCCAAAATCACCAATGACTCAAATCTAGTTGGTACGAGACCTATGTCAAACTTTCCAAAAAGATATTTGGAACCAAGATGGTTCCTGTCTAAAGCAGCAGGAATAACGACAGTAGCTCTCCACGCACGACTGATTGGACCAGTACATCTTGCGACAAAGTTTGGAAACAATACTTTTGACCAGTGAAATATAGAGCAAAGGGCTAAGACACCAGCCCAATAAGCAACAGACCCTATACCGTATAACCAAGAATAATAATTATTATCATATAGCACTTTATACGACTCAAAACTTCGTTTAACGTATTTGGGATCATGATAAATTGGAGAATAGAAGTAATCTTCAGACACGTTATAATTCTCAACCTCTGTCATATCAACCAAATAATGTGTGGCATTTCTGTAAGCTGCTTGGAGCTCTTCATTGGTATAGGACACATTCTGAGCTGCACAAGTTTTGATAACATACTTCTCAAGTTTGTCTATATCATTATCTTGATTATAAAGGCAGTAAAGCATTGATCCCATAGCGGCGACTGATGTGCATGAGCAATCCACATCACTATTGTTACTAATCATCGACGGAACGGTTTTGATTTCCGACCCTACAATGAAAATTATTAGAAGAGTTATCTTTTTGGTTATAAATAAGAAAGTCTGGGGAAAACACACAGATATTTAACTATTTGTTATTATTTTTATTTTAAAATTTTGTTCAATAGTATTAAATTTGATAATAACATTTAAAAATGGTAAAACCACTTCCTCCTCTTCAATATCATCATAATTTATCTGCTGAAAATCTTCCTCAATATTTACAATCGATCGTGGATAATGATAAAGAAAATCAATATTCAAAGAAGCAATCACTCACCAACTATATATTTACAAATCCTGATTGTTTAAGTTATTTCTTACTAGATAATAAAATTAAAATTGATTTCAGACCCTTGATCGACATTATAAGTTTGTTGCTATTAAATGATTTAGAGAATCTTTTAATTAATCAGAATTCTGATGACAATCCATTTTTTGGAAAATATTCTCAACAAAAGGCAATAGCAAATAATTTTAGAATTAATGTTGATAAAGTTAATAATACAATGAATAAAGACAGTCCATTATTTATGAGATTTTTAAATAATATATTAAATTGTGATTTGGCCTCTAAGGATAAACCTTCAATTTTAAATCAAATGGAGAAACTTAATAGTCATAAAACTTTATATGATAATGAATCTCATCAAATAGAAAGAAAATATGCAATTTTGAGTTTAATTAATTTTCATAGACATCAAAAATCATCGAATTTCTTTCAACAAATAATTGGAATCAAATTACAAAGTTTAGGTGTAGATGGAAGATCAGTTCAAATTTTGAATAAACTTGGAATTACAAATTCAAAAAATTCAGCAAAAAATGCAATTTCTGCTTTAATTGAAGCTAGTCCTGGCTATCCAACTCCAATAGAAAAGAAAAAGAAGAATAATAACCATAACCATAACCATAACCATAATGAAAATCATAACTATAATGACGATCATAATCATAATCATAATGAAAACTGCAGTGAAAATTGTAATGAAAATTGTAATGAAAATTGTAATGAAAATGATAAAAGAATTCAAAGAGATCAAATAATTGAGAATATCAGATTATCTGTTTATTATAGAATAAATAAAGGGCCAATTTTTGTAACTGATAAAGATGACATGAGTCAATATAGTTATGAAGATGGTAAAATGGTATCTAGTGATAAATTGTATTCCAGTTTTAGATATTATTTTTATAATAATATATTCAAGAATTATTCTCAAAAGACCAATGAGACTCTACAGTTTAATAATTCATTTTTTAGAGAATCTTCTATGTCTCATGATATAAATGACAACAATGATAATAATAATGATAATAATCTCATTATGAAACATGCTGATAAAACTTTTATTTCTAAAGATAAATCTTCTTATAGTCAAAGAATACGGTGTTTGAATTGCAAAAGATTTAAAAAAAAATGTGTGAGCTCAGAAATAAAGGGAAAATGTGAATATTGTCTAAAACAAGGATTCGATTGCATATTTCAAGAAAAATTTCAACAAAGATGTAAACATTGTCGTGAAAAGAATACCTTTTGTTATAAAGAAAATGGAAGCAGTTCATGTGAAAGATGTATTAAGAAAAATATTCAATGTATTTGTTTGAAGAATCCATCAATACCAGAGACATCATCAAATAAAGCTAAAAATAAGAAGGAAAATAAGAAAATAAGCTGTTTAAATTGCAGAAACAAGAAAATAAAATGCAATATAATAGAAGTTGTTGATGAATGTGAAAGTGGATGTGAAAAGACAAGAAAGAGAAAAGTATGTGAAAGTTGTTTAAAGAAAAATATTAAATGTATTTTTATAGAGCAAAAGAGAGCCAGATGTTTCAATTGTCGAAAGATGGGTTGCTATTGTTATAGAAGAGAAGGTGAGACAGTATGTGATAGATGCAAAATCACTGATGGTGAGTGTGTTTATTCTTCCAATGGTAATGATAATGAAGATGATAGTGATAATGGTAGTGGTAATGAGAATGAGAATGAGAATAAGAATTCCATTAGCAATAAAGAAAATAGTACTAATTACAATTGCAATGTTAATTGCAATGTGAATTGCAAAGTTAATGAAGGTGAGAATTGTAATGTGACTTGTAATGTTAACTGCAATGTAAACTGCAATGAGGCTTTGGTTTCAAATCAATTGAGGGTTAATGGGGGTTCTAATGAAATTTTGAATAAAACTTTGGAAGCAAATTCAATTGGGATGAGCAGTAGTCTGTCTAGTATCAATGTTGGTATTAGCAGATCGAATTCTGACCAATCAATTGATAATTTATCAGTGTATTCAAGCCATATTGAGAATCAATCTGGATCTGGATCTGGATCAATGCATAATAATATTCAATTTCATCATGTCAATATTACTAGTGCTAGCAATAATATTAAAAATTTGAAAGAGGATAAATCCAAAGTAATTTATGGGAAGGTGAATTGTTTGGTGTGTCGGAAAAGAAGAGGTAAGTGTGTTCCATCGATGAAAACACAAACTTGTCGATACTGTTTTGAGAGAAATTTGGAATGTATTTATATTACAAAAAAGCAGCCAAGATGTATAAACTGTCGAAAACGAAATGCTTTTTGTTTTAAAAAACAGGGGAAAACCAGTTGTGAACGATGTATTGATGGTGATCATGAGTGTGTGTATGGCTCAGTTAAAAGAGCTAAAATTGAGCAAGATAGCAATGGTCAAAATAGTTGATAATTGATAATCGATAATCAATTACCGAGATTAGAAGGAAGTCGAAAAGATGGAAGTTAAATTGTGCAATTGTGCAGAGTGGTGCCATTTTGGGAAGATGCATTTATCTGTTTCCTGATTCACACAATATCCTAATCCGGCATGTTCAAGCTCAGAACAACTGTTTTGGGAAGGAATCCTTTATGTTGGTGTTTTCAGTTGAAGAGATTCCGTCAAAGGAATTACGGAGCGTGTAATCCTTCTGTGAGTGTCCGTTGAAGATTCCCGTTGGGCAATTTCCGTCATGCGATCTCCGTTGACTGCAGGTTACGGTTTACTGCTGCTGGGTGGAATTTTCAAATCAGTTGGTGAAAAGAAAACCGGAGAAAGGTCGTTTTTCGCTTTACATAAATAGAAGAGGTATCGTCAACCATTTTGACCCAAGATCTGAATGCTTGATTTTGTTAAGCGATTATCTGGTAGCCAAAGAGAGACAGTTATCGATAGATTTTTCTATTTCTTTGTTAATATTTTCAATATTAAATAATTAAAGATGTCATCATTTCCCTCTGCATTTCTTTATAGTTCCCTTGTCTTAAAGCCAATTTCCAAGACTAGGGCATTAAATTATAAATATCTTTACTATTTGAGCAAATATCCTTTGTTGACCAAGTCTTTGACAGCAGGATTTTTGGCGGCGTTAAATGAAATTATAGCTACAGTTGTTTCCAGAGATTTCAAAAATTGTGAAGAAAATAAATATAGAGAATTTATAAACAATAAGCTAAAATTAAAGAGTTTACCAATTGGTGTGGTTAAGACTGTTGATACCTTGATCTCAGTTTTAATTAATAAAAAAGTTATATTATTAACACTTTATGGATTATTTATTAATGCACCACTAAGTCATGTTTTTTATAAGAAACTTCATAAATTAAAGATCTTTAAACAATATCCCTTGACATTTAAAAAGAAGTTGCTTCAAGTTTTTATTTCATTGACATGTTTCACGCCATTTATCACATTAATATTCATATCCTTCATTGGACTAATCAATAAATTGAATTTCAAGAATTTTAGTTTGAAATCTATCAAAGAGATTGTTGTATCTACACTAAAGGCCAATTACTTTTCAGCCTTAAAAGTCTCATGGATAGTAACACCATCATCAGTTTTGTTTGCTCAACACTATTTGCATCCAAACACTTGGACAGTCTTTTTTGCAGTTGTTTACTTCATAATTGGAACTCTTGAGAACACTCAAGTCAAATTGAGATTGAAAAAGGCCAAATTAGAAGAAAAGAAAAACGATCTTAAAAGAGATGCTGAAAAGGAGTTGGAGAAAGACATTGCGCCTGAGGCTCAAGCCCTTAACAACCCAGAGGATTAAATATACTTTGAAAATCTAATTGTGTTTCTTCAATAACTATTCAAATTTTTTCTTTTACTATTTACACTTTTTTAACTGCTTTACTACTATCTTAGTCTAATATCTTTGAGAAGTTTTCCACTACTTTTTTCTTTGTTACTTTCCCTTTCTTTGGTTTCACTATTTACTCTTTACTATTTACCTTTCTTTTCTTTTGCTTCTTAATTCCACGATGTTGTCTATATTATCCACTATTCTGCGGCTCTCCATTCGCTATATGGTGTTACTGGCGTTTGATAACGATCGTCTCCTGCTTCTGATATGAAGCCTAATCTGGGGAATTTTTTCCCTAATGATATTACACGTGACAATATTTACTGAACGGAAAGCCTAATTAGAGTTTGTAACCACTGCAGCCCTGTGACAGCTGCAGCATACGTTATAAATATGCACATTTGCAGTGTAACGCGTTTTATCTTTTTACCAAGCTAAAGGATCGCCGGGGCCCAGGCTCGACACTGCTCTATGGTGAATTTCTCTGGGGCCCTCGCCCAAAACGGCAATTCCAGACCAGATCACCTTCAATAATAAATAATACCAACCGTCACTGAAGAACAATATCAAACCAACCAGATTTAACAGAACCATCTCACGTCCACACCAGGACAATTTTATTTCCCAGAATTACACCTCAGCATTGCTATAGATTCTCTATTTTTTACCAAATCTTGTGGCTCTGATTGCCCACCCCAGCTACTACAAGACTATATTTACATCAGCATAATCTCTTTCTTCCCTTTCAATAACTTTATATCATATACTCAGAAATTCATATTTTTTATATTACATCTTGTATTTTGTTTCTTGAAATATTTACTTTTTTTGTTTCTTTATTGTTTTTTCTTCATATTAGTTTAATGTCTAATGTCTAATATCGCAAAGGATTATCTACCCATAGTCCATTTAATAGTTTATTCAAATAAAAATGGTTTATCGAGTGAATCCTCAAAATTTATTTCATCTTTATTTAAATCTTCAATTAATAACAAAAGCTTGTCTGGTTCATTGGCTTTACCACGTTCTTTAAGGTCTTTGAAATTCCTAAAATCTTTAAAATCGTTATCAATTGATAGTTTATCCTTACTCTTATTTAAATTACTAATCTCAATTAAATCTATCAATTGCTCATTTTCTTATTATTTCTCAAATTACCCAGTTTTAACTGAATCAATAACTGCTGCTAGTTTAATCGCGTTAAATGAAATAGTAGCAAGATTAATATTATCACATTACCCTTTTAATACAATTAATAGCTATGATTTTGAATTGGAATCAAGAAATAGTTCTTCCTCTCATTCTCCTCAAAATTCAAATTCAAATACAAATACAAACTCGGATTTAAAATATCTCAATGACTCAAATAACACTCAGAATGATACTAATGATACTAATGATACTAATGATACTAATGATACTACTCATAATAAAAACCGTTCTAGATCGTTACCAAAATCAAGATCAAGATCCAAATCAAGATCAAACCCTCATTTAAAATCTCATTTCAATTATAATTCTAAAATCAAACTGAAAATGAAACTGAAATTGAAATTAAGAAATTTTATTTTATCATTAATTTCATCATTAAAATCTTTTAATAATTTCAATCAAAATTTATTATCAAAAATTTATTCAAAATTGAAAATTATTTTAAAAAAACTAAATAATAAAGTTATTTTGTTATCAATTTTTGGATTCTGCATTAATGCTCCAATGAATCATTATCATTATAATTATATAAATGAAAAATTTAAAAGACCTTTGGATTTTAAGAAAAAATTGGCTCAGATTTTAATAACAGTCTTTGGGTTTTCTCCTTTAATAAATTCTTTATTTCTAGCTTATTTAGCTATAATTAATTTTAGCACTTTAGAAAATATCAACACAGATAAGCCAAATAGCTCAAACAATACAAATGATACAAATGGTACAAATGGTACAAACAGTATCAAGAAAAAGAGAAATGTTGGTAGTTTACTTTTGATATCTATTTTTAAAAATATAAAAGCCAATTTGATACCAGTATTAAGAACATCATGGATAGTCTCGCCTATTTCAATGTTGTTTGCTCAACATTTCTTACACCCTAAATACTGGGTTATTTTTTTCAATTTTATTTATTTTACTTTAGGAACAATTCAAAATACATCGTTAAAGATTAAATTACAAAGCTTTTATTTTGAAAACGAGAAAAAAAAGCGAGATGAGGAGTATGCCAATAGAGCATTGCAAACTGAATTTGACCGTATTTTCCAAGAGATTCAAAGGCAGAATGGGTTAAATAAAATTGATAAGAGTCAGCATGATAAGATTCAGCATGATAAGATTCAGCATGATAAGATTCAGCATGATAATAATGATAATCAATATGATAATGGCGATCTAAACAATGAACAAGATCGAAAATTGATTCAAAACGAGATATCAAATGGTATTTCAAATGTCATTTCAAATGATGTTTCAAATGACGTTTCAAATGAAGCGACTAATGGAGCTTCCAACGACATTTCTAATGGAATCTCTAATGGAATCTCTAATGAGATGACTGAAGATGTTTCTAACGAAATTTCTAACAACATATCTAACAATACTTCTAATAATAATGTCTCCGACGAAATGTTTAATGAAAGTGAGAACCAGGATAGAAGTATCAGTTATCTTCAAGAAAATTCAAATAGAAACATAATGGAGGCAATCAATGCTATAAACGCTATAAATGAAATGAGTTACTTGACTGATTTGAATGATTATGTGAACAAGCCAAGTAAAAATAAAAATCAAAAAAGTAATCAAAAAAGTAATCAAAAATCTAGCCAAGCTGTTAATACTAATAATAGCAATAAAAGCAATAAAAGCAATGGTGATAATTTAAATAGAAATGATTTGAGCACAATTCTTTATAAAAAAGAGCAACAAGAGTTATTGCAAAAACAAGAATTGATGAGTCTTAATCCAAGTTACTCGCCATCTTATTATAACAGTGGATCGCCTGGAAGTAACTTGGCTGTGAGCAATGTGAGTACTAGGAATTATACTCCAGTTAGATATGGCAGCTTAACGAATGCAGGAGGAAATGTTAGTTTATCACCCATAAAGTCAATACATTCAAACAGATCATCAAAGTATCCCATGAGACAAGCATCTAATGCGAAGAACTATGCTGGAATGGGAGCATTGTTGGTCAATTCTGAAAGCAAGAACTATTTGAGTCCCAACAGTAATATTGGCATTAGTGGCAGCAATATTAAGACTGGCAGTGGTAATCACAGTAATGAAAGATCAATTAGCCAATCCAGCAATATCAGCAACAGCCGAAGAAACATTTTGAATCCGGTGACCAACGATGTTCTAGATCTCGAAAGGGTGCAGTCGATCGAAAGAAGCTATTTGGAGGAATTTGAACAATGGAAAAAGTCACAGAGTAGCAACAGGCCGCAGAAACCTAAAATGGAGGCGCAGGGAAGTTTCAGCCTTATTGATGATCCGTTTAATAGCGTCGCCTCAAGGGTGGAACGATCGTTGAGAAAGAGCTTTGGCAATGAGGGCAACGAGGGCAATGAGAGAGAGCTTTCCGACTCAGTCACTAAGTCCTACTTGAACAGCTTGGAGCAGAAGTATGGCAGTGCCAGCTACGCTGTGGGCAACAGTGAACAAGCTGCTGTGGCCGGAGCGGAAAGCAATGCAATGTTTGGGAACAGTGTGGTTGATTTGAAAAAGGCCAGTTCTGATTCCACGGAGATTTCGTCGATAGTGTACAGTTCTGAGTAAGAAAACAGAGACCAATACAGATACTTTTATTTAGAGTAGACAAGTTAGCTAGCTAGTAAGAAGAAAAGAAAAATAATTAGAACAGGTAAATGGTATAAAAATATTCTTTGTAGAAAAAACAACGAGATTAGATAAGAGAGTTTAAATTGGAACCAGTAAGACAAAAAGGTAAAAAAAAAGGAAAGAGAGCGCCTAATCTCTGACGTGAGCTGGAGGAGCGCCAGCAGGTCTTTGATAACCGTTGATAAAATCAGAAGAATTGGGATTTTCAGCAGAACCGGGTGTGTCAACAGGAGCTCTATTGTAGAGATTGTTGTCATATGGGTTCGAGTTGTCGTTTGGAGGATATGTGGGAGGATATGTGGGAGGATTGTAGGGAGGATTGAAGGGAGGATTGTAGGAGGGATATGGAGGAGCAGTTTCCTGATTTGGAGGTTTGTTTGGATTGTAGTCCTCGGGCTTGTTATACTGTTGCTGGGAGTGTCTGTAGGAAGGAGGAAGCATCCAGGTGGTGTATTTAATGGGAGCCTGGCCTGATTTGGCTCTCTTTCTGGTCTTCAAACAGGTGAAGAGAAAGACGAGGAGGATGGCAGCAACAAGTAAGATGATGAAGAGGAGCCATCTGGCCCAGTGCCAGTTGGATCGTTGGTAGCATCTGTATCTGCCAAAAGAATCAAACCCACATACAGTCTGTCGTTTCTGGAGTTCTGCAATAAAGGGCATGGTGAACGTAGTCGAAAATGGAGCGAAAGAGAAAAGCAGAAGGAACGAGCCTGTATATATACTGCCTCTACTTCTCCAGCCCCAGCAATCAGAAACAAGCGTAGATCGCACGCAGGGAAACGCATGAAAACTCACAACCGCATAAGCATGGCCTGGGCTTCTATCGTTTTGGAAAAGGCGTATTTCGCACAAAGACGCGTCGCACTTTCGCGTGCTGTCCAACCTTTTTATCTGCTGCTGCCTCTGCTGCCTCTGCTTCCTCGTTCCCCACTGCCCGTTGCCTCTTCTGCCATGTCCAGCTCCAGACCCGAATTGCGTTTCTCCGACACCGCTGATGAACGAAGCTTCTACCGCAAGTTCGACAACCTATCCCCCAAACCTACCAACACCCTCAGGCTCGTCGACAAAGGCGACTACTATATTCTCTTCCACCTCGATGCTGAATTGGTTGCTGAGACTATCTTCAAGACGAACTCAGTCTTGAAGACCAGACAGGAATCCCACTATCTCACCATCTCCCCTCAGATCTTCGTCAACTTGGTCAAGGTTTTTACGTTGGAGAAGGGCTATAAGCTCGAGATTTATGACAGGAACTTAAAGCTAGCAAAGACTGTCAGTCCAGGAAACTTGGAATCCATCGAAGACCTAATCTACAACAACAACAGCAATGTCAACAACATCACTAGTGGTCAAGAAAACTCCATTAATAACTCCTCGTTGAATTCCTACCTATTGAATTCTAACCAAATCATAATAGCCTTGAAATTGGTCTCCAAAAATGATGGTCTCTACATTGGATTGTCGTTCGTTGATTCAAATCTCAAAATCATTGGAATTTGCGAATTTATCGATAACGATTTATTCTCCAATTTAGAATCCTTATTGATTCAATTAAGTGTGAAGGAATGCTTAATCCCTACTGTCGCTACTGATTCAAATAACTCAATTAACCCTTACAATAAGCTACTCCAAGTTTTAAATAGAGCAGATATCTCAACCACAGAAATTAAACCAAACCAGTTCAACAACGATGATATTGAATCGGATTTATCAAAATTATTAACCTCGAACCACTCCTTATCCCTTTCTACAACTTCAATCTTATCAAACCAACTCTCCTTATCTTCTACTACTTCTCTAATCAATTATCTAAACTTGTTATCCGATGATTCAAACTACAATACCTACGATTTCAAAGTTCACACTTTAAATCAATACATGAAATTAGATTTATCTGCAATAAAGGCCCTAAACCTTTTTCCCACTTCCAGAGACCAAGCTACTAAAAATTCAAACATTTTTTCTCTTCTAGATCGTTGCAAAACTAATGAAGGCAAAAGATTACTCTCCCAATGGATTAAACAACCTTTAACAGATTTGCCTCAAATCACCTCAAGACATCTACTAACTGGTTTTTTGATCTCAGATTCCTCCCTCAGAGACTCCTTAAGAGATGATATTCTATTTTCGGTTCCTGATATAAGAAGACTAACTAGAAAATTGTTGAAAAAATTCGCAAAATTGGAGGATATTATCACTCTTTACCAAGTTGTTCTCAAATTACCTCTTTTAATAGATTTATTAAATCAATCCCTAGATAATATCAAAGATATTAAAGATACTTTTGAATTTATCCAATCCGATGATGAAATAGAAACTCTTTCTACTCTAATCAAAAATAACTGGCTTTCTCCTTTAAATGACTCCTACACTTCTCTTTTAAAATTCCAGGAAATGGTCGAAACAACCGTTGATTTGTCTGCCGTAGATCAACATGAATATATCATTAAACCTGATTTTAATGACGAACTATTGCAAATCAAATCAAATCTAGACGATCTCAAAAAAGAAATCAACCAATCTCACCTAGACGTTGCCGATGACCTTAATATCGACCCTGAAAAGAAATTAAAACTAGAAAATCACCATATTCATGGCTACTGCTTTAGAGTCACCAGAACTGATTCCTCAATCTTGAGAAATAAACGTCAATACATTGAACTATCCACTGTTAAAGCCGGTGTGTTCTTTACAACCCAAAATCTTAAATCTATCTCAGAACAAGTTAAAGAACTACAAATCGAGTACGAACTTAAACAATCAACTCTAGTCAAACAAATAATAGAAATAGCTGCAACTTATTGTCCTGTATTACACAACTTGGCATCTTTATTAGCTGAGATCGATGTCATCTCTTCTTTTGCGTTTGTTTCGACTTTTGCTCCTATTCCTTATGTCAGACCTAAATTACATCCAATGAATTCCTCAGACACTAAAACTATCATCAATGAAGCTCGTCACCCCTGTCTAGAAGCTCAAGATGATATATCTTTTATATCAAACGATGTTAATCTAATTAAAAATGAATCAGAATTTTTAATTATAACTGGTCCAAATATGGGTGGGAAATCAACTTATATTAGAACAGTGGGAATAATTAGTCTAATGGCTCAAATTGGTTGTTTTGTTTCTGCTACAAAGGCTGAATTATCCATTTTTGACGCCATATTATCAAGAGTGGGCGCTGGTGATTCTCAGCTAAAGGGTTTATCTACTTTTATGTCTGAAATGTTAGAAATATCCAGCATTCTTAAAACTGCCACAAACAACTCTCTCATTATAATCGATGAACTAGGTAGGGGAACGAGTACATATGATGGTTTTGGTTTAGCTTGGGGTATAAGTGAACATATTGCCACAAATTTACATTCTTTTACTCTTTTTGCTACTCATTTTCATGAATTAACTTCATTAGCTGATAAAGTTCCAACTGTGAAAAATTTACATGTTGTAGCAGATATAAATGAAAAAAAAACTAGCGATGATAATAACAATAGTGATAAAGATGAGATATTTCAAAGATCTGAAGATATTACTTTATTGTATAAAGTTGAAGAAGGAATTTCTGATCAATCTTTTGGAATACATGTTGCTGAAATTGTTAAATTTCCACTAAAAATAATATCAATGGCTAAAAGAAAAGCTTCAGAACTAGAAGACTATGGAAGCAAGAAAAATGGTTCAAAAGATGACCCATACGTTGCAGATAAACGAACAAAATGTAATTCAGTTGAACTTATAGAAGGAAATTCATTACTAAAAACAATCTTAAAAAATTGGAAGGCAGAATTAAAAGATAATTCAAAAAATCTTACTAATGAAGAAGCGGTTGAAAAATTGAGAAATTTGGTCAACGTTAAATATGAAAAACAAGTGAAAGAAAGCAAATTTTTACAAGAAGTTTTATTTTTATAATATCTACTATCTTTTTCAATTATAAATACAACTATAAATATAATATAATAAATAAATATATGTTTTTAAATAAGAACTAAAATTGTGAGATATTATACAAATGTTTATTATAGAAAAAATACATAACAACTAATTAACCTCCTCCTCTTCAGGTATCATAAAACCAAATATTCCAGACATGTCAACATAACGACGAGCATTATTAGTTAGATATTTCTGAGTGACAGTTCTAATAACCTCAAATAACTCTCTATTTTGTTCAGCAAGAGCCACTACTTGACCAGAAGACAACAGCTCCGGACCTTTATCACTAGATGTATCAGCATCATCAAGTGGTTTCAATTCACGCTTTTTGTTTTTCTCAACATTAAAAATGGAGTCAAAATATAATAGCTGTGTATATAATTGCTTGTCATTAAACCTATAGCTCATGATTCCACGACAATCTTGAGATCTTCCTGACAAGCCAATACATCGCCTTCCATAAACAGATATCTGTCTTGTTATCACACCACAGGCTGGATCATCGCAAACTAACCATCCAGCATAATGCAATGATATAAATGACCTGATTATTCTTTCAAGTTGAGATGTAATCATTAAAGTTGGTAATACCTTTTCACAATTTGAACATTTTATACCACTAAAGGTAACTTGATAATGTAGAGAAGCCATAATACCTCCAAAAAGAAATTTGGTTTGACAATATGCACAATTTAAGTTTAAATATTCAACATCTTTAAATCTTTCTTTATCCGTCAAATTATAGTCTAAAGGTTGCAATTCTGATGGATTAGAGGCAGAATTGTTTGATCTCATCTGATATTTTCTTGGATCAATGTCTAATGTTTCGGCTAATCTAAAAATATCAACACCTTCTATATTTTCTAATAATCTCTCAATTGGAGCCATGATTTGTTTTTCAAGATAAAACTTTGAGTCTGGTATATATTTTGAATTTTTTGCCAACATCTCTTTTAAAGGTCTAGCTCTTTCAGCAGGAGAAAGAGCATCTCCCTCAGTAATAACATATGTTATCACAGAACCAGCTTTGATGATTGAACCACTTTTTCGTAACCTCAAAGCTACTTGAACTGGAGGCATATTAGCACCATTTGGATAGTTATTGGGATCTTTAGACAATTTGGTATTAATTTTATATTTATCAACTCTGAATTCATTATTTTTAATTTTTTTCGTTATTTCTTCAAGATATTCATAGATCTCATTCAAAATTTGATCTGAGTCATCTTCTGACTCTAGTAACTTTTGAAGCACAAATGTAGAAACTTCTTTAGATAATGGACAATATTCTCTTCTTTTCATATCTAAACCCTTTACTTCTAAATTGGTCTTTAAAACATTATTTTTAAAGGAAATAACATTGAGAGCAGCATATTTTTTCTTTGAATGCAACAATATTCTTTTAAAAACATTATCAGTATCAATCTCCAATAAATTATATCTCTCATTGACTTTTTGCTTAAAGTTTTCAGCAGTTACCAATGCTTCCTTATAGTCTTGAGCACCAGAATCAATCATTACAGAATCGGTATCACCATAGATAACTCTGAGATGCAACGATTCAGCTAATTGACGGGTATCCATCAAAATTTCTCTACCTTTATTTGTCACCAACATAGCAAGAGGTTTAGCATAAAATCTACTATTGACGTAACCAAGACAACCATACATTGAATTTGCTGTCAATTTCAAAGCCTGTTGTCTAACATCATACTGCATTTTTTCAAAAGGAGTATTGTTTGGATTTTTTAATAGCTTTTTAACTTCACGACGACGGCTAACTAGAGTGTGTAATAATTTTGGTAAAACACCTTGTTCCTCATTGTTGGAAGGATATTCTGGTAATTTTTCATCGTTAAAAGTTGTATTATATTCATCTCGGTCAACTGTGGTAAAACAAATATTAAACTCTTGAATAATGCTTGGATAAAGAGAATTAAAATCCATAACCAATATATAATTCTTATGAAGACCCTTTTCTGGATCGAAAACCAAACCACCTTGAAATTTAGATTTTCTATTATTTGTTGAAATTTGGTTTGACTCATTATCTTCAACAGGATTGTTGTCATCAACTCGATTTTGTCCAGCATTATTTTTTCTTTGCCAAAGTGATTCTTTATCAGGAACAATATATCCCTTTCTTGTAAATTCGTGTAAAAGAATACTTTCATTTCTACCAGCTCGAGTACCATTTAATGTAAGAGACCATGAATTTCCAGCAATGTTGGTTAATTGTTTAGATAAAGATAAAATTTGAATTTCAAAAGCAATGGCGGCAGATATTCTTATGTTTTCAATATTTTCTCTCAATGCCATTAATAAATAATTTGGATCTTCTGAATATTTTGAGTCATTTAAATTGTAGTCCAAAACGCTGTGTTTTTTATTACAAACAATTTCGTACATTTCATTTAAATCCCAGGATTGGCATTTAGGTGTTAAAGATTGACCCAATTCATTAGCAATATCACAGAGTAATCTTCCTTGAAAGACTTCTCTTAATTGAAATATACTTGACAGGTTACGGTTACGGCGATTGAAAGAATCGGGCCAAACCTTTCTGTTACGACGGCCAAAAAAGGACCAATTTTGAACTTTTAAATCATTTAGTCTATGCATGAGAACATCAAGAGAAACGTTTTCCAAACGATGACCGATGAATACGTCTGGATCATTTTTTTTGATTAAAGCACAAAGACAGCTTAGTAGAGTTTTTTCATTGTTGAAAGTTCTTAGTGGGAAATTTTGTTTATTAGCGATATTTTGTAGACCCGGGGGTAAAACCGATTTTAAAACACCAACAGGTCTGATAAGTGTTAAAATTTCATCAGGTTTCAAGTCTTCATCGATTGGTTGGTCTTGAGGCAAATTTTTGAAAACAGCAAAAGATACAGAAGCAACTTCTTGTTTATTGTCTTTTGAGTTCATGATAGTTTGAACGGATATTGAAATACAGTTCAATGGAGGGGAGGATAAGTTTAAGGATTTTTGTTTTGTGTTGTCGATAGTGTTGATGTATTTTGGATTTGATATGGATACTTCGATTGCGCAATGAGATATGTTTGATAATGAATCGAAATCAGGATTTGATATTTCCAACCAGCATGGACCCATGACATCTTTTTGTAGAATGAAAGTTTCAAAGAGAGATTTGTTTGCACCAAAAACGCCAGAAAAAGTTTTGCCTTCAAGGTCACTGGGGATAATGACATTTCTGTTTTGAGGAGCTTGAAATGGTAAAAGGACTTTTAAGTATTCAGTTTCTTTGGGAATTTCAGCTTTTTCAAAGCAGTATTTCATGAGTTCTGGTTTAGCTCTAATAGTTTCAAGACCGTATTTTTCTAGTAATAAGGGAACAATTTCTTGGTGAACTTCAGCAGGCGAGAAGCCAGTATCTTCTGGATTTTGACTATCATTATCACTATCACTATCACTATCATTATCATTATTATTATCATTATCATTATCGTTTGTTTTTTTAGATTGTTTTGGTAGAAAGTAGAGTTCTCTACATATATTATTAATTTGAACAACAGCGGATACAAATTGAGAAGTGGATTTATTTGAAGGAATTTTACCAAATAGTAATAAAGAGCCATCATTAGCTTCAGCATAGTCTAGCCAATACATTTTGAAGGTGTTATTTTCGTCGATTATGTCATCTTCTTCGAATTTATAAGATTGAGATTGAGATTGAGAAGGGGAAGAGTAGATGACTGATTTTGAAGGAGAAGAGGAAGGGTTTAGGTCGACATTATAGTTATTTAAATGGCATGGTGTAGATATTGTAGTTCTGACAGAATTGAGGTTGATTGATCTGTTTATTTTTGCAGTTGTTCTTCTTGGTTTTCTCAATACAACAGTGTTATCGTCAGACGAGTCATCATCATCGTCTTCTTCTTCTTCAGCTTTTATAGTAGAAGTTTTGTTATCATTATTTGAATTTTTTTCCAATTTGAGTTTTGAAAGCAGTTGGAAGTTTCTTTTCAATTGAGGAAGTTTGATTTTGGTGTCGCTATCAGATTCGATATCTGGTTCTGATTTAATTTCAGATTTGAACACTGGTTTGATTTCTTGATTATTATTATCATCAAACGGAAGATCAAGGTCCATGTTATTATCGAAATTATTATCAAAATCAGTAGCATGATTAGGGAGTCTCTTTTTTGGTAGATTCGATAAAAATGAGTTTTTTTTTGAGTATAGGTTTTTCGGTTGATAAGAGATGGAAGGTTTTGAGAGTAAATCCAAGTCGTCGATGTCATCAAACTGGTCATTGAGTTTTGAATTTCCATTGTGAGCTGAAGCTGTTTTCTGCTTCTTTTTTTTTGTGCTTGAGGACTCATTGGTGAAATCATTTAGAATGTCGTTGATGTCGATATTGTACAATTTGTGCTTTTTGAGTTTAGTGCTCTTGAGAGAATCAGGTTTGAAAAAGTGGTTTATCCTCATTGTTTTCTTGATTTTCTTTTTCTTGATTTGTTTTCCTGGCCCATTTTCATCGAGCTGTTCAATTTCGCTGGTGTTGCTGCCATTGTCGTCGTCCAAATCCGAGTGGTATCTTGGTCGTGTGGAGTCGTCCCAGTCGTCAAGGCCATTATCAGCGTAGCCCTCACCATTGTCATCGACGATAAAATTGTCTTCTAGGAGCTGTGCTCTTTTTCGCTCACGAAAGGTCTCCTCGTCGACCTCCTCGTATATGCTCTCGAACTCTGGGTCCTCGTAGGCTGCAGCTGAGGATTTGGCGGCTCGAGCAGCTCTGTAGGCAGCAAACTTGTCTTTCCTAGCCATGGTACTGGAGGAGTATCTTCTTGAGCTGGACGAGAAGCAGAAAAGGAACACCACAGAAAACTCTAAAAAGCGACGCGTGAATAAAACGCGAAAAACCCAGCGCAGCGTCACGCACACTTCTGCAAAACTACATATGCACCGTATCGCACTGCACTGCGCACTCGCGTCTAACCATTCCGGTGGGCGCAGTCTTCCGGTTGCCGGTCGTGGGCCGTTTCTGGAGGGGGCTGTGAGCGGAGATCTGTTGTAGATATATAACCAATGCTTTTTCGTCTCCATCTCCTAATCTCTGTCGCCAACATTAGTGTCTGTTTCGGTTATCACTACTTACTTCACTTTCTTCTCCAATGGCATATATCGACTTAATAGCTGTTTCCCTATCTAGGTTCCACAAGAGAGACGACGACGACGACGACGACTGCTGGGGTTATGGCTGCTCCCACAGCTCCAGCTGGGAATGGGCAAGATGGTTGCTCTTCATCCTCTTTGTCATATTGATCATTTTCTTGTTTTTCGGCACAAGAAGAGTCAACAGATTCAGAATTAAAAAGGGCCAGACTCCTATAAGAGGGACTGCCTGGATAACTCCTCCTTCCTACTACCAGTCTCAGGCACAGTACAACCAGCCTGCCAACGGTACTGGAGCCTACGTGCCACCATACACTGCTGATGTTAACCCAAATGATGCTGGCTACTACGATAATACTGGTGTCTTCCATCCCAATGACGAAAACTTGAAGAGTGGTGGTATTGCTCCAGTCTACTACAATCATAACTCCCGCGACCTTAATGTGACAAGGAGAAGCTCCAATTCCGACAACTTTACCAGAAACTTCGACAATTATTACCAAAATGCCGGTGTTAGCTCTGCTCCTCCCAACAATAACACTAATGCCAATGCTGACACTAATACTATTACTGACAACAACAACGCTAACAACAACATTGAATTGCAAAATCTCAACCTTGACGATTCTGTATATGCAAGACCTCCAGGTCCTCCCCCTAATTTATCCGACCCTTCGCCATCCTCTCCATCTCTAAATCCTTTTGCCAAATCTCTCTCAGAAAGCACTGAAAATATTAAAACACTAGATCCCAGCTCTGCTAAAAGCCCTAAACCTGCTTCTGATGCCGATGCCGATGCAAACACTTCCTCAAATATTTCTCCAGCTCCTAACCCCAACCCTTTTGAACCAACAACTTCTCACAATGATTTGGCTCTTCCAGACTACCCTCCTCCAGCCTATAATAAACTTTAATAAACTTCAATAAAGATTTAATAATAATTTACAATAAAGCCTAATTTTGTTTGTTGTTTTTTTTCTCACTAAACTCAATCCTATACTATTTATTCATTGATCTGTTAATCTTCGCGTGCTTTTTTTTGGTAATGGTCGTAATACTTTTTTTTTTGCTCCAGTTTCATGGTTTTTTCTGTTGTTCTTTCTTCTACATTGGCTTTCCGGTCTCTGATACAGCTGCCACTTTATTCTCTATCTCATTTTTACATCCCTATATATCGAATCTCGTAGCCAGTCCAACGGATCCCTCGAATTATTTTTGATTTAAATTTATTTTTTTCCTCCGAAATAAACATTTAAAATTGACAAAAAAAAAATTTTTTTCAATTACTTTTACTTTTACTCGCTTTTTCTTTCACAATTTATTCTTATTTTAGATTATTTATGGAAAATAACGTTTTTTAATATCAAAGTCAATTCGATCTTGGAAAATTTTTTTTCTTTTTGTCCCCAGTCTTTTTCATTTTTCATTTTTTTTTTTGTTTCACTACGCATCTTTGCATGTTTTTCAATTCTTTTCCCACCCATCACTCATCACCAATCACACCTTCGTTCACCTTCACCACTACCAATACACTCTTCTAAATAAAAACAAAATAATGCTAAACAAAAATGATAACAATAAAACTGTTGATATAAACTATCAAAATCTTGAACTATGGCTAAGGTTGGCTAATGACAATAAAATCAATTACAAAAATAGTTGGAATGTAGCGTTAATCGATTATTTTCACGATTTATCTCTATTTAAAGATTCCTCAAACAACATCAACTTTCAAAGTGTTTCAACCACTTTAGATGGCTGTATAAAAGTTTACTCGACAAGAGTCGATTCTGCTGCTAATGAAACCGGTAAATTACTAACTAATTTATCCATCAATAATAAATCAACCACTCTAAATAATAATAACGACAATGGTAATCTTGATAATAATCTTGATGATCTTGATGATCCTAATAACGAATATAATACTCAGATAATTCGAAATTTAAAGGCTAAAAATTCAAAATTAAATAAACCTGTTAATACTTTAGTCAACTTTGCTCAAATAAAACTTAAAAAACAAGATTTGGAATTGCAAATCGATCCACTATTCAAATCTGCTTTAGCGAATTTCGATGGTGGTGGTGCAAAATCGTTGTTTTCAAATTTACTAGACATTGACAAATCTCAAAGATTAATCATAGACTCAACTAATACAAACCACTTGATTTCTAATAAAAACATCTATAGCGATCATAATAATCACTATAATCGCCATAATGACGATAATGATGATAACGATGATAATCACAATGATAATGACGAAAATTACCAAACTTTCATTTCACAATCAAAGGACATGGATTTTGAATACTTGAAAACATTTTTACCAACTTCTTCTCAATTAAACAGTTTCGAAGTCAGCCACTCAATCAAATATATAAATAACTTGACTTTTATGAGAAACCCAGGAAACAACGAAAACTCGAATAATCTCCAGAATGAAAACCAAAATGAGATTCGGAAAAACTTTGATGAATTGCGAAAAATTCAAGAAAAAAGTTTATATGATATAATACCTATTGATAATCATAACAACAGTAGCAATAACATTAACACTGATGATATAGAAAATGGTAACAATGATGATTATGATAATGACGATAATGAATTTCAATTGGATTTGGATTTAGACAATGATTTAGACAACATAGATATGGATATGGATATCAATATAGATATGGATATGGATATGGATATCAATACTAATTTGGATAATAATGCCAATACTGATGCTATATTAAATCAACTTCTAAATAATAACAATAATAATAACAATAATAATAATAATAATAATAATAATAATAATAATGATTATGATAATAAATTAGTTGAAAATGATGGAGAAATACTGTTAAATCGAAACATTGAAATAAATATTGACGAGATAACTAATAATAAAATAACCAGCAAAGAAAATGGAAAAAGTAACTTAAATATAGAGCTATTATCATATTTTGATAATATAATGCAAAACAATTGGGTAGGGCCTTATGAATTTGATTCATGGAAAGTTCGCAATATTAAAAAAATGATTAACTGGGAAACTTTTAAAAATCAAAATCAAGACCAAAATTTGAACCACGATCAACAAATTCAAAAGAAATCGAGGATAAAAAAAAAATCAGAGTTTCTAATTGATTTCTTTTCCGAAAACCCAGAGAATGACAATTTATTCGGAGATGAAAATATTAATAGCGAGTTGAAAACTATTGAGAATGATAACAACGAAATCGATTTGAATCTTTATTTGCCTAAAAATCAATGGGTAAGTAAAACACAAAACTTGTTGCCTGATGACAGGCAATACAATGGAAAAAAGTTTACAAAACTTTTTCTTAAAGATGAATTAATAAATTCTTACGTGTTTAATAAAAATATAAAAAAAATAAATAAAAATGGCAATAAAGAAATTGAACTCAATAGTAGAAATACGGAAAAAAAACAAGAAAACGTCTTTGAAGATGAAGATGCAATGGATAGAGTAGTTGCAGATGAGAACTTTTGGGCATCAGCATATCAAAATTCTGCCGTCGGTGCAAGAAATAGTAATGTAGATACAAACGAAAATGTGGAAATCAATGATCAGAACTTTTTTGGTTTTGGAGATGATGGAATTGATGATGATCAATATGAAGGGCTTCCAAATTCAATCTCAGGGTCATTGAACAGTAATTTTATCAGCAAGAAATTGAAAGACAAGGACAGAATAAAATACTCTAAAATTATGAAATCTATGAATGTGAAATTGTTGAAAGAAGATCTATGGGAGTGTTTAGAAGACTCTTTGAACAATAAAGATAAAAGCATTGAAAACATGGGAGAGAACAATGAACATTCTAGAACATACATATCCTCATCGGGTTTTTTGAACAAAAGACAGAAATTGAGCTTGCTGACACTGTTGAATGAAGAGCACGACTTGAAGTTCAGCTCAGTGATGACAAAGTTGTATGGCAAGTATGCTGGCTCCAAAGACCAGACAGAGATCTCCACCAGCTACTGCTTTATCTGTCTCTTGCATTTGGCCAACGAAAAGGGGCTTGAGATTGAAAACACAGACGACTACGAGGACTTGTTGATATCGACCATGGACTGAGCTGCAATCCAGCCCTGAATAACCCATTGCCTCTCTGCTGAATCTGCTTTGGTTGTGATTCGCCAGACCCTCGTTGATTATATCTGCGTCCCGTTTGGGCGACAAGACCGCTGAATCGGGATCTCGTAAAAACGGGGTCTGGGATGTGCTGTGCATTTCGAAAAAAGCTGCTGAGTTTCCAGCCTTTTCAATCTCTGCAATCAGAACATGAACCACGTCTCTTTTTTCTTCAGCGACCTATTTGTTCTTCTGAGTGCTGACTCAAGACTATCTCCTTCAATTGTTCAGTCTGTCAAGAAGCAAAAGATCATTGCCACGTCGACTCCCTCGAGATGGAACACCCTAGAGTTTAAGTTTTATTATCTTGTTGTTGTTGTAGCGGTGTCTTATATGTTTGCAACTGCGATAAAAATATCCAGAGCAGACAATCAGAACTACATTTACTATCAAAATTTGCTATCTGATGGTTGGATATTTGGAAGAAAAGTGGACAATTCCGATTCTCAATACAGATTTTTCAGAGACAACTTTTGGCTTTTGTCTATTTTAGCAGTATCTCATCTATGTTTAAGAATAGTTTTTCAGTTTTTTATATCGACTAGGAGAAATCTCTATGATTTAGTATTTGGTTCTCTAGTTATGATTGCACTTTATGGCTGCAACTTTTTGAAAATTTTTGTTCATTTATTAATCAATTACTTCATTGGTAGACTGTTCATTTATCTTGATAATAAGAATGACAGCAATAAAATTTTCAATTCAACTTTTACCTATAAAAGTGTCGGCATATTAATATTGTGGATTTATGGCATTTCGACTTTATTTGTGAATGATAAATTTAGATCAGTTCGATTTGGGTCAATGTTATCCTTTTTATCTCCACTTGATTCCTTCAAAGGTATTATTGAAAGATGGGATGTATTCTTTAATTTCGTTTTATTAAAAATGTTAAGTTTTAATTTAGACTATTATAATAGAATGACTGAAATAAATAATAATCTAAAATTAAATACAAGTAAAATCGATAAATCTAGAATTGAAATTGAAAATCCCGAATTATTAACAAATGAAAGGTTAAGAACAAATGCTCCATTGGACTTGTCTCAATATAGCTTTTCAAATTATTTGTCATATGTTCTTTATACCCCATTGTTTATTGCTGGCCCAATTATAACCTTTAACGATTTTACTTATCAGTCATTTCATAGATTACCAACTTTGAATTTGAAGTTTGTTATCAGATATGCAATAAGATTTGTCTTTTGTATATTAACAATGGAGCTTATTCTTCATTACATTTACGTTGTTGCCATTGCTAAAAGAAAAGCCTGGATTAATGATACGCCCTTTGAGATCTCAATGATTGGATTTTTCAATTTAAATATCATTTGGTTAAAATTGTTAATGCCCTGGAGATTTTTCCGTCTTTGGGCTTTATTAGATGGCATTGATCCTCCAGAAAACATGTTAAGATGTGTTTGTAATAACTACTCTGCTCTAGCATTTTGGAGAGCATGGCACAGATCCTTTAATAAATGGATTTTAAGGTACATTTATATTCCTTTAGGTGGATCAAAATCCAGAATTTTAACATCTTTAGCGGTTTTCACATTTGTTGCAATTTGGCATGATATTCAACTAAGGTTATTATTTTGGGGTTGGATGATTGTATTATTCTTAATTCCTGAAATACTGTGCAATGTTTATTTAAAACCATTAATTCAAAATCATCGTTGGTATAGATTTATTTGTGGGATTGGTGCAGTAGTGAATATATGGTTGATGATGATAGCCAATTTATTTGGATTTTGTTTGGGTAATGAAGGAACCAAAAAATTGTTGAGTGATATGTTCACCTCAATATATGGTGTTCAGTTTACGATAATCTCGACAATATGCTTATTTATTGCAGTTCAAGTAATGTTTGAGTTGAGAGAGCACGAAAAAAGACATGGGGTCGATGTTAAATGTTGATAATAAGCTAATGTTTCAGGGTTATATTACAGAGTATAAATTCAAGAAGATACCCACGTTTTTAAATTTAAGTTAATGTATGATTAAATATTAAAGCATTAATTTTTATTTTGATTTTGATTTTGATTTTGATTTTTTTTTTATTGTCATGTTAATTTTATTTTATTGTTTTTTTAAAGTATTCGATCAGTCTATAAATTGAGAAGCTAAAGAGAAAGGAAAAGAAAAAATATATATAAATAATAAATAAAAACAATGGAAAGATGATATTTGAAATAAAACAACCATTATACTAAAAATCAAAATAACAAATTACGAAAGCCGAAAAAAGAATAGAAAAAAAAGACCAACAAAAATAAAAAGAATAGAAAAAAAGACCAACAAAAATATTATGAATGATTTATAAAAAGTGAAGAAAAGAAATATGAAGAATGAAGAAAAAGGAAAAATGAAGAGAAGGTGATAGATATGAAATATGGAATAAGAAATATGAAATATAAAATATAGGGAAACTTTAATATAAAACAATTGAAATTTAGTTTAATGTTAATTTAATATTTTTAATTAATTATTATTTAACTGATTCCGATCATGGTCTTGCTTTTGATCTTGATTTTGATCTTGCTTTTGATCTTGCTTTTGATTTTGCTTTTGATTTTGCTTTTGATTTTGCTTTTGACGATTGAAATTTTCTACTTGAAAATTTAAATCCATTGGATTTATGTTATCTTTTGTAGAAGTTTTTATAGTATTTTGAGTAGTACTGGAACTAATTGATTTAGTTGGACTGATTTTGTGATTAGAATCATTAGAAAAGTTGTAAGAAATGAAATTATTTGATGAGGAATTTCCATAAATTGAAGGAGATTGATTTAGATAGAAGGGAAGAGAAGGTGGGAGAGTATTTGGAGGATAATTTAAGGAATAATTGGAAAGATAATTTGAAGAATAAAGTTGTGAATAATTCGAGGGAGTTGAGGAAAAAGCAGGAGGTGGATGAAAATGTGGAGAAGAATATGGGTTTTTTTGGTCATTGGAAGAGTGCAAAGTATTATTTCTGTTGGGTAGAGGTTGGAAAGAGGAAGAGGAAGGAGAGGAAAAGGAAGAAGAATCAGGTAGAGTTTCTGAGGGGTCATTTTGAGTGAGAGGATTTTGAACTTCTGAGTTATTGATTGAATTATTTGGTAATTCATTATTGTTTGATAATTTTCTTTTTGAGGATGAGACCTTTCTTACTCTAATTTTAGTTCCTATATTTTTCAATCTATGGGCTAAAATTGGGGAAGGCTGGAGGCCTGGAAAGTGTTTTGGAGCATAAACAGTTATTATATCACTTTCTATTGAATCTCTAAAGAATAATTTCTGTGGAGGGCCGGAGGATGAAGAAGATGATGAAAGTGAAGAAGAGGAGGAGGAGGAGGAGGAAGGAGAGTTATTTGAATTTGATATCGAATTGTTCAAGGGAAATTCATACAATTTAAATATTAGTTTATATTTTCCCTCGATTCTTATTGATAGATTACTAAAGACAAAGAAGGCTTTAAGGTTATTTGAGTCGTTTGCTAAAGTATTTAGAATTTTTTGGTTATTAAAAATAGCATCTATATTGCTTAATTTACTTAGATTTGAGATATTCTTTGAGTTCAAGATGTTAGCAGAGACAGAAGTGGTGCCAATTAAAGCATTTTCTTTTTTTTTAGTTAGAGATTCAGATACTTTTCTCTTTTTTATTGTTTTATCGTTTTTATCATTGGGATTAATGGTACTGGCATTATTGTCATTGCCAGTGTTGTCAATATTACTGTTGTTGATATTACTGTTGTTATCTGCGGTGGAGGAATCGTTATCTGGGATTGAGTCGCAGGAGACAGTACAGATCAAGAAATTGATGGAATGATCAACGACATTTTCACCATCCTGGTTGATTAGAGAAACAGTTAATACTGGGGAGGGATCTATTGTTCTTCGACCTGAAACTATTGAAAGCAAAAGGAAAATGAAAGAGAAATAAGATTTGTTAGACAAAAGGAAATAAAAATGAAATTGGGGTTGAAGGAGATCAATTAGGTTTATCCGAAAAGGAATCGATTCATGAGATAATACATACATTGTTTTGAGGAGCCTACAGCTCTTGCTTGTTTAGGTTGTTGAATTATGTTTAGTTTATATTTGGCCTCAGTGACCTTAAAGGCAGATTGGGGCAAGGGTTGAATGTTGTATTTTGAGGATTTAGGCATGTTGCATCTGAGAAGAAAAAGAAATAAGACGACTTCCAGAAGATTTGAAAAAGAATCTAAGAGAATGGATGGAATGGTTGGAGCAGTCGAAGGTAAGTAAGGTAGCTTTATAGTGGATCAAGATAACTGGGGAGATAGCGAGATTCAAATGAAATAATCTGGCGATGAAAAGGACAGGTTTGACTGAATAGAAAACTCGTAAAAAAGTGAGCGATTTGAGTGAAATTCTGAGAAATTGTAGAACGAAAACCCAAACACTTTAGATCACAGCAGTTGGTGAAAAAAAGAGAAACAGAAAGGAAAACGAAAGTGTTTAATATGATTTCTGGATAAGAGTAAACAAAACTGACCAACATAAGGGCCGCAAAAGAAAATCCAGTGCGAAGGAAACTTTCTCTATTGTGGATCCGGTGCAGCTGTGATGCGTGTCGCCCGCTGCACCCGCTGCACCCGGACATAAACCTTCCGCAGACGGACACATCCCGCCTCAGTCGGACACATCCGCGGGCCCCGTTGTGCGCGCGCCGGCATCTCACGGCCCTGAATGCTTGGGTTGCTTGCTGCGCGGTGCCAGCCGGTGCGTGCACGTTTAGCACGTGCTTTGCACGCGTTACTCCTCTCTTGCGGGCGCCCTCGGCAGCGTGAGCCGGGGCTGTCTTTTTATCCAGCTCTGGGGGACGCAAGAGCAGTCCGCCAGTGGTTATTAATAACACTGGCGCTCGCACGACCCAACGGGAAAGACATATGTTGTGAGCAGTTTTCTGGAAGCTTTACACCGAGACCAATCAGAAGGTGTGCGTATTGAATTTGCTGGGACAACTGCTGGCGGGTCACCAACTCCATCGGAATTCTGACATTGTACTTCTGAATTCGAGCCTGAGCTGAAATGATCAGAACACTTCCAGTCCTAAATCCAGCAGCATCTCAGCAGCCATTCCTTACCGTTTTATGCTTTCCCAACAAGAAAACTGCCCGTAGGGTGTCTTGTCACATGTCTTTCCAGCAAACGCTTTGTGTTTGCTCAACCCTCTCCCACACCTGCAGGGATGATGCTACTTATTACGTATTTCCGTTCTGATGCGAAACAAGGCTTATTCAATTTCAAGCGTATTGTTCTCAGATTTTGATCCCAGCAGGTGGATACAAGCTTCTTAAGTACCTGCGTGAGAGTGCATTAGAATGCGTGGAGCCGCGCAAACGGGTAACTTTAGCTCTTTTTTTTTTTCTTTTTTCCCGATTCCCAATTTGGTCGTCTTATCTGATTTTTCATCGCTTGCTTTTGGAATAGAAATATAATCATATCCATCGACGCTATGTTTCGTTTGCAGAATGTAAAATATCTTGCAAATTCTCTTATTCTTTTTGATTTCAAAAGAGCCCTTTCTATGAGCACATCCTCATTTTCCAGCTCTACTTCTGCTCCTGCCTCTCCTTCTTCGCCCACTACAAAACCACTGTCGATTTCAGAAAAGTCTTTGGATTCCTACAACCTTCTAAACACTCTCAATAACAAATTCGATTTCTTCTTTCCTGGCCAGAATATCGTCGATTTGGGCTTTGCTCCAGGCACTTGGACCAAACTAGCAATTCAAAAGACTAAATATTTCAATCCAAGCACTGACACCTTTGAAAGTATAAACAATGCTAAAATTCTAGGCGTCGATATCCTACCAAGTCAACCTCCAAATGGTGCATCTGCTATCCAAGGCAATATCTTCTCAAAACACCTTCATTTGTCAATTAAAAACTTCTTTTTATACAGTGAAACAGAACTAAGAAATCAGTTGGCTAACATCAAAGATGACCCAATTCAGCCAAAGAGCTACATAGATATGGAACAGTCAATTGACATCACTGATCAAACTTATAACATTATCAATAATATTAGCAGTCTTAAAAGTACCAACACTAATAACCAATCAGACTCATTTTCAATTAATGAATCTAACTACGATGATGCCAATAATGAGCTGATTGATTCAGTTCCCAATGATAATAACCTGGTAATAGATTTGGAATTTGAAATTGACCCCGATTTTCGCAACTTTTTATCAAATCTAGACAAAATTAATATAAATGATCCCCCTATTGAAAAAGCAAATGAAAAAATTCAACAAGAATCAATTCAAAAAATAATCAATCAAGAATCAATTCATGAATCCAATCAAAAGTATAATAAAAATCTTCATGAAAAAACTCAACAACTGAATCAAGAAACAATTCAGGAAACAGTTCAGGAAAAACCACAATTTCCAGTTGACCTCATCCTCAGCGATTTAAATTCTCCATGGGATCAAGACACTTATAAATATTGGAGCACAACAGTAACTGATCCAAGCCTGAACCTCAGAACGTTTCCTCCCCTACTAATCGACAACATTTACAAAACTGTTGACCTATTCGATGCTGCTTTGCTTCTTGCCATAGACATCTTGAAACAAAATGGCTCCTTCGTTGCTAGACTCTGCTCTTCCAACGAAGACCAACTAATCAATTCAAGATTGAAAAAAGTATTTGAAGAAGTTCATTACATCAAAATCTCAAAAGATGTAATATTTGTTTGTAAAAAAAAAAAAGATGGCCCAATCAGTAAATTACACGTCTTTACTAATGACTAATCCTTCAATCAATTTAAAATGAAATCAAAAATATAATCCAAATAATAGTTATCTAACTAAAAAAAAGTATATAAATTAAAAGAATTTAGACATAATTTAAACATAATTTAGACATAGTTTAGCAAAATTTTAACATAAATAAAACAAAAAAAAAACACTATTAACTGTTTGTATATATACACTAAATTTGATTTTATAAAAGTAACTCAATTACAATACTACCCTCCTCACTTGGACAAATCATTCAAAACTTTCTTAATAACAATCAATCTATTGCACAAATTATTCAATGTTTTATCTTTAATTAAAACTTCATTGGAAATCTCAATATTTGTCGAATCCTCAATGAGATTACTCATTTTCTTTAAAAACTTGTCAAGTTTTTCCCTAATCTCATCACTATCATAAATTAAGTTATTCGTATTAATAATTTGTTCAATCAACTCAATGAAATTTTGATTATTAAAATTTAATAAATAATCACTTTCAATTACATTACTAATATCAATCTTTTCATTCTCAGTCACAAATAAGTTTTGTAACAATTTCAAAATATCTCGTTGAAATTTATTAATATCTTCATCCTCAATCTTTTCAAAATCTTTATGTTGTATAAGATTGAACTTATTTCCTGGAATTTCAATTTTCTTAATCTTAATTTCAAACGGTTTGGATATAACTAAAACTGAGTGTGAACTATCTCTATGGTACCTTAATTCATAAACTCCCTTTTCAAAATATAAGAACTCATTATAAAATTTCAAGTACCCAATTTTATACTTTTTTTTCTCATCATTTGCCTCTTCAATTATATTATCAATTAACACGCCCAATGAGTTTGAAATTTTCTCATTTTTCTTATTCTTATATGAATCCTTTAAAACAGGAATCCAGTGTCCATTTGATGGTATCATTGTTTTTTGTTTAGATTTTGAAGTGGAAATAATCTTGTATAATCCAATCCAGTCTTTAATATCATGTTCAATCGGAATTTTATATTTAATAACAATTGGTTCTCCAACGTTAATATATAATGATTTTGAAGTTGGATTCACTTTCATATTTAAAAATTCAATTGAATATTCTTCATCTTTAGATTTGGAAATGAAAAGCTTTTTATCAATTATATCGCTAAAATCATTATCAATATCAGTGTCATGGTCATAGTTTTTACTGTTATTATTAATAATGGATTTATTATTTTTTTTGTTATTTTTTTGAATTTCACTTTTAATTTGAGAGGATGGATTTTTGTTTAAATCTTGACTCATTGAATAAGTTCTGATTTTTTCAAAAACATCAATTTTAGGTAAAATCTTTTTAAATTCAGTTGAAACTCCACTATCTTGTGAGACTTGTTGTTCACCATAAAGTTTGATCATATGAGGCTCTTCAACAAATTTAATTAATAAAATTTGATTTAAAGTCCAAACCATTGCTAGAATGAAAAAAAATGGAGACCAAGTAATAATGGTTAGACCCCAAATTGCCAAAATTCCTAGTAATCTTTCAGGATTATTTAAATATCTATAAATTCCAGATCTTGTTAAATTTGGCTGACTGAAATTTGATAGGGGCAAGAAGAAATCACCATAAAACCAACCAAATAAACCAAGTGTATTGATAATTGATTTATTGCAAATTAAATTTAGTATGATGAAAAAGACACCGATCGTTAGTCTTAAGGGGAAATCCATTAAATTATTGCTATTATTATTATTATTATTAGTGGTAGTAATATTATTATAAAACAATTCCTTAAAGGCCAAGACAAAAGTTAATGTATAAACAACCAAGTGACCTAGGTTGTAAAAAACACACCAATCATTAAAAGCGTCATTTAAGGTAAAATCGTATTTAAGATAAATTCTTGAATAACTTTGGTTCTTTGATTGATTTGAAAGAATATAAAAAATAAGGATTGAGAAAAAACACTTTGCCGACAAAGTTATTAAAAATAGTTGGAAATTATTATTGATAGAATTAAAAGATAATAGTGATAACAATGAGATAATTAAAACAGTTAAGGAATCATTTGGTCTAATAATTTTAAAATTACTGAAGATTAATAAAGGTTTTACTTTAAAGATTTTGTTATCAATATTATTGATTTGAATTGAAGAAATTGATATTGGTTCACCGTAAATTTTATTAATATGGGGTTCTTCAACTGAGTAAAGGAAAAAAAATTGCAACAAGTGAGCGAAAATACTGATGAATAAAATAAGGTAACTTTTAGTTAATAAAGCAAAGCCATAGTAACCTATATAACCGATCGAATACATTGGATGAGGAAACATGTTGAAAACCCCATTGAAGATTAAATGGTTATTAACTTGCAAAAAGAAAAAATCACCCCAGTACCAAGCATAGTCTTTGACAATATTATGAGCGTCAACTTTAACCCAAATGTTGAATAAAATAAAGGATATCCCAATAACTAGTCTGAAAAAATCCAACAAAGTCGATTCAAATAAATTGGTATTTAAATTCGAATAAACAGAATAAACCAAACAACAATAAACAGTGAAATCTTGCATTAAGATTAAATCGACCAAATGTCTAAATAGGATCCAAGAATTGAACTCGATTGGATGCTCAGATAAATTATAATTATTTCCGATCTTAGTTCTTAATTGAGATCTAATAAAGGACTGAATAAAATTGTCAGGAGTATCTTTATAATTATAATTAAAAAGATTTTTCTTGACAAAATAATCGGTGATGAAGTTATAATTTGACTGATTATATAGCAAATAACCAATACCTAGATTATAAGAAAATCTCCAAAAGACGTAAAAAAAAGTGAAAAAGTATATTTTAAAATTTGGATTAAAGTCGAAAAATTTTTCAAAGAAAAATAAAAAAATCAAATTTAAAGATAATAAAATTACGTTTAAGATATCAATTAAGGATTTTTTGATAAAGGGATTGAACAAGGTCTGGACCATATCGTTTGTCTTAGGAATCGGGAAGATTTTGTTGTCAGAAGTCTTACCAAAGATGATTTTGTTGTGGTTTTGGACAAATAGGTTGTTGTCCCTAGACAATACTTCGGGATTGAAATATTGATTTAATTTTTCATCGGGATCTGAGCTTTTATTGAGGCTGTTATTGTCGTCACTGATATCGTGTTTAGGTGTGTTATCAGGTTGATTGATAACGATTTCGTCTTGAATAGCAGTTGTCATGATTTTTGGGTATCTGTTGAAGATAATTATAACTTGTTATAATTAACAATTGCCACAAGCGACGTAGGTGAAAAAGAAAAAGCCCAAGGAGCTGCCACACCTATATATACTCGACATCGAGTGTGATTGTTGGGCGAAAAGTGAAGCAAAACGCAAACTGGCCAATGGGAGCCCGTCGCCGGCCCTGTCTTTCGGAACCCAGATCCAGCTGCTTGGGAGCAGTGCTGGAAGATTCGCATGTGAATGTCCTGCCGGCTTTTTCACATGCCAATCCGAGGGATCGGTGACAAATAGAGTCCAGTACGATGGTAGTAAGCACACACATGTGTATTTGCGTATAAATACATCTTTATGCGCATTACCTTTAGTAACATGTCCCTTCGCTTTGGAAATATATCTTTTGAACCACATAATAGACGTTCCGAATTGGGCATCTTGGACTATTATTATTCTCTGATAATCATATGCTAGTTATGTCGAGTCTGTGGATATATTCTGCATTTCTCAGTTGAACAATCAATCTTGTATAATCTCTTGATAACAACAATGAAGTCCGTTCAAATATCCTTTTTCTTGCTTCGAATCTTAAAAACGAATCCTGCTTTGAACCATTTAATTGGTGTGTTTTAGTATAGATATACCTTTCTTGAATATACATAATTTTTCGGGTTATTGATTCTTAATTAAAATCGATATTACAAGATTATTTAGTATTATGTAGAGCTTTTCATTTGCAACTTGCCCAAAGTAACCTCCAAAGTACATTCCTCTCTTATCACTTATATTGATTGTGAATAGATAGCGGAAATAAGAGTTTTACTCATTTAATTTCTTGGCTTGCTTTGCTCGCTTTTTAAATTTTCCTCAATTGTCTCAAATCGCATCTATTAAATAAATATAAGTGACATTAAAGTCTTTTTTATCTATACCTACAAGGTTTTCAATTTACAAGACTTTGAATGCCATCAAGTGCTTATTGTATGTATATTGTTCTTTTTAGTATTTATTATTATGAATCAATTTTTCTTCTTAGTCGTTCTTGATATTTTTATTTTCGCTTAGGAATTTAGAAAAATGCCAAATAAAGATAAAAATCGCTGTCCAATAAAATTTTGAGATCTTTTTCAAGTAACTAATCAAGCACCGTACTACTTCTACTTTATTGTTTTCCAATTTGATTTGATTTAAGCTTTTCCAGTTTTTTTCTCAACTCCAATTTAATCACCGTAGTATTGAATTAGTCCTGTCAAAATAGAAAAAAAATAAGCATTAGCCAAGACAATTTTTCCTTTTAGTTTTTTATTATTCTAATACACCCTCCTAATAATTTAAGTTGAGCTATATTGTGTGCTGACTGATCTTTTAGATTATTTTTAATTCCAAATTATTATAATTTCTGGATCTCTCTAAATTTCAAACCAATTAAATCCTGCAAGTTACACTCTGAGATCATTTGATCTTTTTATAACTGTGCTAATTATTGTTTAGTTTTAGCTTAGATGTAATACTAACTCCGGTTTTAATCATAAATGAAAACAATTAATGAAATTTTAATTCAAAATAAAAAATAAAAAATCAATCCACATTTCTATTCCGCTACTCACGCTCTGACTAAAATAATAGCACAAGGCTTCTTCTGTTTTAAACGTTCTAAAAGGCTTGATTATATGTTCATCCTTAAGTTCTTTAAATTTTAAAATGCTAGTATTAACAGTGAAAAGCATGCAAAGCAAAAATGGCACAACTAAATTTGCCAATTATTAAACAGATTATTGTCAACTTGATAGTTTTTAATGTTAGATGAAGAGTTCAAACTCCATTGCTTTCAACATTGAAACTCCAAAACAATTTATTTTATATCAAGCAAATTGAATACCCTTAGGACCACCTTTTTAAAATTTTCGTTTTCTAACTTTAATCCATGAAAAAGCTTGCTTTTAGGTTCTCCGTTCAACAATCGGCTAAGCTTTCTTTCAACCTTAAACAATTTTATCCATTGAGCAATTTTGCAAACAATATTCGTTTTCAATCCGTTTGATTTCTTTCTTCAATCTTATTCAATTCAAATTCACTTCAAAAATCGTTTCAATATGAGATTTTCTTGAAATGATAATATTTATAATCATATATCCAAAAAAAAAAATCTCCCTGCTCTTGCATAAATTCATTAATAAAAAAACAATATTATAAAACACATTTTCTATATTTCATAAAAATATCAAAACCAATTAATATGCATAATAAGAATAAAAAAATAATAAAAAAAATAAGAATAAAAAAATCTCAAAGATATCAGAATCATTTTTATTAATCCTTTCAATATTAATTATTTAACGAACTAATTTAATAACTAAATACAAAACACCTTACTTGACCGAGTTTCGTTTTGAGTAACTATAATCCTTATGTTTCACTATCTAAAGTTTAATAAAATCAAAACCACTAAGAAAAATAAGGAATAAAAAAGGATTCATTTTAAAATTCGAAATTGAGCTTATTTTAATACCTCATTAAACACAAAGTTAATCAATAGCTAAATAAATTTATTAAAATTGACTAACATCTCTATTTTTCCTTTGAAAATTAATTCATATTACCAAAAGAAATCGATCAGCAAAACTTTTTCTTTCTCCTAATAGTTCCTACAAGATCATAAATGCATATTGGGTTATATCAATACTTCAAGTGCAATGAATTCTTGAGTTATTATGATTTAAATTGATTTTCTGAACAAATTAACAAATAAGATGTAATTTATTTAAAATGATTAGAAATTTTAGGTTAAAAATTTAATTTCCAAAAACAACAACCACTAATTGATTGAATCGATAAAAAACATTTGGTAAATTAAATAATAATTTCATTCTTTTGGGAAAATAACTTGATTTTAGTTTATGATAATAAACATTTGGAATACTTAAACAACAGCTGCTTTCTTAAACTCATTTTATTTTCACTATTTATCATTCAATTGTATAAAATACATTAGATTTTGCTGTTTCTTTTTTTTTATTATTTTGGCTAATATACTATCTTTTATTAGTCGTTAATAGCTTCTCAATACTAGTTCTAACAGATTACAGATTTTTAAAAAAAATCACAAATATAATAATAATTCATATGAAGATCAGCACCATCCTACTTTTATCTTTATCATCTCTAATCGCAAAAGCTGCTGCTGGTTATAGTGAGACATATTCAGACGAGTATTATTGGTATTCCAGTTGCTATCAATCAATTTCGTCTCAAGTTTTGTATTGTGATGCACAAAAGGAGGGATATGGGTACTATTATGCTGATGTGGATTGCTCATGCACATCAGTCGCCGCTATGGGATCAATGCTTTACTGCCTTTATAATCAAGATAATGATATAAACAAACTTGAGAAGTATGTTATCAAAACTTGTGCAGCTCAGAATGTGTCCTATACCAATGAAGAGCTCCAAGCAGCTTACAGAAATGCCACACATTATTTGGTTGATATGACAGAGGTTGAGAATTATAACGTGTCTGAAGATTACTTCTATTCTCCAATTTATCATGATCCCAAATACGTTAAACGAAGTTTTGAGTCGTATAAAGTGCTATATGATAATAATTATTATTCTTGGTTATACGGTATAGGGTCTGTTGCTTATTGGGCTGGTGTCTTAGCCCTTTGCTCTATATTTCACTGGTCAAAAGTATTGTTTCCAAACTTTGTCGCAAGATGTACTGGTCCAATCAGTCGTGCGTGGAGAGCTACTGTCGTTATTCCTGCTGCTTTAGACAGGAACCATCTTGGTTCCAAATATCTTTTTGGAAAGTTTGACATAGGTCTCGTACCAACTAGATTTGAGTCATTGGTGATTTTGGGCTTTTATGCAATAGAATTGGCTATCAATGTTGCACATATCTATCCCATTTCTGGGGGCAACACAATCCGTACTACCAGAGCATTGGAGATCTATGACTTGATTGGGATTAGAAGTGGTGTTTTGGCAGTTTGGATTTTTCCTTTGGTGATGTTGTTTGCAGGAAGAAATAACTTTTTGATTTCGATAACCGGTATAAACCAAGCTTCATTTAGTGCCTATCATCGATGGATTGCTCGCGCTTTCACAATTTTGGCGTTTATTCACAGTTGGGCATTTATGGGGATGGAAATAATTTATCATGATGTGAAGCTAGCAGTGAAAACCCCCATACTTTTATTGGGGAATGGTTTCAACAGCATTTGCAATAGGGCTATGCTTTCATTGCTCTTGTTCATTTTATCTTTGGTATTTTTTGTCTCACTGGGTTGTGGCTTCATTGCTGGAAACTTCGATCATACCACGAATGGGAATTTTGCGCAGCTGCGATTTGGTGTTTTGACAGATTTGTTAGAATTGTTCGTTGTTTGGCATTTGGTGTTCCCAAAGGCAATTGCCGAATTATTGGAGAAGATACTATCAAGGTTATTTTGCCAAAACCCAAATACTGGAAGGCTTTTCCAGGTGCATTCTGTTATATTTATTTCTTTCGACCAGCAAGATGGTGGGAGTCACATCCATTTACCATTGTTGAATCTGACGGTGATGAACAAAACATCATTTTCTATATCAAAGTCAAGGAAGGCATCACTCTATACATCTATAACTATTTGATGAAACAACCAGACCATTCGGCTAATATAAGAGTGACAGTGGAAGGCCCATACGGTCGTCAGCAGCCAACCAGGAAGTATTCCAAGGTTCTTTTAATTGCAGGTGGCAATGGTATTCCAGGTCCATATACCCACGCTTTAGATCTCGTTTCACACACCCTCAATAAACAAATCAGACTCTACTGGACAATTAGAGAATGGAAGAATCTTGAATGGTTTTATGACGAGCTAGCAAAACTAGGTCATTATAAAGACAAATGTGAAGTTTACATATATTGTACCAGAGGTGGAGATATGCCAAACTTTGGCTCCAGTGGATGTTCTTCAGAAGCTGGGTCAATTTCCAAAACCAGCAAAGAGAAGACCATAATGCCTATGAATACTCAGCAAAAGATATCCAACGTTGAAGCTCTTTCATACATCCGTTTTGAAAACGGCAGACCAGACTTGAAGCACATACTTGGTGAAGAAATAGAAACAGCTGCGGGATCAATCGCTGTTATGAGTTGTGGGCATCCAAAAATGTGTGATGAATTGCGTTCCAACGTTGCCCGAATGACCTTGAAAAGTGATAAAAGAATCGATTACTTTGAGGAGAACCAACTTTGGTAGGAAGCGTTTGTTTTCTGATTCGTTTTCAAGCCCCTCTTTCATTTTTGTTTTGTTTGTATTTGTTGCTGGTTTGTATAATTATTATCTATTACCATCCTTTTAAAACCGCCAGCAATTATTAAAATTAAATGTTAATTTTGTAAAATAAAAAGCTAAAATTAATAATTTGACATTGGAATTGAAAACGAAATAAAAAGTAGAATATTTGACAGTTTCCAAAATGAGTAGCAATGTACCATTTATTCTCTACTAGTGGTGGATGTTGGAAAGGGGTCGGAATGCGCTGTGAAGCGCCCGGATCTTAAGATTCGGTTGCCGATACAGCCCTAGAACATGCTGGCGGTCTGTCGCGTGACACTTCACTTAAGGTTCTAGGCAAGGACCTTATGTTGTAGCAAATCCACGATTATACATTAAGGTGAATAAGTACAAAAGAAAGAAAGCCAAAGGGGGCTGCAGCCCCCTTTTATAGGGACTGGGTTAAATCCAAAGCGTCACGGGAGCAGACCGGCAACACATGCCGGGGAACAGACAGAGACCGAAACTAGAAATCCGGCCGCTTTGCAACAAATCTATTCTTGTTCAATGATCAGAAATTTGTTATCATTTAGCAGGTCAAAGTTTTGGTCAATTCAACTGATTCGAAATGGCGAATATAATGGAACCCAGGATGTTGCCTAGCTCACCAAGTCATTTGTGAGACGTGGCCAAAGGAGAACTAGGTGCTCTATCTACACTCATTTATTTCCACAGATACTGATGCTAATCAAAATAACACAACAACCAATTACCAAAAATAGTACTATATTTGTTTTACCACTAGTTACAGGAGCATCAGCTCATTACTTTGCCCGAAAAACAATCATTTATTGTCAATTGGCTCCCAGATGTATCTATAATCTTTCGATGAAGGTAGAAGATAATATGTCTTTGTCTCTCGCGTTGTAGGTGCCTCTTTAAATTTGGAAAAGTCCCATCTAAGTTTAGTTTTGTTTTCAAATGTGTTTGTAAATCTAACGATATCAAGTTGGCCATTGTTGGAAATCATACAACTGCATTTGAAATTTCCAACTGCAACTTCATTGACTGTAGTATTGGTAATCTTTCCAAACACCTTATTGAATCAGCATTTTTGGTGAAAAAATGGAGGATTCGTAACCCTTCAGCCATACCAATATTACTGATATTCTCATTGGCACCTTTCCCAAAAATCAATTGATTTGATAAAGGAAACTGCTCTAATTTCTCAACATCGGATAGCCCATTATTAGATAAATTGAGTAATGGCTCTAAATTAGGAATGTTGTCGAATTGATTGTTTGACAAGTTCAAGTTAAGCAATTTGTACAGCTTAGGACTCTCCTCTAACCTGAATAGTAAATTTTTCGAAAGATCAAGAGAATTCAAGTTAATAAGAAGTGGTAGCTGTGTAATTAGTTGTGTGATTGATCCGATATTTAGACCAGACAAACATGGATGTTTCAAGTTCAATAGTATGGACCTGCCAAATTGTTTAGGGATATTAAAGTGTTGTAAATTGTACGTTGAGGAGGACCATATTGCTTTTGATTTAATTTTATCAAATTTGAAGAGTTTATAGTAATTATCTTTATATGGAAATACTTTTTTCATCAATGCAAGAGAAATTTCCCATTTGCTTCCATCAAATGGAAACAGCCAGTTATAATAGTTCATGGTGTCTGTAATATCAAACTCACCAATAGAGAACTTGTATATCGACTCAGCTATAAAAAGCACCAACACCATCATTTGCTGTAAACATTTAAATATCGTGGAAAGCCTGAATTTGTTTTCTTTCACTCCATTTGATACGAGAGTGGTATTCACAGTCAAGTGTTTGGTAAACCATCTCAAGTGATTTCTGAACAATAAAGCATCGTTGAATTGTAAAATCAAATGCATTTTTAACTGTGAGATCTTGGTCTTTCATGATTGACAAGTGCCTTGGTGTTAAACGTTCACCAATGATTTCAACTATCAAAAACAACAGAATAGGCGCTTGTTGCTAGAACTTGATTATTGGACAATATGAAAAGAAGCACTTTATCAATTGGTAAATCATTGAATATAGGCTGAACAATAAAAGTGGGCAAACCATCTAGTATATTGGGAGTCAATTGAATACTTTTGGTCCACAAGTTTGAGAAATGCATTTTCAAGTTTATTATCGAGTTGTTCGTTGGTATCCAATACCTCAGAGTAAGCCTACTACTTGAGTTTGTCTTCCATTTATATCAACAATAGTGTCAAGTTGATTCTTGCTTTTTATATAAAAAGCAAAAGCAAAAGCAATTGCTGCAAAGTGCTCTATTGCTGAAGCTGCCCCCAATAAGCATTCATGTAGTAAAAGTTGCTAATTCGAGTAGCAATTAAGGGTCAGTCTACTCATTATACCTGTTCTCTTGGATATATGAAGCTTTTTATGGGTTTCAAAACCGAAAACCACTGGAAATCAAGTTGCAAGTTAGATGATCAAAAGACCTGCAACAGCTTGGACTTACAAAGATAACATTTTGATGAATATTGTAGAATTAATAAAAAATGAAAAACCAAAAATAAATTATAAAGCGAGAATGATAATTTTTATAATATAGATCCTAACTGATTTAGTAAGAAGTTTTGTTTAAAGAAGTTCTACTTCGTTTTAAGCAAAAACCAAATAACAACATCGATTGATAGGAATGCAAGAGCAAATAATGGATAAATAGTAAAACTTCCCCAGATTTCACAACAGATTCCTACAAACCATGGAAGAATAGCAGCCCCTCCACCACCCAAAGCCATTGCAAAACCTACTCCAGACACATGCAAATGAACAGGTAAGACCTTAATGGCATAAACTGAAGTTGTTGGAAATATTGGACCAATGAAGATGCCAGTTGAGAAAATAGTTGCGATATAAAACCAATAGCTGGAGGACAAATAGAATAAAGCAAAAAAAAATATTGACAAAATATTATAAATGTGATTTGCAAAATATTCCGAAGATAATCTGGGAGTGATAAAACCTAGAATTACTCTACCAATGGTTAAACCAAACCAAAATGTTGAAACAACAACAGACATTTCATTCATTGAACCATTTTTAACTTTGATTAGATAACTTAAAGTCCATCCACCAATAACCACTTCAGTGCCAACATTTAAGAATAAAAATGCAGCTAAAGCTAAAACCTTTGAATTTCTAATTGCATTTCTTATATCACTGCTAGTATCTTCAGGCTGAAGTGAGTTGTCATTACTTCTAGGCTCATCCAAGTTTAATGACGATTCATTCTGTAGCTGCCATTCATATTTCCATTTAGTTTCATGACGAAAGACCAAAAAATTTAATAGAGTCAATACAATAGTTAAAACGAATATCAAACCATAATGAAATTTCCAAGAGATGTTATGTGCCAATAATAATCTAGTTACAATTAAGGGCGAGCAGATACAGCCCACACCATAGGAAGCGTGTAATAGATTTGACAATTCATTAGAATAGTCTAGTTTGCCTAGCCAGACACTGACAGCAGCATCTTGAGCACCAGCACCTACTCCACAAAGGACATAAGCCAAAATTAAAATAAAAAAAGGAGGTTGGAACATTGCAATAAAACTGCATAAGCCCATAAACAAGACTGATAACGTAGCAACGCCATGAAAACCAATAATTTTATGGCATTGGTCATTGAATAGAGAGATAATAAAATAACCAAAAAATTGAGCAAAATATAGTAATGAAATGGTTGATTCTTTTGAGTGATATTCTTTGACAAAAACAGGAATCAATACACCGATAGTTTCGTCAGATAAGCCAAATACAAAAAAACTTAAATATGTCGTTATGACTTGTAGTTTTAGCAAAATGCTGTCTTTAATGTTGTTTGTATCTATGATGATTTCATTACCTTTATAATCAAGCACCTGAATTTCTGTTGAGAAATTTGATAAAAAAGAATCAGTTGATAGGTTATTGTTCTTATAGGGACCTGAAGCAGAATCCGGCAAAGGTAAAGATAAACTTGAAGCAAAATCTTCTGAAGTTGGGGTTAATAAATTTTCGCTGAGTTCTATTTCTTGTTCGTTATCAGAGGAGACTTTTTTATACATGATGAAAATTTAAACAGTATTATTGTAATATATAAAGCGAATCTGATTGTGTCTTTTCTTTTTTTCTTCTGCCTTGATTAGAGAATAGTCGTATAATGGAAAATAACCAGTGAAAAATTAGAGAATACCCGATATATGCTTGATAATATAATAATATGGGGAATAGTTGCAATATAAATACAGAGAAGAGTATGTTACTATCTCAAACACAGATAGGGCTATCAGCCATGAGTACAAAATAGCCACATAAATTAGGGGGATTATAGAAGCTTCGGTGATCGAAAATCATTGGAGATGTTTTTTTTTTTAATTTTTAGTATAATAAGTGACTTTTTACTAAAACTCTGCAGGCTATTGTTAGGGATTGAAAGATATTGTTGGAAGTTTTTATTGTTTTGGAGGGAGAGAATTGGAGCATTTTCATCAAAAAATTGGCTGGATTAAGGAACGAAAATTTGAGACAAACTTTAATTTTGTGTGGAATTGATTTTTTGGTAAGAAAAATTGGAAAAGAGTCGCGTTTCAGTGGATATTTTGAGAGAGAATTGCTTTGGAATAGCGAATTCAAGGTAAGTGGAAGGATTTCTTTTGGATAGTGTGGACTCTAGAATCAACAACATTGCAGAATTAGCTCTTTTTAAGATTAGTATTTTGGATAAAGCAGCATTCGACAGCACATTAACAAGACATTAACCAGTCGAGATGAGTCTTCGTAAGGGCAGTGGAAAAGTGTTGAGTTTGGGCTGGAGAGAAGTGTTTAGAATCTGGCCCAGGCTCTGGAGGCGAGACTATCTTAGAGAAGCACAGGAGGAGCTATACAAAAAGACATTGTCATTTTATGGGAAGAAGGAATCAAGAGTTGTGGCCCGGTGCCAAAAAGTTGAGATAAACGAGGATGAGTATATTCATGAGTTGTTTGTTAGTAATAGAGAGAGTGGAAAGAAAAAGGATGAGAGGAAGGAAGAGAAGAAGGAAGAGAAGGCAAATGATTTGTTGATGATTCATGGGTATGGAGCAACGTCATCGTTTTACTATCGAAATTTCGAACAGTTGATTGATAATGGTAGCAAAGGGAAACGATTTCTGATATTTGCAATCGATTTACCCAACTTTGGGTTGTCGTCGACGAGTGAGTTCAAGTATCCATTCAATTTCAGGGAGAAACGCAAATGGTTAACCCCAAGGATTAAATTCAAGTATAAAGATGAAAGAGTGGAATTGCCCAAGGAGTTGGATAAAGAGATGAAGAAGATGAATATGAAGCAGATTGGGGAAATGCAGAAACTTAAAAAGATTGATAAGTTTGAGATTATGAATTCCAAGGAGGAATTGGTTGAGATTTATGGCAATTTGAAGGAGAAAGTTGTGCCATTTTTCGAGAATTATTACATTGATGCGATGAATTTGTATTTGGATAAAAAGGGGGTAGATAGTAAAGATGGGAAAGTTGATGTGATTTGTCATTCGTTTGGAGCGTATTTGATGATTTGTTTTTTGTTAAAGTATCCCGAGAGGATTAACAAAATGATAATTGTGAGTCCTGTTGGGGTTGAAAGGTCGCCCTTTTGCGTTGAGTCGATCAAGTACTTTATTGATAATTACGAGAGACAGAGGGAGTACTCAGTGTCATCAGAATACGACAAGTTTAATTATTTGAATGTGAACTTCAATGCACCGAGTGTGTTCAAGTTTATTTGGAATAAAATGATTTCGCCATTTACGATTATGAAAGCGATGGGCCCAGTTGGAGTTAAAATAGCGTCGTTTTACACGTTGCGAAGGTTTAATAGAGGAGTTATTGGGGGAGATGTGGGCGAGATCGAAAAGTTTTCTGATTACATATTGGGGTTGTATTTCAATGTGAATTATGTTATTGACAAAATTAAAAAGCGGGAGTTTAGTAAGATTGGAAATTACAATAACTCTGACAAAAGCATAATGAGTTTGATTTCGTATAATATATTGGCTCGAGACTCGATACATGATAAATTTGCACGATATTTCAAAGCAAGAGGTGAGTCTCCATTGAAAAAGGGCCAATTGCCGGAAATCTTGTGGATGTATGGGGAGTACGACTGGATGAATTCGATGGCAGGCAAGGGGTTGGTTGATTTTATTAATGGCAAGTTAGCAAGTAATGAGAAAAAAATGCAGTATGTTAAAATTTGCAACGCCGGACATAATTTATTTTTAGATAATCCCAGTGAGTTTGACAAGGCTGTCAAAGACTTTTTGGACGAAAAATAGAACAAGCAAGACATAAAAGCAAGACATAAAAGCAAAGCCGGGGGGATTAATATAAAGATATGTATAGAGATATGTATAGATGTATATAGGTAGAGAAGATTAAAGATAGATTTGGGTGCAGGACAATGCAAAGTGCAGATATTCAGCATACTCAACACACACCAAACAATTGGCACAAAAATAGTAGGATATAAATAGATTCAGGGTTCGGAAGAAATCCGGAAAAACAGCAGGCGTGTGGATGCATTCGGCGCATCCAGCCTGTTGACACATGCAGTGATGCGCATGCACTCGTATATGAGAAGTGGCTGCAAACAGCAAAAGGTAAACATGAGCTGAAACCCATCAGCAGTGGGACCAGTCTGGAGATGGTCTTGAGATGTTCTGAAGAGGTGAGCTACAACAAAGACACACCTGTGGAAGTGTGAAGAAAGCAGCAGCCGGAGCTGGGCAGAGGGGCAGTAAAGGAATCATTCCAGGGCAGTTTAGCGTGCTCCAGGTGTAACACCACTGGCTGTCCACCAACTGATAGCATCTGATAGCAACTAAACAACAGAAGCTGTGTTCTTGACTCACGCTTAACTCAAAAGGATGACTCACTAGCAACGCATCGGAAAGAGCAAGCAACGAGCCCACGTTGGAGCAAACTGCCGGAGGTGCTGCTGCTTCTTCCTCTTGCTCTCCAGCACCACCATCTTCCCTCTCTCTCTCTCTCCCTCTTCTCCGTCTCTTCCTCCTCCTTTTGCTCTCCAACCTCTCTCGCTGCTGTTTCTCCAGGCCCACCGCGCCTTTCGTCTCGTGGTGCCACCCTCCTCCTCCGACTAAAATTCCCCAGCTGCCGACCATCCTCGCGCCCACCGCTCACCGTGCGCCCCCGAGCTTCCGTGCTTCCTGACCACGCCCGCCCCTGCGTCATTCGGGACCACTGCCAGGGCCAACGTGGAGGCCCACGTTTGTGCCGCACAAAACACCGGTACAAACGACCTGCTCCCTCCCGCGACCATGACTGCGCGCCGTCACCCTATCGCTCAATTATCTCCGGAGACCCCAGACTTTTCGCTGGTTCATCTCTGAGCATCAGCCAAATCCACAGCGTGAAACTCTGCAGTCTTGGAAAAACTTCACCTGCAGTGCGAGTAATGAATAGCAAATTTTATCGCTCACTCTACAGCAATAGTCTTTTTCTATTATTTCACTATTTCACTATTTCCTTAGTTTCTTTTAACCTTCTGTTACATCCTCAGCTTTATTTCTGCTATTAATGTCATATATACCAATACACTTATATTGCCTGTCTATACTTAGCGACATACATCTGTCAATATAAATATATCCCAATGTCTTCCTCTGTTCCCTACATGCTTTCTTCTTTCTACTCTTTCTCTTCTACCCACTATCAACTTCCTCAATCTCTCTAATCTAATCACTCAACCCATACACTCACGTCTTACTGCCTCCCTCATAAATGTGCAACAGTACCAACTCAAAGCTCAGCTCCAAAGCTGACGAAATAGACCACCATCTAAATCTAATCAGAACCTCCAGCTCAAACTCAGCTGCAAACTCCTCTTCCAACTCAAACTCCTCTTCTGCCATCTTCTCTCCATACAGCTCTAAAAATGTCTCAAGAAACACTTCTCTTTCAAGCTTAAACTCTTCGCTTGACTTCAACCACCATCTGCTTTTATTGAACCTAGACTCCCCCTTTCTATCAAGAACCAACTCTGAAGACTTTGAAAACCTAAACTATATCAACATCAACGAAATTAATGACCTAAAATTTGCCTCTTCATTGTCTTCCTCTTCATCTTCTTTGAACATTATCAACACATCCACCACTTCAAACTCAAACTCAAACTCAAACTCAAAGTATCTTATAATACTAGTAGGTCTACCAGCTTGTGGAAAGAGCACCTTTGGAAAGAGATTAAAACAAGATTTAGAAAAAAATGCAAATCTAAACGTTGGCATATTCAATGCCGGTAACGTTAGAAGAAACTTTTTAAACTCTTCCAATGTCAACCAAAATGCAAACTATTTTGACTTTAACAACTCTGAAACCTCCAACCAAAGAGAATTCTTTGCCAAAATTGCTCTCGATAACTGTCTCTCAAGTCTAATCTTCAACCAAATCGACATTGGCCTCCTAGACGCAACAAACTCAACTTTCAAAAGAAGAAACAACCTCTTCAACTCAATCCAATCAAAATTAGCGCTATTCCCTTCTCTAAGAAAAAATCTAAACGTCCTTTTAATAGATATCAAAACTTCTTCACTAAAAAACTGGAAATTCAACATTGAACTAAAATTGACCTCTTCTCCTGACTACTTGAACAACAATATCAACCATAAAGACGCCCTCATAGATTTCATAAAGAGAACAAAGAACTACCTATCCGCTTTTCAACCTGTTGAACCAACTGAAATCAAAAAGTACAACTGGAACTATATTCTAATTGACAACTCTGGTGATTCCTACTATTTTGACAAGTCACCCTCGCTATTAAACAACAATACCAACGATATCAAAAAATCAAATCACAAAAGAAGGGACACATTAACTTTAAATGACTTCCATACCTTTCTTCTTAACGACGACGATGACAATGACAATGACAATGACAATGACAATGAAGACGACACAACCGCTAATGACATCGAAAACCCTATCATTGTTATCAACAACAACACCATATTCACTAACACAGACCCTAACGACATCTCAATCGACCCAACTTATAACAAAATCTGCTCCTTTGTAACTCGCTACAAAAAGGAATACTGTGAAACTTACTTCATGAAACTAAACAATTTTTTCAAAGACTCTTCTAACAAAGACCACCACAATTTAAAACTTATGGATGAAATAAGCGAGAAATTCAAATACAAACTCATGTCAACATATCAATCATCCAACTAGTTTTATCTCACTTCATCTGTCATGTCCTTTACCATGTTTATTTTATCACCATTGTTTATGCCAATGCCTTACATTTATTTCCTGTATTTTTTATCTCCCACCATCTTCATTTCCTAGTCATTCTCTCTCTTTCTATATTATATTTCCAATCATCCTCATATATATCTAATAAACTGTTAATTAGCTCTTTCTTTCCCTCTTCATCCCCTACTCTGCTCCCAATTCCGGATATCTGTCGGCACTTCCGAGCCCTCAAAGCCTGACTGCCCCGCTGCTCCAGAACATTCTACCGCTTTCTTGCCTCGCTTCCCGACTGTGCCCCTGCACGTCCGCTACCTCTTCTGTCTCTGTCACGTTTTAGCGTCACTTCCAATTCGGCCCAGCGTGAAAATTTTTCTCGAATCTTCCACCCAAATCCTCTCTGCTCTTCAGCATTATATATCTTCCTTTGGCTTTACACTTTCTTGACCTTTCTCTGAAAATTTTTCTTCTTCACCATCTCTATTCATCTTTTCTAAGATAATTCTCTAAAGGATTTCCAGAATTTTCAGGATTTTGAAGGTTATAAAGATCTCTTGTTAATATCACTCTACCCCAGCTTTTTTTTTCCATCTCTTCACATTTGTATATATCTATCTTGTGTACTATACTCAAAACCCAGATTAACTCCAATTAATCAAATCAAATCAAATCAAATCAAAGTAATTTTTATTTCTTTTAATCTATATTTGTTAATACCTAAAAATGTTCAGACTAGCTAGACCTACTTTGAAAAAAGTCTCAACTCCAAAATTAGCTCGTTATTTACACAATGAATTGAGATTCGGTGTTGAAGCCAGAGCTTCATTGTTGAAGGGTGTTGATACTTTGGCCAATGCTGTTTCTGTCACCTTGGGTCCAAAAGGTAGAAACGTTTTAATTGAGCAATCTTTCGGCTCTCCAAAAATTACTAAAGATGGTGTAACTGTTGCAAGATCCATTCAATTACCCGATAAATTCCAAGATCTAGGTGCCAAATTATTACAAGATGTTGCCTCAAAGACCAATGAAAGTGCAGGTGATGGTACTACAACTGCCACTGTTTTAGCTCACTCTATCTTCACTGAATCAGTAAAAAACGTTGCTGCTGGTTGTAACCCAATGGACTTGAGACGTGGTTCCAAAGCTGCTGTTGACAAAATTGTTCAATTCTTGACTGAAAACAAAAGAGCCGTTACCACCTCTGAAGAAATTGCCCAAGTTGCCACTATTTCTGCCAATGGTGATGCTCATATTGGTGAACTATTAGCTTCTGCTATGGAAAAAGTCGGTAAAGAAGGTGTCATTACCGTCAGAGAAGGCAAAACTATGGAAGACGAATTAGAAGTCACTGAAGGTATGAGATTCGACAGAGGTTATATCTCTCCTTACTTTATGACAAACGTCAAAAGCGCCAAAACTGAATTTGAAAACCCTTTGATTTTATTGTCTGAAAAGAAAATCTCAAGCATGCAAGATTTATTACCTGCCTTAGAAATTTCTGTTCAACAAAGAAAACCTTTATTAGTCATTGCTGAAGATGTTGATGGTGAAGCCTTGGGTGGTTCTGTTATCAACGTCTTGAAGGGTTCCATTAAATTCTGCGCCGTTAAAGCCCCAGGTTTCGGTGACAACAGAAAAAACACTTTGGGTGATATTGCCATCTTAACTGGTGGTACTGTTTTCACTGAAGAATTAGATCTTAAATTATCTGACTGTAGTCTTGATTTGTTAGGTAAAGCTGGATCTGTTACCGTTGGAAAAGAAGATACTGTCATCTTAAATGGTGAAGGTACCAAAGACTCTGTTCAACAAAGATGTGAACAAATCAGAGGTGTCATGGAGCAATCAGGTACCTCTGAATACGAAAAGGAAAAATTACAAGAAAGATTGGCCAAATTAACTGGTGGTGTTGCTGTTATTAAAGTTGGTGGTACTTCTGAAGTCGAAGTCAGCGAAAAGAAAGATCGTTACGACGATGCCCTTAATGCCACTAGAGCTGCTGTTCAAGAAGGTATCTTGCCAGGTGGAGGTACTGCTTTATTAAAGGCTTCCTCTGTTCTTGATGACTTTAAAGTTGAAAACTTTGATCAACATTTAGGTGTTCAAATTATTAAAAACGCCATCAAGAAACCAGCCAAAAGAATCTTGGAGAATGCTGGCGAAGAAGGATCTGTCATCATTGGTAAATTGTTAGATGAACACTCTTCAAGCTTCAACACTGGTTACGACTCTGCTAAGGGTGGCTACGTTGACATGTTACAAGCCGGTATCATTGATCCATTAAGAGTCGTGAGAAATGGTTTGGTTGATGCCAGTGGTGTCGCTTCCTTATTAGCTACAACTGAATGTGTTGTCACCAGAGTGGATGATCCAAAACCAGCTGGAGGTGCCCCAGGAATGGGAGGCATGGGCGGCATGGGAGGTATGCCAGGTATGATGTGAAATGACTAAATTAAAAACCCAAAAAAAGCAAGCAAACAAACTAGATTTATAATAAATAATGTGCTTTCTTGTATATAGAAAAGTAATGATATAATGAACGTTATATATTCTGGATCAATTTTGCTCCAAAACTAGGCAGTGTAGAACCATTTACAGCAGCTATTTGCTTTGCTTCTTATGCCATAGAGTGTATCTGTATCTGAACCCATTTTCTTCTATATCCTCTGCTGCAACATCGACGTTTTCTCCAACAAAGTCTCTCAACTCTTGAGTGCTCTTCTTCTCCCATTTCTTCTGCTCCTCAGCTCCAAAATCCAAAAAAGTGTCCATTTTATGATCTAAACCGCCAATTGAGTTGATCTCAGTCAACAACACTCTGTTGACCTTTTCATTCTTCAAAGCCAGGTTATACACTTCAGCACCCCCAATTATGAATATCCTGTTGATGCTCTCGAGCTGTTGGAGCCTCTCAATGGCGTTGTCCAACCCATTGGAGTAGACAATGTTCTCGTTCTCGCTGTTCAACAGAAAATCGTCAAACAGTCTCGACAACACGACGTTGAGTCTGTTCTTCAATGGACGAAACCTCAGAGGGATGCTCTCCCAGGTTCTCCTCCCCATTATCACAGCATTTCTACTCCCCAAAGCTAGTGCTGAGGTGTTTCTGCTGCCTGTGGTAACATCGACGAAGTACTTCATTTCCCTTCGCAACCTCCAGGGCAATCGCCCCTGATAGCCAATTCCAAGTTCAGGAAGCAAGGCAGCAACCACCACAACCACATCATGAGATAGTCTCTGTTCCAATCCTCTGCTAGCTGCTGGACTCATGTTGGCACTGTTGGAGATAAAGAAGCAAATTAGTTCTTTCCTCTTCCGCCCAAACATAAACAAAACAAAAGAGCTGCAAAACAATATCTTTCTTTTTATCACTCAAACATTTCTGTTTTACTTCTCTACTGTTCTACTTTACTACCATATTGTCTCCTACACTGCGAAATTGTCTCAGTAATGGCTGAAAGTTTTTCGAAGACTTACTCAGAGGAACTAGCTGCTCCCTTTTCTGATCCCATCCACATTTGCTTGACCATTCCTTCCAAAAGACCTACTCTATCTGAAAAGAATAAGATTCCTATCATTGTCTTTCTCAGTAAAACTGGTGGAAACTCTGACTTTGGCTGCTACATTTATTCAATTCCCAATTTTCTTTTAAATAGGTCAAATGATAAACAAAATGAAATTGTATCCACAATATTAAACGATTCAGAAGAAAATCTCTTGGATATAACTAAAAGATTGTCTCAACTAATCTCAAAAAAATTCAACTGTCCAAGCTATGTTAATGTCAGTGGTAATATTGATATAATGGAAAGTTTAGGCTACATCAAAACTACAATTGATTTCATAGATAAAAAGTTTGATGAAACTGAAAAGTCAAACTCAGAAAAATAGATATATTTCAATAATTTTTTTATATGTATATTATGAATACCAATTGCTTTTATTAATCATTATTTTTGAGAAATCAAAATTATGCAGAACTAAAATCACAACGATTATATAATAACAATAAAAATGAATAATGAATGAATGTTAATGAAAAAAATGTATAAAATAAATTAAAAAAAGTAATAAATTAAAAAAGTAATAAATCAAATAAATAATATGAAAACAAATGAATAACACAATTAACATGAAAAAACAAAAGTAAAAACATTAAACAAAACATCAAATAAAATAAGTAATTAATAAAAATTCAGTTAAAATAAAATCAACGAAATTCATTCAAACGACTGGCTAATTTATAACAATATAAAACAAAAAAAAAAAAAAAAAACCCCCCCACAGTTTCCTAATTTTTAATGTAATGAGAGTTCAATATATCGATTTCTTGACATAAAATATGCCAGTCAACTTCCCTTAATGGCTTTTTCTTTCTCAAAGCTATCTCCTTTTCTATTTCCCCTTCCTTTTGTTTCTCTCTCTTTTTAAGTAACTTTCTATTATGGTTTACTATTCTTAAATTCTCTTTGTAATTTGTAAACTCCTCAAATTTAAATAAGTTATAGAATATTTTCAAATTTGGCTGAATAATCAAATTTAATCTTCTAACACGAACATATAAATAGGCTCTGGATAATGAAATTTTTAGATAATTCATCACTTCGGCTATACATAATGAAGCTGACCTTGAAACTCCAACTTTGCAATTGATTAAAACTTTAGAACTATTATTTTCTTGTTTACTTCTATTTCTAAATATCTCTAATAACTTTAATAAATAAAGAAAATATGGATTAAATGAATCAACCCCATTATCTTGAAGATCTGGTAAATATATTATTTTCTTCACATAAGGAAGTGGATTCTTAATCTCAATGATATCGTCATCTGTTAAATTTTTGATTTCTGATATCAACCCAAATGACGAAAGACATGAATAATAGTTTGATGATGCTAACGATTTTATCAATTTCTCAGGTTTAAAATCATTTTTATATGGCTGGTATAAATCTAACCAATCAGGCTGCTCACCAATCGTAATTATGTATTTGATATTCAACAATCTTAAAATTGATTTAGAATTGACATGATTAAGATTTCCAAGATACAAATAAGGCAATATTTTGGAAGGTAAATTATTATCATTCTGTACTTTGAACCAATCAACATCAAGAGTTGGATTGGTCTTGACCAACTCTTTAAATTCTCTAAACTTGGGTTTTTCTTTATCTAGAATATATTCAATTTCCCTCACAATTGGCTCTTTATTATAATTATGTATTGTCATAAAAGTGTACAGATCAACATAATGTCGTTGAAGATAAATGTTCAGATACCAATTTTGGATATCAACAAGCTCCATTTCTTTTATAATTTGATCGTCAAATAAAAGCCTATGAGGATTCATATTAGAATAAATCCAATGCCATGAATAATACAATAATATTTTCTCAACAAATGTCAATATCTCATAATCACAAGGGAAAAAATAAAGAACTTTTTCATAAATTAATTGATACTTCAAGATTGAATTATTCAATGTGTTGAAGTTTTTAAATATTTCCAAAAACAAACTTAATAATGATAAATGTGTAAATCCATCATAACAATAAATCAAAATCTTATAGTCTCTTTTAATTGACAAAACATTCAACAATTTCAAAAAGTTCATAATAGAAGTAAGATCATTTGTAGTCATTAGACTTAAGTTATATGATCCAGATGCAGGAAACTCTAGCTCAAGTATTTCTTCCTCTTCTTCTTCGGAAGTATCATCGTCATCATCATCTTCATCGTCGTCATCAATCATAAATCGACTAGGAGACTTCAACTCATCACTTGAATATTTAGTTAACAACTTTTGAATGAATGAAGAGCTTGGAAAGCGTGCTCCTTCTTTACAGTTAACCAAGACCTTATAATTTTTCTCGTCACACGTTTCTAGTTTATGATTAAGAATATCGAGTTTTTCTCTAGCAGCTTTAATTTGAGACTTAACTTTTTTAAGCTGCTCAACACTTTGATTGGTAATAATGGTGCCCTTTTTCAATTTTGCTCTCAACAACCTCTTTTCAAATCTTAAATTGTTTAAATAGTTGACATACGTATTTCTTTTTGATTTAAGCTTAAAATTGAATATCACATTATTGTAATCAATGATGTTTCCAATATAGATATTTCTATAAACTTCTATGGAAGATGTAATCAACCAGTTTTCAAATTTTTCATGCAATAAATAATTCTTATTCCAATTGTTGAGATCTTTCTGCAAAATAGATGATGAGTATGGAGCTAAAAATGGATTGACATTCAAAACGTTAACCATTTGCTTTTGATTCTCAATATTAAATTGATATTTAGGAACACAATCTGGAACCACACTCTCTATAACCAGTGCAGGAAACTTGAAATGACTTCTAGGAATAATGTAATCATCAATTCTCTTTTGTTCATTAACTTCATAGTCGTTAATATTGAAATCGTACAAAGCTTGGGGTTTATAATCTAAAATAAAACAATTAGATTCTTCAAACTTGAATTCCAATTTTGTTTCTTTATTCTTCCCTATTAATTTCATAAACTTTTCTAATTCCTCAAAATATATTTTTTTCTGCAATAATCCAAAAATCTTTGCAAACTTTTTGCACTCTTCCTGATTATTATCATTATTGTAAAGAATAATATTTGAAAATCGAAAAAGTAATAAATTTTGATAATTAAAGTTTCTCAAATTAATCTCAAAGGCACTAGAACTGAAACTCAATACATTATCGTCATCTGAAGAGACAAAAGAAACAAGTGATTTCATGTTTCCTGTATACTTTTTATTGTTGATTGATAAATCACTTGGCTCTAAATCAATTAAATCAAATGAATCTGGGGAAAAATTAGAAGAATTAGAGTCAATTGAACTCTTTTTGCCCGAATCAAAATTTTCAAAGCCTGGAGGTTGAATTAAAGGTTCTATTTGCTCTTGTTTATCCTCAATTGTGTTTGAACTGTTACTGTTAAATAAAAAAGACATTATTCTTTGTTTTGAGCCTTCAGATTGAGATCTTTTGGATTCAGACTTTATTTTGTTTCCTGTTGGGTTTATAAGAGAAGAGTTTCTTTCAGCTTTCTTATATTTATTTGAAATGTCAAACTTGACTTTATTCTTTTTAGGGCTATTAGCTTTCTCGCCTTTATTGTTCTTTTTATCATTTTGATTGAAACTGTTCTCAGTATTTTGTAATATGTCCCATGGATAAATACTGCCCTTAATGTAGAAATGCTTTTTTATAAAATTCGATAGATATGCTTCGTCTATAATTTTGGATGTTTCAACTTCTTCTTCATTATTTATGTGCTTTTTAGACGGATTCATATATTTATCTAACTTTTTATCAATATCATTCTTGTTGTTAGGAGAACTAGCTTTATCTTTAGGCTCCTTAATATTATCATATTCATAAAAGTCATTAGTGTTGATTATTAGTAAATATTTGTCAACGCTGGATGTCAAAACAATGTTTGATTTCGAATCGTTGATGAGTTTTGTTTTAATAACATTTACAGAAGCACTGGAAGAGTTTCTTCTTAGTACAGGACTAGACTCATCGTTATTAAGGTTGTTTGTTTTCAAGTCATTCTTGTGCATATGGTTTTCTTCTAAGGAGACATCATGATGAGGATCGATTTCTTCCAACAAATCGCCATAAAAGGTTTTCTTAAAGTAGTTAAACTGGTAGGCATTATAATATAGATTATGCAAATAGGGGAATAAGCCAACATTGAAATCCGATAGATTTGAGTTTTTATCCTTCTTTAGTTGATGTAATATTTGCAGGTTAGAAAAAGATTCAGGTAAAACGTAATCATAGTCCCAGAATTTAATGATTTTTATGAAATTATCCATTGATAGTTTGTAGATATTTTTTGTAAATTTGTTGTTTCTTTTTGGTTTTGATATAGATATTTGGTCTAGTCTTTGGAAATTTTTGTCGGTATCAGGTTCACTTATGTTATCTTTTATAATAACATCATTATTTTGGTCAATATTAATGTGGGTGATGGCACTAACAGGTTTTGATTTTAGAGATTTTAATTTTAAAGTGGAGTTTAGTTTTGATTGTTTTTTAAAGTTTTTCAAATCTTTGGGAGAATTTGTGATAAAGTCGTCATTGAACTTTTGAATTTTATTGTGGTATACATAGGAGTTCTCTGAGGTATATGAGGAATCCATACAATCACCACAAGCATTTAGGATTTTGTTGAAATTCTTGTTATAAGTAAATTCAGTGCTATTCATGTCATCACTTGAGTCAGAAATAAGAGATAGGTCAGGTTTCTTTGAGTTTTCTGAGATGATTATATCTTCATTAATAATTTTAGCAGAAGCTGGGGAAGCTGGGGAATCTGGATCAAGGGTTTTAAAGTTTTTCTTGTTTCTTTTTTTAATGAGTAAGGAATTTTGAATTTTATTAGATGAGTAGTGGATTGAATTTGCATCTGTTGATTTGAGGACATCAAAGGAAAAGAAGATATTACAATTTGGTAGGATATTTCTATTTATAAAATTTTGAAAGCTTGAGTTTCTATTTGAGGATTGGTTAGGAGACATTTTCAGAGGGTTGTTTTTATTGTTGGAGTGATTTTCCAAGGTAGGACTAGATATGTTTCTTTTTGTGTAGTTGGGGGTTATATCATTATAGCTTTTGATTATGTTGTTATTGATGGTGGTGGTGGTGTTATTATTATTTCGAGTTGAAGGTGAGGGTTGTTTGTTAAGGGTATTGTTATTCGTGTTGTTGTTATTGTTGTTGATATTTAGGTTTTGCTTTGAGAATGAAAGGGTTGAGATGGAGTCATTTTTGGAGACGATGGTATTTTGATCGAAGGTGTTGTTTGGAGATTCGATGTCGTTTTCAAGGTCGGTTGAGTCAATATTTTTCAAATTGTTCAAGCAAGTTGAGATTATTGAATTGTTGTCTATTGTGTTTTTATGGGAGTAATGGTTTGTTGTGTTGGCAGTGATTAGGGATTGATCTGTTGAGTCTTGGGAGATGGTTGGATTGTGGTTAGAGTTGGAGTGGTATCGAAGGCTATTTCTTTTGATGATATTTGAAGGAGAAGGAATCTTTTTTATGTAAAAATTACCATTTTTGGAGGAGATATTGTTGTTGGTGTTGGTGTTGGATACACTAATATTTTCGGAGGATTGGGGAGTTAGATCTATGTTTTCGTCCATTTCAGAGTTTGCAGTATAAAAGACCGAATCGTCGTCTTCGTAGTCGTCATTATCGTTATCGTTATCGTTATCGTTATCATTATCATTATCAGAATCAAGGTCTGAGTCCAAGTTGATATTAGTGTGGATATCATTAGTATTTTGATTATTTTGACTATTTTGATTATTTTGATTGATTATATCGTTTTGAAGACCAATTAAATTGGCAGAACTTGGGATCGGAGTTTGATTATATTTAGGTAAATGAAAGGAGGAAGTTGAAGAAGAGTTTTTATTTGAGATTGAGTTTTGATTTTGGCTTTGGTTTTGGATTTGAATTGAGTGTTGATTTGGATTGTACAAGTCATCAGAGTATAGTTTATTCATATTGATTTGTTTATAAGTTATTGTATCATTAGTGTTGGCGGTGTTGCTTTTAGTAGTGTTGTTGATGTTGCTTTTAGTAGTGTTGTTGATGTTGCTTTTATTGGAATCTAGTTTGACGTAATTGGTTGAGTTATCGTACAAGTAGTTGTTATATTTGAAGGACAAAGAGTTGTTGAGACTTGAGTTTGAGTTTGAGTTTGAGTTTGAGTTTGAAATTGAGTTTTTATTTGATTGAAGAGCTGGATCCAGGTAGGTTTCATTAGTGGTGTCCAACGAGTGAGAATGTGAGTTGGAATTAGCGATGTCATCGGTGCTGTTGTTGGTGCTGTTGTTGGTGTTTGAATTTGTGTCGTAAGACTGCAAGATATTGTTGAAGTTCTTTAGTTTTGAAGTTAGGTAGCTGAAATACTGGTTTTTTAAGGTTGCAGGAGCTGGATCAGTGGGCTCGTTATTCGTGGAGCTGGTGGTGCTGGTGGGAATATTGCTAGCATTGTCGTGAGCAGGAGTAGAGCCTGGAGGAGAGGTGTTGGAAAGAGAGAGATCGATCAAGGCAGATTTGTGATTAGCACCGATAGCAGAATGGGAATTGGCATCCATGATAACGAGGACCAGGGACTGTAGGGGACGAAGAAAAAACAGACAGGAGTGGAAGAAGAGGAAGAGCTATAGCCAACAGGAGCACATTGCTGGAAAGCAGAGAAAGAGCACTGAGATTCTGGAAATTGCACGAAAGCAAAAAGGGAATTTCAGCCCAGGCGAGTGTTGGACATAAACTTTGTTGGAGAGATAGCAACTGGGCGTCGCGCACGGAGAATGGACGCTCGAGACGCACGCGAACAATACGCGGTGGGTACTATTCAAATGACAGCCTTAACTTGCGCCCGCTATCCTGCGCGGGGCAGCTCTCCCCCGCCGGCCCGTCGGGCGCACATCCGAGGGCGCACACGCAGTGCACGGAGCAGAAGCCGCGTGCGCACAAGACGTGCGTCTGCGTGAGTCTGCGTTTCTGCGTTGCCGGTGTCGGTGGAAACCGATGTATCGGATTCTGGGGAAAGATTTTCACGAGTCTCAAGGTCGAGACGTATTTGTTGACACTTTGACACTTTTTGGAGTGTTCAGCATCAAGATTACACTGCTGCTTTGGATAATGGAGTCTGCTCTTCCCAGTTCTGCTCCCACCATTGGTGTCGAGGAGCCCCACGACACAATCGAAATCACTGTCACCTCTTCGCAGTATGATGCTATCACTGCCACTTATGAGCCCGACGAGCTACTTATCATCAAAGCTGGTCCTGGCTCAGGCAAAACACGAACTATTATCAACAGAGCCTCCTACTTGTCGCTAAACAAGGGCATCAAGCCCACTGAAATCTTGATCCTATCAATGACAAACCGAACTGTTTACGATATCAGAAACAAATTAAAACAATCCACTCACCTAGATTTCGACAAGCTAGACATCCAAACCTTTCACAGTTTTTGCACCTCAGTCTTGCAACGATCCCAGACTCATTTCCAAATAATCGAGGAATCAGGTCGAAGACTTTTGGACAAAATCATCAACCCAAACGATATATCCATTTTATCACCAAAGGAAATCGAATGGCTAATCTCTGACATCCAATCAAATATCCCATTCAACAGTCTCTTGTCAAAATACCATCAACTAAACACCCTCACTCTCAGATCCGTTATCTCTGCTCTCCACAATATCAAATCCTTATCATACGATCAAATCATCAACAAAACTAAATCACTACTAAAATCACAACCTGCACTCGTCAACCATTACAAAATCATCATCGTTGATGAATTTCAGGATATCAATTCGGATTTGCTAGACCTAATTCAAATAATATCAAAGGACAAACATCTAACTATTAGTGGAGACTTGAACCAGTCGATTTACCAGTTCATGGGCTGCGACATTCAAAAGATTAACAACTTTTTATCGTCTTCTAAACAAAAAATATCAACTATACATCTAAACCACAACTTTAGATCCTCTATTGAAACTATAAATGCTTCAAACTACATACTAGACTTGATCAACAAACACAATATCGAAAACAATATTCAAGACAATATCCAACGCGATATCCACGACAATATTCAAAATATCACCAACAACAATATTCACAATACCAACTCCCTCATCAATCACCCTCAAAATCAATTATCAAACTTCAAACCTACATTAAAACTATTCGACTCTTCATTAGACGAACTTCATTTTGTTTGCAAAGAAATCCTACGTCTAATCCACCATTCCAATGGCCTAATAAAACCTTCTGACATTGCTGTTCTAGCTCTAACAAACAGTACCTTGACTTTCTTTGAACAGTTTTCCTCCTACTTTTACAACATCAACTCAACTAAACTAACTCCAGGTCCTCGTTGGCTTTCTTCCGAAATTAAGGTCCTACTAGATTATATAAAAATCTTAGATGACCCAATCCAAAATCAATTCTCCCTATTATGCTGTCTTTCAATGATTCCCTCAATTAACATCAATTCAATCCTCAACCTCATTAACAATGCAAAGTTGCAAGAAATATCAGTCTGGGAACTACTACAAAACTTTAATACCCATAATATTAATACTAATACTAATACTAATACTAATACTAATACAAATACAAACATAAATATTAATATTGATAACGATAACAAAAAAATCTTAATGCAATTCTTCAACGATATCAACAACTACATCAATCTTAGAAAAATGAACTCGACATACTCATACGACCCAATCCAAATCTTCAAAATTCTACTCGATCTTGGAAACAAGTATGGCCTATCTCAACTCCAAACTGAAAAGTACTCTGACACCTTCAAATACTCAAAATATGGCATCAAAGAAGAACTACTAAGTCTCTATAAATCTCTCGTCTCATTCTCATTCTCAAACGACAAATCTAAAAAAATTGATCTCATCCACTACTTTGCCAACGAACTCAGCTTCAAAGGCTGCTTCAAATCCAAAACAAGCGAAAACAATGTCAACTATTCAACAATCCATTCAGCAAAGGGTTTGGAATTTCCTTTTGTCTTTGTTTTGGGCTTCAGCGTCGACTCCTGGGCAAGATTATTAGCTGGAAACCCTCCCAAAAACAAAAGATATCTATCCAAATCCTCAGAAATAAAACGAGTCCTCTATGTGGGCCTCACAAGAGCCAGGTTCTTCTCCTACTTGACTCTCAAGGCAAAATACTTTGAAAATCTTCCTGACGATTCTGATCTCCATAAACACTTTTCCTTTGAGACTCCAGAAATAGCAGACGACCAAGTCTTGCAAACACTATCCAAAAGATTAGACAGAAACTACACAAAGGAAAACGATCACCTCTTTTGCAAATTGAAATACGAATCTCTCTTGAATCAAATTGAAACCCAACACAACAATTCATTTCGAAACTTCACCACTGCCTTCAAAAGACGATACCACCATTCAGCATCAGCCTTCAGATGGCACTCTTCTTCCTCTTTAACTTCTTTGAAACTCCTAAACTCATCGATCAGAAGAATCTACCACTGATTTTGTATATACTCCTTCTTTTTTTCTTCTTTTTTTCTTCTTTTTTTCTTCTTTTGTTCTCCATTTTCATGGCCACTTTTGTAGCTGTTTTTATTGTTTTTATTGTTTTTTTGTTTTTGTGTACAAACTCCCTCCAATAAACGTCCTTTATAAAATGCCTCCATCTTTTGCTTCTTCCCAGAGCATATAAACAATTCATAACTTCATTTTCATTCTCTATATCAAATAGGCACTTATTCTTTTTTTACTTGGGTAATTACTAACTCAAACACAATGTCTTCTTTAAACGTTGATCTCAAACCACATACTAATACTCTTCAACCATCTTCCTTCAATTCTTTGGTCGTCTTCTTCCAGCTCTTGTTATTCAATTTCTACCAAAATATAGACATCTTTCTTATATTCTTTCTAGCTATTCTTCTACTACCCATCAGAGTACTTGTGGCTGTTTATTGTCGCTCTGCTTGTAAGCTAATCAGAATTATTTATTAAGCGCTAAACCTATCAACAACCTTCTAAAAGAGTTGAAAATCAGTCAAAAAAATAACAACCAAAAATCAAATTAAAATCAAAAAATCAAATTAAAATACAAATTAAAATACGAATTAAAATCAAAATTAAAAATTATTATCAAAATAACTATAAACAAAATAACACACACCCCAATTTCTTTATTTAAAATGGTTAAGTCAAGTTCATTATCCTCAATGATTTCAACACCATACAACTCTTCTACTGAAGAAATCTACATTCCTCGCTCAATATCTGCTGGTAATTACAACTTTCTAAGCAACCAAAACAAAATCTTTACTGCTAACAATCAAAGTGGCAAAAACAGTAAATTTGAAATCTCTCTTCCTTTATCTAAAGACTCTTCAATAAGTTGCGATCAAAATGTTAGCTTCGATCCTTTCGATGGATACATCAGACCCAGAACTGCCTCAAGTTATATCAGACCTTCGTCATTTGGCAAAACCTCTTCAACAAAAAGTGTTCGCTTCTCAAGTCCTATTTCAGATGATAAAATCAAATCAAACAAATCTAAACTTAAACTCGAAGTTTCAAGCATTTTAAAAAAATACCCAAAGGATTTAACCCAAACCGAAAACTCTAAACATAATTCTCCACAATGCATTAACAACACTGCTATAAACAATGCAAGTCCAAATCAAGAAACTCAATTAAACCAAAATGATAATGATCAAAATAATGATCAAAATGATAATGATAATGATCAAAATAATGATCAAAATGATAATGATAATGATAATGAAAACAATAATAATGACGCCAAAATCAATCTATCAGAAGTGCCAATCGCTTCCAGTGATTACAGTGGAAATGCAGATATCTCTGCTTTGTCTTCTAATCCTCCCGAAGAAACTCATATGAATGGTTTAACAGAAACACAAATTGCTTACTCATTAATAACACCTTCTCCATATAAGGACAAGTCCTCAAACGATAAAAATAAAAAACATTATACTTCTATCAAAAATTCATCTCCATCTCCATCAATTTCTAAATTTCATCCAATTTTAAATCTAGATTTACAAAATAATCATGAAAAAAATCACGAAAAAAATCTCAATTCAAAAAAAAATTTAAAAGGTAATTCCTTTTCAAACTTCAATTCTGATTCCACTTGTAATTCCAATTTTTCAATTAGAAAATCAAATTTAAAAATTTTTGAATCAAAAAATACTTCTTTGAGAACAAAATCAAATTCTGAATTAAATTCGGGAATTTCAAAGAAAAAAAATAAAAATAAAAATAACAATAAAAATAAAAATAAAATTTTAATTGGGCATTCTCCAAAAATAATACCTGATTTCCACAATCAAGAAGAAATTCATTCTGCCAATACTCTTCCCATAATGTGTTTAGATGATTTAATATCTCCTCCTGGGTTTGATGAAGTGAAAGAAAACGATTCTCTTTCTACAAAATCAGATCATCGGATCAACTCTGCAAACAAAAATATAAACGATATGCTATCAAAACCCTCATCAACTGATTCAAATACTTTGGTTTCTCCCAATATCAAATCACCACCACAGTCAGGAATATCGACGAGTAGTGTGGTAAATATCTTTGAAAATGTCATGGAAATTTTATCAAGAGTTACTTCAATTGATGCTGTCTTTGACAAGAATGAAACTGTGGCTCAGGCCATGGTTATGATTGAACATTTATCAAAAAAAGCAGAAGAAAAACTAAACTCTCTTGAAAAACAAGAAAAAGAAAATCAAAATCAAATCGAATGCTACGAAAATTCAAATAGAATAATTAAAAAACAAAATCAAGAAATAGAAAAGGAAATTAGCAATATGAAAATTGAACATCAAAAGTTAAATAATGAAATATCAAGAAATGAAGCAAGACTAAAATTTGAATTGAATTCATTAGATTATGAAAAACAAGTTTGTGGACCTTTATTATTTTTTAAATGTCTTTTTTTTATTTGCTTATTTAATGAAGTATTTTTCTATTTTTGATTATTTTTTTAAAAAATACTAACAAACTACTGCTAATCTAGGATAATATTAAACTAAGAGAAAGATTAATTGAGATTGATGACGAGATATCAGATCTCCAAATAAAATTGGATGAAAAAGAGATGATAATTAAAGGATGTTTTGATATTATTTCTTCAAATTTTGGAAGTGATGAGAATTATATAACAAGTGAAAATTATTTAAGATTTCTTAAAGATTTATCAATGGATTACAAACAGGTGGAAAAAAAAAATAAAAACTATGAAGAGACGGAGAAAACTTTGAAGAACAAAATTGAAGAACTAAATTTAAACCATAAAAACTATCAGAATGGGATTAATGAGCTAAAAATAGAACTCGATAATCAAAAGAAAATTACTGAAAAATATTCTCAAAATGGTGAAAAATTGGATAAAAAATTGAAAACAATTACAGGTGAATTAGAGCAAAAGGAAAAAGAAGTTGAATTATTAAATGATAAAATTAACAAATTAATCATAGAAAAAGATTTACGTTTAAAGGAAAAGGAAAAAGAAATTGATTTGCTAAATGATAAAATTAATAATTTAATGATTGAGAAGGATTTAAGCGTAGATCAAAATAAAAAAGAAACTAAATTATTAAATGATAAAATCAACAATTTAATGATTGAAAAGGATTTGAGTTTAAAAAAAAATAATAATTTAAACAGTGGTAACAATAATTTGGAAACCAAAATTAGTGCTTTAGAAAACAAATTAAGGGAAATGACCAATGTCGTTGAAGCAAGTAATAAGTTGGTAATGGAAAACGAATTAGTTATATCCAAATTTGAGTCAGATAATTTGATCAAAGAGAATAGAATAAAAGATTATGCCATGCAAAACAACAAGTTGGAAGAAGAGATTGAAGCACGAGATGTAGAAATCAAAAACTTGGAGAATATTATTAAGATGGAAAAAACTAGCAAGTCGCTTGAAGAAGCAGAAAAAAATGAGTTGAAAAACATGAAAATAGTATTAAATAATGAGTATGCAAGCATGAAAGCAGTTAATGAGTCGTTACAAAAACAAATAAATTCCCTCTGTGAAGGGTTTGGTGCAGCCCACAAACAAATGCAAAATGAGTTGATTCAATTGAAAAACACTGCAACCATATCGAAAAACAGCCATAACAAGTTGGCAGAAAGCATTGTGAGCTTATTGAGCGAAGCGTTGGATGAAGAATCAATATCTGCATGCAAAACCAGTCTTGATATGTTAAAGCAGAACAAAATCTACGGAAATGAAGACATTGGAAAAATAGAAAACATCAGTGGTTATGTCCTAAAGGCCATCAAGGTGATGATCGAAGACTACTTTAACAGCAGCAAAAGAAGCCAGGTGTACGAAGAAGAGGCCATGAGAATCCAGGGCTTGTATGAGCAAAAGGTAGTGGAGTACGATATGTTGAAGAAGGACCTGGAAAACTGCCATTTAACCACAACCACCAGATTCAACAACCGCAAAAACTTGGACAAGAAGAGCAGACAGCTCGGTTACTCCAAGCCGGTGTCTGTCTACAGCTCGAGCTCAAGCCGGTCGTCGAGGGTATTGAAACCTGTGAGCGAGGCGGTAAATGGAAACAGTGCCAGAAGAAACTGCTAGGCCTGTGCTGATTCTGATTCTGATTCTGCTTCTTCTGCTTCTGCAATGGTTTTGTACTCGAATCAAATCCGCAGCTGGACGCACAATCCGCGTTTTTCCGCCATTGTTGCTTTTATCCATGAGCCGCACGGTTTTTTTTTTTTTTTCACTTAATCTGAAAAATTTTTTCTTGAGGTTTTTTATAAATACATACAACTTAGCAGTTTTCTTGATTTCTGTTGTCTTTTTTTTTATTTGCCAAAAAGAACAGCGATTTAACGCAGATAATATCAAGATAGAATTAAAAAATACAAATGTCTCAAAATTCTCACAAAGTTCTTGCTGAACTTTTCAGTAAATTATCTGTTGCTACTCCAGAAGAAAGAGATGGTGCTGCTGCCAATGTTGCATCATTTTTAAATGGTTCTATCATTGAGCACGATATTCCATATGATTTCTTTCAACAATTGAAAAAATCAATCAATGATAAAAAGAACGTCAACCTTTCTTTGAACGCTTTGGAATCTGTTGCTCACATTGCTTCAGAAACCGGCTTATCACCATCTGTTGAACCATATTTAATTGATTTGGTTCCCTCCATTTCTGCCAAAGCTGGTGATAAAAAAGCCGATGTTAGAAAAATCGCTGCTAAAGCCTTGTTAGCCGTTGCCAAATCCATAACCCCAACTGCTATCAAGTCAATTTTACCAAAATTGACTACAGCTTTAGCTACTACCAACAAATGGCAAGAAAAAATTGCAGTTTTATCCGCTATTGCTGCTTTAGTTGATGTCGCTAACCACCAGATCTCTCTTAGGATGACCGAGTTGGTTCCAGTGTTGTCTGATGCTATGTGGGATACCAAACTCGATGTCAAGAGAGCTGCCACTGCCACCATGACTAAAGCCACTGAAACTGTTCAAAACAAGGATATTGAAAAGTTCATTCCAAAATTGATTGAATGTATTGCCAAACCAACTTTGGTTCCAGAAACCGTTCACACTTTGGGTGCCACAACTTTTGTCTCTGAAGTCACCATTGCTACTTTGTCCATCATGGTCCCATTATTAACAAGAGGTTTAGCTGAACGTGATACTTCTATCAAACGTAAATCTGCCGTTATTGTTGACAACATGTGTAAATTGGTTGATGATCCACAAATCGTTGCTCCATTCATGGCCGATTTATTACCAGGCTTGAAAAAAAACTACGATGGTATTGCTGATCCGGAAGCTCGTGATGTTACCTTGAGAGGTTTGAAAACTTTGAGAAGAGTTGGTGGTATCTCCGACGATGATGTTTTGCCTGAAATTTCTCATGCTGGTGATGTTGAAGTTACCAAGAATGAATTGATTCAATTATTAAATGGTAAGAAAATTGAATCTCGTTTCAACATTGCTATTGATTACGTCTCAGCTATTGCTGGTGATTTGATTGATGAACGTGAAATCCAACCTGAAGCTTGGGTCAAAAACTTGTGTCCATTCTTGACCATCTTCTTGCATGAAATTGAATCAAAAGAAATTGTTGAAGAATGGAGAAAGGCTGCTATCGGTAACATTCCAAAACCACCATCTTTTGAAGATGAAGACGATGACGGAGAAGATTTATGTAACTGTGAGTTCTCCTTAGCTTATGGTGCTAAAATCTTATTAAACAACACTCAATTACGTCTTAAGAGAGGCAGAAGATATGGTTTATGTGGTCCAAATGGTGCCGGTAAATCTACTCTTATGAGAGCCATTGCTGAAGGAAAAGTTGACGGTTTCCCATCCCAAGATGAATTAAGAACCGTTTATGTTGAACATGACATTGATGGTACTGAAGAAGATACCTCCATTGTTGATTTTGTTCTCAGTACTGGTGGTGTTGGAACCAAAGAAGAAGTCGAACTTAAATTGAAAGAATTTGGTTTCACTGATGAACATATCCAAATGTCTATCCACTCATTATCTGGTGGTTGGAAAATGAAATTAGCTTTGGCCAGAGCTGTCTTGAGAAACGCTGATATCTTATTATTAGATGAACCAACTAACCATTTAGATACCGTTAACGTTGCTTGGTTAGTCAACTACTTGAGCACCTGTGGCATTACTTCCATCTGTGTTTCCCACGATTCAGGTTTCCTTGATAAGATCTGTCAATATATCATTCATTACGAAGGTTTCAAATTACGTAAATATAAAGGTAACTTGTCTGAATTTGTTAAAAGAGTTCCAAGCGCCAAATCATACTACGAATTGGGTGCTTCTGAATTAGAATTTACTTTCCCAGAACCAGGTTACTTGGAAGGTGTCAAAACCAAACAAAAAGCCATTGTCAAAGTCTCCAACGTCTCATTCCAATATCCAGGTACTTCCAAACCACAAATTCACGACATTTCTTTTCAAGTTTCTCTTTCCTCAAGAATTGCTGTTATTGGTCCTAATGGTGCTGGTAAATCTACTTTAGTTAACGTCTTAACCGGTGAATTATTGCCAACTACTGGTGAAGTTTACGTCCATGAAAATTGTCGTATCGCTTATATCAAACAACACGCTTTTGCTCATATTGATAACCATTTAGACAAGACTCCATCTGAATATATCCAATGGCGTTTCCAAACTGGTGAAGATAGAGAAACCATGGATCGTGCCTCAAGACAAATTAACGAAAACGATACTGAAGGTATGAAAAAAATCTTTAAAATCGATGGTACTCAACGTCGTATTAAAGAAATTTTAGCCAGAAGAAAATTCAAAAACTCTTATGAATATGAATGTTCTTTCTATTTTGGTGACAATGTTGGAACCAAGACTGAAAGATGGACCCCTATGATGTCAGTTGACAACGCATGGCTTCCAAGAGGTGAGTTGATGGAAACCCACTCCAAATTAGTCGCTGAAGTTGATATGAAAGAAGCTTTGGCTTCAGGTCAATTCCGTGCTTTAACCAGAAAGGAAATCGAAGCTCACTGCAACATGTTGGGATTGGAAGCCGAATTAGTTTCTCACTCCAGAATCAGAGGTTTATCCGGCGGTCAAAAAGTCAAATTAGTGTTGGCTGCCTGTACATGGCAAAGACCTCATATCATTGTTTTAGATGAACCAACCAACTATTTGGATCGTGATTCCTTAGGTGCTTTATCTAAAGCTTTGAAAGCCTTTGCTGGTGGTATTGTTATCATTACCCACTCTGCTGAATTCACCAAAGATTTAACCGAAGAAGTTTGGGCTGTTGTGAATGGTGTCATGACACCCTCTGGTCACAACTGGGTCCAAGGTCAAGGATCAGGACCAAGGATTGAAAAGAAAGAAGATGGTGAAGATCAAATTGACGCTATGGGAAACAAAGTCAAAGCCGCCAAAAAGAAGAAGAAATTATCCTCTTCCGAATTGAGAAAGAAGAAGAAAGACAGACTTAAGAAGAAGAAATTGTTGGGAGATGCCTACGTATCATCTGACGATGAATTCTAATAGTTTTTTTTGTTTCTTTATTGTTTGTAGTATTTAATATGTTTTTTAATATATATTGGTAAAATTAGAAGAAAACGGACGTGATGAGAAAACGGTGTTGGGAGTTGAAACGCACATGCAAAAATAGTGCGTTTACACCACACGGCTGGTTTTGGAATTTCAACACATCATCTTTTTTGCGTGGGCGGAGCGTGTGTGAAACTGCGATTCTGAGAAGGTGAAAAGAAAGCAAACGACAAGATTGCTCGACTCAGGGCCTTCATAAGGGCCTATAAATTGGCTTGTTCATGCTGCTGTTTGCCAGAGATTTGTGTTTTTTCTACAAGATATACTGGGCATAGCAATTGGTCTGAAAGATGTCGTCGTTTTTCATCAAGAAATTTATTACTAGCAAGGTACGTTTGTTTTTATCCCTTGAGGTTCTCCAGTATTACAGTACTACAGTCCACTAACAGCTATATGTAGATATTCAAGGAAACCAAGTTTAACAAGTTTGGGATAGAGGATCCCTACTATGAGACATACACCATCGAAGATCCTAAGGGAAAAAAAGCTCCTGTTGTGAAGCGCAGAAAGAGGCCAATTCCAGTCGGTATATCAGAAAAAGATGCCAAAATCCTCAAGAAGCTCAAGAGAAGAGCATATCGTTTGGACTTACTATTTAGCTGCTGTGGATTTCGAGTTGGGTGGTCTTGTATAATTGGTTTTGTTCCAATTATTGGAGATATATTTAATGTGGTTTTATCATTAATGCTTTACAGAACAGCGCTCAATTTGGAAAATGGTTTGCCCAAAAGAGTCCAAGTAAGATTTTTGCTGAACATTGTAATTGATTTTGCTATTGGTCTTGTTCCAATTGTTGGTGATTTTATCGATATTGCATTCAAAGCCAATTCTAGAAATGCATTGTTAGTTGAAAAGCATTTAGCTGAAATCGGACAAAAAAGATTAAAAGGCGAGGTTATTGAAAACACCAAGGGAAGCATTATTCAAGATGGATACCATAGACTATCAGAGGAAGCTGTGTCTATTTCGTCATTTGTGAAACAAAAGGCCTTGAATGCCAACTCACCACATTCACCAAAATCAGCACCAGCAATGGCTTGAAATCGGGATTTATATTGAGTCGAATTGAGAAGGTCACGCGACCTTTTGTTGTTCAAAGAACTTTTTTTTCCGCCCGTTTGAGAATTAAAAATTCGCGTTGAAAGAAATCTGTAGAGAGGAGAAGTTAAAATTTTTCCGCTTTTAATTCAGATTTATTTGGTTGTATTGTTTATAAATATATTATAATTCCATTTCGTTTTATTTAATTTAATTTAATTTAGTTTTAATCTAATATACCCCCTTTTTTTGAATGTTTGAATGTTGAGAAATGAAGAAACCTAATAGAGAATTATTATCTGGTGGTAAGAAATATCTTTCCAAAAAGAAAATATCTAAAAAACGGGTAGATGAAGTTGTGTTTGACAAGGAGTCCAGAATAGAATATTTAACGGGATTTCACAAGAGAAAAGTAGAAAGAAAAAAGAAAGCAGAAACATTCTTAAAAGAACAAGAGAGATTGAACAGGATCGAAGAGAGAAGATTGATAAGAGAGGAAAGACAAAAAAATCTTCAAGAGCAACTAGAAAGATATAATGCTCTGATATTAAACGAAACAAATAACGAGAGTAATGAAAATGATGATAACGATAAAAAATATGTCAGTTTGAGCAATGACAAGGAGAATATAAAGGAAGAAGAAATTGGATCAATTTCGGATACTAATCAAGACAATCAAGATAATAAAGATAATAAAGATAATAAAGATAATAAAGATAATCAAGAATATGAAAAATATGAAGAATGGAATGGATTTGGATCCAGCGATACACCGATAATAACCAAACCAATATTGAAAAAAAGGACAGTCTTACAGTTTAAATCCAACTCGAAAAGACTTGAAAACACTCCAGCCAATGGGGAAACAACAGTGACAATAGAACCATTGAATGCCAATGGACTTGATTCTGACACAGACAACTCACTATCCTTTGAAGAGATTGCCAAAGCTAATTTTGTTGATTTGACCAGATCAAATCACATATTGAAAAAGTCAGTCGATCGAGCAACAACATATGCGAAATTCATTGAGTCAGCTCAGCCAGACCAGTTTATAACGCACGAGCCCAAGAAGAAGAATAAAAAGAAGTTTCGATACTTGAGCAAATCAGAAAGAAAGGACAACAGAAGAAGAATCTCGTTGAAAAAGGCTAAGAGAAAACAATAATCTATAGACGACAATAAATATCCACCTATGTACTGAAGATAATAAAAGCATTTGATCACATTTTCACTGATTCGGACCCAAACCGGTGGGACCGAGTTAGCTGAATCGGACCGAGGGTGGCTTTTCTTTTTTTGTAATTGATAAATCTGATGGCTATCTTGCTGGTGTTGGAGAAACGCAGCAAAGCACTTGCACAGCACCATTTGTTCTTCTTCAGGCTTTATATTTGCCTTCCATTGACCTATTTCATTCAGGGGAGTTCTGCACACCAATTCGATTTTTAATTGCTAATTACTATGTCTAATAGAAAGAACAAGTACCAAAGCCCACAGGGACCCCCGCCAGGAGGACCCCCAGGAAGATCAGGAGGAAGACCACCACCAGGAAGACCAGGAGCATCAGGAAAACCACCAGGTAAACCACCAGGAAGACCTCCAGTAGGAGCACCACCGGGTTATGGGGGATATGGAAGTTATGGGCCTCCTTCTGGGCCTCCTTCTGGGCCTCCTTCTGGTCCACCTCCTTTTGGTTTCTATCTGGGTTCTCATTCAAATGCTCCTCCAGGTTCATTTAGACCACCTCAAGGTCATCCTCCTCCTAACTTACACAATGCTCGTCCACCTCCAGGATCACATTTTTCGCCAGGAAAGCCTCAACCATCAGGAAATAAGCCAATTTTCTCAAATCAACAACAAAAACCACAGAATCAACAACAAAAACCGCAAAACTCTTCAAACAAACCCTTCAAACAAAACCCATTCAAACACAAACAACTGAGACAACAAAATCCATTCAAACCCAACCCACAGAAACAACAAGCATATAGCAGACCACCAGGAATTCCTTCAAGCATATCAATTGCTCAAATTGAACAACAAGCAAACACATTTAGTATCTTTCAACAACAGGGGGTTGGATCCAACGTCAAGATTCAACCTGGACACAATATCCGAAACATTAATGAATCAAATCAATTATTTGACTCCAAGATCAAGAATTATGATTATAAATATTCAAATTGTCAAGGGAAACGAAAGGCATTGTTGATTGGAATAAACTACATTGGAACCAAAAATAAATTGAATGGGTGTATTAATGATGTTAAAAACGTGGAGCAATTTTTAATTGAAAATGGATATCAAGAAGATGATATTGTCAAGTTGGTTGATACAGCCAATTTCGAAAGGGCTATTCCAACCAGAACCAATATAATTGATGCAATGGAATGGTTGGTTAAAGACGCGAAGGAAAATGATTCGCTTTTTTTCCATTTTTCAGGACATGGAGGATTAACAGAAGATAAAAATAACATTGAATATGATGGATTTGCCCAAGTGATTTATCCATTGGATTTTGAGACAAATGGGTCTATTATTGATTACGATCTCCATACGTTGTTGGTTAAGCCATTGCCAAAGGGATGTAGATTGACAACGATATTTGATTGTTGTCATTCAGGATCAATTTTGAATTTGCCCTACATGTATTCAACAAAGGGAGTGATTAAACAGCCCAATATTCTTGCAGAGGTTCAGGATGGATTGATTGATACGGTTACAAGTTCACTTTTGTCAGGCACTTTTCAAGCAACCAAGTTGCTTACGTTGGTTGGAACAGCAGCCTTTAAGAAGTTCAATAACGACAAGATCTTCGAGCAGCAGAAGAAAACCAACACATCACCAGCAGACGTTATCTCGCTCAGTGGATGCAAAGATAACCAAACCAGTGCTGATTCGAAGATTGGTGGAATGGCCACTGGTGCTATGTCGTACGCCTTTATGAAAGTGATGAACAGTGGGCAAGCCCAGTCCTATATCTCGTTGCTCAACAACATCAGAGAGATCTTGGATGGTCAGTACAGCCAAAAGCCCCAGCTCAGCGCTAGCCATCCCATTGATGTCAATATTAAATTTATCTTTTAGACCGATGCAGATATAGCCCATCTACGTAATTTGTGATGCACTGATTGATCCTGCTTCTGATCGACCGATAAGCCTTCCAGAAAGAAGAATGCGAGAAAAAAGGGTTTTGTCACGTGAATAAAGATAAGTTTGAAGACGATAGAAACAAGGGTTGCCTTTCTGAAGGGAAAGCGGTTTTCTGTCTTCAGCCCCTCTCTAAACAAAAACAAGAAGAGAAGCAAAAAAGCTCGCACTCAGGTTCGAACTAAGGACCAACAGATTTGCAATCTGCTGCGCTACCACTGCGCCACACGAGCATTCTAGAACAGTTAAACCTTAAGTGTACAATAGATACTCAAAAGATAAGGATAATTCATGACATATAAATGGTTGTTTAGAGTGTATTTTATCGACGATTGCTTATGTATCGGGTGAATAGAAAGAAGAGAAGGGAGATAATATTATATTTTGAAAAACTAAAATAAAGAGAAGGAGTGGTGAAAGAAAATGCAGTTCAGAAGTAAATGCCGAATTTTATATAAAAGGATAAACAGGGATATAATATGAGGTAGAAAAACAGTTAAAAAAAGCATAATCATAAATATTTTAAAATCGTAATCATAAACCGTACTGAAAAAAAGATTGGTATCAATAATAGAAAATCATTATTTTGTTGATATTTCAAGGAAAAAAGCTTTGAAATTGAAGCAATGAGCCGACAAAGTAATCAAAGTCAACAAACAATTTAACAATTAAATATACTTTGTTATTTGGTTAATTTAATGTTAAAGATTGAATTAACCAACTATAAGTAGCAGCGGTGACAATTTTGGCAAACATTTATTCCTTCCATGTTCCAGTAGTCGCAAAAGGGACAATAGGTAAATCTGACAGTTTCAACAGGTTCTTCCATTAAAAGTGATGAAATTTAGATATTTGAATTGTATGAGGTTGAAGATTTTCAGAATTTAATCTAAATTCAAGGATTGTGGAATATATATTATTTCTGAGTAAATTGAAATCAAGGAATCAAGAAATCAAGAGAGAATTGATTATATTTAAACCAATTTAAACAAACAACCCAAAAGAAATTATTTCCGGAAGTGTTTGAATGATGAATGATGTAATGTATTTAAGGTATGTTTTATAAATAATTTGTAAATAAATTTATAAAACAACGGTATAAAATATAATTTAAAGCTTGAATGAAAAGAAAGAAAGACAAGAGATGGGAAAAAAAATCTTGGGGATCCTTAATATTTATAAGTTTTGGAAATTGGTGATAAAAGTAAAACAGAACCATTTTTACATTACATTATTTTTGTTTTTGGTTTTATTTTTGTTTTTAATTTTATCTTTTTATCTTTTTATTTTTTTATTTTTTTATTTTTTTATTTTCTCTTACGAATGGTATATTCAACATGTGGGAAACCTGGAAAAAACAAAGTAATAAATTGCGAAGTTTTGTAATGGCTTTTAATAGCTGAATAACATTATCAAAACTCAGATAATCTAAAATCAAAAAAACATAGTTCCAGAAAATTAGAGTATCAAACAAGAGTTTTTCACTAATTTAGATTCCACCTAAAAGAAGTTCTTCAAGCGTCTTCCAGAGGATATGCAGAGAATTGGCTAGAAACCTCCAACCAAAGTCGATCAAAAACTAGCAAATCTAGCCAATTGCACTAAAACATACGAAAGCACACTAGATTCTGTTAAAAGGTGTTTGAATCAGCAAGAAAGTAGTATAATGCTCAGACTCTCCTAGCCTTTCTCTCTGAAAAGCAGCAAATAGGCTGAGATCGACCAATTTGGAAAGCTCACATCAAAACGTGTAAGACAAGTTCAGACACTCTCCTTCTCCTGGAAATTCTGCACGGAGCTCGGCCGTTGCTCACGCTCGGCTCACGCTCGCCGCACGCGCTGCCATTGGCCCTCTGCGCCCACGCGTGTGGTACTCACCCCGATCGGGCGACACGCATTGTGTCCGCACAAATGGCTCTCCCCCACAGCATTGGCTCTCTGACCCTCTGACTCTCTGGCTGTTTGTGGTTGGCATCAGAGGCACCAAAAACAGCAGAGGCAGCAGAGGCAGCAGAAACAGCAGAGCCTGCAAAGCTGTTTCTTGAAGAAGCTGCTCTCCAAACCACTGCTGCTCTGCTTGCGATAGACTGCTGCTGCTATTGCTTCTTGATTGCCTTTACTTTCTTCCTTCTTTGATCTATTGTTGAAATCCAGTTTGGCTTGTTCTGTCTTCTCGTTAATCTCCAAAACTCTCTGCTACTATTGCTATCGTCTCGTTCTAGTCACTGAATTACTATTGGTCAAACAAATCAAGAAAATATTCTGCTGAATTATTTCCAATTATTTTCAATATCAAATCAAACCTAAAAGACAAAAGATAAAAGATAAATACAAAAACAATATATACACCACAATTCATGAATAGATTATAATTTCCCAAAAAGCATGGCTATAGAAAACACTATCATTTCCAATAAGTCCATAAACTCAATCACCAAATCTGACTTGAATCCCTTTAATAAATACAACATCCATGAATGTGTTGGCAGAGGAAATTTTGGCGATGTTTTCAAAGCGTATGTTAACATTTGCCGACTTCATCTACTTACAATTGAACAATTCATATTAACACCGTTGGCCTTTGCTTCTCTAGTACGGATATCAAAACTAATAAAATTGTTGCTATAAAGGTTATAAATCTAGAAGATACCGAAGATGAAATTAGTGTTTTAATTCAAGAAATTTCCTTTTTATCTCAACTTCGCTCACCTTATATCACAAAGTCTGCAATACTTTTTTTTTTTTATTTCATTGTAAATAAATTGCACTGAGTTAAAAAATTATTAATCTTATACTAACGGTTGTTTTGGGATTATTTTTTTTTTCTTTTCTTTTAATATATTTTGAAGTTATTATGGCACTTTTGTTCATAATGTATCAATGTGGATAGTCATGGAATATTGTGGAGGAGGTTCATGTGCTGATCTATTAAAATATCATAAAAAACTAAATGAAGATGTCGTTTCTTTTATCATTAGAGATACTCTCAAGGGCTTGGAATATTTACATTTTGAAAAAAAGATTCATAGAGACATTAAAAGTGCCAACATCCTATTAACTAACCATGGTCAAGTCAAGCTCGCTGATTTTGGTGTCAGTGGCCAAATAACCGAACATACAATTAAAAAAAACACCTTTGTTGGAACCCCATTTTGGATGGCTCCTGAAGTTATCACAAGAAAAGTAGGCTACAATGAGAAAGCTGATATCTGGTCTCTAGGTATAACTACAATTGAACTAGTCACTGGCTCGCCTCCTTATTCAGACTACGAACCAATGAAAATCCTATTTCAAATTCCAAAGAGACCAGCTCCAACTTTAGTAGGCTCAAACTACTCTGAAAACATTAAAGATTTTATAAGATACTGTCTTGTTAAAGATCCCTCAAAGAGACCATCCGCTACAAAGTTATTAAGACATCGTTTTGTGAAAACCTGGAAAAGAAATGTCAATTTAATTTCCTTAATCGAGGAAAAAAATAAATGGTTACTTAAAAGAAAATCTGCAAACAAAAAACCAAAGTATCCCATAATCGATCAAAATGACCAATCAACAAAATCGTCCAAAATAGAATGGTCTTTTAGTATAAGGAATAAATCATTCCGAAGCTATAAAGAAATGAAAATCCTTCAAAATAACAACAACATCAACAATGAAGAGAAAAACAAAAACAATCTTGCTCAACCTTGCTTAACTGGTTCTCCCTCAAAGATCAGCTGCAGCTCAAAAAGCAGTCCAATCTCTGCTCTAATAAGTAGTGGAGTTGGCAGCTCATCTACCGAAAAGACAAGCCCATATGGATATTCAGACTCTGATAACCCACAAGAAAGTCGAAAAAAGGAATTGAGAATTGAAAGTCAGTTATCAGACATTACTCCAGATCAAAATCATGTTGAAGACTATTATAACCATCATCAAAGAAAAAACACCAGCAGCAGCGAGCTTGAAACAGACACAGAAAACGATATCACCATGGAAGAAAGCTACAATGAGGAAACCAGCGATATCGACTACCTGAACGACATCATTCTTTACTGCTTGAAAAGAGTTGCCAATAGAGCCAAAACTGTCGAGACAAAGACGACAGTGTTGAAGTTGAGAAAAACGTTGGTGCAGTTTGAGGTGGAGCAGCCTGGCTTGAGCGAGGCCATCAGTGAAGAGATCTGGTTGCGAATGACGTCCTTGAAGCAGGGGGCCTAACTGCCTCTGCTGCTTTTGCTGCGTCGTCAGAAAAACACACGCACCTCGACACGCACACCCGAGTGCGTGTTGAAAATAGACGGCAAGCTTAAAATAGATTCGCCTATTTTTAACGACTTTTGCTCCACAACGAGATATTGCTCAGGGCCTTTGGGATCTGTGCTGCTTTTGGTTCTTCTGAAGCATTTGCTGCTTTCTTGAGGCTGTTTTTTGCTTCTTGTTGGCTTTCTCTGATGTATTTTCAGTGTTTCCATCACTATTTTCTCCAATTTCAGCGCTTTCGTTTCCAGTATTTTTCAGCCTTTTTGATCCAGAAAATCTCAAACAGAAACAAATAACAAATCATACTTAAAAAAAGTTTCCTTCTCACTTTTTTTACATTATTTTCCTACTGGTTCACACTCATCTTCGATTTATCTCCCTCCAGTTTCTTTATTTATGATTTATATATCAGCAATTCTCTGATTCTCTATTACTTTATTTTTTCTGCTTATTCTTCTACTTATTGTTGGCTTGCCCTCATCTTCACAATGTACTATCTAAATTATTATTTTAGAGACTATTCCTTTCAGATGCAATACTTCTTTTATCTTTTAAAAAAAAATAGAACTCTAAGGTATACACTAACCATCTTGGGAATCCTACTATCTTATTACTTTTTGGCCTTTATAAAACATTGTTTTTTCGGCTCAAATTCAATAAACTCTTTTTCAAATGAAGAGCTAAATTCGATATTAGGTGGTCACTCTAGAAATCTAAAAATCATTAAAAAAATTGAAAATCCAAAATTCAATCTTAAATCTCCCTATCTTAAGAACGATCTAAGTGGTGAGACTTCGCCTAACTGGAATTTCAATGGAGACATCCTCATCAGAAACAACAAATATGTCAGATTAACCTCGGAGCAAAAACACCAATCTTCAAGAGTTTTTTCAAATTCAAAGATTAACGAAACATCATTCGAACTAGAATTCTACCTCTCCATCAATGGTAAAGGAATGGTCAACGGTTTGCATGGCGATGGTATGGCTATTTTCCTATCAACTGAACAATTAGGAAAGGGTCCTGTAATGGGTGCCCAAGAAAATTTCAATGGTTTATCCATTATCGTCGACACTTATAAAAATGGTCGAGCTGGCGTCTTTCCCTATGTTCAAGCTTGGCTCAATGATGGAACCCAATCCTATGATAAAGATAACGATGGTAAAGCCAATGAAATAACTGGTTGTGTTGGTAGAAGTCTTTGGAACCCCAAACAGGGTGTGGTTAAAGCAAGACTCTTTTATGTCCAAGATGGTTACATCTCTCTAGATTTCGACTATAGAAATGATGAAAACTGGAAAAATTGCTTTACCTTACAAGATATTTTCTTACCAAAGGATTTCTATCTAGGTTTCTCAGCTCAAACTGGTGATTTATATCAAAATGTCGATTTGGTTGAAACTCATCTTTACTCTCTTTATAAATTCAATGATGAGCCAATTGATGAATTTAATGACCTACTTCAAATCATGAGCGACCCCGATCCAAATTCTCCCGATAAATTTGAAGACGCAATTGAAGAAGTTATCATTGATAGAAATACTAGAAGATCAAGAAAAATTAGTAAAAGAAGAGACTCAAGACAACAAAAGAGAACATTAAGAAGATTACAAGCTTCTGAAAGAAGAATTAAAAAAGAAGCCGAACTAAGAAAACTACAGAGAAAGCAAAAAATAAAAAGCTTTTTTAAATTTGTTAAAAACATCCTATTATTCATTATCGCATCCTTTATTCTTTATGTTGTTTACGTTTATATCAAAGTTCAAATGAGAAATAAAAAAAGACAATATAAAAACGTTGGCCTTTTATGATCAATCTATATTTCATATTCATAATATTTTGATCGTATCATCACTAAATCCAATCTAATCCAAATAAATTATTTCACAAAAGGAAAAAAAAAAATTTTTTATATTGATTTTTTTAATTATTCTATTTTCTTTTCATTTTTCTTATCTTTCTTATCTTTCTTATCTTTTCTATCTTTCTTATCCTTCATTTTCAATTTCAATTTCAATTTCAATTTCAATTTCAATTTCTTTTCCTTTTTCTCTTTCTTTGTCTTTTTATTTTTCTAATTTTAAAGGTGTGAATTTATATCAGAATTTTTCAATATGAGTTTCGAAAAAATAACTAAAAAAACAATATTTTGCAACAATGATTTTGCTAATTTATAACCAAGCTCGCATATCATATTTTTGGCCTTTTTCATTTGTTTTATAGTCAATAGTCAATATATTTAACATATTAAGCTCCTTCTTTTTGCCACATCTTAGTTATCTACAATAAAACAGAACCCAGTTGATATTTGTTAAAACAAAAATATATAATCATTTCATTATATTATGTTGTATATTAATATTAATATTATTATATTTTTATTCTTTGCTTGATTAAAAAAAAAAAGGAAAAAAAAAAATTGATAAAATAGATTGCATAAAAAAACTTAAAAATTTCCATAGAATAATAATAGTATATAGTAATTATATGTATTATATGAAAAGAAAAATGAATTCAAATTATTTAATTAATCAAGAAAAAAAAACCTAATAAATTTATAAATTTATAAAGAAAAAGAATCTTTGGAATATTATCAAAATGTGTAATATGTAAAATGATCTGAAAATTTTCATTGACTTTTATTTCTGATTATAATTTTTATAGGTTTCATAACTTTTGATTGAATGGTAATCACGAAATTCAGGCTTTTATCATGAGAAAATGAAATATTGTTTTTAAATTCAATTTAACATAATATAATTTGAAGATTTCAATAATGTATTTTAAAACCTAGTGAATAAAATAATTTATAAAAAAAAACAAAAAAAAAAACGACAATAAATGAAACTAAAGTGAAATAGTATAGAAAAATTAAGCCAGGCAAGATCACGAAGAGGATTTAATAACTATTAAAAATAATTAAAGAGAAAATAATCATAAAAGTAGAAAAACAAAAATTCATAAATAAGTATTTAGAGAATTGTATTGATGTGGTTGATTTTGAGGGTTTGTATCAGTATCGGATAAAAAATTGTTATGGGGGTTTGAAGAAGAGTTTTGAGGATTGTTGGATGTAGGTATTGAATTTGCCTGTGATTGTGAATGTGAATTATTCATAGATGAAGAGGGTGAGTAGTGTTGCAAATAATTTTGATAATTATTTGGATTTGAGTTCTGAGAAGGATTTGAATTGGGATTTGAATAAGAATTGGTAAAACTATTTAATAAGTTGTTTAAGCCTGAATTAGAAGGATTGTCCATATTATTGGATATAGTGTGAGAATGAGAGTGTGAGTGAGTACGAGTATGAGAATGGGGGTGGGTGTGAGTAAGAATTTGATTATTCTGGATTTGATGAGGTTGGGGTGGACCTTGAGATTGAGGTTGGTTATTCATCTGCTGCAGTTGCAGTTGTTGCAGTTGTTGTTGTTGAGGTTGATGGTGATGGTGGTGGTGGTGATGGTGAGAATTGGATCTCTTGGGTTTTTCTTCTTCTCTGGGAACAATATCAATAAGAAAATCAAACATATCTGATTTTTGCAAAGCAGCACTAATATCAGACTTTTGCAAAGTTCTTCTTTTGTTTTCTTCAGCGTGGATCCAAGCTCTCATTGTCAACTCAGTTATAAAAATCTCACAGCCCTTAGCGAATAAAATTGGTGCCTCAGCACTAATCATTCTGACGTCTTCGTCAGTTTTCATAACTTTTTTAATTCTGGCCAAGGGAAGCTGATGGTTCTTGAAATCATGGTCGTCGCTTTCAATTGAATTGATGGTTTCTTGCCAGTACTGCATCATCATATTTCTATAATGGCCAGTCAAGCCCTGGCCAACATTAATAAATACATCGTTTTCAGATTCATCTTGTGGTTGTTGTTGTTGCTGTTCGTCAGTTATTTGCTGCACCAGCAGCTGTTGCTGCAGAGTATTGGGTTGTGGTTGATTGTAAGGATCATTATAGTTGTTGGAGTTCATAACTTGAGCAAGTGATGTGATCAGAAATTTTTACTTTTAAAGTTGACTTAGGCGATGGAGTCTTGTATCTTATTGGTTGATAATCCTTCTTAAGGCTATTGGTTTAAAAGATATTTAAATAATATTGGTCGAAAAAGGAGGAAAAGAAGATAAAATTTTTTTCTAAAAGTTAGGACAGAAAAAATGAGCGTGTTACCCGGAGAAGATCCACACAGGTGGTTATAGAACTACGCACTCACACGCACTCATACACAAAATATGCGTTGATGCACGTATACATAGTTACACGTTGCATAACATTAATACGCGCGCGAACATCTTTTTGACCTCAGAGTTCGGCCGACACCGGGCCTGCGGTTTTTGGCCTCTTCTAGTGATTTTCATGGACTGATTTTGATGGTCACCTCAGGCAGAATATTCCTTTAAGTGTTGGACTTTTGTTTTGGATCTCGAGTTTTTCAAAACGTATATATTGGTTCTTGGTTATCGACAACTTCTGGCCGGGAAATTTTTCACTTTGACTGCAGCCCAGGTTATCGAAACACAAATGGCAAGTTTAACTAACACCGATGGTTCTCCCCTGATTCGTGAGAGGATGGAGGCCCTTATTCGTTTGAAACAAAAAGAAATTGTTGCTGGGCTAGAGACTTTCGAGACTGGAGGTGAAATCTTTACGTTCGATTCATGGAGCAGAGGTGCTGAAGGAGGTGGTGGTGTTTCTGCAGTTTTACAGAATGGCAAGACTTTTGAGAAAGCAGGTGTGAATATCTCTGTTGTTCATGGAAACCTTCCTCCCAAGGCTATCGAAAGGATGAGAGCTGACCATGCGAAATTGGGTTCTAATTCTAAAGATGGATCAGTGAATTTCTTTGCTTGTGGGTTGTCGATGGTTATTCACCCAAACAACCCTCATGCTCCAACAACACATTTGAACTACAGATATTTCGAAACTTGGGATGAAAATAATGTACCTCAAACCTGGTGGTTTGGAGGTGGTGCTGATTTGACTCCCCACTATTTGTATCCTGAAGATTGCAAATTGTTTCATCAAAGCCATAAAGATGCTTTGGATAAATACGATATTCATTTGTATCCCAAATTCAAGAAATGGTGCGATGAATATTTCTTCATCAAACACAGAGGCGAATCTAGAGGTATTGGTGGTATTTTCTTTGATGATTATGATAACAATGATCCAGAAATTATTTTGAAGATGGTTGAATCATGTTTTGATGCATTTTTATCGAGTTATTTACCAATTATTGAAAAGAGGAAAGATTTGCCATTTACTGAAGACGAGAAGAAATGGCAGTTAATCAGAAGAGGCAGATATGTGGAATTCAATTTAGTTTTCGATAGAGGTACTCAGTTTGGCTTACAAACTCCCGGCTCAAGAATTGAAAGTATATTGATTTCTTTGCCTTGTCATGCCAGTTGGTACTATGATCATCATCCAGAACCTGGCTCAAGAGAAGAAGAGCTAATAGAAGTCTTGAGAAATCCTGTAGATTGGGTCTCATTTTAAATAAGATTTTAATGTTGATATGTGTATATGATTTTTATTATTTATTATTTATTATTTATTATTTATTATTTATTTTCTTTTTTTTTTCTTTTTTTTGTTACTAACTCCTTTTCATTTTGAACTTCTTGTTAAATAAATAAATAGTTTTTTGTTTTTATCAAAAACATCCAAATAACAAATCAAAAAAGAAACAAATACAATCAGAAAACAATATTAAATTTTGTCAATTCAGAGTATATATATATGTACATTTTGAATTACACTTAGTAGTGCAAACCATTTTGTCAAGAAACCACCTAAAAATATTTGGATAGCAATTCATTGAGCTCGTCAACATAAAAACCTCTAATAATAATTTTGTTGCTGTCTGGTCTTATAACTATATCCTTTTGCTTGATGCTGGGAATATTGTGTATTATATCTTGTTTCAACAACAATGAATCCCCAGAAATTTTGGCAATCTCTGTCATCACAGCTCCTCGCTTGTATTTTTTGTAAACAGGCAAATATCCAAAATTGGTTCTTCTGATAAAATAAGCACCCAAGTCTTTCTTCTTTCTTTCAAATCTGCTGCAACTCGAGGGCAAATCCGAATATTGGACTTCATTTTTGCTCAAAAAATCCTTTTCATTTTGTTGTTTGACAAAACTTCGAAACTTGGGCTGTAAACTTGAGTTGTATCTCACAAAGGTTTTTATGGCTGTTGCTTTGTTCATTTTGCTGTTTTCCCCAAAGAAAAATCTCAAAATACCATCAAAAATCGCTTCTTTTCGATTTTCGTTCACTTTTTGAGATTTTCAATTTCAGTCACGTGAACGTTTTTATTTCTTTATATTTATTTTTTTATTTTTTTTTTCAGTTAAAGAATTATTTTTTTTCATTTTTGTTTCTTTGATTCAGATTTATTCATTCTTTGATCTCTTATTTTATTGTTCTACTGAACGATTGTAAATGGCTACAGTAATACCTCCTCCCTCTAAGAAACAGAGGAGATTGGCTCAACAGCCCAGAGAAACAAGTATCATACCGGAAAACTTGCCCAATGTTTTAATCAAATTTCAAGCTTCTGATACTGCCGAATCAATTGGTGGAAACATAAGAGTTCCTAGTGGAATCACCACAAAGCAATTGGAAGAATTGCTAAACCAGTTGAACAATGCGCTGGAAGACCCTATTCCCTACACTTTCTCGTTGTTGCTCAACAACAACAACCAGCCAGACTCGCTTGTTGATATAAATGATAACCTCTACTCTTCTGTTTTGAAACCAGGTCTAAAGACAACCGAAGATTTCTTGACTTTAGTTTACACCCCTCAGGCTTTGTTCAAGGTGAAGCCTGTTACAAGGTCTTCTTCAGCTATAAGTGGGCATAAGGCAACCATTTTATCTTGCCAGTTTGCTCCCTACACAAGTTCAAGATTTGTCACTGGCTCTGGCGACTCCACTGCTAGAATATGGGACTCAGATACTCATACTCCTGTGAACACCTTATCTGGTCATTCCAACTGGGTTCTTTGCGTTGCTTATTCTCCAGATGGCTCGATGATCGCAACTGGCTCAATGGACAATACAATCAGACTATGGGACTCGTTAAAGGGAACACCTCTCGGTAATAATCCAAATAAAAACGTCTTGAGAGGCCATTTAAAATGGATTTCTTCTCTATCATGGGAACCTTTGCATCTATTAAAAGATCGTGAACAACAATCAAGGTTATGTACCGGTTCAAAAGATACAACAATAAAAGTTTGGGATGTGATTGATAGAAACCTCATATTGACTTTATCCTCTCATACATCTGCTATATCATGTGTTAAATGGAGTGGCTCAAATAGAATATTTTCAGCTTCTCACGATAAAACAATTAAAATTTGGAATCCTGAAAATGGTACTTGCGTAGCTAATTTAAAGGCCCATGCTCATTGGGTTAATCATTTATCCTTATCCACCGATTATATATTAAGATGTGGTCCATTTGATTATAAATCAAAGAACTCATCAGTCAATTACTACAAGTCTAATAGAAGTGAATTGATAGAAAATGCAAAACTTAACTTCAATAAGGTCGCCTTAAAAAATAGCCAGATAGACGAAAGAATTGTCACTGCCTCTGATGATTTCACAATGTATCTTTGGAATCCATATAAATCTAATAAACCCATTTGCAGAATGGTTGGCCATCAGAAATTAGTTAACCATGTTGCCTTCTCTCCTGACGGCAGATATATTGCTTCAGCATCATTTGATAACTCAATAAAGTTATGGGATGGTTTGAATGGAACTTTTATTGCAACTTTAAGAGGCCATGTTGCTCCAGTCTACCAAATTGCATGGAGTTCTGATTGTCGTTTACTAGTGAGTTGTTCCAAAGATACAACCTTAAAGGTTTGGGATATCAAAACCAGAAAACTAAAAGCAGATTTACCTGGTCATTCTGATGAGGTCTTTTCTGTTGACTGGAGTGTTGATGGTAAAAAGGTCATTAGTGGTGGAAAAGATAAAACAGTTAGAATATGGACACATTGAAATTATATTCTCAACTCTTTGTTCTTTTTCTTGTTTGGTTTTATCTCCGAAAAAAGAATTAAAAAAAATCTAGTTTTATAAATTAATAAATGCAGTAGAAGTTGGGGAAAAATATTATAGAATCATATAGAGTTAGTTAAAAAAACTGCTCTTTTACTTAAATGGATAATTATGCTAACTGTAAAGTTGTTTTTATGGTTCTCATAACTATTTTGACTTTTTTAATTTTAATAACCTATTCAATTTAAAATCAAACAATATCTCTTTTAACTACCTTGAATTATTCACTATTTTTTTTTTAACTCCATTCAAATTTGAAACATTTTTGTGAAAATTTTTGGCATATTATAGTTTTCATTCTTAACTTCACCATACTCTGTTCAAGCTGTTTTAAATGTGCCTTTACTAGTTTAACTACTAAGAGAATGCTATTAACAAAAAAACGGCCCATAAAATAATAGAGATATTATCATTATTTTTTCAAGGAGGGCAAATATGTCATTTTTGGTATATGAGTGATATTTTTACTGAAAGTTGTTCAACTCTTAGAACTTGAATTGTTTTGATGAAGAATAGAGCGATTTATTTTATCATTAAATAAAAGAAAACAGAAATAGCTTGTGAAGCTATGTTTTGATAATTGAATTTTTAAAGAGGCCAAAATAATGAAAATTTAGGCTTAATTCTAGATGCTCATGGATTGTAAAAGGTAATTTATGAAATAATCTGGAATAACAAGCAAGGATTGTATTGTCTTTTGCTGTTACAAATCAATTTCTCCAAGGTTATATTAATATCTCCTTGATTAGAAGTTGTTCGCATGAGCAGCGAGTTATTAAAAGATATTAAAACTGCTTAAATTCAATGTAATGATTGAAAACACTACAGGAGCAAGAAGTAAATCCTGGTAGATTGTTTTTGAAATTCAGCACATTTTATTGTCTCTATTATAATACAAAGCTTCTATAATAATACTAACTGTTACTCTTTTTTTTGTTTGATTATTGTTTTTTTATCTCTGAAAATGTTTCATTTCATTTTTTTTTTAAATGAAAAATTCAAGCTATAAGAAAAATTTTCATTACCAAATTTTCCAAAAAGAATCAATTTTGAGTCTTTCACCAGTTGACCACTTTTAATAGCCATTATAATCATGATAGCTTTAATAAACAACTGTATTACCAGCAGAAAAATCACAGAGATCGAATTTAATGAGTATCTTGTAACTACAAATTCTAATGAAAAAAATGAATAAGATTATGTTTACAAAAAATGTATAACAGTGTTAATGATGTAAATCTAGATCCAAAATACTGATTTGAACAGAATTTTGTTTTTCATCTGTTTAAATAATCAGCTCTATTATCATTTTGTTGATTACCAAACTCTTGATTGCCAAACTGCTGATTACCAAACTGTTGATTGTTAAATTCTTGATTATTGAATTCTTGATTATTGAATTCTTGATTATTGAATTCTTGATTATTGAATTCTTGATTATTGAATTCTTGATTATTGAATTC